AACATGTACCCCGAAGGGTCTTGCGTCGGTCACGACGCTCGTCCTTATTGGCGCTATAGCGCGCCGACGCTGCCCAAACGTTATCGTGATCAATTAGAGCTGCGGTCAACTGGTTCGTATTTTTTTCCCTCGTTCGCATGGCGGTAGTGATTGCTGCTGTAGACTGGACGGTGGAGTTCAAGTTGCGCATCCTGGGATCCGACGCTACCCAGTCTCTGCCATACGCAATCGTCACTTACCGATTCAAGCAAAACTGCCACCTCTACGCGATTCCTGAAGCCGACAGTCCAATGGTGGGTTGACGTTGGGACCCGATTTGCGATGTTATGGCTCATGACTCTTACAGGGGTCTACCGCAGAGGACATCGCTGCTTTTAGCAGCTATTCCTTTCCTAAGGGTGACTCCATATACCACATCGAAGAGCCGCGCATCGACGGTGGGATGGAAACCGGTCAAGCACTACCATATCCAACATTGACCTTCATTGAAGGGTACGATGCCATCTTTGGCAGTGATGCTGCTATAGATTTAACTGCCGAACCGGTAGACGACGTACGGGTATTTCAAAAGAACGTCTTCACAGCTCTTTAAACTTGCTGCAGGGCTCCTTGGCTTCAAGCTTGCCAATTGTCTTGGACGACGCCATCCTGTCTATGTATGGATATAGCACGTGCGCCTCTTCAATTCTCACTGAGGATGACGTTGCCAACGCTCAACTTTTGCCCCCTTACTTCGACTTCACCAACATGGGCGGGGATCCATCTGTGGCCAGCGCAGTCGGTCCTGTCGCCGGTGGGTCGGGCAGAAGCTTGGTTGACTATACCCCTTCGGCATACTCCGCGCTTGCAGGATGGTCGGGGGAAATGTAATCGACATACCTTTTACTACTCATTATCGTGTACTTCACAACTGTCCGCTTTACGCTTAACAAAGATTTCCTTGTCAATAGCACCCCCACAAAACTAGTACCAACTGCAAGATATGTCATTCTTGGGATCCATTCCGTCGAATTGTATCGTGGCCCACCAATTTTCATCTTCAGCGTCCTCAAAGCTACATTGAGCGTCGATGTTGTCATCCCAGTAGATGATGTCCTCCTGATCTTTACACCCCACAGCAAGCCTATTTGCCTCCGTTGCATTACTTCCTACACTCGTAAGAAGGGGCGGCAAAGACACCCCGCCGTCTTCCCCAACGTTGTCCAGATCATCCTTCGCGCCTTTTAAGGGTGCGGCGAGAGGGACACCTGACGAAGATGTATTATGTCCATCGGACAACGTGCCTGCATTATATTCAGCGGGGTTGTTGTATCCGGGAAAATTTACCTGACATACATGACCCTCCGGGGTATGAAAGCGGTATAGCCTCCTGGGTACCGCCTCCCTCGTCGCACGACTCCTCCGGTATCTTCCATGCTACAAACTCTGTAAAACCTTTGTCCCGGGAGACATCGACTTTGCGCGACTGCCGCCGTTTCCTTGGCATATACTTGTACCCCGGATATCGCAGGAGATGTAGGCGCTTCACCTCTCGTGCGCGCTCGAAGTATACCTCCCGTTCCTCTTCGCTTAGACCTCGCCATAATGTAGCGATGGTGTCCCCTCTTCGAGAAGGAGACCTAGGCGGTAAATGGCTGGTATGCTTCAGACAGTCACACCTGTGTCAAGTACGTCAATCGTTGCTGGATCGTCCTTCGGCGCTGGGGTGGTACCTGAACAGTATAAAGGCGTTGCTGGGCCTGCTGGGCTGTGGAAAAGTCGACAAACTGCTGGAGTAAGACATTGCCGCGGTGTCGTCAGAGATATCCGTAGAGTGCGATTGTGACTCCGACACAGGTATCATTTCTCGTCTGGGACTCTTGGATGAAGATTGGACCACGACGTCTGAGCGCTATTTAAGTCGTCATTATTGCCCCTGAACGAAAGTATTTTCTCTCGCCTTCCTTTTCGGGGAAGCCCGATACGTGCAAAACTGGCAAAGGCCCCGATAACAGCATCTCGCGCAGGGTTCTCCCGCCTGACAAGGGCGATGAGCTTCCCTACAACGCTCACAGCTAGACTTCGCTCCCTCACGCGTCCTGCACATTCTTCCTTAGAAAGCATGACGGGTTTTAGAAAAATATACATCGCCATGTAGACGCATGCAGTAGCACGGGCAACTCCAAAGTAGACGCAATACAACGTATCGGTATGAGGCAAAATCGACCGTACAGCATCACGATCATTCATGCGCGACCAGTCACAAGACTCACAGTAGTCACGCATACCTCACCCTCCACTTCCCCGCTTCCATGTTTCTTGCGTAGTGCACCGTCCTGGACTCCACAAGCAACATTCGAAGGCACCGTGGGGTCTGCACCCCCACAATAGCTATCACCGCACAACGATTTCCCCACGGACGGACATCGGTACACACGAGTAACACGCTCCCCACCCAAGATCCACGCCTAAGGTGTGTCAGCATGCTGTGCTCATCCCTCACAGACTGGCCGCTTACTGTGTTCCAAACTCGGTTCCTGAGGTCTGGGGTGTCCTCCCTGAAAACAGACACATCACACCGAATGAGAGCCCCCTTCTGCAGTATGTCGCAATGATCCTCTGCAAAAGGCACGTCCTTGTCTGCTTCTGGATATACGGGAGAGGTGCTCCAGCGGGCTTGAAGCTGAACAACAGATAAATGATCGAAAGCAGTTCGCGCTGAGACCAAAAACAATACCATGTGCGTCTCCTGGTCCAAATGCACGATGATATAACTATTGGGAACTGACTCCTCGTATTGCACGCAGGAATGAACTTGGAAAGGAATCTGTATGATAACGGTCAGCTTGCGCGTCCGGATAAACATTAATTTTACATGAAATATGCTCCGCCACGCTCCCTGTATCCCATGAAGGAACTCCGCCGTACGTCTGAAGGGCGGTGCGAAGAAATCATCCGGCGCGGACAATAGCAACATCTATCGAAATTTCGAAGAACGCTCTACAACAACATTAGTACGTGCTTACTTGGCGTCCTTTGCTCAGCTCAAAGGTTTCTTCAAGCTTAGCGAAAAAGGTGAGAATGAACGCTCGACCGGTTCCATGGCCCTCCACCACGCGACGTAGTTCGGCTCCAGTGTCAGCTACCAGCAGGACATCGTCAAATGCTAGCGCATTCCTGGTTGTAAAAGCTGCGCGGGTCGAAGTCTCGAAGGAATGTAGCCATCACAAAACGATACACGATAACAACACTGTGGACCTTAAGTATGTACGGCCGTCCATCATGCTGTAATGCAATTTCTCATCTTTGACTAATCTTGTCTCGAGTACAAATTTTCGTAAGACGTGAGCTAAAATGACTACATCAAGCCTGCACTCGCTCAGACCCCTTACGCTGATCCCGCATAGGACGTCTCTTGGAACAATACATGCGGCTCAGATACTTGGCGCGTATGGTCCAATGCTAAAACAGTAGACCTCATCAGTCAATCTGCGACGATGAGATTAGAACGTACGGTTTCCCAGGAGTGGCCGCCTGTCACACGACGATCCTCTCTGAGCATGAACCCCTCGACGTGGATCAAAGCTCCGATTTCGAGGAATGGACTTTCAGACGACGCGAATGGAATCGCGTTAGAATAATTGTGGTCCACCTTCGTCTGTTGCCGAAGTCAGCTGTTTACCGCTACTGAAGTTCGATACTGACCAGCAGAACTTCGCCCTCTTCGTACACGATAAATATAAAACCTCCCTCGCCGTCCAAATTGGGGATGGCGCAAAGGTGAATACACTTCGGTAGCTTGTCAGGTAGCGGAGTCAGATATCATTTTCAGGCTTAGCGAAGGACAAGCTTACATGCACCACAGATTCGGGTGAACCGGTAACTTCGTCTAGAGCGTGCAGGGTGCGGTCGAAGGTGTCACCATAAACGCCGGGCGGACGCGCTAACATGAGTACCTAACGAGGTCAGCACTCCTTCGTCGTACGGTACGTCCCCATACCTTGGATTTTCTCCCGCATGTCTCTTGTCCCATATAGCGCACGATACCGGCCACACTCAGCAGATAAGGCTCGGCAGTGACGGCCTCGGTATCTATAACATATCGGATTTCGGATTGCCCTGTGTGGCTGACGGAAAGCTGGTCCAACGCAAGATCGGGATAGGAGTGCGATGCAAACGGTGGTAGAGGAACCCCAAACGACAGGGCGGGCTCCATGTTGAAGCTAACCTTGTGCCACTCTCCTCCTTCTTAAATGTCTGGTCTTCTGTCGTTCTCGCACCTCCTGGGAACCTTGGTATCAACCTCCAGACAGATGGTGAAGTTCACGAACCAGTTCGAATCGAAGCCATCGGGGTACTTCTTCTCCGGAACTACTTCCGACCTACAAGCTAACTTCTTTAAGAACCTTGCTCGTTGATAGATATGAGCACCGTTGGCTGTTAAACCCCAAGGAGGTGTCACAAGTCTCTCCCGCTGCACTCCAGCGGTGCTGCCCGAGTCATCATGATAAATAAGTGCGGTTCGACATTAGCTCCACATGGCAATGTAGCTCCAGCGCTACAGTCAATGCATGGATTCTCAGACCCAGCCATTCTCGACCTGCCTACGGTCAGCTGGCAGGATGTACGCGTAAAATACATTCCACGGCTTTTTTTTTTCTGTGGTAAGTACAGTCTGAATCCGTTGCTTCTTTATTTACTCTTTCTACAGGGGGCGGTCTGCTGCCCTGACACCTTGGGCAATAATCAATATTAACTATCCATCAAGTAGCAGCACAACACAGGGAAAGTTGAATTTAGGCGGGGCCCCGTCCGTTGGATTGAAAAAGTATAAATACTGCTTGCTAACTACTGTTTCTTTCGTGTTCGCCCACAAGCAACGAGTCTAGTCGATCTGCTACTTGGTATAATGGAGACTGTAGCCTCCATCCGTTTGTCAGGTCAATTTCACTGGCTATTTAATCTCACGTCATTGTTAAGCCTGGTCTCGACTAAACTCCACGTCGGAGTACGTATTCACAATGCCGTCGTCGCAGTCACCGAAGCCCTTGCCTACGTTAACACAACTATGCGCTGCTCGCGTGTCTCTGGACACTCCAGTGGAGAACTTCTCTATCGTGCCTAACCACATCCTGCCTCTGCTACGCTATCCTATGGCCCGTAAATTGAACGGTCATGGAGAGAAGCTTGATGACTGGTCAGCTCATCATGACTCGAGGACTGCTTCATCTGATATGCTTTAGGTTGGAGAGTCACATGGAACACTTACGCAACACTACTCCTTCCGCCGCGCGACTTTTGTTGTTGCATTGTTCCGATCTGCCTCATTCTTTTCACGTGACTCATATGGACGCCACCGTCATCTCTTTTGACACCGTACCCAAATTCCGGGGATGTGATCTCCTCGATTATTTCCAGCCTACTTCAAGACATGTAACCGCGACCTCCAGTGAATTCCACTCGCAGCTCCAATTAGTCACTGACGGGCTACTCAATAACTTGACCTGGAACGGCATTGCTCTTGTGGGAGCGTCTGTCTTATTCACTTTGACCGACCCTATCACGAGAGGTCCACACTGGCTTCAAACGTGGCGTGCGTGTCCAATAACCCTGATTCTACTGCGTGACAGTACACTGTCAATTGAAGATCGCTTACGCAACATCCTATCCTGTTTCAAGAACAACCGACCAGGTCGAAGGTACTGGATATGGCGCGGAATCGCCTCCATATCCATTGTCTCGGACGAGGACCGCCGCATCGACATACTACAACGGATTTACGACGGGCCTCTTGAATGGCTGCTGGAGGAGCCCGTCGACGCCCTAGGATTGTTGTGGGACGGACTGGACCTCACCGCTACTCCTTGCGCACTTCGGGCTATCGAGAGTACGACTATAATTCACCGTTTTCTCACTGATTGACGCGGTGAATAGCTAGCAGCAACTCTATAAACTTTAGAGTGATCGAAGCAGATCGTCGAGCCTTTTGTACCGATAATTTATCCTTTGAGTGAGTGCATTTTCGACCTCATTCGCACGCTGCAACTACCGAGCCTTTTGTCTTTATCCTTGCAGGTATTTCCACACACTCAGTCGTTGCTGATGTCTTATGCGCATAGGGTTTCGCGCTCCGTCTATCGGAAACTGATCTCGCCGGTTTATACGCCCGCAGCGAAACCGCAGATCTAGGAGTTGCCCCCCGAGTCAAGTTCCGTCGGGATATGAATGAACAGCGGTCTTTCGTGGCCTCATTGCTTCCTGGTGGCCCCCCATATCCTCTGCGATTGGAGCTGCGCACTCCAGCATGGTTCACTGAGGGCCTCAATGAGAGTCCCGGTAGATCCTATCTGGATTCCAGCACGACTTTGCTGCGACACGTGGCCTTCGTGGAATGGGTGATACAGCATGATATACAGTAAGGTCTTTCAAACCTCGGCGCCGAAACTGTGTTTGACCACTAGCGTCACAGGTTATGTGCTCCTTCTTACCATGTGGACGGGGTACGAAGTTACCCTTAAGAAGTTTATCGCAAGCTGATACTACGACGAAGATCATGGATATTCCTTTACTGAATGCCCCGTCCTTGAGTCGACTCACCGTGTGGGCGCTCACACAGAGTAGGCGAACGTGGGAGCACAACCGGTCACACGCATTTTCTCCGTTCATTCCAAGAGATAATCGAGAAATGAAATTTCGCCACTTGCTCGTGGCCTCAGCGATGGTAGATCTCTTTACAATCGACGAACCCGCATTACGGCTGCCACTCATTTTACCCTATAACTTCTTCTTGCGCGCAAAACAAGTATTCGTGGACCAATCAAGACATTTCTCTTCTGCAGCCAGCATTCTCCAAGCGTTCCCTTTGTCCCCTGACCCGCAACTGCCTGGGCCTGGCGAAGAAAATTCACACCGCCCCTGCCTGGTGGTTTGGACGCAACCTGCGTTCTTGCCCTGGACCAGAACGAATCCACGCATGCGTCGGTGAGATGCAGCATAAACTTTATGCTGTTCGTTCATACTCTATCATAGGTTGTGGGAGATACTGCTGGCCTACCGCAGTATTTTCAACGAAATCGTGGCTTACTCATGGGAGACGGTGTCCGAGTTCGATGCAGACAAGGTGGTGCATAGATTCGAAAACACCATTGCGTCTACGATGGATTGGAAGTCTTGGTATAATGATGACCGTACGAATCCTTAAGACTCGAGAGATGTGTTTATGGCCAAGGATTCTGAGCTTGGTAATCTATGTGTACACAGACGGCGGCTAAAATGAGCGCGAGAGAAAGCAAGGTCTTAGACTCAGGCGTCAGCGCCAGAGGCCCTTGTATATATGCAGATTTATATGACTAGTGTTTGTTTGCAATGAGCCTTCTCCAAATGCTAAGTCCAATTAAAAGGCCGATGCATCCCGGTGTCAATTCAGCTGAATTACTTAGTCACCACCACCACTACTTGTCGACCACAGTATCACTGGCGGTTTGCAGTGGACGGGGGTGTCCCAATAGCCAGTAGAGCAAGCCTTTGTCGTCTTTTCTCGGCTCGCGGATTGAGGATAAGCGCAAGTAGTAACACGAACCCATCGAGAACCTGTGAATGTAGCCCCAGTCAAACACGTAGCAGAGCCCACTTACCACGACGAGCGAATAGGTTATAGCCGCAATAACATCAAACTTGTCTCGAAATACAAGAGACAGGTCTGAAAATACACCTTTAGAAATAACTGTCTTCAATTTACATAAACCTCTCAAGAAATCCACAATGCTCACCTCCAAGCGCGTCAACAACCATGAACGCGATTGAAATCCCAACGACCTCCTTCAGCCGATATATCTCGCCATACTGCGGAATCAGGGCGAGCGAAATGAGCACAGAGCTGATAATGCCGAGGAATTGGACAGCGCGTTTGCCAGACTCGGTGTTGTTGCGGTATGAGGGGCCAACTGCGAAGACGAGCATGACTTCAAGGGCCCCAACGAGCAGCATCACAACTAGAGCTAGTAGTATTGCGCGTTTGCGTCGTTTCGGCTGAGCGTTTCCGTAGTATTGGCACTGTCATGATAGGTGGTTGGAATTCGAGTAATGCGAGTCAGCGAATATGCTCACCTGGCCCCAAGACACCAGTGCTAAGAAGCCAAACAGTTGAGGCTGTACGATGAGCGGGATATTGAGCTCAAGAATGATCGTATACGCCCCAAGGAAACTCGCAGCGCATCCCCATACAAGCCTGCAGGAGACCAGACAGTAGTCAGTTTCCATACGCATCCGTCCAAAACATCGAACTCACACAAGCCAATGCGAAAGCCCCTGCGTCGATTTTGTCCGCCAACTTTTCCAGATCTGTGGAATCATCTGAATCGTCCAACATACAGTACCTAAAAGTCAACACAGAGTGAGTAAAAACGAAGGACTCGGAATGGAATATACCCAACTCACCCATCGTTCCTAAAACATTCTCTGCCACCGAATTCACGGGCATTCTGAGAAGGTCAAGGAAGCAGGAAGTCAAGAGCCTGTTTATATTTCAGCCGCCGCCGCACGTCTGACTCGTCGTCGTCATTCGCAAGATCCGTAAGCAATCTTCTTCCGTCCGTCAGACTCCGACCTAGATGGTACGACTTGACGTCCAACGCGTCTGAAGAAAAGTCACTGGATCGTGAAATTTCGGTCATCGGGTCCGAAACCCCTCTAAACTTCCTGCAACGAATAAAAGCCGAGCTATGCAATGGATTCCGGTACAACAGCACAAATAAGAGCAGGGGATGACACAACACCAATAAGTATTAATGAGCATGCGGGTTCTCAGCATCATGCCTTCTTAAAGCGTATGCAGTTTTCCCATAGTAAATGCCTGCAGCCGTAGATGTCGCAGTTAACATCGCGGGGACTGGCCCCTTAAGCATTCGGGGAGCGGATCCAGCAAAGAGGACAGCCGAAGCTCCTAGGGAGAGGGAAATAAGTCGTGAAAACAGGGGAAATGCCGATGCCCACGCACCGATAGCTGCTTCAATTCCATTCTGCTGGCCCTTCCGGATACGATCTCCAGCCCAGAGGTAAGCGGCACCGACACTGTTCCACATTCAGTTACACAGAGGTCCTGTGAGAAACAGACAACCGTACCCAACTCCAGCGACGAGGGAGGGTATGCTTCGAGTACGGGCAAAGCCTGTTAACCCTCCCAGCAGGCAGAATCCACCCATAGCGAATGCGGGGTAGGCTGACTGTGAAAGTTGTGAGCGCTGGTGAGAACAAATGATGACGGGAGGCTCACCATAAGTGTAGGTCTTGCTGGCGGCTAGGAGGAGAAGGGCAAAAGGTGAGATGTGGGGAAACGTGGAGAAGCGTGTGATTCTGATCAGGTGTCTGGAACCCAGGAACCCTCACAACACGACAACGGCGAGGAAAGAGGCCTGGTTCTCGATGAATATATTCACTTGTGTGTCTAATACAGCAGACGGCTGTAGTAGAACGCGACTGCAGCTGACGTAACCGCAAGCACTTTGGGGATGGGGCCCTTGGACAATCGGGGGATGGAAGATAGTGTGAGAAGAGCGGAGGCAGCTGTTGTGTATGAAGCTGGTCAGCAAAGGAGGAATGAATGAGCAGGAAACGCACCGAAGGCGCCTTGGTGGCCAACTTTGAGTCCCTCCCCAATCTGTTGCCCACTCCACAAGTAAAGCATGCCGGTCCTGGAAGACGGAATGGAAGAAAGCCAACAGGAAAGAAGGGAAAGAGCATACGTTAAACCGGAGATGAGCGACATGAGGGAGCCCTTTCGCGCAAAGCCCATCCCACCACCAATGATACACAGCAGGCTCATTACGAACGCAGGATATGCCGACTGTGCAAGGTTGTCAGCGCGTAGCACACGCGAAACTGCGCCGTCGAACCATTTTCGAGTGAACGATAAGGAAGTGAAGGACGAAAGATCACGTGCAGGACAAACAGAAGCAAAACAACGTCGAGAATGCTCATTGATATCGGGTCAAAATGTATTTTCGAATGCTAGTGCTGTATGCCGATGGGAGTGGGAATAAGGCGCTCCATCTGTCTCTTGTCTCTGACCATGCCAGTAAATGCTAAAATCTTCATGCCCCACGATGAGCTCGTCATCCCTCGTTACCGACCTAAAGAAGGCATCGTCGAGAGTACTCAGAACAATGGAAACGGAGAAGAAGACAGCCCTTCGACCGTAAATCAAATCAAAGATCTCGAAGAACTCCAAAAGTTCATCTCGGACGCGGAGTTAAAGTCGACTGTGGGTCGTTTTATCCAACTCGAGTTGTGTGTGATCAGCTTACAACCATAGGTTATCAACTTTGGCGCCACATCAGGGTCTGTATCTCCCTCGTATAGGAGAATTTGCCGAACAAGTTTGTGAAGATGCGCTGGATGCAAGATGATAAAGCCGTACTGGAATGAGCTCTCGGGGTCGTTCAACGATCGCGTTAATTTCATCTACTGCGACATCGATGGGCCAGACGGTCGAGCGGCCGGTCTTTACTATAACATCACGGCAATGTGCGCAACTTTCAGAGCAAGTTCTGCTTAAATTCTGACATCGTCGTGACCAGGCCTACTTTCGTGTTCTTGAAACGCGATTTCGAGGTGCCAGGAACCAGAGTGCAAGGCTCCAACAAATTGTTGCGTTGACTAGAGAGATTCCTCAGTTTCCATTAACCGCTTGAATAGGAAGCTACTTCAAGGAGTGAATCTCCTGGCAGGCAAGCGTCGCAATTCTGGAGGGCTGTAACCTTGATCCGAAGAGGACTTGTAATCTTGTAGTCGTTGAGTTGGATTGAAAATACATCTCATAGACGACGGCCAAGGATATGTGTAGGCCAAGATTGAAAGAGGCTCATGTATAGAGTCTTGACTTGCTGGTTTAAGTACACTGGTGAACGCAATGCGCATTCAAGAAGAGGGTCACGCGTGTGACGGTGACATGTCCTCAGCCAAAATCACCAAACGCCTACACATCTCTTTCGCTCCCTCTATTCCTGCTAGCGGCTCTGCTGACCTAAAAAAATCCCTCGCGACACACTTCAGCAAGTTTGGTACCGTCAAATCCGTCGATGGCCTTGGGCAGCTCGATGGTGTTGGTCAGCCGCGAAAATTTGGGTACATTAGCATTGAGGGCGCAGAGGCCAGTATAACGAAATGTGTGTTCAGACTGAAGATCACCATCCATTGTTTGATGCGTCTCAGGCGTCAACTCGCTCAGCGGATCGATCTGGAAAGGCGTCAAAGTGCGCGTTGGGGACGCGAAACCAGACTACTCCCAACGGTGTGCCCAGCAATGTTTTCAGACCACGGAAAACTGAATCTCCCAAGAGTAGCCGCGGAAAACGCTCCAACGACGGATGCTCCCCCAAATCGTAAACGTAAACACGGCGCCGTCTTTGCAGAAGACATGACACTAGTAACTCCCGAGAATGCCGTTCGCAGGGGCTGGAAAGTTACTGAAATGGGCCGCATGTTGCGACCAATGAAGATGCGACCCTTACATCCATTGCCTCCGCCCTTGTCAGTTGAGCCGCAATCTAAGAAGGCCAAGCAGTCGAATGTCAAGCCCAAGCGGCGCCGGGATCCCGACTCTCGCGCCCGGCGTCGGACCATCGATGTGACGCGATGGGGGAGCGTTCATCTCAAAGGGTTGTTCCTAGAAAATGCTGGACAGCTGCCAAAACCCGAGTATTCTCACCCAAAGCCTTCCCTCGTTGAAGAAAGCGATACCTCGTCAAGTGAAGAAGACCTCCCAACACCTCCCATCCTCAAGCCAGCCGTTGAAGCAGCGCATCGTATTCAAAATCCCCGACAAATGAAGACTATCCAGAAGCGGACACCGGCGCCGCCAGTACCATTAGCTGTCAAATCAGCCCACCCTACGACTATCGATCTTTTGGCGGAGAAGAGTGATACTCTCAATATTTTAAACTCTCTGTTCGGGCGAGATGCGGAGCAATGGGGTGGACGTGAAAGTGTTGGATCGGATGTCGATGAAGAGGAGCTGCTGAAAATAGGTGGCATTCATTCGGGTAAAGACACCGAAGACGATATTGAGTTCGTCCCCATGAACGTCGACAATGGCGGCTTGACACAACAACACGAGGCCGACGAAGTGCCGCAGGCTGCAGCACCACGCGAACCATCGAGAGCCACAAAATTAAAAGAGCTTTTCGCCCCAAGAACAGAAGATGGCCCTGGTACGCCACAAACACAGCTATATCCTCCGTATTAACTGTCACACAGCTGGCTTTTCTCTTCTCGGACATCTTGACCTTGATCTCGACGAAACTCAGTTCGCGGATCTCACCACCACCAAGGCACCTACGCCTCGCGAGTCACAGCCCACTCTTGTTTTCGTTCCTGCCAATATAGCGGCGCACGCCCCTATAACTCTAGATCCGAAGCAACCGCTCTTTTTTCCCCTTCCAAGCTCATTCTCCGACGATACAAACCTGAAGGCAAGGCAACGGGACATTATCGACGTCGCCAAGGATGCCGGCTGGTCCGCTCATTTCTGTAAGACGGAGACGGATGAAGAGATCCGCACTAAGTGGGAGGCGGAGAAGATCGAGCTGACCAGGGATTGGACGAGACGCTGGAAGGAGGCTGGCAAAATGCAGCGCAGGCGAAGGGGCGGTGCTCCAGGGGAAGATTAGGCGGCTCGGCGGTTAATGCTGTCTCATGGGCGGATAATAGAGATGGCTGTCGCTGTCAATCCTATGAATCACTCGGCTCGGCGGGTATGTGAATTCAAAAAATTGTGACTGATGACTGCGATATCTTTTGTTTCCACTTGATTCTTTTTTTAACCTTTCCCAAAAGGCGGGTGTTGCAACAGCTCATCGTTGTTGTGGCTGGCTGTTAATGATTATCACCAGCCACATCAGTATTGGGAGAGCTCGTGGCACTGTGCATATTGACACCGACCATTGACCGACCTTGCCGCACTTAGTGTGGGTGTCTGTCGAAGACGCGTGACAGGTGACACGTGAGCTGAAACGTCTTGTCCCGAACCACCCAGCACCTCTAATTCTCATTCACGCGATAGTCGTTGCCCGTAATCTCACCCCAACAACTTGAAACGAATGCTGCGTAACAACCTTTCGGCACGAATTAATGCAAGTAGGCGGCGCCAACGCCGTAAGCCATGACTCTGAATCGGGACCCTCAATGCACTACGAATCATTGAGGTTGAGACGGGCGCAATCTCATCACTGATCTCCATTTCTCGGACATTCGCTTTCACGATCTTTTCACGCGCTGCACGCCAAAGTCTGGACCACGTCCGTTATCCTTTCTTTTCGGCATGTCTATGGCGGTGGCCCGTCAAGTTGGCGTCAATTCTGAAACCCAGAACATATAGAAATGTTGACATCGGCTCTCTCGACAAAAGCACAGGCCGTTTCTTGCCTACAGCAGCGATGTTTTGTCCGTCCCGATTCCGCCCCGAGTTATTTCAGGAACCAATTCATGTTCAAGCATCTAGGGCCTGTGTCTTTCCGGAAATTCGGTAATTGCACGAAACGGTCGCATCCATTCATTTTGACTAGCTCGAGACTTCGGTGAAAACATGTTGTAGCCGACCTTAACGACTATAAAAAGCTCAGCGCTAGTCCCAATTCTCTTCAGCAACAAGGCGTCCAAAAATGCCTCGCCCGATCTCTGCCTCTGTATTTATTTCTCTACTTGCGGGTTTTTCTCGTGTCGCCGCCACCAGTGGCTGGCATTTTGTCCAGAATGGCACCACTGGTCTCCTCGCGCTCGAGGCTACCATCGTTTCCCCCACGCTCGCTCTCCTTTATGATTTGTCGGCCACCAGGACCCCACTTCTAATGGGTAACGAATCGGCCTGGGGCGCCTTGTACGACCTGACTACCAACGTCGTCACCCCAATCCAGGTCAATTCCGACACATTCTGCGCTTCTGGCGCCACCCTCAGCAACGGCAGCACGGTAGGGCAAAGCCTCACAGGTTTTCTTCAAGTGCTAATCATGCTTTACAGGTTAGTGTAGGCGGTAATTGGATCCCCACCCTATCACAAGGCGTCAATGGGTACCAAGGCCTTCGTATTTTTGAACCTTGCACTAGCCCAAGCGGTGTTGGATGCACTCTCTATGACGACCCCAGCACCCTCCATTTAACGGCTGCGCGTTGGTATCCGTCTGCAATCCGAATCTACGATGGCTCTCTCGTGGGTTGCTTTATTTAGACCATTTAGTATTGAACCTGACCCGCAATCCTGCCATTAGTTCATTGCCGGTGGCTCGCTCAACTTCTCGCTCTTTTACAACGAGTTCCCCGAGAACTCCTACGAATTCTTCCCGCCTAGGGATGGAGGGGTCGTACGCCCCTCTCCCTTCCTCGTTCGCGCCGGCAAGACGAATATGTTCCCTCGTATCTTCTCCCTTACCGATGGCACTATTTTCATGGTCGCTGGAAACCAGTCCATCATTTACAACGTCGACACCAAGAAGGAGACAAGGCTGCCGGACATCCCCAACGGGGTCAAAGTCAGCAATCCCTTCGATGGCTCCGCCCAACTTCTGCCTCTGTCCCCGCCGAACTACATTCCCGAAGTCCTCGTCTGCGGTGGCTCAGATACCGACGAACGGATTGCGCCTCCCGAACTATCCAGCCAGACGCCCGCCTCAGACCAATGTTCGCGCATTGAATTGTCGCCCGCTGGCATCAAGAGAGGCTGGATTGTCGAGCGCATGCCTGAGCGCCGCATTCTCCCCGAGATGCTCATCCTTCCCACCGGTCAGATCATCATTGTCAACGGCGCGCAGACTGGGTACTCCGCGTTCTCGAGTTTCCTTTCCTGGATCAAGGACCCGGTCGGCAACTCAAATGCCGACCATCCCAAGTGTGTTTTTTGTTTCGCTACACTGCAAAAAATTGACCTTTTGCCAGCTTTACTCCGACACTTTACGACCCTCTGGCGCCGGTTGGGAAACGGATGATCAAGAAGGGCCTCCCGACCACGAATATTGCGCGGATGTACCACTCCACCGCCACCGTGACCCCTTCTGGGCAAGTGTCCTGCTTCGGTCATGATACAGCAATATCTAATTGTGCCAACAGAAATATCCTGATCGCTGGTTCCAACCCACAGGTTGAGGTCAACACCACCGTTCCTTACCCCACGTAAGTCTCTGGTTCAGCATAATCGGTTTTGTTGACACCCAGCTAGTGAATTCCGCGTCGAGTACCTCAACCCCCCCTACATGTATCTCGAGCGACCTGTGCTGTCCCGGGTTCCCGCCAAGGTTGCCTTCGATGCGCACTTCACCCTTCAAGTCACCCTTCCCAAGAAGGCTGGCATCTTCCCCACCATCAAGGGTAAGCACCAGCCTCCCCTTCCAAAACTGCGATGCTGATTCGCGTGCTTTTCAGTCGCCCTGATGGACCTCGGGTTCTCCTCGCACGCGTTCCACTCGAGCAACAGGCTCGTCTACCTCGAGGCCACCCTCGACAGGGACCACAAGACGCTGCACATCACCAGCCCGCCCAACAACAGGGTGTACCCCCCTGGTCCGGGCTACCTCTACGTCGTCGTCGCGGACGAGTATGTCAGCGTCGGCGCGCAGATCATGATTGGCTCGGGCGCCTCCCCGCCAGTGCCCGACCAAGGTCGCAGGCTCTGATTTGTTGGTTGAGGTGTATTAAAAACTATCTAATTACTTAGCATGTAGTCATAATAGTCTGGGCTTATTTATATTTATTTGGTCGCACTCTCCCTTGAAAGAATGAATGAAAGAAATTTGAATCCAAAGTCAAGTGCCCGTAATACTTCAGGTTCTCTGAACGCCAGACAATGCAATTCAGACAGTCAGACTCTTGAAAACTGAGAATCACTCGCGTGTTCTCTCGCCGTCTGATGGGTCGAGAAGTCTGAAGGTAAGTTGAACGAGCTGAGTTTTTTTCGGACCTGCGAATCCGCTTCAATGCAACTCTAATTCTCGGACAACATCAAGACCACAACGCATTAGTAAGCACCTAGCATCGATGTCTACCCGCCAAGTAGGTGCAGACAACAGCACCCGTTCCAGATTCTCAAAGAAGAGTGACAGTAATCAAAGGAAAGTGTATGTAATTCGGCCCGTTCGCAATCACTGCATTTCTACATTAGCCATCCAGAAGCGCCTGCGCAGCCTTCCTAGCATTTGCACGGACACTCTCTAACTGCAGCTCCAGCCCACGGATTTTCTCCCGCGCCTCGCGCAACTCAGATGTCAACCGCGCATTCTCCTCCACAAGAGCGCTGTCCGTGCTGCTACTCTTGGCTGGAGTTGGCGCAGAGTATGACTACATAGAAGCGGGGGGTTAGATCCAGAAGAGAATATATAGCAGTTAACTCACATCGACGCTCGGTTGACGACTATATACAGGTTCGGCACGAGGAATCGCTTGTGGCGGAGGAGGGGTTGGTTGGGCAATAGGTGGAGGTGGTTGTGCTTGAACGGGGGCGGGAGCTGGTGTTGGAGCTGGTGCGGTTGCCGTCCTTGTAGGGACTGGTGTCGCACTTGCTGAACTAGCAAAGCTGACACCATCCGCCAGGTTGACCAATCGCAACGGAGCAGTCTTTCCCGCAAAGAACTCGGATGCCGAAAGACTAGCTTCAGAGCTGGGTGCGGGTGGATAGATGTCGGATTGGAATGAATCAGCCTTGCGAGGAACGATAAATGCAATGGGCTCGATAGTCGACCCCATGACTTTGTAAGCACGGGCAATTTCGCATTCGGAAACGTTCAGCGCTCGACGGGGAAGGAAGCACATTCCACGTTGAGGATCGGAGGATTTGTGTTCAGAAAGGGCGTAGAGTGCGTCAGATTCGTATTCGTAGTAGCGGATGTTCCCATCGCTAACACATTTTTAGCACACTTAGTTGCGGAAAGAGAAAAGAAATTCGTACCCTTTTCCGGCGAGGAACAAGATGTTGTTGTCCGACCAGAAAGGCATGATAACACCCGCAGACTGGTCAATGACAAGTGTTTTGAGGTTGCTTAATCCCCCAGTCTCCCAAACGGCCACTTGTCGATCACTCATTTTGCTGAAGCCAGTCGTTGCAATTCGGTCGTTCTCTCCCATCCACACAACGCGAGACCCTTTGATACCGCCATGCCCGTCAGTAATGCGTACCGCTTCGCCACCAGCACGAGGGTCGAAAATCCGCAGTTTACGGTCGCGACACGTAGTCGCAAGAAGAGTGCCAGTCGGGTTGAAAGAAAGGCTTTGTATCGCGTCTCCGTGGCCCGTAAGAGTAGTTCGAGGGTCTTCAGGGGAAGCGAGGTCCCAAAGCTTGACAACATGCTCGCCTGACGCGCTAGCAACCACATTCGAGGCGGTAGGGTGGAAAAGAACTTGTCCGATCTTCCGTGGCGACCCGTCAATGCGAAGAACAGGGTCGAAGTCAACGGGGCTCCAGCCCTCAGCGCCCCACCCATCGAATGCAGAGCTCTCCACCTTCCAAATCATGACCTTGCCATCTTCACCGCCTGACGCGACAATGCTGTCGTTATGGGGGGACCAGTCCGTGTCGAGAACGGGGGCGGTATGACTGCGGGCAAGAGGGAGGTTGTCAGGTAGTTTTGTGGACAACGTGGTCGCATTGAAGGGGGAGGGTAAGGGGACGATGGCGAAGGCACCACCACCAGATGCATTCCAGTTGATACTAAGGTATTCCTTCATTTCCTTCAACATTTACAGCAAAGATCTGAGCAGCGATACGCACCCCAGAGGCAGCAACGACATTCGTGTCCCAGGCGCTGCCCGTCACTTTGACATTCTCGACGCTGTACTCCTTCTTTCCAGTCTGGCCAAAGACATGACTAGGTTGGTGAGAAATCGCATCTAAGATAAGAAACACCATCCCTCACCGATATTTCGAGGCCCGGACGAACCGCGACATGGGAGGAGACGACCAGAGTGTGTGGCGGTGCTACCAGACTGATGGCCAAAATCAGATGTTGCCTGCCCTACACTGACTTTGAAGCTGATTCATAGTGGAGATAGAGCCTTTGTGAGATGGTGAGCTATCTATAGCTAACCCAGATCTATGGCTGAAACTTCAGAGAACAGACCTCATCACTTGCCTCTAACGGTCATGCTGACGTTTGGTTCGGACCTGCTGCAACTGCTCAGGCCACTGGTTCTCCTGTCGTGTGCCCGATATGCTCTATCTTTCCTCGCAGAAAACTCCCAGACCGTATTATCTTTCCCATTCACCCACGCACCGGCTTCCCTCCCTCACGACAACCCAACTCACTCATTCTGGACACACACTCCAGGAGCCAATCTTCTCGCCTCTGAAGGGAGTACCGGTACTCTAACAGACGAAGCTGACGTCTGTATAATCGGCTCTGGGATAACTGGCGTGTCTGCAGCCTACCATCTCGCAAATGCTGTCTCCAACCCCGCATTCCCGCTACCTGCAGGCAAGAGCCAGTTACGCGCCGTTCTCCTCGAGGCACGCGATTTCTGTCAGTCACTATTCTTATACTCGCGATACCGCTCAGCTCAACTCCCAGCTAGGCTCCGGTGCAACAGGTGTGTACTTTTCAACTGCATTTACATCGTTTGAAACGACTATCCAGGTCGCAATGGAGGAAACTTGACACCATACGAGTTCCAACACTTCAGAGAAGTCAGGCGGCGCTTTGGAGATGAAGATTCTCTCAAACACTACGCTATCGAACATTATTCTTCCACTGAAATGGTCCGGATCGCTCGCGAAGCAGGTTGGGCAGACGAGGCTGATATTTTCGAAGGCGGACATATTGATGCAATACTCACTGAGGAATTACTGGCGGAGGTACACGCGGATGTTGACTCGGCGAAAGCTGCAGGAAAGAATGTCAATATAACGTGGGTTGACCGAGAGGAAATGAACTCGGTGAGTAGCGACCTTCGTAACCTTTTTATCCAGCTATGTATCTAACCAAATCCTGGTGACCCACAGACTTACGGAACATATAATTGGGGCATTCGTTCACCAGGATACAATCTCTGGCCATTGAAATTCGTGAACAAATTGTTCCTTGAAGCGAATTCAACGACTCGGTCGCTAGATCTTCGGCTCCATACCCACACCCCGGTTAATCAAGTCGTACCTCTTGACTCAGAATTCCATCCCTGGGCTCTAGTCACCCCTCGCGGGCCTATTAACTGCTCCCGTGTACTGCATGCAACAAACGGTTACGCTTCGCACCTCCTTCCCCAACTCGCCAGCTCAGCAGGCATCCTCCCTGTCCGTGGTCAAGTCATTGCAACTCGTGCATCCGTCGCACTCTCCACCATCACTAAAATTTCCTGGGCAGGCAACTCGGGATATTGGTTTCCTCGCCCTGCACCAGCCAACACTACTGGACCAGAAAATCCGCTTATAATTCTTGGTGGCAGACGGGAGGATGCAAAACCTCCTTACGAGGTTGGGACCACAGATGACAGCACCCTCGATGCAACCATCAGTAAATCTTTGCGCGCTTTTTTACCCACACTCTTCCCCCGATTCTACGACCCCGACACGCAGCCAGAGATGGAGTGGACCGGAATTATGGGTTACACTCCGCTGGACGTTCCGTTGGTGATCGGAGCCTAGCTTCTCTGCAAGAAATATAGCTGATTAAAAGCGACAGGTCGGCCGTGTCCCAAGCCGAAAACATCGAGCCCAATACATGTCGGCAGGGTATGCCGGGCACGGCATGCCTCGTGCATATGGCTGTGCAGAGGCGGTTATCGGGATGATGCTGGCTGATATGAGAGAGATAGTGTGGATAGCACCTAAATGGTTTCCGAAGTCTTTTTTGACGCGGACAGGGGGTGTGTTGACATGAAGATTGCCGGAAGTATTGAGATGGTGTTGACTAGAAAGACGGTGGTAGTTTAATTTTGTAATGAGAGGCAATTGAGGACAAGAAATGAGTAGTCAGTTTTATGAAGCAGAAGTGGTCATTTTCTCATAGATTTCGATGAAAGAATTGGATTTCAGGGCATACGCATGGTACAAGAGCAGTAGTGCACTATTGCTGCTCAAATAAATAAAATAAATAAGCATCATGGTGTTATGGTTGTGCGATTCACTGATCAAATCGTCAGTCTTGGAAGTTGCTAGGAGAAGTGAAACATACCACAAGAGCACTCCAATCGGCGTCTGCCCAACGAGGGTCTACGACTGGCTCGGGCTCAACTTCAGGTTCATCCACGGGCATCGATTGGTGGAGATGTGAACTGTCGGGGACAACAAATCTGAGTGGAAGACGTTCTCCCTCCTCCTCCAAGCTCCAATCGTATTCGTCCTCTACGACCGCCATCACAGGCTCCAGCGTAAAGCCTGGCTGTGAAAATTCTGGCACGATCCTAATGGGTCTCTGGCGACGAGGAATGTTTTTAGAGGAGCGGGAGCGGCGCTGAAGAGCGCTTTTCGTTCGCACAACGATGGAGGCAATGGTGGCTTTTAATGATGATAGTTTTGGAGAGGACGGAACTTCGTCGTCTTCATCGCTGTCCGAAGACGATTGTGTGGATTCCGAGTCTTCTGACGAGGCTAGCGAACAATGAGAAAGAGAGTTGAGTATGGTAGAGAATTGACGCACAATCTGTTTCTTGACTGGCGGACTCGTCGCCGTCAGCTACAGACGGCGCACTCTCTTCGATGGAAGAGCTCTCGCTGTCCAGCGTTGGTGGGAGGTCTGGCTCAAAGCCAGTCGGAAGCGCCTTTAAAGCTGGTTTCCGCGGGGGCCCGACGAAGCGACTGAATTCTGGGACTGACGCAGAGCGCGGCCGGCCGATGACCTTTGGAAGCTCGAGTTTACAGCCGAGGAAGGACTCAACCGTCGACAGCGAAGAGCTGCGAGCCCGGGTAGCAGGGGCAGGACGGTAGGGGGTTGGTAGGGATGAATCCAGGCATTTTAAGTTTGAGTGTGTGAGTGTGAGTGATGATTGTGGTTGTGGTTCGAGTTAGAAAGACGATAAGACGGCGCATGGTTTATATACTCCCAGTCGAGGATTCCCCCCTGTCTCCGCATCGCTTTTTTACTTCCGCGTCTTGGTATGACATCATATCGTCTCAGTCGCTCCTGACACCGCAATGCGGTACCGGATCCAAACTTGAGAGCCCAGCGCCTGGAAAATCAACTTGAAGGATTGAAAGTTGATCGAAAGTCATTTGAATGAAGTCTTCTTCAAGTGAGGTAATGCTGCTTGAGAGGCGATGGTATTTGCTGCAAAAGGTGGTGTTAGGGAACTTAGGATAGTGTCAATTACACTCAAGGCTGCCACTGGTAGTGCTGAGACTTGAAGCTTGAGGAGTTGACTCGGAAGCTATAAAACCCTCCGCATGACGATTTCTCAGGAGGCCCAGCTTGAGTCTCAGTCATATAAGAGGCTCCTAGTGTGTCAAGTTCAACAGATCTAGAGCCTGCACGACAACTGGTAGCTCAATGGAGAGGTGTTGAGCGTTGCAATTGTCCATGTGATCTGAGTCATGTGTCAGCAGTGACATCAGTGGTCCAGAATTCGAAAAAATTTACTTACTCGCTTTTTTAGTTACTACATAGTACGAATAGTGTCAATGAAGGCGCCCGATATAAGGCCTGTCACCTGTTGAAAATTCATAAGAGAGGAGAAATCATATTAGCAAGGCGGTTATATCTATATCTTACTCTTAAGTACCAAAATGCTTATCAGTTGTTCACGACAAGAAAAAGCCCTTCGCAGGCTTGTTGAGTTTTCAAGGAGCCTAAGTCTCCTCCAAGCCCTACAAAGGAGTGACCATAGCCCGAACTACAGGTATCTGCTTGACATATTTGAAGTCGGCCGGGACCATGCTCGGCTGTCCGTTTCCCGTGTTATATACGCCAAACGCCGTTCCTTGGAAGAAGAAAGCACTGCGGCTCGTCAGGTTCCAATGAACGAGCGGCAATTGACAAGACTTACCCTACAGGCGGCACCGATACTGCATCGGAATCGAATGTGAGAACAGTAGTGAATCCCGAGTCGCCTTCCTCCGCATACGCAAACTGATAAGATGTGGAATTGGCTGTGATTTTGAGGCGAACGGGACCGTTGCTCGTTCGCAGTGGGTGGAATTCGGCCTTTGGATAATTCATCAGCTGGAATGTTTTCAAGTAAGAGTATATAAGAAGATGCACCGTCGTTATCGTTGCATTCGTATAAACGAGTCCAAACTCGCCGACCTGTTTTCCGAGTACCGTCTTTCGCACTACCAATCCCCGAGCTCCTCCCGTCCCAACAGTACCGTTCGGCAGAACACCCACCCCGCCACCAACAATGCCAATGTCATTGTGCAACTGGTCACTGTAGAACACGGTAACGCCTGCCTCGGCACCTAATCCAAAACCATTGCCCACACCATTCGGCTCGCCGGGTCCGTCATCGCCCGCTGCGTTGGTGACCGGAGGCACGAAATCGAGCTCTACTTCAAAAGTTTCCGAATACGCGGTTTGTTTACGGAGGAGCATCGCTGGGTTGTCGCGGTCGCCTGGAGCGTAGGCGTTCGCATTCAGGCGCAAATAATGGCGGGCGGTGAACGAATGGAAAGGTTTGTACGGCGTTCTGAGCGAGTAGTATCCGTCAAGCCATAGCGATTGTGTATTCAAGGGCCTGCGGGTGAAGTCGCTGGAATACGGTTTGAGGGGCGATTTGTCGATAAGAACATGGGGAAGATGCTCCATAAGGGGTTCCCCGTTATTGAATATTGGCCATCCTTCTTCAGACCAAGTTACTGGGTATAAAAATGTCTCTCGACCAAGTTGCATATGGGTGAAATCCGCTGGAGCCTGCGGACGTGTGCCGAGAGCAACGCCCCACCATTTCCCATCAGGTCCTTCCACAATGTCCGCGTGGCCAGTATATTGGACGGGCAGGGATAAATTGGCGCCATTAAAGAGGATCGGGTTTGCTGGATTGCTCTCCCAAGGGCCGCTAGGTGAAGGACCCCGTTGGATTGTCACTTGGTGTGTGGGCGACGAGCCACCCTCTGCGATAAGGAGATAGTAGGTTCCGTTGATGAGATATAAATGAGGCCCTTCTGGTCGAGCAGCCGAATTGTCAGGCAGAACTCCTCGAAAGATGATTTTTGCGGGAGTCAATGTGTTTCCCGTTGCGATGTCGATTTTTGATTGGTAAATGCTGTATATTTTCTCGACAGGGTTGTTGATTCCTGACCATGTCACGTAGACTTCGCCGTTGGTGTCCCAGAAGAGGTCAGTGTCGTAGCCAAGGTTGTCTCACAAAGAGTCAGAAAAAGAAAGCGGGTTATATCAGGATAACATACCAAAATAGGTTGGGTCGCTCCAGTCGTTGGCAAATATGTCTTTGGTGGTGACGAAGAAGGAGCGCGGAAACAACCGATACTCGTTCGTGTAAGCGTATCTTGCTGTCGAAGCTAGATAGAAAGTTTTGGTTTTGGCGTGATAGCGGATTGTAGGAGCCCACAATCCGCCGTCCTCGGGCGTGGTGAAAAGGCTGAGCTGTGACTGGCGGTTGAGGGCATGTCCAATAAGCTCCCAGTTGACCAAGTCTGCATTGGAACTCAGCCCAAGTAGATTGTTTTGTAAGGATTACTCACCAGTGCTATGATATATGGGATGCCCAGGAAAGTACTCAAACGTTGAGGTCGTGATGAAATAGTCCTTTCCGACCCGAGTTATGCTCGGGTCGGGGTTCCATCCAGGCAGAATGGGGTTTATGAGACCATAAACATTTGGGCCTGGCAAAGCTTCAGTTGTAGAGGTGGAGAAAAAAAGCTATATTTACTGCATAAGGCGATTGACAAGCTGAGGAGCCTCAGCCTCATGGCCGACAGTTCTGTGTCGCAAAGGGGGGAGCTTGTATATATGCGCAAACGCTGAGGAAGATGATCATGACGGCGAGTAGACAAGTTGGGAGGCCACGTGTCCAGCGAGACGGGCCGGCCGGCTCACTCGGACCAGCATTCAAAACCCTTCGGCAATGCGATGGTTGCAGTATATATTTACAGTGCGCGATGTTGAATCGTCCGCCAGGGGTTTACGCTTTTCCACCATCTAATCCTCTGAAGTACTGTGGTTTGATGAACGGCATGGGTGTAATGGTCGCCTTTCGGACCTTCCCTCGGACCTCAACACCAAGCTCTGTTCCCTTCTTGTGCCACCCATTGCGCACATAGCCCATTGCAATATTCGCACCCAGCGTCGGAGAAGGGATACCAGAAGTCACACTACCCAATGACTCGTTTGTGGATGGGTCGACAATCTTAGCGCCATCTGCAAAATTTGTCAGACTATCTATATGGAAAATGGAATCATAAACGCACGTCGGGCGGGAGCACCTTCAACTATCATACCAACGCGTCTTCTTGGCGGACCTTCTTTCAAGTGTTTTCTGACGCCCTCTGCCCCTATGAAATTGCCATTCTCCTTCCGCTCCTTCCCAATGACCCACGTGAGCCCAGCCTCAACTGGTGTTGTGTCTTCATCAAGGTCGCTTCCATACAAGCACATTCCAGCTTCCAGCCGGAGACTATCTCTTGCCCCAAGACCGGTCAACTGGACAGGCGCTTTCGCGAGCAATTCAGCAACTTCGATGGTCTCTGAAGGTGGTATGGAGATCTCAAAACCGTCTTCTCCAGTATACCCGCCCCTCGCAACATGTAAATTGAAGCCTTCGATAGGAACGAATGCGGATTTGCCGAATGTGAGTTGTGTTAGGTCATAGGACGTGAGGGATTGGAGGTAAGATGCGGCTTTGGGGCCTTGCAAGGCCAGCAGGCCCCAGTCCTCCAAAACTTCCAGCTCAACGGGCCCCTTGGATCCCTGCTCGCCAGCGTTCCACTCCTCCAGCCGCAGCTTGAACCACTCCAAGTCCCGTTCACGTCTGCCGGCATTGGTCACCACATAAAACGAGTCTTCAGCGTGTTTTGTGATGACGGTGTCGTCGATGATGCCGCCGCGTTCATTGAGGATCACAGACAATGTCGACGAGTATGGTTTGAGGGAGGACAGAGATGAGGGCGTTATCCATTCCAGGAACGCAGTTGCAGTTTTGCCACGGAAACTGCAAGACAGTAGGTAGATTTCTCGGGCCGACAAGCCATTGCTTACATCGACTGGACCATGTGGCCGACATCGAACAAGCCTGCCTCCGTCCTGACGTGGTTGTGGCTCGCGACTGCATGGAACAGATGAGGTCTACCGCGCCAGACGAGAATAAGGTGAACATACCTTGCCCAACTTCACCATAAGCCAAGGGCATCGAGTACCCCGCAAATGGAACCATCTTCGCGTCATTACCAAGGTGATAGAAGTAGAGTCCCGTGCGCTTGAGCTGTACTGAGAGTTGAGTGAAAACTTCCTACTCAAAAACAAGATGAAGGACGAACATCCGCCGAAGTCCCGGAGGCGAATCCACGGCGCAGGGGAGTTGGAAACCTCACTCTGCACGCAAATGGAGCGCGTTTGAGTAGTGCCGACCTCAGCAGGACCGACATGGTTCTTTCTTGGAAGAGCCGGTGCTGTCACAAGATGTTACACACAAGGTCTTCCAACAAACCGTCATGAACATTGCGCACCCAGGTTAACACGGTTCCTTGCTTAGCTCCCACCACCGCCGAGTCCGGAATACATTGCGGATATCCGATAATCCTCAGCGTGACGATTGAAGTCGGATTGGCCTGCTTACCAACAGTCTTCTCACTACTTAAGCCAGTAGTAACCCGAGTACATCTTCAGCCATGACCTCCCCAATCGTCCCACCCTTCACGCCAGAATCTGCTCGTCTCAAGGTCAAAGTCGCACAAAATCTATGGAACACCCGCGATCCGGCAAGAGTTGCAATGGCCTATACTCCAGATACTGTTTGGCGCAATCGCACGACATTCTTGCAAGGCAGAGAGGAGGTCGAGCGCTTCCTGGCCGAGAAATGGGCGAAGGAGCATTTCTATGTGTGCGTGATCTCGCTCTTTGGAGGCTGATTGCTGAAAGCATGCAGCCTTCGCAAGGAGTTGTTTGCATTCTCCGATAACAAGATCGCCGTGCAGTTCTTCTACGAGTGGAATGCCTCTCCGGATGGCACTGGCCAATGGTATAGAACATACGGACTCGAGGAAAGCCTCGACTCTCTTCTTCCTCTCTGGCAAACACTCAAACTCCCCCCGCAGGACTGGACATTCGATCCTTCGGGTTTGATGCGTAAAAGACAAATGTCGGGGAACGATCTCCCTATATCTGCGGAGGAGCGCTGGTTTATGGAGGGTGTGGATATTGAGACAGTGGATATCAGCGAGAAGCACTTGTAGCCATGCTTATAGTGCGTTGTATTTGAAGCTTTCTCTTTCTTTGACTAATTTTACAACAGACACGAATGTAGCCAACTCAAACATAAGATACTGTAACGCTCGACGACGAAACGCTGGAGCTCGTCAGCACCTTGTTGTTCTGCTTGATGTCGATGAGGACGGCGCCGGATGGTCCGACGGTGCCGCCAGACTGGAGAGTTGCGACTGCGTTTGTGAAAGTGACTTTGTTGAAGTTTGCGAAGGGGACGAGCGAGCTGCCCTCCTCAAAGTCCTCCACAATCCACTCAGCGTTCTTGAAGCAGAGCTTCGCCGAGGAAGTCAGGGATTTGGACACGGTCTGCGGCGAGTGAGCCGGAGTCGGAATAGCCGAAATAATCGAGACAGACCTTTCCTGTAGAGACGTTGGTGATGGAAGCGGTTCCAGCGGTAGCACTGCTGGCGGTGACCGTGACTTTAATGGTGTCGCCGGCGGAGATGGGGATTCCGCTGAAGTCATATGCGTAGTCGGGATAGTACTCATACCAGGCTGTGAAATCAAGGTGAGCATGACTGATTCCCGCCTACAAATATCCAACTTACCATCGTAGGAAACCCGGCCGTTAGTAACCGTGAAATCTATGCCCGTCTGAAGAATGGCGGTGCCGCAAGTATCACCGTCGATCCCGACCCAGGCAGATGCAGCATATGTTCCAGAACCCCCACTGGGAGCGGACGGGGTCGGGACAACAAAGGTACCTAATGAAGTCGATGAATTGTGGGAGCTCATGTTGTGCAGGGCAGACAAACCGGTGACCGACTTGTAGGTGTTCGCGGCCGACTCGTACGAAGCACCCGCCCAGTTGGAGCTGTACGCCTCATTGGTGATGTTCTTCGCGAGGTTGTTAGGGCCAATCGCCGCCCGACGAGGCGTTCCCTGACGGCTTGCGACACGAGCGGCAAGGTTCTCGTTACCGCGCGGAGCAGCGAAAGCAGGGAGCGCGAGGAGCGCAGCGCTGAGGAGGCCAGTGAACACCATTTCGGACCGGGCAAGAGGGTCAGTCGAACCTTGCCTTCCAGCCATAGCTAATCCAGTTTTATAGGCCACAAGCTGGCACGCAACCTTGGATGGAATCGGCATTCCATGCTTGACCTGGTGCTTCTATCTATGAGGATCGCATGTAGATATGGGGCTACAACCACCTGCTGGCAACAAACATTTGTTCGGCATTCCAGCGCTCCAATGATACAGTTATGGCGCGATTAGTATTCCAGGTCGCCTACCTGTCTCCTTGAAGTCGCATACCTCACCACAAAATAAACCGCGACATTCAAGTTATAATCGGCATTGACAATCCGTCAACATCGACCAGCGAATTGCCCGTAGAGAGGCACAGTGTACGGGTCGAGGATCTATAAATGGCAAATCCGGAGATGCTCCGTTCAGAAGCAGTCTAAAATTAACCCGTCGAAATCAGCGTGATTGAGCTCGTGAGCTCTAAAGAAGACAAATTTCTGACATGTCGTCGCATGGGACACATTGACATCTTGCGAAACGAGTCCGACCATTCGCACTTCTCCTGAGGCCGGAATATTTGCGGTTGCTAAAGAAGTACATGATGTACTATTAGTAACATGCTGGACTCGGAGTAAGTAGTTTCTCTACTCAATAGCTATTGTACTGAACTCATATCAGATCAAATGCACCTTCAGAGCAGGCCAGTACATATCGACGCTATCGAATAGTGGCAGCTCGGTCCCGAGTTTTGAAGTCGTGTCCAAACCGCAAGAGTTATCTTACTATACTGGTTATCTTATCAAGCTCAACTGATTCCAGATTGACGACTGAATGTATGGATGATCAAGTGCGAGATGTGAACTTGAAGTTGCGAGCTATGTAAAACAAGAACAGTAGTGCACTAATGCTGCCTAATTACTCCATGGCATATTTCGGCTTTTCACTGTTTAAGGTCATTAGCAGGAGTCCGTTCGACGACCAAAAAGCACACAAATGATTGTTTACGCCAAACTAGCTGATGTGTTGGGCTCCTCCAGGTGATCAGGGGACTGGAGAACTGGGTTCTCATCTGGCAGGATGAAGCGAACGATGCCACGTTGGTCGTTGTCCGAATCATATTCTTCTTCCACACATGCAATCGCCGGCAGCAGAGAGTATCCTGGTTGCGAGAAATCCGGGACAAGCCGTCTCGGGCAATTCGGATATGGGTGGGCGTGGTCGCGGGTAAGAGCGGGCCGCGACCGGCGGCGGATCCGGAGCTTAGTTCGGACGAGCATGACGATTATGGAACTTTTGAAAGACGTGATCCGAGTAGCTGAATTGAATTGGTAAAGATGAGACAGAATGGGAGATGTTTGCTAACAGATCGTTGTTGGATCGTCCTGTGGTTCTGGGCCAGTAGCCGCATCAGAGTCCTCCGGCAAAGTTGAAGACAAAGCTAGAATGCATTGAGGATTGCTATGAACAAAAGGATGAAAGAGATGCTCACAAAGATTCAATTCATGAGCGCCAGAACTAGATTGTAGCACCGGAGAAGCAGATACTTGGTCGTCGAAGACTGGTGGAACATCGAGCCAGGTCGTGACGGGCAGATGTGGCTCGAAGCCAGTCGGTAACGATTTGAGCGACGATTTGCGAGGGGCGGCAAATGATCGTCGATAGGTGGGGGCCGCCACAGGCTCTGGTGCCACTTGATCTCTGTGCAAGAGCGCATCAAGAACAACAGAAAGCGAAGAGCTGCGAGCCCGAGCGGGAGCTGGCCGAGTTGAAGGGAGATTGTTTGTTGTCGTCATGTTGGATTGTATGAGTTAAATTCTGATGTAGTGGTTGCGTTGGGAGAGCAGGTTTTACCGCTTGTCACAAAGTTACTTTCAGAGTCACGAGTACTAGTACTATGGTTCAGAACGGAACAGGAGTAGGTTTCACTTTCGATCAAGAAAACCTGGCGCCAAATCTCAGTGGTACTTCCAAGTATTGTCGGATTAACGGAGGAAAAACTTCGAATTGCGGTGTGGCTCATGTAGACAGACTGAGATGTTTATGAATGAACTTGAAAGGCCTCGAGCGACGAGTAATATGAGCGAGTATGTAAGAAGAACTTGAATGCATTGACGAGTTGTTGTTTGCCAACACTCGAGCGTAGCTTGAAGGGTTGGGTCAAGGAACTATGTTTGGGACCTTTGAAATGGTTGCAAGCGTAGATTTGCCGTCATACTTGGTTGCAAGAGAACAATCCCCGACTCTCTCTGAAAGAGAGAAGAGGGTTTTGTCTTGATTAAGTAATTGCCCCGCCAAACTCGTTTCCATGCGATCGGTGAGCTTTCCCACAAGTATGATTGCAAGTCAAATTTGCGTCCGAGGTTGCGATCAATTCAGATGATGCAGTGACTACGACATTTATTTTACTTGTGTTTGGGGTTTTGTGGTTTGTCATCGAATTGTCATCTGAGACAACTTGGGGCATCAGAGTCGGGGACTGGCGCTTTGCCGCCACTACCGATTCTCTACTGGAGTGTTACTAATAAAAGTGTGACACGACCCGTAACACTCCTGTAGCCAACCCGTGCACTCTGCCGGCTTTCCAAATCATCATCTTCCATCCCAATATGCAGTCAGGGTCAACAACGTGTATTCGCCCGCTTCCTGCACGTTCTATCCGTTTTGGGCACGCGTAATACCAAATTCTCAACTCCGCTCCACAAAATCAAAAAGTCACGCCAGGTTGATATCCCTCCCTTCGACCCACCAACACGAAACGCACCCACCCGCTCCATTATGACGCGTAAAAAAGCCGCCACCATCGAAGCCCTCGTTGGGAAAGTTGATGGCTCTCCAGAGGGCTGGGTGCGAATCCTCAGTATTCTCTGTAGGCACTTTGGTTTGCCAAGTGGTGAGTGGCCAATTCGTGCCGATAGAATCAGGCTGAAACTGTACTCCAGACCTCTCGACGCGAAGCGCGTTGAAGAGGATACACGGGAAGCTGGACGAGATCTACCCCCGCATGGCGCAAGAGTTTGAGCGGACCCCTGACGTGCGAATCAAGGGCGGAATCGTCGACATTTATGCCAAGATGTGTATGGATGTGATTTTGCGCAACAGACTTTTTGGATTCGGTGAGTCGGTCATGTAGCCAATAATGATGCGGAATTGAATCTATCATAAGGCTTTCTTGGACAACTACTCTCCCTCTCCGCTATCCCTTCCTGCCGCAATCTGGCGCTGGATTCCCTGGTCACTATAACGCATCATGGAGGGCCCGAAGTCCGGACGGAGATTGCGAGGGCAACTTGTGTCCCACTCCTAACGCTGATGAAAGATTTTCCGGAAGACCGCGATACCACGGACCTTGCCTTACGAGCCTTGAGCCATTCGATCATCGGGGTCGTTTCCAATGACGCCAAACAAACAGAGCCGGCTTTAGCACGCTCCCTCCCCTTACAAGATGTTGCACAGGCCTTCATCGATGCCCTCCATCAGCCCAACCCCACACCAACGCTGATAACACACGCTACAACCTGTCTCGTCGAGATGAGCCAAGATGTCAAGGTTTCTCCGTCCATGAGCAACCTTTTCTTAGCCGGGTTGCGCTACAATGACTGGTATCATCGCTCGCGATGTCTTTCTGGCTTGCTCATAACGAGTATCCCTCAAGCTGAACACGACAAGCGGTTAATGGATCCTACCAGTGCCGTGAAATGTCTCATGAATATAGCAGAGGCCCCAACACACGTCCGGGAGACAATGCAAACGTGGGGCATGAACCGCAGCTTCATGTACAAAATGGCCTTTTCCAATCGAGAATTCGCTGCCACCATGGTCGCAGCATATGCTTCTGGCGGAAGCATGTATGTTGCTGGAAAGAAAATCGCCAAACTCATTCTCGGGTATGCGTTTTTTTTTAGTTCAGCTCATATATCTTACCAGTTCTAGAGTAGAAATGCCATTTTTTGACGGATTTTTCCCGATTAAGGATCCCGCCAGCGAGAAGGTGTATTTTCCTGGTGGTGGAACCTCGGCGTCCGGATTCCAGATGTGGTCGGACACCCTCCCGCTCTGCTCTAAAGCGATCCGAGAAAACGGTGTCGCTAACGAGTATTCCCTTGCAGACATTCTCGATCTCAAGTTCCTTCTCCTGCGCAAACGATTCCCTGAGGCCATCGCGCTTGCCACTCAGACCACCGAACGTAATCCCGACTTTGCGTATGGCCATTATGTTCTCGCCGTCAGCCAGCATGACCAGCATGGCTTACGGGCTGCTAAGAAGGGCCTCAAGTGCACAAAAGGCTCGATGAACTTGACGCGCTTCATGCGGTTGCAAATGCTCCAACATAGCGGGCAATTAGCTTGCGATATCGGCTTACGGGCGTTGGAGAATCCTGGGCGAGATGGGAACCCGTCGTCTCGCGTTGGCGGCGCCTTCTTGACTACGGCGAAGAAGGAGCTGCAAACTTTCTTTGCAGAGGCGTCGCCCGACCACCGCGATTTTCGCAGTGTGTGTTCTTGGCTGATCGTCCTCCATGTCATGTCAGGCGAGGAAATCAGCGACGATCTGCACGAAATAAAGGTGGGTTTGCTAAATTATCCCTCAGGTATACCTAGAAGCTGATATTGTTCTTCCAGCCATATGTGGACCGCCTCAACTTTGCCCTCGACTTCAACAAATGGCTCGGCATCTACTCGCCGCGGACTCAAATCCGCCTCGTCGCCGAAAGTATTTTACAGCATTTTCCCGCCGCGCGCAAGCAGTGGGGCGAGGTTGTCAGCTCATACGACGAGAAGGAGCCACCCGTGACGGATGAGTCTATGGAGCGTGATATCGCTGCGTGGATGGAAGGGCTTGACGGTGAAGACGAAGCGGATTGTTGTGGGCACGGACATGGACATCTCCACGACCATGATGGCCATGCTCATGCTCATTCTCACTCACACACGGAAGAAGTCGCGCTTCCGGAACCGAAGAAGGACCTGTATCGGTGCTCCTTCTGTCACAACCCCTCCGCAGTCCTCCGGAAATGCGCTGGTTGTTCTGAAGCACGGTAGGCATGTTCTCTAATCGACAAGTCCCAATTGAATTTTGCTCTAGATATTGTGACGCTTCATGTCAGAAACAACACTGGAGCATTCACAAGAGGAAGTGCAAGTCGAGCAAGAAGTAAACTAAAACTACACAACCAAGTCCAATTACAACGTCCATAAATACGACATACATTATCATCAATGCTAAGCAATCCAAGTTAGCTACTGGAGGAGTAGCACGAGTATCAGAAAAACGAAGACACCCTGCTTTTTTATATTTTCCCAGCACACTTTTTCTTGTGTTCTTTCCAATCGCGCTTCTGACATCCCGCATCGCAATACCTAAGTCAAGTCAGTGACTATAAACCCCATTATTGAGACCGTCCTACCTCGCCTCGGAACACCCACCACATTTGCGCAACATCGCGGACGGGTTCCTGCAGTAAGAGCAGCGATATAAGGTCGTTTTCGCAATCTTCACCGGCGATGGAGACCCAGTGCCATGACCATGATCATGATCATGCCCACATCCATGGCCATGGCCATGGCCCTCAACCTCGGAATCCGCCAACCAAGCTGACAACTCTGTCTCGAGCCGCTCCGTAGTTGGATTCTGGGAGGCCGCCTGCTCGCCCTCGTCTGTATGCTCAACAGCACCAAGTTTTGCTGCCCATTCATTCTGAGCCGCACTAAAACGCTTCACAATAGTTTCCGTCGTGAGTCGGATTTGAGTTTGAGGTGGGCGAACGCCAAGCCAGGTGCTCATTTGCTGTGCTTGCTTTAGCTTTTCGAGGAATGGCTAAACAACGACCCAATTAGAATTTGTCTCGTGGGCAATTGAAACGGTGCCTTGACTTCTCGCAGATCATCGCTAATAGGCTCCTCCGAGATCAGAGTGAGCAAAACGACCCAACACGCCACGGTCTTGACATCCTTGTGGTCGGGCGGCGCCTCGTCTAAGAACACCTTCCCGTCCTCGAGGGCACTCGCCACGAACGCAACACCAAGTGCCCATGTATCGTCGATTTCCCTGGTGGGATCCTGCAATGTTTGGAGTGCCAAATCACCCGCAAGCCCGACTGCCCGCTGGAGCATTTGGAAACGCAGAAAGGGCCCAAGATTGAGGGGTCCAGCGGCGCATTTTAGACCTTTCTTTGCCGCACGGAGCCCCGTATAATCGTCTTCTCCAAGGGTCAGGATGTAGTATCCATACGCGAAATCTGGGTTTCGCTTTAAGGCTGCTTCGGCCATTCTCATCGCCGCGCCATGTTGTTGGTGGATAAGAAGGTATTTGAGGTCAAGGATATCAGCCAGGTCGGTTTCACTAGGTAGACCTTTTGCACGGATAGCTTTAGCACAATGAGGAAAACTATCCGTCCATCGTCGGAAAGGAAGACCAACGTCCCAAGGCCAGTAACTGTCTTGGAACGGACTTTCCGTCCTAATCGGAAAACATCGCATCAGAATGTGGGGTGGACATGGCATGGACATACTGGAGAATAAGCAGCACTACGGTTTTCCCCAGCGCGTACAAATCCTTGTCCGATATAGCTTTGCGCATGGCATCATTGAAAAGTGATTGACCATTGATCATTTTGAGCGCCTCGCAGCGGTCGAGCCCATACGTCTCCATTGCAGACCGAAGGTGTCGGGGAGAATTAACCTTGCCCGAAAAACAATTCATAATTCTGGGCAAGTTCGTGGTTCGCATATCGTCTTCTGAATCTTCGATATGCATTCTAAACAATCCCGCAAGACACCTCGCCCGGAAGACCCAGTCAGCGCCACGCAGACCAGCGACAAGAAGATTCGTAGCAGACGGCTTGAGCTCCACGTGTTGGGTCATCGACGCCACAAAGAGGATTCCATGATCAACTGTTGCATGCGACTTTAATGAGGGAGAATGACGGAGGGCGTCAGTGATTGCCTCAACGATGACGGGCAGCGGAAGCAGCTTGCGCAGTTTTTTGTCCTGCATCGACCCATCTGGCGTAAGATTGGCCGTTACACAATGCGCGATGATAGTGAGCGACAACTCCAATGTCGTCTGGTCTTCTGGAAAGTCTTTGAGACATTGAAGCAGAGGGGCTGTCGTCGATAGAGCAGACTGAATCCTAACATGCTCGCCAGCAGCAGCAGTCATAATGGCCAGACACTGTAAAGCGAGATTGCGAGTGAACGGTATGGCCAGTAGCGGGATGACCTGGTTGACAAACCCTACAAGATCGACGATTTTAGTTACCTGATGCGAGAGAAGGTTATGACACGCACCGCGTTCAAACAACTTGTTGCGCAGAATCGCATCACCACACATTCTGGTGTAGATACCCACAATCCCACCCTTCACTCGCTCATCTTGACTCTTCTGGTACTCTTGCTCGAGACAACGGTATATCCCATCGAACCTGGAATGGATCCGCTTAAGCCCAGTGCGGGTGGTTGTCTCTGGTGGTGTAATTGAGCTTTTTCTCGGTCCGATGAAGGATACCAACCTGGTAGTTGGAAATACTTGCAGAGAGCGTTGATCATCTCGCCCCAGCTTTCCGCATTGTCCGCAAGATCCTGGGGACCGAGATCTGGGGAGGCTTTGGTCCCCTTGCGTGTGGGGCGGCGAGAAGGCATGAACAAAGAAAGGTAGCGTGGGACTGGACGTCAAATGTCGTGTCAGGAGACTGATAGAAAGTTGTTAGATATGGTTCCAAGGAAGATGCAAGACCAACCAGATTGACCATGTTCTGAAAAGGGTTCAAGGGACGAGAGGTGAAAAAGAGGGAGAGGTCACAACAGCCTATGGGAGAGGTCACAGCCGTTATGTACTGCTCATTGATCATACATGTACTTCTGCTGTTGCGTGGAATTGCTTAAATTCTTCTCGTCAACTACACTTTTCTAACGCTGTTCTATCAACACGCGGGAAAATAGGGAAGAAACTGCAAGTGGTACGCTCTACCGCGTGGTCAACTCAATCATCAAGCCACCGGTCTCCGTGACGAAGAAGTCCTTCATTGTGCTCTCCCAGTCTTTGCCCGTCTTGGATTCGGGGGCGACGAATTTCATGTTGTACCGCTTGAGCAGCGCACTCGTGGCCATGAGGAGTTCGCGCCAGGCAAGATGCTTGGCGGCACAGTTGGCGGCACCGTACGAGAAAGACATAAAGGCGGCATGGTTGAGTGTCTCCTTGTCAGAAGAGGAGCGCAGCCAGCGTTCGGGGTCGTAGTTGTCCGGGCCGGGGGAGAAGTTCTTCGGGCTGCGGTGGATGACATAGGCGGGCACGTAGATTTGGGTTTCAGCGGGTATCAGCTTGCCTGCGATGATCTTGGCGTCACCAGCCGGAATTTTACGGGGACCACCAGTTGGAACGGGAGGGAAAAGGCGGAGGGATTCTTGGCTGTAATCACCGTAAGTCCAAGTGTTGAGCAAGAGCAGCAAACGATGCTTACATGCAGGCAGTGAGGAACTTGAGCTCGTCGTGGCGACCGGAGTCTAGAGCGGATTCGGCATCAGGATAAACGGAGTCGACTTCAGCTTGAGCCCGGGCGTAGAGTTCAGGGTGGCACATCATCTGGTAGATGAAGCTATCCATATGTTAATGTGAGCCGCAATTATGAACGAGAACATACTAGCTGAGCGCAACAGACGAGGTATCCGATCCGGCGACAATAACTAAGACACCGTCGACCAAGACGTCATGGAGCGGGGGCTTGACCTTCTCATGGTTGTCCTCGTCCATCTTGGCCATGGTCAGTATATCGTGCATCGTAAGAAGAATGGATGCTTACGAGATGGTACCACAAGTCCTTGCTTTCCCCAGTGCCGGCCTTGACACGAGCAGATGCACTTTCCATAGCGAAACGGCGGAGACGGTCCATGATGAAGTTGGCACCAGGAATCATGTTGAAGGTGGGGACGACCCATGGTGTTTGTGCAATAATGGCAGTTGCCCTGAAGGTGCGTCAGTCCTACTGCTAATGGGAAAAACGAGCACGCACTTGGCACCCTGCTTAATGATTGCCCAGAGACCATTCTTGTCGCCTCCGTCGCGCAACATGTCAAATCCACCACCGAAGCTGTGGAATATTATAGGCTTGAATAACATCACAAGGAGGAACACATACGCAAGATCGCCCATGAAGTCGAACGTCAGGTAGCTGAACCATGCAGCCAAATCGACTGTGGCCTTGCCATTTCCTTCCTTGACCATCTTGTCGAATTGACTGAGCATGATAACGAGGCGCTTGGCCAAGACCTGCTCGAAACCCTTCAAGCCTTCCGAGTTCATGCCGCGATTCCAGATACGACGACGGTTGGCATGAGCATCTCCACGAAGGTTAAGAAGGGCCTTGGTGGGGAGTGTCGGGTCAGACCAGGGCTCGTAGACTAGTATGAAGATCAACGAGGGAAATAATCAATAAAGGATCGGCTTACACGGTCCCTTCTGGAAGCCCCCGGTTCCGAAAACCTCTCGGATTGCGTCAGCATGAACCATTGACACCTCATTCGGGCCTGATCAAAGACGTTACAAAGAACCGGGCGAAGAAGCGAGGGACACACCAGTGCGGACAACATCGCCATACTTGTCGTGGAGCTCTTTCAGAACGCGATGTTTTTCGCCACTGAGGAGCAGTTTGAATGACCAGTACTTGCTGATGCGGGCTGCGAAGGGTCCGGGGACATGGGCGAGCGGATGCCATGGCCCGGCGCGGTAAATTGCAATAGATGCGAAGAGTGTCGAGATTACGATCGCCTCTGACGCCAGTACATTTAGCACGGAAAGCGTGTGGAGGGCAGAAACAAGGAGAATGGGCTGAAGGAGGACGGCGAAGAGGGGGGTAGTGAGCGTTCTGCGGCTCGAAACGGTGGAAGTAGAGGTGGTTGACCTGCAAAACAAGCGTTTAGATGTGCTATGGCACGCCACATGAAGGCACTTACCAAACCAAGGAGGGCCGAGGAGACAACCAGCTCGTTGGGTGCCATGTTGGATGCAAAGAAAACACACCGAGCCAGCTGTCGCATCCTTATACTCCCGTCGCATTACCTCGATGAAAGATTCCCAGAAGTTTGATGTCCGCGCTCGATGTGTATCTAAATCGCGATTGACTGCAACGTTGATGCTTGTGCTTGACTATCGCCACATTGGGCTATCCCTCTCTGTTCCTTGAAACCGGCTTGATGACAGAAATGCATACCAATCCAATCGAATGGCTATCTTTACCACAGCTCAAGTTGTGTTGGCCGAGAGCAAGTGGGTCGCTGTGAGGTCTTTCAACGATGGTCATCTCCGCCGGGCGTCAAAGCTGCCCAATGGTGTCAAGAAGGGGGACGCTCGTCGTTGTCGGCAGTAAAGGCGTCGGAGACAATCATCTTGGCCGGCATTGAATTCCGCGTTGTCGAACTGGAAACGTCCAGGCGAGCGTGGGACCCTAGAATTGATCCTTCCATCCGACTAATCTGTCATGTCAGCCAATCTTATTCACTCCAACGAGGCAACACGCATCATCCGAATCGTCTATTGATCGTCTGAAAGATGGTAAACACAATAAAGGAAAAGGCATGGAAAATTGCTACCAGCAGGCGTGTCGTGATGTTTGTGACTTTCAAGCTCTACCCAGGGTAAATACACTGGCACACTTACGCTTCAGCGGAGTCCGAGATATGAGGCAATTATCTGTACCTGTACACATCCTCCGTCTTGCCGTTCTTCTTCGGTTTTCGCTGGCCATGGCGAGCGCAGCGTTTTTTTTTAGATTCCGCTTTTCCGAGCTGACGTGAGAAGATGGATGCGGGGCGATAGGGGGATCATTGGCTAGCAATTAACCGTACAACCCGTCCCTCGGGAAGTACGGTCCGGCAAAGATTATAACCGTTAGGAAGATGTGTATCACGCAGTCCGCCTAGCCGCGCAATCATAATCGTACGCGTACACCGCAAAGTCGAAGCAGAGCCGGAAGAACAGACCTGGGGTTATCCTATACTGAGTTCACTGCAGTTTTGGCCTGTTTCCACGAACAAGCATCGCTCCCAAATGGAAAGAAGATGTCAAGTCCGACAGATGCGGGGACAACCTGGCGACAACTAAGTTAAGTCGACGTGGCCCTCACAATCATCAAGTGCCGATCCAATACCATTTTTTTCGGTCTTGCGCACGTCAGAATTAGGCCCGAGCTCGAATTTGACCGTGGCTAGGGCCAATTGTAAGCCATACATAACTAAAGTAACTGTGGAGCAGCTGACCCGAGTCATGTGTAGATACTGAACGAGGTACCGCACCATTATTGACAAAACACAGAGGCACAACCTTCAGGGACGGTCCAGGAGCGGCTCGGCCATGTCCAGTTCAACGTGCATATCTCTGAGTCAGCTCTCCAGGACCGCCGAAATCATTGCAGTCATACCCCTAATGATATTGAGGTTTCGGTTGTGTTTGATCAGACAGTCTTGAGTCGAAAATACGCGAGGAACCAGCTCAATATGGAGATTGATTAGATTAGACGGATGGTGAATCATAAGAATAGACCAACTTAGCAATTGCAAGCGCGCGGTGTTATCTCACGGACCAGTAGGCGCAAGGAAGTTCAAGGAACCTGGAGTCCGCTGACATATGCAGCAGAAGCCAACTCAATCTGGACGTCGTCTTATGCTCTTCCAGGAATCAGGGGAGAACCGGTCAGCGTCCTGCTGCCAGGAGTTCCGGGTGCGGCAAAGAAATTAGTGATGAAGAGAACGTGGCTTTGACCCTGGATCTTTTTTCACTTCTCGAAGACCACAGATTCGATCTTGCCCTAGTTGACTCGAGTCTCCGAGTCGGAGCGTGTCGAAGGAAAACATATCCGTCTGTGGCCCGCAACTCGAGAGAATACGACTGCACTAGCGGTAGCAGATTGTTTCGATTGTCTTTAGTAGAGTACTTGTGTAAAATATTGGCCGTGAACCTCGTCGTGACTCTTTAAAATGCGTGAGTTATGTTTTATAGCACCCCAAGGAGGGCGAACGGTAAGAGCCACCAATTTCGTCAGGGATACTTCCCGGGTACATATGGATTTGTTGGTCCCGAAAAGCCATACAGTGCTCAATATTACCAAGAACACCGGCTCGAGTCCCAGAATCTCCGAGCCGAAGGAGAACGAAACCTGAAATGATATGGTACTCCTTGAGGACGTCGACGTCAAAAAAGACCTTGAAGTACTAGAGATGCTTGTATCAAGACATGAAAATTATAGAGCAGGACGCTCACGAGGCGGACCTGTTGCTTTGATTTCACTGCAAAAGATAGCTGTAAGTATTGCAACTGACAGTGTATGATCATCTAGCGCCAAAGAAAACTTCAGAGCCACGATACATTGGCTGAGTTTATGCCAAAAGGACTCTTGTGGTCATGGAGAACATTACTGTCATGCGATGGGGACCAAGAGTGACCAAACCTGGGCCACTCTTCTCCGAGAAGAGTGGGTGGGACAGTCACCGTTGACCAAACCTGGGCCACGAGTATTTTTGCGTCGTGTAAGTACCTATGTCAATATGGTCGAAACTCAAAATACAGGACCACTGAGGACACACTTTGAGTTACTATACAGCCGGAGCGCTAGTTACACGACACCGGTTTGACGGGTGCAGAGCGCTCGACTGAATGATGTTTGTGCAATGTGGTCGTTCAGAAAAGCTCAAATTCAAGACATGGCGGACCGGGGATCCAGCTAGCCAGAAAGTTAAGGATGGATTGGCGGAGACAAGGGCAACGGGAGTAGTACAAGAGGTTCTCGTCTTGAGAGGAGAGCCGAAGTCACGGTAACAGGTCACGAGATGTGACACCCACTCACACTTCGCCGACAGCACATATGTTTGACCATGGATGTTACCGACGGTAACTCGATGTCTTTTCATCAACTCAGGTATGGTCGAGCTGCATCAACATCGGTAGTCTTGGCCATATGATAAGTAAGTATTGCAGTCAAACCTTCAACTTGAATTATTAATACTTTAACGTTAACATGCCGAATCTTCTGTTCGAGTCTCATGCGAGATTGCAGGTACAACAGCAAGTTAAAGCGGCGTCCTACTGTTGCTACCCTAACCTTTTCTGCTCCAACGCTGTAGCCACCACCTCAACCGTTCTCATTCGCCGTACAACTTGAAGATGTCAAGAACTTTTCAATTGCCTCCAAGTGCCAGTGGAAGGTTTTGGACCCCGAGTCTTGATTATTCGACCTGTAGCTTAGCCACCCAAGAGCTCCCTGTATTGGCCTCTGCTAGCGCTGTTTATGACTGTTTCATTCCCGACCATGAAATCCTTTGCGGTCTGTTGCCTATCTGGGCCGAAGCGGAAGATAGCGTTTCTTCTACTAGTGCTTCGTATCGTTATCCGTGTCCAATCAAGTGAATCGCCGAGTCGGAGCGGCAACTGTAATTCTAATCTCTCGCCGACTCGTCGCCGAGCCTACAAGTCAATCACTGGCTCACTTTGGCTGTCCCCGGGTCGGACCACTCGCACCGGAGCGTGGCAACAGGCCCTTAGCAAATCACTCTAGCGCAAGCAAGCTCTCCGCACAGCAATCCGCGAGTTCGGACCACACCCCATAACGATCTGTGTCAACTTTTTGCGGGCTTTTCAAGTTGTTACCCAGTCACGGGCGACTCGAGTTCCTGAGCGACAAGCATGCTGCCCTCTAGACAAGGCCTCTCGGCAGCATGCTTGTCTGTTTCCCCTCACCTCCAGTAAAACAGGTCCCTTTCACGGCCTCTACGTTCCACCTCATCGACAAGAAAATGCAAGCCTCCGACTTCAAAACCCGGGCCCGTTGAGTCCTGGACACGAGGATCACTCTGGGAAAATGGTTGGAGAACAGAGGCTTGTGACTCCAACCAATTCTGAGACGGTGAGCGCATTGAAGCCTTTCTCTCGATCTAGTCGGCACCAACTTTCTTACTACAGACCTGCCTGGTCTTGACCTCAAGTTTTGAAGCGGCTCTGTCTCTTGTCCTTCGAGGCGCCCGAAGCCCCCAGGGTGTCTATTCTTGAACCAGTTAAACTTCCTCTGGCGGTCTTGGTGTTGTCCTGCGCTCTCTTTTCGCCGCCATGGCCAACGCACTCCTCCCGGTCACCAGCACATCCTTGTCCTCCAGATCGCGAACAAGCGATCAATCGGAAATTTGATGCGATCCATATCCGAACTATCTTATCCGATAACCACCCCCCAACGAACGCCGAGCTCATGAAGTTAACTTGTATCTAGCTTCCTATAAGCCTAAAACTCTTCTGGCCGTATCTTGAGTTTGGCTCGCGCTTCGCGCCCCAAGCCAGAAGGTCACGCACGCCCTGTTGCCCCGGAAACTGCGATATGAATCGCATCGTCCGCAAAATTAATCAGGATATGAATCTTTGCTTCTGATGAACTTTTTGAAAGCGGCGCGCAAGGGGCCAGGAGGCGGGGTAGCTCCACCTCAACAGCGTGCAGGATGCTCGTCAGAATCAAAGGCAGGCCGTAGCGCTGTTGCGATGGAATGGAGGCAGGTACGCGGAGTGTAACAGGTACAGCCGAACTACGTTCGAATGAGTTGTTTATCGCCACTCATTGGCTAACGAGACGATACAGGCTCCACAGATTACTGATTATCGGGCCCAGCTTTCCACCGCCGATAAGTCGGGAGATGGAGAGCCGACTGTGAACTGCATCTGACTCGCGTCGCTGTTTGACTGTTGACCAACGCCGGTTGCAAACGCCTCGTTCTAGATCTCGGACTGGCGATGGCAAGGCTGTCAGGCTCGATATCGATGTTGGTCGTGAGCCCACCACACCGGGAAGTGCACAGATTCACGGCTCGTACAGCAGCAGGTCATTCAGGCCTCCGGTGCTTCGCGGTCGCCTGGATCTGATAATTAAAGCACGCTGGTATCAATCTGCCTTCGCCGGGAATCAAGAAGCATCAATCAGGCTCGGTCCGATGTTTTCACACGCCCGAATTTCCTCCTCAACAACACACGCGCGTACCTCTCAACGCGTTCCACATCGACGAACATCGCGTCCTGTCAATGACGCGTTGGTCACCGCGCTGCCGTGCGCCTCCGCGGCCCTCTCCACTGGCCTTTTATCCGGATTTTTTTTTTCTTTTTGTTCCCTTTTGTTGCGCGTGGAAGATGGTTGACACCTTGTGTGCTTGGCACGTGGGCGCCGATCTCCCCGGGGTTTATCTTCTCCTCGGCCGTCGGGGCTGGAGCAAAACTGCGCCAGGCCGACCTAACCCGCATTGCTGCGGCGCGGACGCTGCTGAAGAACGGACGGACGGGGGGAGAGTCAGTAGAAAACGCGGAACGCGTCTATCCACGTAGCTGTTGATCGCCGTAAATAGTGCGGCGTGGGAAAATAAAGCTTGGCTGGAACGGAAGCTTTTTCTGATCAACAGCCTCGGCCAAGCAGCCGAAGCTGACAAGCATCCCCAAATCCGCTTTTCCGTGTCCCTTCAAAGCCTGGCGTTTGTGCTCAGTCAGCAGCTGCAGGGACACTCGAAACGGCTCTTGTTCACAGCTAATCTCTGGGATCATCAGGGGTCCAAGTGTGACGCGTCCGAGAACCACGCGATCTGCTTGCGATGGAGAGTCCTGCAAAAATACTAAGTAGAGAGAGCTTTTTGAAGAAAGAAAAATGATACGGAGACAGCGGGAATCGAGCTGGATAGTTTTCTATCAGGTCGCGATCAGACGGCCACCGGCGGATTTCTTCTCGAGTGCATTGAGAACGCGCCTTCTTCTGTCAGTCAGACAGCTTTACGTGTGGCGTAAACACGGATGCGCGGAAACACGCAGGAAGGTTGTGCCACGATTTAAAAGGCGCCCTCGGTTTTTTTGCGGCCTTTGAGTTCTTCCCTCCTCCTCGAGCACTCTACCGCCTTTCGTTCTTGGCCCATTCGAACGAAGCACACACAAACACTGATGTCTGACGAGAAACATTCGGAACCCGCCACCACGGCGAATCCCTCACCGGAGCCAGAGACCGTTGTCGACGAGAAGCCCAAAGCCGAGCCCAAGAGCAGGGAATTCTACCTGACCCTCCTCGCCATCGGTGTCACGACTGTTCTTTCGGCCCTCGATCTCACTGCCCTCGGTACCGCCCTTCCCACTATCTCCAAGGCTTTGAACGACACACACGGCGAGTTCGTATGGATTGGTGCTTCTTACGCGTTGGCGAGCACGGCCTTCATTCCGTTGATGGGTAACTTGGCAGATGCCTTTGGTCGGTGCGTCGCATTCTTTGTTTCTCCTTTGTTGCGGGAGCTGACGCGTTTCTCAGTCGTCCCGTCGTTTTGTCCAGTATTGCTTTCTTCGCTCTCGGCTCTGCGTTGTCTGGTGCTGCTCAAAACATGGTGCGCATCGCGTGTTGCAATTCGCCGGAATTCCCACTAACCCGTCTTTTCATCAGACCTGGTTGATTGGTGCCCGTACCGTCCAGGGTGTCGGAGGTGGTGGAATCCTCGCCCTTTCCGAAATCCTCATCGCCGATCTCGTCCCTCTCGCTGAACGAGGAGCGTACCAAGGTTTCCTCGCCCTCGTCTGGTCAATTGGTTCCGTGAGTCAATTTTAGCGTGATTTCCGCCTAGCCGCTTTATCTGACCTGTTAATAGTGCATAGGTCCCCCGATCGGTGGAGCTCTTGCCAACGTTGACGGAAAGGCCTGGCGCTGGCTCTTTTGGCTTAACTTGCCTCTTTGCGGCATCTCCTTTGTCCTCGTCGCCCTCTTCTTGCACGTGCGCACTCCCCCGGGCAGTCTCGCCAGCAAGCTGCGCCAGGTTGACTGGATGTACGATTTTGGTTACCCTCGGTCTTTTCTTCCGCTGATGCTTTTCTTAGCGGAAATATCATTGTCGTTATTGGCTCTGGTCTCGTCATCATTGCTCTGACCTGGGGTGGTGTTGCCTACAAGTGGAACTCGGCCCACGTTCTCGGCCCCCCTCATCGTCGGTTTCGTCCTCCTCATCATCTTCGGCCTCTACGAAGCGTATGGTGTCAAGGACCCCGTCCGCCCAACGACGCCATCAGACATCGTTAGCAACCGCACTTCCCTTGGCGGTCTCATTTCCACGGCCATCCACGGTCTCGTCTCAATCGCGCTCATCTACTACCTCCCGGTCTACTACCAGGCCTGCTTCGGTGCCTCGCCCATCCGCTCGGCCGTTGACTTCCTGCCGTCTGGTCTCTTGACTGCGCCGTTCGCGTTCTTCGCCGGTGTTGCCACTGCCATTCTCAAGAAGTACCGCCCAGTCCAATGGTTCGCCTGGGTCTTCTGCGTTTTCGGCTACGGTCTCTTCAGCTTGCAGCGAGCTGACTCGCCCCAACACTTGTGGCTCGGTCTCCAGATTCCTCTCTGTGTTGGTTTGGGTATGCTGGTGAGTTCTTCAATTACCTTTTTGCCGCCTTCGCTCATTCGCACTAGTTCTCTTGCCCTGTGTTCCCCATCTTGGCTCCCCTGCACCCCTCGCGCGCCGCCTCTGCTCTTGCTCTCTGGACTTTCACCCGCTCCTTCTTCCAAGCCTGGGGCATTGCCATCGCCGGCACTGTCCTCCAGAACGAGCTCGTTGCCAAGCTCCCCACCGAGTTCACAAGCCAATTCCCTGAGGGCACCGAGATCGCATACGCCGCCATCCCCTTCATCCGCACCATGACCGACCAGACCCTGAAGAAGGCCGTCCAAGTCGCGTTCGCCGACTCGCTCCGCGTCGTCTGGCTCGTCATGTGCGGCATCTCCGGCATCGGTCTCCTTTCCTGCCTGCTCCTCCGTGAAATCCCGATGAACACCAACATCGACGAGACCTACACGCTCAAGGAGGCCAAGCAGGCCAAGGTCGAGGACGTGGAGGCACCTGTAGCATAATTCGCATCACGCATAGATTTTCTTGTTCTCTCCAGCCCGCAAAAGCTAAAACGGAAAGCGTCCTTCTTGTGTCCATAGTAGTCGGTATCTAGATGCCCGCCCCGCCCCCCTTGTTACCCCTCCGCCCGCTCTTACACTACCACGCATATTTACGATTCAATTGCACGCAACAAGAGATACTTTAACCACCATCTTGTCCGTCGTTCGTTGTTCTTTGGTCTACTAGTCGTTCTTTTTGGGTAAGCCACAGCGGGTTTCGCAACAGTCAGTAACGTTTACCCTCGTAGAAAGATTGAGAAACTCAGTTGGACTCAACCTTGTTGTCGTCTTATCAGATCGCCAACATCAATATCTTCAGACTCCATTACTTTTCGCTCGTTTTCTTATCTGTACTCCAGTGTTGGTTCTACATTAGGGTGCTTTCTACTTCTTGCCCGCCGGGCACTTTTTCTTGTGGACACTCCAATGTCTCTTTTGGCAGGTCGCATTACAATATCTACCGGGGTAGAAATTAGCAAGCATGAAACCAATTTCTAAGTCCGCGCCTACCTCGCTTCAGAGCAACCGGCGCATTTGCGCAGGACTGCGGAGCTGTTCTGGCAGAACGAGCAATGGTACAGCCTCGGCTTCTTGGTGTCTGCCGCCTCGGTAACTTCATATTCATGCATGTACCACTGCGATGGAGAACGGTGCTCGTGACCGCTATATCGCGTCCGAGTCTGACAACTCGCCTCGTCATCAACATCCAGGCCCGCCATCCACGCCGCCAGGTCGTGTTCCATCTCCGCCTCAGTTCGAACTGCGTCCGAGTTATGTCCCTCGCACCCGTTTGCAGCAACGACCGCGCCCCATTCCTTCCGCGCAGCGGGGAAATCCCGTAGTATACGCTCGGTGACGATGCGTATCTGGGTGCGCGGTGAGTCGATATCGAGCCATTTGTTGAGGTCGGTGGCGAACTCGAGGCGGTCTCTGTATACCTGCGTCGTTTCAAATTACCTATTCCGAAAATACCACGGGACACGGTATACCTTGATTTCGTGGAAATCGTCGCTTATGTCGTCGCCGGATACAACATGCAGGGCTATCAGCCAGCAGCAGACAGTGGAGAGATAACGATGGTCTGGCGCCGCTTCTTCGAAGAACGTCTGCAGATCCTTCTTTGCGGTCTTGAGTAACGCCACGGCTGCATTCGGAGTGGGGAGCCCGTGTTTTCCTGGAGTGTTCCGAGTCAACGCTCCGAGGCCAACAATACTAGCGATTTGCCCCTTGAGCCGGAGGTTTTGCAGCCGCATACAGGGTGTCAAGTTGAGCGGGCCGGGGGTACATTCCAGGCCCCTCGCCGCTGCCCGTAAGCCGTGTACATTGAATTGGAGGAGTGCAAGAACGTAGTACCCATACGCAAAGTCGGAATTTCGCTCTACGATTTGGGTTGCCAGCGCGATAGCGCCAGAAAAGTCCACTCGCATCAGGAGGGCCTCCAGATCGAGGATATCAGCGAGGAAGAGCTCGCCGACCACGCCATTCTGTCTGATCGCTGCGGAGCAACGGGGGAAGGTGTCGGACCACCGCGTGCCGGATTCGCCACCAGGAAAAACACTCTGTCCAGTAATCGTATTCTTGATGGGGGAGGATCCGTCCACCGTGGGCACTTCTGCGCTGCGAAAAGCTTTTCAAGGTCGAATGGCGAAGCCTGAAGGAAACATACTTCAAGATGAGCCGAGCAATTTTCTTTCCCGCGTTGTAGAATTCGCCACCGGAGGAGTGTGCTGCGAATAACGTAGACGTAAACTCCTCATATGCAATCATAGCCTTGTACATAACGGCATTCTCAATGCCCCAGGTTTGGATTGGCTCTCTGACATGCTTCGGGGCCTCGGAAATGTGTGTAATGCAACGGGCGGTGCGCGGATGGAAAAACCAAGCCTCGTCCTCAGCATCAGCGAGACTGGCGTGGATCAATGCACCCAAGCAATGTGAGCGATCTTCCCACTCCTTGGAGCACAGTCCTGCCAGAAAGAGATTCGCCATCGACTGCGAAAGCTCAATGTCTTTGGATTGGGACAAAGTCGTAAAACAGCGCGTGACGTGAGTGATGAGTGTTGGCGGGGGGTCTGGCCGACGAAGCCCGTCAATGAGGGCTTGCGCAACGTCTTGCAGCGGAAGCGAGGTCGCCAATGACGGGTCCTTTTGTTTCGCCTCCTCCGAAACAACGCTGACGATGACATGACTGAGCACGCGGAGCGCAAAATCCGACGTTTCTTGATCCTCCGGAAAGTCTTTGATAAGTTGCAGCAATGGCTCACAGGCCGCTCTCGCGATTTCCATACGGACAGCCAGCCCGGCATGGTGCGTGATTATGATAAGGGAATCGAGCGTCAAATTGCGGCAGAGCGGAATCGCCATAAGAGTGAGCAGCTGCCCAAGGAAACCTCCAATCCGTCTGGTTAGTTGTACTGCAAGTAAATGGTATCACCGCCACTCACCTAGTTCGCAGAGCCGATTGCGCAAAATCGCGTCGGTGCACATATTGGTGTAGATGGCCAAAATTCCGAGTTTTATTCGCAAATCAACGCTCTCCTCGAAGGCCTGCTCCATCAGCGGGTACACCTCGTGCAGTTTCCCGTGAATCTTCTTCAACGAGCTTCGCGTGGTGAGGTCTGGCGCTGAGCTTGAGTTGCGCGTTGTGAAGTCACCGACTTACCAGTTGGAAGACCAAAAAACCGGCATATGATGTGCACGAGCCGGAGCCCGTCCTCAGAGCGGGGCGCCCGCGGGTCGATTTGCGCGACGAGTGCCTCAAGTGTAGCCGTTTTTTTGCGAGTCATTGAAGTAGGTCGGAAGAAGTGGACGCAAAGGGCCTCGTGCCACTGTCCTCCATCATCGAGTGATAAGAACTGTGGCGGGGTTTCTGCGCCCGAATACTGGTTAGAGTTGGAAGAATGCCGAATTTAGAATGTCACACAATTCACGGGTCTCAAGACTAGTTCAACGAATATGTACTTTCAGTGGCTGAATTATCGAAAACAAGCGCAGAACAGGATTTACTGAATACTTCTTGCGAATTCGGGCTTTCAAAACAACGAGAACAAAAAACACTATTTGTCCATGTCAATCAAAACCAAAACTCTAGAAATAAGCAACACACCGCTTAGTGGCCCTTGAGGATAGTATTAACACCATTGATTACGGTCGGGTCAGCTCCACATCCACAGCCGGTGGGCGGCGCCGCGGTCAACCCCTGCAAATTCTTCAACGAGTCGACAAGCACCTTGAGGTCGGTGACGATGTCCCCAAGATTACTGTGCCCACATTCGGACTCGTTGCCGAGGTCGAAGAGGTCGTCGAGGAGCTGCTGGGTCGCGTTCACGATGCCAACGTCTGGCGCGTTGGGCTGGGTGATGATTGGCGGGGGATTCGGGCCAAGGCCGAGACCGCCGAGTAGCCCGCCGAGGCTGAGGATGCCGCCGAGTGTGTTCCCATCAAGCAGCTCGCCCAACAGGCCGTTGGTGTTGCCCAACAGACCGCACAGCGAGCACGGGCCGTCAAGGTTGCCGAGGACGTTGGTGGTGGAGAGACAGCCGCCGAGAAGCCCGTTCAGGTTGCCAAGCCCGAGCAACCCGCCGCCGGAGGTGATGATCTGGCCGGAGGGATTGGAGGGGAGCGCGCAGTGCGCGATCGTGGAGACGTATTCATTGGCCTTCACAACTGCCGGCGCCTTGGGATACTTCTTGCTGACGACGGCCATCGTGGACTGGAGAGAGCGGACGGAGTCGATGATGTTGTGCGACTGCTGCAGAACTTTGGCCGCGCTGTCCACAGCAGGCTGCTGCTTAGTATTCTTCAGTTCTCGGGCGTAGTCAGATCGATGAAGAGAATGGTACCGAGGGAACTGCCAGGGCAGCAGCAGCAAAAACCAGGATTTTAGCAAAGAGCATGGTTGGAAGAGAACGAGTCGTGGAGTGGGGCAGCGTCGAATCACATTCTTTAAAGAAGAATCCACACTGGCAGACTTCGAAATTTTGGCTATTGATTAAGTCGTTGCTTGAACCGAAGAACTTCAAGAAGTGCCAGTGGCTCTTCCTGTTTCTTTGCTTCTAGTCGACCAAGTGCTCGCGCAAAGGAATGCGACCATTCGGACGGGCAGCCAAAATCCCTCGGTTCCAGAAGTCGAGGTGGTGTCGCGGTCAACTCTTGAGGAAGGCGAAACTCAGTTGGGAAAGACCGGAAGGCGTCTCACGGAGAAAGCACCACGGTTCTGAAGTCAACAAGTTCAAGTTGTAGCATCGAGTAGAGCTCCACGCCACCCGTAATTCCGCATTCGGCTATAGTGCGGAGGCCCTGCATGGTCGAAATGCATCATTGCCTCAGACGCTGGGGGATAGAGACAACTTGAAGTCGCTTCTCATCACGTGAGCCGCGAGGCATCAAATCATCTCATAGGATGGATTTTTGAGGGCAAAAATCCCGACGAGGGACAATAACTTTACATACTTCAGAGCATGCCATTAAGGTATTATTACACAGCAAGAACTCATAGCATGGTCCCAAAATACTCAATCAAATACCACTTTCTGCCCGGAATACGACTCCGCGTCTTCTTTGCCCACACTTTCGATGTCCATCCTCGTCGACAGGCCGACATCTTCTGGCGGGTCTATCGTGACAATGGCAGTCCGATGTACTTGTATGCCGTCCATCATAATCGTGTTGTTCATATTCGGTCGCGAGTCGGATGTGGTTCTGCTCGCTCCACTTGGTCCACTGCTGTTCAAACGCCGGGAGAGTAGGTTGGCGAAGAGGGTGTGTAGAGAGGCCGGACCGAGCATCGAGTGGAACATGGGTGGAACTACGAGGATTAGAATTGGAACCTTTAGAAGAAGGGATACTCACCACTGGTGCTAGAATCCACCAAGAAGAATGCAAGGAGGAAAAGCGTGATGAGAGCGGTAGTCAAGCCGGTCCGAACAGCGCCGACAATAAGACAGTGAATCATGCTGTCGTGGAACAAGGTTAGCGCGACGAACATGATGCTAAGAACGGCAACGGACTTGTTGGTCGATTGGAATGAGCTCTTCATGCTGCGCAGTTTCATGACTAAAATCCCGGAAATTGCGAAATCTGGTGGAAGGTTAGAAGACTTAGCAGACAAAGAGGGCGGTTGACCAAGGAAAGTAAATGATATGGCCCAAATTTTCATGGCCGTGTGGGCTAACTGCTGCAGAAGCGTTCGTCAGTGCGCTAGATCGAAAGCGAAATCCACCAACTCCTCTGGGTGTGGTCAGATCACTTGTCGTCCCAACCAAGATATTGCCCACGAGTAACATAACGAGCTGTGGTTCGTTTAGATGCGAGCGACTCAAACTCGAGGAAAATATGCACCGAAAGGACGACCACTGTCGAGAGGAAGACAGCGATGAATATATTTTTGGTCCTGTAACATATTAGCCAAATCGCCGCGAACAGGCGCATTGCTTACAACACCCAGATACGACTGATGAGATAGGCGTTGACGAGTATCCCAATTGTGCCATTCAATGTCCCGTAGACGGGTCTTGTCCAGGACGGTTTGGGCCCCGCATCGCCCCAAAACGTTACTAGCATCTGAACCGACATTAGAAATTACAGTATAGCCCAGGATGGCGGTAGCTCACCAGATACACGTTGCTGTAGTCCCCGATGAGCGCAACGAGCCCGAACAACATCGCAAAAGTGACTATTGCTTTCCGTAACCAGTGGTCATCGGGAAAGTTATGAAAGTAGCGAACGGTCTGGACCAGCGCAGCGCCGTAGAGGATGGATGCAACCCAGGAGCCGACGACGTAGCCTCTGTTGACGTTGTAAGCACCAAATATTCGAATGTCGAGTCGATAAAAGCTTGCCCGAAAGTCCTGAATGCTTCCATGCGAACCACGCTCGATCGGACGACATCTCTCTGGCTTTTGAATAAACGCGAAGACGGAACCCCTTAGATATTCATGGCACTTCGAAGGGGCAGATGAATGAATCAGCTCCTAGCAGGAATGTCATAGCCTCGAGGGCAATACATTCGTTCCTTGAGCGTTAAGCATACACCGGGAAATTCCTGGACATTGGGGGGAGGAGTTAAGGACTCAGGCCTCAGGGATGTCGATGACTTCAAATTGACCGAGTTGGCTTTGACTCCGAAATGATCTCTTCCCGGAAGAATGCGTCGACGAAGAGAGCACGGTCCATAGGATTGAGGCTCCTCTGCCTCGGACTCGATCGCCAATGTACTCTGGTAGTCGCAGTCAAAAGTGGATGAATGACAAATTCATCAAGTGATGACATCATCGATAGTTTATTAGATTCAAGCCAGCCTTTCATGAGTAAAATGAAGAAGAAAACATTCAAAAGAGTGATTCTATAAGCCAATGTTATGGACCGTGAAGAGGAACTCTCAAAAGCCATAGATGACTGTGACTCGGATTGATGACAATTTGATGGACAGAGTCGGTTTTGATCGCATAATTCTGGCTTCCAACAACCACCCTGTCCGCCTTAGCAGACCCTTGAGCCAAGACGGAAGACTTGCCACCTCCTGCGAAATTTATCCAACGATCCGAGGTCGCTCCTAGGAGGTTTCGGCCTGCTACCGCGAACCATTGACAAGTCCATTGACAAGCTGGTGTCAAGTCAAGCTAGTCAAGCGCTACTATCCTACTCCAAGAGCGCGACCTGAGTACTGGCTTGATAGCAAACTCAGGGTTTTGTTGGAGGAGTGCGTACCGCCCATATAAACACTCCAACTCGACGTCACTGACGAGCTCATCGCACTCCGCTCTAGCGCCGGGCCCGGCGACTTAAGAACCTGCTGCTTCGCATCAGCCCTCCATCTTCCTTTCTACTCCAAACTTCCCAAAACTGCGAGATGTCGCTCAAACCACGGGGTCTTCACTTTGGTGCCGGTGCGTGACTATTGGTGAAGAGAGACGGCTTGATTCACAACACCCACCAGGGAACATCGGGCGCGGATTTATCGCCCCGTTACTGCTAAGATCGGGCTACCACGTTGTCTTCGCGGATGTGGACAAAGATCTCATCGACACAATCAACCGCGATAAATCCTATGACGTCCACATTCTGGACTCAACCACTGAAGGAGCTGACAATGTGGAGGAGGTTAACCGAGTTAAAGGGGTTCTTGCAACAACAGACGACATTCTGAGCGAGCTGGCGCATCCTAAATTGAAGCTTATCACCACTGCTGTTGGACCTCCCGTTCTGGCCAAAATTGCACCTACTATTGCGAAGGGAATCAAAGCTCGTAGGGAAGCGGGGGCTGGTGTAATCAATATTGTCGCGTGCGAGAATGCCATCGGCGCCACCACTCAACTGGAAGAGCATATCCATAAACATCTCGAAGAAGAGGACAAACACTACATTTCCGTCCACGTGGGCTTCGCGAACTGCTCAGTCGACCGCATCGTCCCACCATTCGACCCACATTCTCATGATGGCCCCACGGAGTCAGTCCTAGATGTTGGTGTTGAAAACTTCTTTGAATGGGTCGTGGATGCAAAGCCACTCAAGCCAAACTCCGGGCTCGAGGTACCGATAAAGGGTATGACGCTTACAGAGCATCTTCCCGCGTATAACGAGCGCAAACTGTTCACGCTGAACTGCGGACATGCTGTCACCGCCTACCTTGGGCACTTGAAAGGGCACACCACCATCGCAGACAGCATTGCCGACCCCGAAATCTTGTCCATCGTTCAAGGCGCTCTCCACAACGAAAGCGGGAAAGCCTTGTGCAAGCGTCACTCTCAGTTCGAAGAGTCCCAGCACAAAGAGTACATTAACACGATTCTCCGTCGCTTTGCGAACGAGGCTGTCAAGGACGATGTGGTCAGGGTTGGCCGACAACCGCTTCGGAAGCTGGGGAAGGATGACCGGCTTGTGGGTCCGACGCGCCTATGTGTGGAATACGGTATCGTGCCAGCCCAGAATTTGGCGATGGGCATTGCTGCAGCTTTGCGGTATTCCAATGACGACGACGAGCAGAGTGTCGAAATGCAGAGCAAATTACGAGATCTGGGTGTCGAGGCTTATATTACCGAGCTCACGGGCTGGCAGAAGGAGGAGGATGCAACGAAGAGTGTGGTCGAGGCGTATCACAAATTAGAACGCTGGATAAACATGCCTAATTAGAACCGGGAAAAGATGTATATTAATACTTGGATATCTGTAGGAACAAAGCTGTAAATTAGAAGCTTAGAGCTTGCCATCGATTGAGCTGGAGGCCATTGGTTGTGCTTTCGCTTACTTAGCTGAGGACTGACAATAATAGGTCATGACTCATCACATGATCACGCCCGACTTCATCCACAACCCAAACATGCCTATTAGTATGATGCCCAGCTCTGCCTCTGGATTCCAAGGAGTGATAACGGGACACCAAAAGTATCCGGCCGACCTGATCTCGAACGCCGTCGGAAGCGGTCTGTTTGTCGGGTCATCTGCCCCAACTTTCTGAGCTTGTCTTCCAAGTTCGCACCCAATCCAGCTCTCATTCTCCGCCCACCTACTCTCCGAAAATGACATCCATTATAATCCCGTGAGCATTCGTTTGCAAGGCACTCTACCCCCTTATTCAAAGCCATGACAGGTTTTGTAGCCCTTGCAAGGCGGGTCCTGGCGGGACAACCACAAAAGTGGAAATCGCGACTTCAGGCTGTAGAGCTTAATACACTGAGACCTCCACCGAGACACACTTGTGGCGGGCTTACATCGGCACGCGTCCCATCCACGCGACCACCATGGAACGTTTGCCGCAGATTATCCGAATCGCGTTTTTGGCAGGGCGACTACAAATACAACCTGGATACTGTGGCATCTCGGAAGGAGCTTCGAAGGTCATGTCTCTTCGGCGCGCCATTCTCCTCGCGATTGGTGTCCAGCAGGCTGCTGCCCAGGCGATACTGTGGGGTCAATGGTACGTGTTTTTTGGGTCTCAATTAGTTGCTCAACGCGTTATCAGTGGTGGACAAGGATGGTACGACCACCACGGAATTTTATATTCAAGTCCTTGATTTACACCTCCTAGGACCGGACCAACAACGTGCTCCCAAGGCGTTTGCACCTACATGAATGCATGTAAGCATACCCACCACCCATATTGGTGCCTTCTCATGGGTCCTCCAGATTACTCTCAATGCATTCCCGGAACCACAACCGTTTCCACAACAACCGTTTCTTCGACGACTTCAAAATCAAGCTCAGTGTCAACTACCACTCCAGTCTCGTCCTCCACTAGTACAACATCTGGCGCAGCACCTTCAGGAACTATCTGTTCGTCTTCTTATCTACGTTTGCACCATTCTTGACAACTTAGTACAGTGAACATTTCGCCGCAATGGGCTGCCGCGTATACCAAGGTTTGTCTCGTGTTGTTCATATTTGATACAGTCGCTAAAACGAAGGACCTGTCTAGGCTAAAGCAGCGGTAGCCAAACTCTCGCTACAAGATAAAGTTAACCTTGGAACTGGTGTTGGATGGGAGGTTGGACATTGCGTCGGCAACACGCCTGCCATCTCGTCAATATCTTTCCCAGGTCTTTGTCTCGAAGACAGTCCTGTCGGTGTACGCGACACTGATCTCAACTCTGTCTTCCCCGCGTGGGTCTACTTCGTCATTTTCCTTCGAATTTATCCTCACTCGCGAGATATTCAGCGCAATCAATGTTGCAGCGACGTAAGTAAAGCCAAAACTTTACTTTGTTCGATGTTAAATTCAGCCACAGTTTTAATCGCACACTTATGAACCAACGCGGCTCGGCCATGGGTGCTGAATTCAAAGGCAAAGGCGTCCATGCAGCACTCGGACCAATGATGTTCGCTGTCTTTGTTTACTTTTTTTTATGACTATGTTGAACGCTACAAACAGGAATCTTATGCGGGCGCCTGCTGCTGGTCGCAATTGGGAAGGTTTTGGAGGAGATCCATATCTCTCTGGGTTCGTTCTGATCTTGCACCTCGATGCAAACTAACCCGATATCAGGGAAGGCGCATTCCAGGTTTGTCACTTGTACACACTGGAACTAGCTACCAAATAATGGCGAATTAAGACCATCAATGGTATCCAGTCTGCAGGCGTTCAAGCGACGGCAAAACATTATATCAACAAGTATGCCCCGGTAACTTCCAGTTTGCAAACACATATTTATTTTTCACTAGCGAGCAAGAGCATTTCAGAGAGACTAGTTCTTCAATCGTTGATGACCGGTAAGTCTTAATTCGCCTGTTCGATGCCCAGTTTTAAAAAACTATAGCACGGTAAGAATATAGATTGCGAAACGCAACTGCGAGCTTAATGGCAAATAGCAACATGAACTATACTCGTTACCCGTTAGTTCCTTTGCTCTCAAATTTCTTTCTATTTATTGACGACGAACTTTCTCCAGTTCCTCCGTAGTGTTCAAGCCAATGTCGCTTCAGTGATGTAAGTGACTTTTGTGTCTCGTTATCCAGAAATTGACTCCATATTAGGTGCAGTTATAGTTCGTTTCCGTTCTCTGTCTTCACAATCGCTACATGACCATCGTAGATCAAAGTGCGTTTTTGGTTCTCTGACGGAATCAAGCTACTGACAGTCAACCCAAGTCAACTCAAGCTTCGCTTGCGAGAACGATAAAACTTTGAACGGAATCTTGAAGACGGAGATGGGTTTCCAAGGATGTGGGTTATTCCTAGATCTGTTCTGGCCGCTCACTAATGCGAGTATAGATGTTATGTCTGGTGAGGCTTCAAGTAACGGGATCTCTTTGCAAAAGTAACGGCAAGTAGATTGGTGGGCAACCCACTCGACATTATCTGTCAATGCAGGATTGGATGTAGGTCGATTCGTTTGCTCGTTCTCACTCTGTTGAATGAGTCCTATAGATGACAATGCCGGGTACGAGCCCAAGAAATACCCCCATGATACCCAGCTCATTGTGATTACAGGGGACATCAGTTCTAACTCGGGCACAACCTATTTCGGCGCGAATTTGGTGCTTCTTGTAATTTTGACCCTTGGAACTACATTTAACGGAGCGCATAGACCGCCGCAGTTAACTCCGGCCAGATTTCGCAAGCTCGGATAACTGTTGGGTTGTTTTGCGTATTTCCATAATCGAAAACTGAGTTGGTAAACAGGACTTGGCGACCCGTATTCTTGCCGCATGGTACCTTGTTGGACAAGACTCGGGTTTCCCGGCAGTCAACTTCGACGCGTGGAACGCAGGGTCGTCGTTCAACCAACATGTAAACGTTCAGGGCAACCATGGCACGTAAGCCTTTTCTGCTCCAGCTTTCAGCGGCCAGTTTGCTTACATAACTGATAGCTTGATTCGCCAAATCGATGCTGCATCAACGGTGCTGTTGAAGAATACAGGCGGCGCATTACCGCTCAAAGCACCTGCAACAATTGGTATTATCGGAAACGGTGCTGGAAATTCGTCCAGAGGTATCAATGGGTGGGCAAATTTACTTCCTGCAGCAACTTTTGGTGATTGAGATGTGGACAGATACTCTGATCGCGGTGGAAATGACGGAGTTCTGGGTATGGGTGAGTATTTTTTCTCTATGGTGGTGGTATCAACTCATCAAAATCAGGCTGGGGTAGCGGGTGCGGAAATACATATTCCCTTGTGGTCCTCGATTTGACTTTGGTCCCGTAGCACCGCCAACTTCCCTTATCTTATTGCGGTTCGTAGGCGTTTCCTCAATGCTCGGTTTTGTTGATGTTCGTTAATAGCCTCTTGACGCTATTCGAACACGCTCTGCAACCGACAAAAGCGTTGTCACTGCTTCTACCAGTGACACAGATTTGAATGCTGCTCGGACTGCCGCAACAGGCAAGACGGTGGCTCTGGTTTTCATCACTGGTTCGTTCAAGAAACACGTATCTGGCTTTTAGTTAATCTCTACCTCAGCGGACAGTGGCGAAGGCTATATCACGGTTGAAGGCAACGCAGGAGACCGCAACAACCTCGCAGCTTGGCACTCGGGTGTCTGTTTCTTCCTTTGCGAATGCTTTCAGTGTCCGATATCAGATTGCAGGACGCATTGGTTGCAGCTGTTGCAGCTGTTAACAAAAACACTATCGTCGTGGTCAACTCTGTTGGCCCGATCACGATGGAATCGTGGATTACCAACCCCAACAGTAAGTTGTCTCATGTTGTCTGGTCCTTGGAGTCGCTTATTTATCTTCGTAGTAACTGCGGTGGTGGGTCTACATACTATAGCTTGGATTGCAGTCATTGAAGATATATCTCTTAGGTTTGGAGCGGTATTCCTGGCCAGGAAGCTGGTATTTAGTTTCACTCCTTATCGTCTCCGGATTAACGCATTATAGGCAATGGCCTTGTCGATGTCCTTTATGGGGCATACAACCCAAGCGGTCGCCTCCCATATACCATCGGAAAATCAATCTCGGACTACTCGGCCCAAGTAACAACTAACCAGGCGGGCTCGATTACGCCCATCAACTACAGCGAGGGCATCTTCATCGACTACCGCCACTTCGACCAAGCAGCCATTGCCCCGCGATTCGAATTCGGCTTTGGATTGTCCTACACGACGTTCGGGTACTCCGGGCTGACAATTAGCGGCTCTACATCAGGCGGAACAAGACAATCTGGTCCTGGGTCATCTTTAGATCCTTGGTCCGTCTCCACTTTTTGTAGTTCACTGAGAACTGATCACTCTCTATTATAGGTTGCACAACCCCGTTGTCACCGTCACCTTCAGCATCCAAAATACCGGCACACTCGACGGAAATGAGGTCCCACAACTCTACTTGACATTCCCGACTGCAGCGCAAATGGCGCCCAAGAATCTGAAGGGTTTCGATAGTGTTTTCGTTGGGGCGGGGAAGACTGTGAGCGTGAGCATGTCCTTGTCGAGATTCGATTTCTCGACCTGGAACGTCGCCACACAACGTGCGTTTCTTTTGTGCCATCTTGTAACAACCTTAACATTGTTGTTGTCTAGGCTGGGAGGTCATCACGGGGAGCACAACGATCTCGATTGGCGCGAGTAGTCGGGATATCAGGTTAACGGGTACGATTACGAACTGAGTACTAGGAGTTTGTGTATTTGGAAAGAAGCAACGAGATACTTATACCCGTAACAATGGTAGCATTGGAGGTTCTACTTCAAGGATTACATAAACAGAGCAGGACTTGAAGCACACGTCCACCTCGTAGGTGGCCATCGGCTTTGGTCATGTTTTGATCGGTGAGCATTGACTTTTTCGCCTCTTCTTCGTTTCCCGGCGAGCAAGATTCTCAGCGAACTGCGAGCGGCGATTCATATCCCCATGCTGAGAGAAGCAGACTAACATGCTTAAAAACATCCGTTTATCGACTCCCATGGACCACCCAGTGGAACATGCGTCCCTATTCACCAACAGGACTAGTATCGACCGTCTCTTTCTTCCTAGCCGCAATCCAAGTTGAGGCTCGAATCTACAACATCCCTTCAACTCCCCAGCTTGCAACTGGACCAATCCAGGCGCAATTCACTGCCACTTCCTCGTCCGCACTGGCCCTCGATGCGCCGTTGGTGTCCCCCATCACCAACGCGTCGTTCGAGTACTGGTACTTTGACGTTGTGTCGACGGACCCCGCGGACCGGTCCTCCGTCGTCGTGTCCTTCTTCACGAGCGCCGCCTCCGCCGACCCGGTCTTGCCGCCGTCCAACATCGTCACGCCCGTGTCGATAACTGGCTCGTGTTCAGACGGCACGCTGTAAAATGCGTACACAGGCGGAAATGGGAAGGGAGCCACTGTCACCGTCGACAGAGCAGCTGGCGCAGCGAGCGGAGTTTGGCATGGCTCTGGATTCCGCTGGGAGGCAACGGACCTGTCGCGGTACAGGATCGTTGTCGATGCTCCCGAGTTGGACATCGTCGGGTCAATCACTTTTCATCGTGTGCGTTTCCAGCCCGCTTTCCTTGAATGTACTCACAACTCGCCGTCTGCAGATTACCCCAGCGCATCTGCCGTGTGGTCCGGTAGAGGTTGGGCAGACGCTCGAGGCAAGTCCTAAATGGGGCTGGGCCAACATCGTTCCCGATGCACTATCCGTCGTCGACCTCAAGGTGAAAGGAAACCACGTCAAATTCCACGGTGCTGGCTACCACGACAAGGTACTTGATGTCCTCTTCATGCTGAAGGCTTATCTTGAAAGGATTCAGAACTGGAGCGACCGACCTCTGTCGACAACCCAAGCCTCCTCCGCCTGGGGTCATGCACGAGCCGGGCCATACTCCATCGTGTGGTACACTATTCTTGATTCAGCAGGACAAGAGCATAACAGCGTCTACGTCGCCGAGGATGACGTCATCCTCATCGCGGACTGCTCCATCGACAGTCTCAAGATTTCGCCCGGATTCGCCACACGTGCGCCAACCGCATACCACATCCAGATCGCTTCAAGACTCGAACTGGACGTGCAGGTCGTCACACCACTGCTCGATCCGTTCCCGCTCTTTGGCCGCTTCTTTGGCAACTTGACCGCCCTGGTTGATGGGGAGAAGCGCTATGACGGGACAGCGATTTTGGACCGTTTTTATTCAAAGTAGGCGCTGCATGGTGTGGTTCGGATATGGTTCTGTAGATAGGTATGTACATACGAGTGACTCCAACTTGAATATCTTTCTTAACTGATCTATTACAGGTTTGCGACAAAAAACAAAAGCTCCACGCAGTCCGCAAAAATAGAACTTGTTGCTGCACAACATAAGGCCGGCAGCAAAGCGATTCGTTATCCGCCGCGGCTTTCCAAAGGAAGGACCTGCGATACTTAATGTCCGAAGGCTTCAGGTCCCTGAAAGCGAGTGAGCTCACTCATCGATTCCCATTCATGCACCATCTCTCATCAACGGAATTGCTAGCGGTACTGGTAGGAGTAATGTCAGGCAGCGCCGGAATCTTCCACATCCCTGCCACTGCGCAAGCTGGGCCCAGCCGTAGTCTGTCGCCGGTCTATGGTCGCTTTTTCGGCAACATGACCGCGTTGGTTGACAGGGAGACGCGTTATCATGGGACAGCGATCCTAGATCGGCTTTTTACACAACCTGCATCAGAGTAATATTCTATGTAACGACCATGAGTGGCTTTCGTCGGGAACAAACAAACTTGCTCACTATATTTATAATGGAAATCGTATGCTAACCCTAACCTTAACCCTGCACGATAGAGTCCCAAATCAAGTCCTCCTTTCCATTGATATTGTAAGAAAAAAAGATTTCGTATAAAATTCCGTCATAATTTAGCCTTGCTTTTGACCTTCCGCTCATACTCTTCTTGCAGAGTCCTCCTCAACGTCTTTCCCGTTGGAGTTTTGGGTATCTGCCCCGCGTTAACGTGTTTAATGCACCATATGACGCCCACTCACAGTTTTGACCACCTCGATCCCGCCCCGCAGCCACTTGTACCGACTGAGCTGGCCCTCGTGCCACTTCAACAACGCCTTCATCGTGGCCTCAGGCCCTTTCTTTTTCCCCGCTGGGCTCAGCACAATCCACGCCCGCGGCACCTTCTCGTCGTGGTCCCGACCGCCAGAGACACCCGCGACAGATACGTCAGTGATGAGCTTCTCCGGGTGGGCCAGGAGCACGTCTTCGATCTCCTTTGGCGAGACTTGCACGCCCGAGACCTTGAGCGTGTCTTTCCCGCGATCCGCGTAGCTGCACACAACGCGCGTCAATTAACGGTCACGTGACATGCAGTAGTAACCCACAAGAGAAAGCCGTTCTTGTTGATGCGGAACTGGTCCCCTGTCCGCAGCCACCCGCCGGCCCACGTCCCCGCGTTAGCGGCAGGGTTGTTCCAGTAGCCCATGCAGATCGTCGGGCCCTGCAGCCACAACTCGCCGACCTCGTCGATTGCCGCGTCGGTTTTACCGTCTTCGCGCACAATGCGCGCTTCCAGGCCGGGAAGCAGGATTCCCTGGCTGCCAACAGGGGTGCCTTCGTAGCCAAAGGCGCCTGGGGGGAGGAATGCCGTCCCTCCCAGTGTCTGTTGGCAGGTTAACCGCATGGACCGACATAATTAACGTCGTGACATACACTTTCGGAGAGCCCATATCCTTGCTGTAAGCTTACTCGGGACCCCAGCGTTTTCCGCAGTCGCTCCCCGAGAGCCGGGGGCAGGTAGGCCGCGCCGCTGATCGCATGCTTTATCGTGCTGAAATCCGTCTTGTGGAAGTCGGGATGCTGGACCATCTGGTGGATGAGGGACGGCACAAGCGAGAGGTGCGTGACCTTGTATCTGCAGGTTGTGTTCATAAAAGGCGTTCAGAGATGCCATGCCGCCAACTTACTTGGGGATTGCCGCTAGGTATTTCGTGGTGTTCCATTTCTCCAGGACGATGAAGGTGATTGGCACGAGCGTGGCGCGGAAGACGTAGACGTGTAGCCCGTAAGTGTGGAACATGGGGAGCGCCGCGAGTGTGGTTATGTGGTCGCCCGGCTGTTTCGGAGGAAGGAAGGGCTCCAGGACCGGGCCCATAACGAGCGCCTGCATGGCGGAGGCATAAAGGTTGCCATGCGAAATCATCACCGCTGTGTTGGGGTCAGAGAAATACGTGGTCGAAAGTAGATAATGACTACCTTTGGGCAGCCCACTTGTTCCACTCGACATGACGAGATACGCGAGGGTATCCTTCTTGGCTGGGCGCACGCCCACAACGGGTGTCTTTTTGCGGACAACACCGTCGATAAGGCTTGTCAAGCTCTTGCGGCCTTTCGGCGGTGTGCCCGAAAGGATGTAAATGTTGTCTGCCCTGAGGTTGACCTCGGGGTCCTGAATGGCGGACAGCACATTGGGAAGTAGTTTGGCGTCGACAAAGAGGCACGTGGCCTTGGTGAGTTTGAGGGCGTGGACGAGCTCCCGACGTGTCGAGTACGACGATATGAGGGCGAACGGGACGGTGATGGAGAGCAGGCCAGTGACCAAGTCAAAGTACTCCTGTTGCACCAAGTCAGCATGCCAACATTGAAAAGAAAGTCAACGCACGATACTGTTGTTCCCCAAAATGCCAACAATCTCTTCCGTCCCAGCCTGCAGGCCAAGTCCCCCCTGTGTGACGGGCCCACCGAGTGCAGTAGCCGCCCTCGCGACCAGGCTTGGCACCTCCCTGAACATCCGCTTGCGGCCACTCCGGTCGTCAATCTGCATCACATAGTCCGGCCATTCCGCCTACCAAGCCAGCGGGGCGATCGTGAGAAGGCAGGAACTCAACAATTCGGGCTCTTACCTGGTCTGGGCGGCCAAACATCACATTATAGTAGTTCACATCCGGAATGGGCGGGAGAGGCGGGAACTGCGATTTGTGTGCCATATCGTCGAGGGTAAAAGGCAGTCGACGGTGTGCGGGCGCCGGGCGAGGGAATTGAATCAAATACTGCCGGCTATTGACTGTCGGCCATCGACTAAACCGGAAGCCGGATGTGGTATGTTTCCGCTGACTGTGATGGTCAGGGTCATCCAATGCACGTGCCCTTTGCTTAAAGTGCAGTACATCTCCATTTACAGCTTTCTGCGCACACCTCTCGACGTGTTCCTATTAAACTGTTCTGCAAACTTGATACAAGAGCTCAATACTTGGGGTCCGGTGTATTAATACAATAAGAGATATAGGCAGAAGAACTCGAAACTGCTACAGCCTTCCGTTAACAGACTGCATACTAGAACAGCCAATGAGCTTCGTGGACGAATGAGGAGCCGAATAATGATAAGACTGCATACCTTCTGCGCACAGTTCAAAGCATCCAACCCAGCAGTCAACGTGATATAGTCGTAAACACTCCCGCCTTCATCCGGGGCATACCACGCCTCGCCGATCTGCCCGTCCGCTCTCGTTGCGAAATGGATCACCGCACTCGCCTGGGCACCAACGAACGCCGCATACTTGTCGCGGACCGTGTTGTTCACATTGTCCAGGAAATACTGGAGGTGTTTCATGAAAGCGCCCTTGAAGTACTTCTGGTCGCCATTGCATCCGCTTGGATTATTGTTCAGTTGCTTTTTTTCTTCGTGTTCGGAACTTGACTTACGAGGGAGCACTGTTTGAAACGCTGTCGCATCCTTCAGCCAGAATACCATCCACAACCTCGAAATGTCGGTCCGGCGAGCCCTTGGAGCTGGGCTGCGGCAACGGGGCGGAGACGGGGTCCGCGACGACGCCCTCCAAAGTCACAAGCGCATAGTCGATATATTTCGCATCGCCAGTCAGCGTGGACAGCGCCCCCATGCCGCTCAGAATTGGGCCTTGATTGTAGCTCCAGGTCGTGTGGTCGGGTCCGGTGCAGTTCTCGTTCTGTCCATCAAACCAGAGTCCGTCACTACCGCGAAGACTCTGCCCTTTCCCCGGTCATGTACCATTGTGCTGCAGTGATCGCTTGGCTGCGAAGCGTCCCATTTGGATCAGAGTATTGTGCGAGCACAACGGTGAGCGAGAAGTAGAGATGGGTGGTGATGGTGTTTGGCCCAGTATCACTCGTGTGTTGCGGCACTGAACGGAAACTCAGATGTTGAAGAGAGAATTCTCAAGATTGATTTACGAACCTCCGCCCCCACAACCTGATTTGCTTAGCCACGTCGCTGCAATATCTTGCTGGATCTTGAGCGCAGCATTCTACCAGACAAGCATCAGTTTTTTCTATCAATGGTTTTCAAGAGAAACAGACATAATAATAAAGGTCGCCAGATGTTGTTTTTCCATGCGCGTCGTTGTACTGCTGAACCTTGATGTAAAAGAGACCAGCCCATGCGGCATCGTCTTGAGACGCTGGACGTGTGTCAGTATAGCAATACTTGTGAAATTTGATCACTGACTGAAAGATTGTGTGACGGGAAGCAGTATCGAAGAGCCTTTGGATTCATTCGGCACAGTTGCTTGAAATTCGACGATATCGTCAGATGATAATGGAGAACTGAATATCTAAAAGACAAACATCAGATAACGAAAAAAGAAAAAAAAAGAGAAATACCTGTCCAGTTTCCCACATCGTGTTGTACATCGTTTCCATCGTATTGACATTCGTCCATTCCGTATCTGATAAACCCGGAGAGCTGGTTCCGGGGTCAGGCCAGTGACCACAAATTCCTAAGATAAAAAAAAAAGTACACCTCAACCCAAGAAAGATTCCGATCTGAGATGCACTGACCACTGCGTTCGCAGTCTCTGTCGTACCAACCACCATCCGGGCTGAACAATAGCTTGAGAGCAGCAGCGGCTTGTGTCCCAAGACTTGCACACCCAACCGGAGTACCTGAAGGCTGATTCGGCGTCGTTTTGGTGGCAGCCCATCGACTGAGCGTGCTCTGAAGACCATCAACATTGTCAGAATGACTTGCCACATTCGTCGAGCCGACAGTCAGCATAGTCGTTGCTCCAATGGTGCTCAAGCCATAAATGTAAGTTGCCGCACTGTCGTCATCAATGTGAACGAGTGACTTTTGGCAGTTTACAGATGTTTTGCAATCTTGTGAGTAACTCTATCGTTGTTAGCATTTTTTGTTTCCCCAGTTCAGAATTTGACATACGATGAAAAAGCTATATAATCCGGCGCCATAAACGAAGATATCGGAGGACGAGGCAATATTGAGGGCCCAAGCTGAGCCACTACTGGACCACGATGGGTCGTCCCAGTCACTTTTGGCCGAAAATGGGGCAGGTGGTGCGGGAGTAGGCTGATAGTAGGGAGTCTCTGTCTGAATCATTCCCATGTACACATATCGGGACGCGACGATGCTGTATTGATAGAAAACCTGAACAGGGCATTATGCTCTGGAGCGGACTGTGCAGAACGCAACTCACAGCATGTTCCGAAGCGGTGCCAACTAGCCAAACAGGACCTGGTGCATGATCGACAAAAACTCCGCGAGCGGTGAAAACATTGATTCGTCCTTGGCCGGGATCGTCGAGGTCATGGTCGGCAGTCCACACCCAAACGTTCTATAGGGAAAATATTTTAGTGTGCAAGTTCTAGAGAAAGCGGAACCCAAGACCTCAAAATATCCTCCGCCCAAGATATGCAAACCAAGGAACGCGCCCATACAAGAAGTCGCTGTTGATGTTGTGGGGCATTGACTAGCCTGCAACTTCGTCCCCATAGCGCCACCAACTCGAACATGAACATCCTAATTTACTGTCAAATTCCAAACCAAAAAATAGTGGGACACCCTACCCAGGCCCCAACTGCGCCAGCATCACCATTCAATCGCAATAGCCCCCGCAGACCCTCCAACGGTTGACACAACGATATCGGATATTTCCATTGTGCCCTTGTCTCCCGGATTTCCGACTTGCAAGACGGGTTTAGGATTGCTTGGGTCATTGAAGGCGGTACCAGAAGCAAGGATTGTCGTCCAAAACTCCCCCACGACCACAGAGCCGGTTGGAATGGTGATCGTATTTGATACTTTGCACACCCCGGCGTCCAGGTACAAAATTTTGCACCCCCAGAACTTGTTAATGAACGCTTGAAGATTGCTGGTATCATCGGTCGTGCCATCGCATTTGACGCCATTGGATTTTGCCGATGCAAATTCTACAGATATAATTGAGATTTTTTGCACGTAGCCCAAGGTTAAGTTACGGACGGCTGGTGGCGTAGTTGTTGTATTGAGGTCGTGTTCGAAAAAAGACTCCATTGTTATTGCTGGTCGAATCGAGTAATTGTGAGGGTAAATCGGGACCAGGTGTTGCTTTCGTGTTATAGGCATGCTTGGTCGAGTTTCCTATGCAAGATTTTACGGAACATGTATGACAGTTCGGAATAATGCTGACCAGTATACTCGTTTCCGAGAACGAATTGATTCACTGTCCCACCTCCGGCTAGGAAGGTATGGCCCGCTCCATCAATGACACCAGCACCTGAACCGGCCAGATTGACATTCTGCAAGAAAACGGCTCCTCCGAGTTTCGTCGATTGGTCGGTATTGGTCTAAGGTTTTGTCAGTGCCGTCTGATGATATTGATATAGCAACACAAACCTGAACAGCAGCAGTTTTTGCACTGATTGAACTGTCCAGAATGGTGACTGATCCTGCGGACTGAGTGGCCTCTGTTTGACCATTGGTGTTGAGACCGAAACCAATGCGGCAGTTCGTGATGACGATGTTCTTGTACGTGAATTGCCAGTTCCATTGCTGTCAGAGAGTGAGATGAAGGCACGCATCAGTGTAACGAAGTCCCATACCTGGTAGATTGCGGTGTCCGCACTATCTATCTTTACATTGTGAATAGTAAATCTATGCAGTTATCAGCGTTAACTTGACTAATATAGGTCACATACTGTTGATTGGATATCCATAGTCCAAATGCCCCGCCACTAATGGTGAGATCTGCCATAAAGCCCCCAGAGCCGTTTTCCATAAAGACTGCTTGGTGTTGGTTGCCCGATGCAGTCGATAGCAGAAAATCAATTCCGATGAGGGAAGTCGCTTGGCCGACCTGCCAATGGATGCCTGTGCCGAATTGCGAGGCGGGAATGTTTCGTGTGTCGATCACAAAGTTGCGTATAGAGCGAAAGAAGTTGTTGACAGGGCAATACTAGGGAAGAAATTGAGTTTCCAGTGAGCAAATATTTACGAGAAAAGTACAGACCCATTCAGTATCCGAGCTTGGGCAGTTCCATCCACCTGCAGGGACTTGACCACCGGAGTAAACGTCTGCGTCAATAAGACCAATACCGGCGAAATCGCCTCGAGCAACAATATGTGGCTTGTTTTTCGCGTCTCCAACTCTGCTCGAAGAATTAACCTGAGTTGGTCGCCAGCTCGACAAAATAGGAACGCACAATGAGGTGTAATAGTAGGGAATGATAGGTTTGGTGATCAAGTATTTGCGGCCCTGGCCCGGAAAATAGATTAAAGCGGGTTCCACTGAGCTGCTCTGGCATGTGAGGTTTCCACAGCGTCCACCGTCCGAGATCGCACGATTAATGGCATCCGTATCCTTTCGACAGTTAGCACAATATAGTTGGGGCAGGAAATGAAGACCCTTACATCAGTAACTCCGTCTCCGACTGCGTTATATGGCGCTTGGGTTACGTCTCGGAAGACCTTGTACGAGGAGCCTCCAGGATTGAATGGTGATGTCCCTTGCCTCTGAATCGTTTTCATCCAATATGCATCTGAGCAGCATTGTTAACACAAGTCCCATTTCATTGTGAGAAACCGACCTGAAGTAGCAGCACTCCCGCTGCCCAATGGGCCAGAGCAGGAGCTCCCTAGGGCGGAGACTTGTTGAAGGGAAGCCGCAAACAATCCGAGGAGAAATGGCAGGGAATGCATCTCTAGGAATCCATTGCGACTCGTTGGCCTCCGCCTTTTAAAAGCACCATTGTTGGGCAACTAACTGGCAACGGAGCTAGACCTGTAAAAACTCGTTCGCTCTATTTCAAGCCGACGGCTGCAAGCAATGAATCAGGACACTGAATACGGGTACGAGCTATGGTTAGAATACACTCACCGCTGTGGACGCCGATTGGGGAGGCATAGGAAATGAATCAAGACTGCACACGCTCTATTTCTCGTAATGTTCATCGGGTCCGACCGTCTTGCCCTTTGAGGACTGTGTTTTCTCCACGCGTCATGCAGAGCCAATTCAAGTCTTCTGTCGTCGATGATGATTTCCCAGAGTTGCGCGTGTGCCCGTGATGCGTGTAAAAGACCCTAAGGGTCTGGTCGAGGTCAGCAGTTGAAGTCTGAAAATAACCCCATAGACTCACTGAGTTTATATCTTGCCCAAATACACCCGCTGGATGTCGATCTTTTCAAATAAGTTGAAATAATGCCACATAAAATCGTTACAGCGTTTGTCGGATAGACCTCTGAGCATGACCTCGTCGTGGTGGAGTAAAACTAAGTTCTCATAAGAACGGCAAATTTGATGTGATGTCAATTGATCAATGTTCTTAGTACATAGACCAAAACAACACAGTTATTTCGAATCATCCACTCGCGCCTTCTTGCTCGCATCTCCCTCAACCTGCTCATCAGCTTTCCTCTTTCCCGGAGGCGACCCACTCCCGCTCTCATCCACAACAGGCTTCTTTTTCTTTTTGACTGCCATCGTGAGGTCGTTAACCGTTGATGTACCAGCAGCACCCTTGGAACCACCAGCATTCAGCTCCTTATCAAGAGCTTGGGCAGCCAGAGCTGACGCATTACCGATCGGCTCAGCAGGTCGTGTTTTGAGCTCGTCGATCTGAGAAAAGGCATCAGCGGACCTGAAAATGTGAATGAAAGCGCCAAAGCAATGACCTTGACCGCTAAATCCTCCTTGAGCCCTTCGAGCTCTTTCATCTCGGTCTCGACTTGCGCGGGAGTCAAGCCCACGAGCGATGCATCTTCCATGGACTCCTTCGCTTTGCCCTTACCCTTACCCTTGGAGTCACCCGTGCTCGAGCTGACCTCGCCACTTTGCGGATTTCGTAATAACGCCAGCCGACATTCAATGCTCTCCAGCGCGCGCTCAGCCTGCGTGATGGCGTCTGCGAGACGTCCGGAAGTAAGGTCAAGCACGATAGACAATTTGTAGTGAGCTTCTGCGAGTTGACGCGAGCTTTGTGGTAGTAATGCACTCTTTAAGGCCAATCCCGCTTCATAGTCAGTTATGGCTTGCTCGAATTTCTCTATGAAAGACGTTCAGTAACACTAGCATGAGATAATGGTAGCCTACACACCAGTTTCGAGGGAGACATCGCCTAACGCGAGATATGTCTCCGCAAGCTTCATTTGTATTTCCGCATCATCTTTCTGTCCTTCATTTTGCTTGTGATAAATGCCTCTGGCGAGCTCAAAGACCTCCCAGGCCGCATTGAAGTCGTCCTCTGGCTCGTCATTGTCCCCTTCGGCATCCTGTTCCGTTTCTTCAGTGGCAACGGCCTCTTCCGCGGCCTTGAAAAGGTCCACAGAGTCGTCTTCAGCATCCCCTGTAAAGGACAAAATGGGCTTGGTCCCCGATCCTGCGTTGAGTGGCTCAGCGACGCTATCATCAACGGAGAGCCCACACGCACCAATTGGCTCGTCATCTTCGTCTTCCTGCTCGGGCTGGTCTTTACCAAGCACCGAGCTCTGTGAAATGGCGTTCTCGAGCAACGCCCGTCCATAAGCAAAATAAAGATCTGCCGTTTCTGGCGCGTCGTCTCCTTGTTCTTGAGTCCTACGAAGGCGTCAGACGCGTCTGTAGAGATATTGAAGGAGCTAGAGGGACATCTTCTCGAGGGCAGTGGCATAGTGCTCAACTGCTTGTTCATATTTCTGTAACGCAAAAGCGCGTTTGGCGTGCTCGATGGTTGTTGGGAGGTCCATTTCCGGTCCGGTAGCGTCACTAAGATATGCTTTAGTTTCGGAAGGAATGCGTTCTGTGACGCCTACGACGACATGTCGCGTTACGATGAGTGGTGGTCAAAGACAAAAAAGTGTGGATGTGACGGCACGCGAGGTGTGACAATTTGTGCAAGTTTTAATTCAAGTTTTGGCGAGAGTCTACGAGAGTTTTCGGTATGTTACAGTACTTTGACTGGAACTGGAAGCGAATCAAGGACGCAAGTGTATTAGGAGCAAGCAAAGTACGACATAAATATAACTTGGTACTGCACATAGTAAGTCTACAACGTTCGACGATGGGCGATGATCCAGTTGAAATGCGAAAGAAAATCAGAAAAGAGTGTGAGTCATCAAATGAGTGAACCATTTTGCTGTTGTGTTGGTTGTTGCTGGTTGCCAAAAGCGCCACCGAAGGCACCTCCTCCAAAAGCCCCCCCGGTAAATGAGGGCTGGCCCGGTCCGAATGCGCCAGCACCAGTTGGCATTGGCGGCATTGGGCCACCCATAGCCATTGAAGCCCGGAACGGATTGGCTGCGCCACCAGTCATTTGCGGCCGTAACCCGACGCCGAGCGTAGAACCACCAGGTCCTGTCGAGGCCTGGCCAAAGTTACCAGCGGCAGGACTAAAGGTGGTGGGGTTGACTTGAGGAATCCCAGTCGGATTCGTCCCGAATGCGCCAAATGCAGAACTCGTTGTTGGAGTGGTTCCGGCCCCTGACGAAAAGAAACCCGTTGGCTGAGCAGTCACACCGGTCGTTGATACAGACGGACTGGCTGGACTTCCCGGTATTGTCGGTAAAGAGCTTAACAAACTCGCGCCAAACGAGGACGAGGGTTTAAAACCCTGAAGACCAGTTGTTTGAGCCGAAAGTGTGCTTGATGAGGATATTGAGGATAAAGAGTTAGGAATGGTGGAAGCGGATAACGGCGAAGATGGGTTATTTAGAGCTGATTTGGACATATCAAATCCACCTCCAAACGATGAGGTTGGGCTGGACAATGAGCCGGAGGACGTGGAAAAGGCGATTGATGGCGAACCGATACTTGTTGCTGTAGTAGTGCCTGTGAACGAGGAGAACAAGGACGATCCACCAGTGTCAGAAGCAGTTGATGACGGTGCAGTTGTTGCACTTGTGGGCTTGCTGAAAGCAAATTCGCTGGCTATGGAGCCCATGTCTGTTGCACCAGGTCCAAGGGCACTCTTGCTGTAATCGAAGGCTTTTGCCGCACTCCCAGCCAATCCGGTGGGTTGAATTTGAACCGATGGAGTCGGGGTAAGGCCTGTCGGTTGTGACTGGAACAACGGTTGTGGTCCACCTCCCATCGCAAGCTCCATCAATGTAGGTTGTCGAGGAATGGCAGGAATGTCCTCTGGTTTAGGAGCTGGCGCGCCAAATGGATTTTTCGTTCCTGTTTGATGAGACTTAACGGGTTGTAGTCCAGGACTCGACGTAGTGGTTGGAGTTAAAGCTGAGAGCGATGGCGCAACCGGTGATAAAGCAGTGAGAGGAGCAGAAGCGGGTCGAGGGATACCAGCGCCAGGAGACGTTGAATTTGTGTTGTTTATCAGAAAGGGGGGAACAGCGGGGACGGAGGGCACACTCGAAGTTAAAGTTGAATTGAACGCTGCTGGCCCTGTTCCCTGCGAGAACATCATGCTCGCCCGGAATGGGTTTGCTGCTCCGGCTCCGCCCGTCATTTGTGGTCGCAGTTGTGGAGGAGAACCAGCGGACAAAGGCATTGGGGTAGGAACAAATTGACTGGCTCGGAACGGATTTGCGGCCCCGCCTGTTATTTGCGGTCGTAAAAATGGTGGAGTCTGGGTTGGTTGTTGCTGAAGAGGTGAACCAAATGCCCCAGTTGGTTGTGCTGCTAATCCGAATGCTCCTGATCCGGCTGGTGGTCCTCCGAATGCTCCAGCACCCATTCCAGTTGCTTGAGCTGTCAATGGACCGAAAGTCGATATGGGTCGAGCTCCGCTGAAGGGATTGAATCCTGTCGCCTGTGGTTGCAAGCCTCCTGTAAGTCCTCCCATCGGCATTCCTGGGACTTGGAGCTGCGGTTGAGAAAACGCGCCAGTAGGTTGAAGTCCAAATGCTCCGGTTGGCTGCGGACCAAATGCTCCAGTTGGTTGTGGACCGAACGCCCCTGTTGGCTGCATCCGTTGAAACGGGTTTGGACTGGAGGCCATCTGTTGAAAGTATGCTGTATTTGGGCTGTGCAGAGGAAAAGAAAAAAGAAAATTAATAAATGGAACGTTAAATGAGTGCGGATAGATTATACATACCTATTGGTTGCGGGATTGAACATAGTGGGTTGGGTTTGCTCAATTTCAGCGAAAAAGTCGACCAGCTCATCGGGCGATGTTTTGGAGCCGCTCGCAGTTGCACCGTTAGAGCTTGTAGATGCGGTACCATTGGTGACTTTGGTTGTTGACGATGAAGCGGGGGACGGTAGAGTGGGCACTGGCGGAGTATCGGACTTGGCAGCTGGACAACTGTTATATGGATCGAGCACATGTAAAAGTAAACTGTACCGTTTCGTCCACGTTTGACAGCTTCCTTGTTCGTCTTGTATTCGATTCGGTTCTGCTCGAAGGCAGGATCGTCCAGATATTCTTGAAGCGCGCCGGCAAGAGAGACTGGTGCCTGTCGATGTTGCTGAGCAAGCGAATAAAGCAGACAAATTGAGGATGCCACATACGTGCTTCAAATTTGGGATGGGGACATTGAGCAGATTTTGCAGCTTCCTGGCGACACCAAGATACTCGACCACCTGCTCCGTTTGGGTACAGAAGTGGCGATATATGCCTAACGCTTCTTTGGCATCGATATGTGACATCTCGAAGTAATGCTCGAGGAGATTAATGACACCTTCGTTGCCCGCTTGGAAGAGGATGAGAAGATCCTTGACGAGCATGCGGAGTGCAGTGAGTGTGAGCGGGTCTTCAAGATCGTCGAGGTAGAATCTACATGCGACGAGTGTATCGATCATGCCGTGGACCACACGCGTTTCCCGCAAAAGGCCTTTCTCCACCGTCATCGACCTCAACTTTCGGCCAGCAAGAGTTTTGCTACGCTGAAGAGGAGTACTTTTGGGGATTGGGCCGCTGCTTGAGTATTGATTGCACTGTTTGACTGAGGAGATATTGACACGAACCCATTCAAGCCAGCACTAACTCTTGCATCTCGGTTGGAATCTGACTGAACTCGGATGGCGTCATGTTTGAGGTCGCGGTAAGACTTTATACGCGAGTCGAGGTAAGAAGCATAGTGTTGGAGATTTTCCGGTGCTGAATAGCCTGGTCAAGGAGGTTAAAAACTCACTTCAAGCTATGGGGCTGAAACCGACCATCCCAATTACCGGCTGACACGTTGTGTAGCCTCAACACCGACGAGCCACTGAGATATCCCAAAACATTATCCGTCGAGCCATTCCGTATCATCGTATGCAGAACGATGAGCGCCTTGAGAACGACGACAGCGTTGGGTTCACGAAAGCGTGGGGAGAGGGCCTTGCAGACATCGTGAACGGCGCCTCCTTCATCCCAGGTCGCCGCAATGATTGGGTCGAGGTACTTGGCTTTGGGCGGCGCTGCTTTGGGCTTGCAGGCACCCTTCACCACCTTCTCGTAGGAGCTCATGATCAAGCCGGTGTGTCACGTCGTGATGCTTGATTACGAGCCCAAGTGCGTTCCCAATTACTATATCGTTGTTTACCCTAGAGCTGAATCTCAAGCGACCCACAATAATTGGGTCATATAGGGCTCATGTCCTTTCGGTCTAACTTGATCTACTTTCCTCTAGTCGACCTCTGGCGCAGAACTACGTCGGACGAACTCTAGTAGTCGCGAAGAAACAAGAGAATTAGAGGACTACTGTCTCGATAACTTCGCTGGAGCGACTTCCAGAGTCTCGCAATACAACGCTGCTGCTTGGCTGCTTCGACCATTGTGGAACCATGACTGCGATTGGATCAAGAAGTGATATATTGAGGGTGAATTCTCCCTCCGCAATATTAATGGACGACTGAGCTCCGAGAACAGGATACTAGTAACATGCTAAAACTAATCGGTGAGACCTGGTTGTGAAGCTGCTTTTCGTCAGATTCAGACAATCCCAAGTAGTTGCGCGCTCAATGTACTCGGCTTGTAACTACCTACTAACACTCCTAGCAAGTGTTGACAAATCCCGCCGTTTTGAGAAAACTGAAGTCGCCAGTCGAAGACTTTTAACTGGATACCCAGGCCTCAAACTAGCCTCAGCAAAGCTGTTTGGGTACATAAACTTGAACCTGATACAAATGGTTTTACAGTCTCAATTCACATCGTCCGTTCATTGTCGATTTCACGATGCTGGATGTGTATAGTATAGGAGTATGACTATCTGCTTCTCCCTCTTTCCACGATAAGTGCGTGACTCAATCCTGTACAGCGGTGCAGTCTGCCAACTATGCTGCGACTTTGCTATGAATCCTATGATGCTTGAAACGACAAGAAACTTCTGCTTGTCCTTGAAACAAGTCCTTAAGGATCACACTGGTTATTTGTTCTTTTGACAATAAAAGCGTTACGCATCGTTAGATATACTCAACTACAGATTCACATTATTATCGACTTAAGCCAGTCTGACACCCAAAACCTTCCCGATTTTGCTGAGAGTAGCGGCGTTGGGGAGTACGAAAGCTTCGAGGCCTTTGACGGCGGAGACCGAAACACCGGCTTTGGTAGCTACCTGTTGTTGGGTAAGCTTCTTTTGGAAGCGAGCAGCAGAAGCTAACTGTAGGCGAAGTCAGCTTTTGTGCAGCGAATGATTGAGGGTTGCTTACAGTGCCAATGCGACGAGCAGTAGGGCTGACGGTCCGGGCTGCACGGGCCTCGAGAACATCTTCGTCATCTTCGTCGTGATCATGTTCCTCCTCTTCGACATCGCGGCGAGCAAGACGAACACCTAAAACACGCCCAATCTTGTCAAGGGTGGCTTGAGGAGGGAGAACGAAGGCTTCAAGTCCTGCAACGGCGGAAAGACTGACACCCGCCTTGGTCGCGACCTGCTGCCGGCTCAGGTTCTTCTGGAAACGAGCAGCGGAAGCCAACTGGATCACATAAGTCAATCTCGACCACAATGTTTGGAGGAGAAACACTTACGGTGCCGATGCGACGAGCCCGAGCGCTGGCTTGGTTGTTTCGCTGCGCACGGGCCTCAAGAACATCGTCTTCGTCGTCTTCGTAGTCATGCTCTTCCTCCTCAACATCGCGGCGAGCAAGACGAACACCTAGAACACGCCCAATCTTGTCAAGGGTGGCTTGGGGAGGGAGAACAAAGTTCTCAAGTCCCGCAACTGCGGAGACCGAAACACCGGCTTTGGTAGCTACTTGTTGTTGGGTAAGCTTCTTTTGGAACCGAGCAGCAGAAGCCAACTGTAGGCAAAGTCAGCCTTTGTGAGCGAATGACTGAAGGGTACTCACAGTGCCGATGCGACGAGCCCGAGGGCTGGCTCGGTTGTTTCGGTCCCCACGAGCATGAAGAACATCGTCTTCGTCGTCTTCGTGGTCATGCTCTTCCTCCTCAACATCGCGGCGAGCAAGACGAACACCTAAAACGCGTCCAATCTTGTCGAGGGTGGCTTGGGGAGGCAGAACAAAGGCTTCGAGTCCCGCAACGGCGGAGAGGCTGACACCCGCCTTGGTCGCGACTTGCTGCCGGCTCAGGTTCTTCTGGAAACGAGCAGCGGAAGCCAACTGAAGCACATACTTAAGTCAATCTGGAGCACACAGTTTAGAGGATGAACACTGACAGTGCCGATGCGACGAGCCTGAGCGCTGGCTTGGTTGTTTCGTTGCGCCCGAGCATCAAGTTCAAAATCGCGAGCTTCGATGGCGATAACCGATTCCGCGATGGCAGAGGGGTTGCGCGCGGCCAATGCTTGCTCGCATTGCACGGGAGCAGCGGCGACGGAAGAGGAAATCGCGAGGAGCGTGAGCGTCAAAAGAGACAGGGAGCGTGTAGTGAAGATCATGTTGTGTTGTCGATAGAATCAAAGTTGAAGAGATCAAAGGTAAAAGCAACTTGTGCAAAGGTCAGTGGTGGTTAGCTTGCACATGGAGGACGAGACATACTACGACGCAAGCGCTGTATGAAAAAAGCAAAAAAAAAAGTTGGGGGGCGGGAAGGAGAATGAGACCAAGCTGAGGAACTCAGACTACGAGTGGACCCTTTATACCCGGCGGTCGTTGTTATTTCCATTTGTCGTCAGAAGCTGTCGCAAGTCGCAACAATGAACAATGACATGAACATGGTGTTGATCCTCTCGGCATTCCGGCGATCGACACCGATTCGACGGACGGTATAACAACATAGACATCGAATACTTAGTGGGGAAGTTGTTTGCGTCACCCTGCTCTGACCGATGTTCAGCAAACTGGATAATACGGATACGCTAAGAAAGGTCCCAGTCGTCCATGGTTTGGTGCCAAGCCTGAGGCGGAATGCGCGCAATCGTGTCAGACTGACAGATTGTAAAGGTTAACGGGTAGGGGCTGAGTCATCTGCACGTGACGCGACTTTTCTGTTCCTCCATCTCCCATCTTCTTTCTCGCAGACCACTATCGCAACGATGACTATACACGTATGAATGCACAACACTCCCTCTAAATGACTTTCAATGCTTAACGCCGAGTATCCTAAAACTTCGAAGGCATTTGGGGCTCCTGTCTAGCGTAATCAACAGCCATTTTCGACACAAACAAAAAGTTTGTTTGCCGCGCGATGGCCATACACTCGCAATATATAGTGAATGGCGACCCGTTGATGTGGCCAGCCATGCCACTCATGTATCTCGTCCATCTCGATACTTACCATGCCAACAAGTTCAACAAACAGATTATTATTGGCCACCCGTTCCATCAACATTCCATTCTCAGAAGACCAACTCCTCAACAACTCCTCTTGAACCAGATCTGAAATTCTGCCAACGAGTTTTGCCTTACACACTTAGGATGAAGCCATGATCGAAAACGACCGACTTGAAAAAAAACGACCGACCAACAGCGGATATCATTAAAGACGATTTTTGCCTGCGATGATGCTATGCATGGAGCATCGGTACCGCTTTGCTGCGTCAGCTACTAGGTCGCAACGGCTACCAGTGTGATACGTAGCGAACCCGTTCCACTGAAAGTTCGAATTCCTTGATTCGGTTTGTACTTGGCTTCGACTCGGAAGTGCCAGTGCGGTCGCGTCTTGAGACTTCTCCACTCGCTCCACTATGGCAGGGACATTGAACATGGTCACCGAATCGGGGACTTGACTGTCTCAATCGGAGTCAATCCCGCTCGCCGAATACAACTTCTGGCCGCCTGATGTCAACTTCTTGGACAGCCTTGATCATCGATCTGGACAACACAATCGCCAAGTAGAAGCTTAGTCAGGACGTCCTTCACGGGCAACAAATCGTTGCTGCGGATGTATTTCTTGCGTGCGGACAGCGTGGATCCGGTTGTCCTGCACAAGCACCTCAGAGGCGATCGAAATGCTTCGAGTCTCGAGATTTGTGGTGCTCAGTACAAGATATGACTGCCATTTGCATTCGTTAGTTTCTGATTTGACGACCGTCGTGCGTCCGAGCACAAGCGGATCTCAAGCTCACGCTGCGGGACCGGGAAACCCGCACGGCGAGTTAGTGACTGGCCGCGATTATCCATCAATGTTGGGTCCTGATGTCATCACCACAATCAGACAGTTCATCTATGTTGCTTGTGTTGCTTCTTCGAAGTTTCGATGTCCTCCCAATGTAGAAATGAGCAAAGAGAGGATTGTATTCAAGCCGAGACAAACACGAAAGTAGCAACCGAATATAAGCAATAATGATAGATGAACAAACGAGGGGCTCTGGGTCGGGATGCGCTTCCAGTGCGTCTTAATGATTCATGAACGACCTAAAAGGATGCTGTCGTCGGGTGTATTCACTCGAGCTCTTCCTCCATGTATGCAGTGTCCTCGTCGACAGCGCGGCGAGGTAAGGTCAAGCGGAGGCCCAGTACGCGCTCAATCTTGCGTAGGTTGACTTTGGTGACGCGAAAGTTTTCAACAGACACGACGTTGGCAAGCGGAACGCCTGCTTTAGCCGCGAGCTGTTCCTGGGTCAGCGCTTTATTGATGCGCGCCTGGGTCGCCGTCTGTAGATATGATTATTAGTGTCCGGAACCGCAACGGGGGCGACTTACGGCTGCGATTCGTCGGGCGGTCAATTTGCGCGATTTAAGGGTTATGTTGTCCATGGGGTTGATAAGGTCTGGTAGTGTGCGTGTGCCGAGGGCTTGCTCGGCTGGAAGCGGTGCGGCGAATACGAACGACGAGATTGTGAGGAGTGTGATGGCAAAGCGGGAGATGGAGCGTTGAGAGAAGAACATGACGAACAGATAGAACTATGAGGGCGTAGTTAGTGAAGGCGAATGATATCGACGATGCGGCTGCTCACTGAGGCTGCAACGCTCGCGTTGGTTGAATGATATGCCGAGAAGAGGGAAAAGACGGACGAGATGAAAGTAAGAAACGGTGCGACTCTGAGGCAGTCATGGCATTCGAATTTATACTTGTTCTGCTGACCGGATTTGGTCAAAAGTGGATGCATATGTTTGGGTATCCATTCCGGCAGCGGTAACCTGAACAAACTACCAGTGCAGGATCTCATGAATGGCCAACAAAACATACGGCCCGTAGGTTAATACTCGCACTGGCACGATGATGATCGGACGCGGCAGACGGGTGTTATGGTGCTTGATAGTCAGCTCTATGGATAAACTTTGCGCTGAGCCAAGAATATGTTGGTCGTCGTACTAGTAGAGGCCGACAGAGAGTCGGAAACACTTCAAGGTACATAGCATATACCAGAGAATCGGAAGTACTAGTAGTCCATTCGGCCACGGCTGGTTGACGCCGTAGCGTCACTGTTTTGGCAGCAGGGAGGCGCATGCAGACCTGGCAGATCCCATCGCAGATGCTACTGGCCATCAATCGAGTACAAAGGCCCGGGGATCGAGGATCGAGCAATTTTCTGTTTGATAAGCCAAACGAGGTACATGACCCAGCCAAAACTGGGGGTCGGGAGAGAAGGGATTTAAAGCATGCCAGAGCGAACCAGTAGAGCAACTAGACAAGTCCGTACTGCTTACTTGACGGTGAATGCGAACGTACTGGAGGAAATTACAACTTTTGACAAAAGCCCCGTTGTGACCTGTGCAATGATGCAGGAGTGTCGGAACGCTAGCGCAGAGTGATGAGATCGGGTTGGAAAACAGAAGACCAAGGAAGAGTCCGAGACTCCGACTCCGACCGGAGGAGACCACAAGGAAACAGGTACGCCTTCTTGGCGTCCGGGTATATCTTCAGGGGTTGCCAACCGAATATGGAAATCCTGTTGCCTTTTTCGGCGGCTGATCATAAGCCATGCGTACGCGGTTGCTTGTTCGATGTCGGATTAAGATGAACGTGGATATTGGCACTGGCAGCGGCGTATGTCAGATCAGGGTTCAAAATCCCCTAAACAGTAGTAAACTAACACACAGTTCTTTAGTCCAACGAGTTCTTCGTTATCTGTGTACATACGAAGAGTGGCATCGACGGTGCATATTTGGTCCAGAAGCATGAAAAGCCGCGGACAGATGACGACTTGGAGTACTTGTGGACTTTGGTAATCTTTCAGTTGCCATGTTGAGATGTCATGCAGATTCAGAAGGGACGCAAACATATCCATGTGGTATATTCTCCAGTTGGCCCCGGGGAACAGAGAGGCCTCACGAGTCAATCCGGTGCTCGTAATTGCAAGCGGGAAGTGAATTCAAAAATTGGGTGAGGAAGATCGATAACTTGAAGTGGCTTATCTTCTGGTTATCTTTAGGTTTTACGCACACTGATGATTGCTTCCGAGAGACATTCACTAGCACGCCCATCGTCGGCCCTTCCCGAACTGCCAATGGCAGGAGCGCCGCGTCTGCCGCAAGCGCCGCCCCCGCCCCCCGTTTGGATGACCAATCCGAATGAAAGTCGCCCGTGACGGTGTCTGTTGTCCAGAATCCAGATGCTAATGCGAGTTTTTCGTTCAGAGGATTGGAATTCGGATTTGCTGTCGGTTGTAAGTCGCTGTCCAGTCCACCGCCGATTCGCACTGGCGGTTTTCCCGTGCGGCGGCGGCAGTTACTTGAAATTCAAGCTTGCGGAGTGCCGCTCTTGACTTCATCATGCCCTAACAGTGCCTGTGTCCAGTATGCGAGCATGCTGAGAGAAGCGGGCTGTTGCACTTTGACAGTATGGGCGACAGAGGCTGAGACTGTCCGGGCCCCAGGAAGATGAATATTGCGTAGCTGAGTCCGAGCAAAGACGGTGAGCATACTTGGCCTGGCTTCGTACTTTGTACAATCAGTGAGAGCAGACTCATCAAGAGAGTTTGAAAGACATAGCTTGGTTCATTGGTGCTCCTGGACCATGGACGTTGAGGAAACCCGGGCCGTGACTAGTCAAGTCACGGACATGATACATCGAGCACGACGCTGGTCTACCTTGGGTCTGTCTCTCCTCCGTTGCCGACTCCTAAAACCGCACCCAGTGTCTCAAACATGGACACGACTCACACGATGACGCTGCTACATAACTCAGTGTCACCGTGACGCTGTCGAATCGCGGTTCTCAAAACCATGTCAACGTCCTGTCTTTTTCCGCCGTTCTAATAGCGCTTCCAGCAAGCTACGGGCTTATTCTGCTTGCCTGGCATATCTTGCGCCATTTGCTCCTCGTTAAACACATCGGCACGCAAAATCACCCGGGAACAGCTGTTGTCTGTGGTTGCGGGTGCGTCTTTCCTGCTGCTTCCCACTGACTTGGAATCACTGACAAGTACACAGAATAGCAGGACATTAACGGCGCGGGTTTGTCATGCCCATTTCAAGCGCGTTCTGTTAGTGGAAGCAGAAGCATGGCTATCTACGGAAGACGCCCGTCGCGTTGACGGATGGAAGCACCTCAGAACACCGCGGGCGCGGCTCATGCAATGGAACTCCCTTCATTGTCTGTTTTTGTCTATTTCCTCTCGGAACGCAAACTCAAACAATGCCCAGCGTCGCAAGCATTCCTATTTGCTGGACTTGAGAATCTCTTCCCAAACATCGAGCAAGAGTGCGAACGGTCTAAAATCAAGTGCGTTCGTCGACATTTCTTCCATTTCTCAAAGCCTAGCTTGGTGTAGAGTCTTGCCTGCGCGGCCCCGATTCAGTATCTCTGGCGCTATTTGGAGACCCCCGCCTAAGAATAGCTTGTATAAGACAATGTACACGGCCCGCCATTCGCTCGAGACGTTTATTCGGTCAGCGCTTTCCCGTTTCCCTGTCCATATATTGACGCGTGGCATGACAGGCGGCTCGTTCTTGATCACGACGCGTACCCCGACATCGAATTTGCGGCCGGGACGGTCATCGATGTTCTTGCAGACGCGGCGGACCCGTCCCGGCTGGGGAAAGCCGTGATTCGATTAGACACGGGGATGGTGCAAGAGGTGCCGGCAGTCTTGATAGCAGACTGTACCGGCCCCCGCACGGGCCGGTGCCAAATGGCTCGCTCGCCACGGTTACGGCGGGGCTTTGGACAGCCTGAAGCTCTGTTTTGACCAAAAACTGGGGTACTCTTCCATGGGTTTTACTGCCAGTCCTGAGTTTATGGAGCGGTTGGAAGCCGTGCTGCCCCCGGATATGCGAGGCGATGACCTGACGGAGGAGAGCAAAGTGAACGGCAGAGGGTATTTCATCATTTGGCGGAAGGATTGAAAACAGGGTTTGTTGTTGACCAGTTACAGCGGCATGTTTTCTGAGAGCTGGTACTTCCGAGGTATTGTGCAGGCAACCGCAGAATATAGGAAGAGAGGGATCCATTACATACATGCTTGAGCTTGGTACATCTATAATCTAAACACATCATCTATCCACCGGCACGCCATAGTCCGTCGCCCCGGAGTCCACACTCCCGATGCCGACACTGAGCTCCTCCAGCGGCGCGCTTGACACCGTCCGCGTGCTGCGGCCGAGACTGTCCTGCCGCTGCGGCTGCTGAGCGGCAGGCGCAGGGGCGGGCCGCCGCGGATCAAACACGCGCGGGAACGCAAAGTCGATGCCGCTGCTCTGCCTGCTCACGAGCGAGAGCGGCGTGCGCACGGGCCGCGCGAACGCGTGCAGCTCGTGCGCGTCGGTCCCGGCCCGGGCGGACGGAGAGCGGGGATCGGCGGATGCGGCGCCGGGGCGGCAGTCGTGCGCGACGACAAGGTTGAACGCGATGCCGATGGCCTGGACGAGCTGAGGGGACATCAATGAAATTTTTTTTTTACAAAAAAAGATATATAACGCACGACGTCGATGGCGGCGTATACCGCCTCGGTGTCGGCCGCGAAGAGCGCAAAGGTCGCGAGAAGGACGAGCGTGGAGAGCAGGCACGACTCGATCGCGGCGTGCTTCAGTATCCCGGCCCGGGTGCGGCCGGCCCCGGTCCGGGATGCAACTCGAAGTATCAGCGGCGGCGGGGCTGTGCGTTTCGCGGGAGACGTGCTGGTGGATTGGGTGCCTTCTGCCATCAGGCTTTCGTGTGCGCCGTACAACTCGTCCGTATGCGCGCTTTGCACAAGGATGCGGTAAGCAATTGCGCCTGGCAGCGGTTTAGATTGGGGTCAAAGGCACTGAGCGGAGGACGCACCAGTGGCGAAGACGTTGAGGGCGACGAACAATGCCCAGAAGACGAGACCGAGCCTGCGTGATTGGGCGAGGATGCCGTCTACCGCGTCCACCCGGTCGACGCGCACGACGAGACACATGACCACGGTGCCGCCTACCCAAAGGAGCGCGGAGAGCAGCACGACGCGGAGGCTGCGCTGGAAGGTCAGCCAGGAGCGGTACACCTAAAATTGAACGTGAGAGATGTTGGTTGGGGGCAGCGAGGACGCACGAGAAAGCCGCTCCCGAGGACGATCTCGATGAGGTTTGTCGTATACGTATACTGTCAAGGGAAGTTCGACGTCAAGTTCTAGGTGATCAAAACAAGTAACACACCCGGGAAATGCTCAACGGGTCCGCACTACCCCCTCAACTGCCGCACCGCCGCCGCCCGGTCCGCCGCGGACGCAACCTCGAGGTTCTGCACAAGGTGTAGCGCCACCGAGGACGTCGTCTTGGCCAGAAACAGCACAAAAAGAACAAGCACGGGCCACTTTATCTTGCATAACGTGCCGCACCGCTTGTCCTCGCGGGAGAGAAAGAGCACGCGGAAGCACGGCGGGCATGAGACGAGGTACAGCCCGAATGCCGCGCTCGCGAGGGACAGCCCCCATGTCTGGATGCGCAGAAAGGCCGTGTCGCTGTCGGACATGGGGGCAGAGGAAGAGAGAGCTGCAACGCAGTGAATATCAGTCGCAGCGGGAACTTGAAGCCCATCTTGATCTCGAGTCCGCGGGCGAATCAGAGAACCCGCCCATGAGAGCGATCATGGCCGCTGGGCTTAATATAGCGCGGTGTTCGGACGTCTGGTCACGTGAGACGACATTCAATTAGTATTTATGCTAAGTAATTCTCAAGTAGCTAAATATTGGTCTATATGAACACATTGCCAGTGACAAGAGCTTCTCACATTATTGATATGGTAAATTACATATGAAATTGTTCTGTTTCTTACCCTTTATCCCTTTTTATTTATGTTTTAAATTTATTTGTGAGGTTAAGCAAAGAGCAAATAACACAGGTGTTTGATTTATCCCCACTGCGAATAAAAGGTTTAAGCCCTATATAGTGCAGATATGGTCGTATACTTATATTATATGACAAGAGATCAATAAAGAAAGCAGTTGTTATATTCCCATAACTCAGACCAATTTAATTATACATCAATTGTACTGAGTAATATGTCCTTTGTGGAACAATTTTGTGTATTAATTGCATTTTTTTGCATCATTTATTCTTGTGGGTGTTCAAAAAACCTATGTGAAGTGCTTGAAATGACGCGATTGCACCTGGACACCCGTGTGGACCGGACACAGCCATAGCATGGAGAGGGTGTCCAACAAGGGATCACGACATGCGCTGTGCCTGGTGGCGGATTGCTTGCGGAGCCTGTAGATAGCTCGCGGTGGGCGTTGCGCGGGCGTCGGTGGGCTAGGGACGCTGCGTGCAGGCGATGGGAGGGTAATCTCGCCTCGCGCATGCTCCGCGGCGCGGCGTCTGCGCGATCCACAGACCGCCGATCGCGGGCGTGCGCCGCGGCGACGGGGATCGGGCGACGTCGGACCGGACACCCCCGCACCCGCAAATCTGTCGTCATATTAGGCAAGCTCCGGGTCGTGCCTTTTATAAAAGGGACGCTAGGCTAGGAGTCAGAAAACTTCACTACCACCACCATGTCGATAGACACCGAACGCTCTGTCTCCCGCGGCCGCGAGCCCTTCGTGCGTCCCCTCCGTCGTCCCCACTGACAGCCATCTAATCTTCTTCGACTAGAGCTCCTCTGGGCGCGGTGGACTCGGGAACATCCGGCCGACGTCGACCTCGCGGGACCGGCCGACGGACGGGCCCGACGACTTCTCCTCCACGCGGGGCCGGGAGCCGCCCGTCGCGAGCGGCATCACAGAGCTGCGCTCGACGGGCCGGGGCGGCGCGGGGAACATCCGCTCGCCCTCGCGCGACGCCGACGTGCGCGCCGCGGCCGAGCGTGACCTCATCCGCGCACACGAGGAGCGCGACAAGGCGCTCCCCCACTCCACGGGCCGGGGCGGCGCGGGCAACATCAGCGCCAGCCGCTCGCGCTCCCGCGGGCCGGCGTCGCCCGTCCCCCTCGTGCACTCCAGCGGCCGCGGCGGCGCAGGCAACATCGCCCCCGGCCCCGCCCCGGCGCTCGAGCGCGGCCGCCCGGGGCCCGCCCCGGAGGGAATGTAAGCACCGTCGTCATTGACGTCTGACACGACATTGGCACTGACAACTGACGCAGACACACCACCGGCCGCGGCGGGTATGCGAACCTCACCGACGCGCCGTCGCCCGCGCCGGAGCACGTCGTGCACCACCCCGGCCCGTACGAGAGCTCGGGCCGCGGCGGCGCCGGCAACATGTCGCGGTCACGCGAGCGCTCCGCGTCGGGCTCGCGTGAGCGCAGCGCGAGCAAGGACCGCGAGCGCGAGCGCGGCGGCGTACAGGGGCTGTGGACCCGTCTGCACGGCCACAGCCACCCCGCCCCGATCCCCGAAGGCGACGGTCCCGGCACTGTCGGCGGCGGCGGGCGCGGCGCAATCTGAGCTATGGTTGTTTGCTATATCTATATCATACTTTTGTACTAGTTTGGGCCTGTTTGTCTGAATGAAAATTTGGATTGGGTATGTTAAACTCGCAGCACATGGGTAAGGGGTTGTCATCCAGTTAACCTAGTAGTGGTAAGAAATGAACTGAGCCATTTTGATCAATTTAGTGAGGAATTTACATACCGTGTAGTCGCCCAACACAAGAGCGTTCAAAAGTTCAGTCTACATCATCAACCAGTCACCAGCCCGCGCCAAAGAACTTTCGCCACAAGATTTGGATGCAGCGCGTCGATCGGGGACGAAAACCCGGTGACGGTATCGTACATCACCCGCCCGGCATGATCGTCCTGTGGAACCTCAGCAAGTCCCCACAAACATACAAAACAACACGTACATACGGCGCGAGGCGCTGCAGCCATGTGATATACCACCGCAGCCCCGCCCCAGAGGAGAGACTCTCACCGGGGATGGGCTCCGTCGTAGGCACACCATAGTCTAGTCAAACTGGTCAGAGACGTCATCTGACATTGAAGGAAACAAACCCAAGACGCGCGTGTTGTCCCACAGCCATTCGGTCTTGTCCCGCTCCTCCGCGAAGAACTCCTGCGCAAAGGTGGGAGGAAGCGACCCTCCGGGATGCCTCTGGGCACGCAGAAGCTCAGTATGCAGTGCCATCGCGCAACGAAGCGCCTTGGTACAACCTTCACCGAAGATAGGGTTGACTGAAAGAATTTTGAGACAAGTCCGTTGGAAGGTGGCACAAAAACACACACTTGTCATCACACTATCACCCAACGCGACGAAGTTAGACGGCAAATTCCTCGCTTTGTAGTATTGCAAGTAAGAGGTTGCCGCTAGTAATATATTAGCCGGATCGCATTCGAAACATTAGAAAGACGACGCACGAACTTTGAGGAGCGACACCAGAGCAGTGTCCTCGATCTCCTCAAGTAAATCCAATACTCGCCAAAGCCAGTCCGGGATTGGAACAGCCTGATACATGCTCCGCATATACTCGCGCAGCCCTTCGACATTCGATGGTTGGAAACGGACTTCACCCGTGTGCCCAGCAAACGTCATGACTGAGAGTATTATCAGCTGAGGTTAAAAGTAACGAGGGCTAAAAAACAAACTCTGGTTTCCATCCTTCCGCCAAATGATGAAATACCCTCTGCCGTTCACTTTGCTCTCCTCCGTCAGGTCTTCCATAAATGTTATAATCGGCCCATCGCCTCGCATATCCGGGGGCAGCACGGCCTCCAATCGGTCCATAAACTCAGGACTGGCAGTAAAACTCATGGAAGAGTAGCGCAGTTTTTGGTCAAAACAGAGCTTTAGGCTGTCCAAAGCCCCGCCGTACCTGTGGCGAGCGAGCCATTTTGCACCGGCCCGTGCGGGGCCGGTACAGTCTGCTATCAAGGCTGCCGGCACCTCCTGCACCATCCCCGTGTCTAATCGAATCACGGCTTTCCCCAGCCGGGACGGGTCCGCCTCGTCTGGAAGAACATCGATGACCGTCCCGGCCGCAAATTCGATGTCGGGGTACGCGTCGTGATCAAGAACGAGCCGCCTGTCATGCCACGCGTCAATATGGACAAGGAGACGGGAAAGCGCTGACCGAATAAACGTCTCGAGCGAATGGCGGGCCGTGTACATTGTCTTATACAAGCCATTCTTGGGCGGGGGTCTCCAAATAGCGCCAGAGATACTGAATCGGGGCCGCGCAGGCAAGACTCTACACCAAGCTAGGCTTTGAGAAATGGAAGAAATGTCGACGAACGCACTTGATTTTAGACCGTTCGCACTCTTGCTCGATGTTTGGGAAAAGATTCTCAAGTCCAGCAAATAGGAATGCTTGCGACGCTGGGGATTGTTTGAGTTTGCGTTCCGAGAGGAAATAGACAAAAACAGACAATGAAGGGAGTTCCATTGCATGAGCCGCGCCCGCGGTGTTCTGAGGTGCTTCCATCCGTCAACGCGACGGGCGTCTTCCGTAGATAGCCATGCTTCTGCTTCCACCAACAGAACGCGCTTGAAATGGGCATGACAAACCCGCGCCGTTAATAGTCCTGCTATTCTATGTACTTGTGAGTGACTCTAAGTCAGTGGGAAGCAGCAGGAAGGACGCACCCGCCACCACAAACAACTGCTGTTCCTGGGATCTTGTCATGCCGGCTACGAGTGGCCTGGAGGAGACGAAGATTTTGCGTGCCGATGTGTTTGACGAGGAGTAGATGGCGCAAGATATGCCAGGCGAGCAGAATAAGCCCGTAGCTTGCTGGAAGCGCTATTAGAACGGCGGAAAGAGACAACATAGACCCACAGAGATCAGGACATTGACATGGTTTTGAGAACCGCAATTCGACAGCAAGAATGTCCGTAACACTGACGAATCGTCATGTAAGCAGTGTTATCGCGTGTGAGTTGTATCCATGTTTGAGGCACTAGGTGCAGTTTTAGGATTTTGGCGACGGAGAAGAGGGTAGACTATGGCAGAAGGTTTTTGTTGTTGTTACTGCTCTCCACCGTTAGGAGCTGGAGTAACCTGTCCGTGTGACGTGACTGGTCACCTCATGATGATGTCCTCAACGTCCATCGTTCACTAGCACCAACAAACCAAGCAATGTCTTTCAAACTCTCTTGATATAATGAATCTTGAGTCTGCTCTCAACTCTACAAAGTACGAGGCCAGGCCAGGTATCATCATCGTCTTTGGAAGCTAGTGAATCTTCCCGGGGCCCGGACAGTCTGAGCCTCTGTCGCCCATACTGTCAAAGTGCAGCAGCCTCTCAGCATGGTCGCGTCGCATACTGGAGACAGGCACTGTCAAGTCATGATCAAGTCAAGAGCGGGGCTCCGCAACTGCTTGAAGTTCAAGTTGTCCGAATCGTTTTTATCCGCCAGTAAACCCGAGTCCGAGACCGAGTCAATACTGCCGCCGCACGGGAAAACCGCCAGTGCGAATCGGCGGTGGACTTAACAGCGACCTAGAACCGACAGCAAATCCGAATTCTGATCCTCTGAACGAAAAACTGGCATTACATCTGGACAACAGACACCGTCACTGGTGACTTTCATTCAGATTCGTGATACAAACAGGGGCGGGGGAGATATCTGCGGCGCTTGCAGCAGACGCGGCGCTCGTGCCACTGGCAGTTCGGGAAGGGCCGACGGTGGGCGTGCCAGTGAATTTCTCTCGGAAGTAATCATCAGTGTGCGTAAAGCCTAAAGATAACCAGAAGATAAGCCACTTATCGATCTTCCCTCCAATACCTCACCCAATTCTTGAATTCACTTCCCGCTTGCAATCACGAGCACCGGATTGACTCGTGAGGCCAGGTGAGGCCTCTCTGTTCCCCGGGGCCAACTGGAGAATATACCACATGGATATGTTTGCATCCCTTCTGGATCTGCATGACATCTCAACATGGCAACTAAAAGATTACCAAAGTCCACAAGTACTCCAAGTCGTCATCTGTCGGCGGCTTTTCATGCTTCTGGACCAAATATGCACCGTCGATGCCACTCTTCGTATGTACACAGATAACGAAGAACTTGTTGGGCTAAAGAACTGTGTGTTAGTTTAGGGGATTTTGAACCCTGATCTGACATACGCCGCTGCCAGTGCCAATATCCACGTTGTAGGGAGATCTTAATCCGACATTGAACAAGCAACCGCGTGGCGCATGGGTCATGATCAGCCGCTGAAAAAGGCAACAGGATTTCCATATTTGGTTGGAAGCCCCTGAAGATATAGCATGCACTTTCGCTGAAACCTACTATTGCCACCAATAAGTAGTCCTTCAAAATAAACTCAGCTCCCAAGTGTAGGGCATAATTCCCTGGTTAATGAACGAATGGTCGGATCAAATATGTGTGTCAGCAGATCAGAGTAACGGTGTCACCTCGCAACCACCTTCTTGTTTGACCATTCCCACTCAAATTCTGCCTTCGGAATCGAGGTCATGCAGCTGCACGTATACTTGCATCCTCATGCCGCGCCAACCGTACTATGCCGCCGCCGCCCGTTGTTTCCTCATGCCTGTTTCTTGACTTGAAACCGGGCTGAACCGGCGCCTCGAGGCGGTCTAGCGCGTCTTGGGCCACGAACTCCCCGACGCCGACATGAGTATGTACTTAGGCTAACAAGTATATGCCAATAAAGCCCAAGATCCATCCGACCTCGGCTCCGCCGATAACTTCCCTAGGTCTTCTCTTCTCTTTCAGTTTGCGAATGCGGCAGTGACTGGCCACATTCGGTGCCTTAACTCGGAGGCAGGACCGACCTCCGACATCTCCTTCGCAAATGAGCGCCAAGTATCTTGCGTGCTCCCAAATGCTCCCAAACCTGAACCTTCTGCAACCCTTGACAAAAGCCCTGGCTTTCGAGTTTCGGCTGCTCATTGTTTGTTTCTAGAACAGTCTGGTCGGCGCTTATCTATGTGGACCTTGATCCGCACAACAACTCGCCCCAATGAATTTCTTCGCGACTGACTTGGCGTCTAATATCTGGGTTTTGTGCCTGAGACTGTACTCGCCGGAGTAACAGAGTGAACGCCGCTCTCCCTGGTCGCGGCCAACCCTAACTTGAGAAGAAGAAGCATCCAATCGACTTACAGCATCCCATTCAAGTTCGACCCAACTCAGGCACCGACCCCGCACGGAGGTGCTTGCAGTTACTCGAGTCCCATTCGGCGGAGCTTTTGTCTTAGCTCAAGGCATTTTGAATTTCGGCGAGTAGTTGCTATTCCTGGTATCTGCGGCAACTCCTCGCTGCTCCCATGCACTGGAACGGGTGCGGCTGGCTTCTCAATCTCCCACAGCTTCCTTGCCCTCCAAATATACGTGCCTTGACGATCTCGATCTCGGGTGGGAAGTACGCAGGAGCCTGAGATGCGGTGGAACTGCTGGCGTCTGGGCCACGACATGATTTTCACGCACAGCACTATTAATATTCCAGGGTTACTTTGGGGTTACTGGAGCTCCAAGAGCTGTCATCGATGCATAACAGGCTGAATCCCGGTAATCGAATCGCAGTAAAGCGGACACGATACGTGGGGCTCGGTCACGGTCGGTACTCGAGCTGGAGGCCGATTTGGAGGCAGACGCCACCATCCGGAATCAGACGGATGCGGTCACGATGTGCAACCCTTCAGCATCTCATGTGCAGGTCTCGGGATCACGTCGACGTGTTGCGTTCCTTCTCGAAACTGTGGCAGCGCGCATGGGTACGATGAGTGCTTAATAGACAGTACAACCCTGAAGTCTGACAGATTGCAGATACTCTATCTTCAGGCTGATTCGTGGGACTGGCCAAAAATACTCACGAATTCAAGGTGATTTTTTTTCCGACCTCGTGGCTGCCAGCTGTGTTGACTTTGATACCTGGCAGGACGGCATATTAACGAACTTTCTAGAGAAACAATGTTATCTTCAGGCACGCAATGAATACATGAATTGATTCAATGAGGTACCCCGAGCGAAGCGGTGGACGCTCCGAGTTGTCGGGCTATCTCTGGTTTGCATCGTGTTTTTCACCAGCGAGGATGTCAGTTTGCTATCGACGCAATCCTTGCTCGCTCCGCTTGGACAAGCACAGAGAACATTCAAGGCCAGGCAGCGACAGCTACATTCTCTCGGTCGGAAGACATACTTCCGTCTGTCGCATATGCCGCTCCGATCCGCGCATTAGTGCGATGCATTTTCCTGCGTTTTTCCGTGGCCGTGGGTGGAGGAGAGTGGAGCAAAGGCGTCATCGACGGGGCTAACGGTGACTAGCACGAGTTCATCCCACATCTTCTGATGTGTTTGCGGCCTATTGCAAGGTTTCGTGGCCATTGAATGGGGAGGCACTACGGCCAACAAAAAACCGACGATCGGATGGTACTGAGTTGCTGCTATCGGGTAGGATATCGATGCGGGTCATGACCGATGCCCAGCTCTTCAAATGCGTCATCGGGAAGACGGAAAAGCGGAAAATAGATCAATTATTTCCTTGCATCCGTTCCTTCATCTCCTCGAGTTCCCTCCATACAAAAACTGAACCCACACATTAGTCTCGGGGTTGAGGTAGATCCCGCTTTTCGGCATCCGCCATTTCCAGGAATAGGGGCTCGTCTGAGTTTGATTTCACCGCATTGACACATCGTGGGTTGGGATGAGTAGAGTTCACTGCAAACTCCGCTGCTGGCGTTTCGGCTTTTAGGCACAGAAATTGTTAACGCCATTGGCCGTGTGCTGTCGGCGGAGGCACTCAATACCATCCTTGAAGGTTCGATATCGTAGTGAGAGCGGGTCCAGGTGATGTGTCACGACGGTCGGCGCTCGCACTCGATTTGGCTGTACGTACAGGGTCGGGGTCTCATGGGTAAGATTTTCTTTCGCGGGTCGGAGATGAGCCGCCTCGCGAGCAACAAGCCAACAATTGCCCAGGCACATCGCGATGGCAATCTTCGTTTCGGCCCCTCGTTGCCCCCACAGCAGGGACTTGGTGGACCACGACCCCTTTCAAAGAGAGGACGCGATCGTGCCAAGATCTTGGGAAAGCTGGTGCCTGGTAATCTTGAAGGGTCTGTTTCGTTCGTGATGGAGAATTGCCGCATTAGGGACGTGTGAGCATGCGGAATTCCGTGATGAGAAAAACAAATCTGACGGGCCGCTTGATATAAGTAGCTCCGAACCTGACTTTTTTCCAGTGTGAAGAATCTGCCCCCACACACGCTAACGAGACCTTCCTCTTCTCTACACAACCTCCAACCACACTATGCGTACTACGCTCGCGCTCCTTTTCGTTGCGGCTGCCATTGCTGCAGTTCAGGGTGCCCCCCTGGTCAGTTTCGGCCTATCCCCTCTTCTCCAACGAAGCAACTGATCTGATTCCGCAGAACACCGTTAATGCCCGGGAGCTTGATACTATCGAGGTGCGTAGGCCGCGACATCAGTGTTATTAGGCTGACAACGGGTTTGTTTGCAGCTTCGAGACCCTCCGACATGGAAGCGCGGTGACCATGAAGCGCCTCGAGATGCGCCTACGTGGCGAAGCACGGAGGAACAGGCCCGCGATTCCGGTGCCCCCACTTGGAGAAGTGTAGAGGAGGCACGCGATTCTGGTGCGCCAACCTGGCGCAGTGTGGAAGAAGCACGCGACTCTGGTGCTCCGACTTGGCGCAGTGTTGAGGAGGCTCGTGACTCGGGAGCCCCAACGTGGCGAAGCCTTGAAGAGAAGGCCCGCGATTCAGGCCCGCCAACTTGGCGACGCGATGGTGGAGCCCCAACATGGCGAAGCGAGGAACAAGCCCGGGACGCCCCCACCTGGCGGTCTCTGGAGAAGGATGGCGCGCCAGAGTGGTAGGCTGTCTGTTGTGTCGTTTTTTTATCTGGTGTTTATTACCTATGAATGTGCTTCTCCCCGACGTAAGATACCCTCCCTCCACGGCCCCCAATGTACAATTTTATCTCATAAATCACACTTTCTTTTTGGTTTGGGTATAATGCAATGTCTATGTTGATTCTTGAGCAAGGACTTGCGCAGGACTGGCAACGATGGAGAGCAGCCAAGCGTTATCGTGTCGGTCGCTGTCGTCAGCGGATGATGCTGGGAAGAAGAAGATGGCGTTGTTTGGCTATCACCCCATCATGTCACACCGTTACATATTTTCCATCCGTATCACTTCGGGCGACGCATTTTCGCACCTTTCCCCCGTCTTCCCGCTCCTTCCTCCATGCACCGAATCGCCATTAGAAACTCGGTGCGCGCCCACGCGCTGGCCGCCTCACCAAAGGTTCGTCTCCCTTGCTTTTTCAAGCCGTTTTGAACGTGTACTGACCACCACGTCGTCAGAGCTCGGTGAACCAAGTTGCCCGCTCATACGCAACCGCAAAAGCTGGTTCGTTTTCTTACCTTCTATTGTCGCTATTCTCACTGCTCCTAGCCGCCTCCGAGGTCTCTTCTATTCTCGAGTCCCGAATTGCTGGCACAGCTGTCGGCGGTAACGTCGAGGAAACTGGACGTGTCCTCAGTACGCTGACTTTTTCGAACTTTTGACGACTGTTAACCATGCCCTAGGCGTCGGTGACGGTATTGGTCGTGTATGGGGTCTCAAGAACGTGCAGGGTTAGTTTTTCCTCTTCTCTTCGACGCGTCACAAAAAAGCTCATCCCCCCTCGTGTTATAGCCGAAGAGATGGTGGAATTCTCTTCTGGCGTCCGTGGCATGTGTCTCAACTTGGAGGCGGACAACGTCGGTGTCTCCATCTTCGGTAACGACCGTCTCATCAAGGAGGGCGACACCGTCAAACGGACTGGCCAAATTGTCGATGTCCCCGTTGGCCCTGGTCTTCTCGGTCGTGTCGTCAATGCTCTTGGAGATGCTATTGATGGCAAGGGCCCCATTGAAGCCGCTGAGCGTCGTCGTGCTTCTCTCAAAGCCCCCGGCATTCTCCCCCGTCGCTCCGTCAACCAGCCCATGATGACCGGTCTCAAGCCCATTGACGCTATGGTTCCCATTGGTCGTGGCCAGCGTGAGCTGATTATTGGTGACCGTCAAACTGGCAAGACCGCCGTCGCTATCGACACGATTCTTAACCAGAAGCGTTGGAATGATGGCCAGGACGAGTCCAAGAAGCTCTACTGTGTCTACGTCGCTATTGGCCAAAAGCGTTCAACGGTTGCCCAGCTCGTCAAGACTCTTGAGGAGAACGACGCGATGAAGTACACCATCATTGTTGCCGCCACCGCCAGCGAGGCTGCTCCCCTCCAATACCTTGCGCCATTCTCTGGATGTGCCATGGGTGAATGGTTCCGTGACAACGGCAAGCACGGTACGCATTTTTCTGATCATTTTACCCCCGAAATATGTCTGACCTAATTGCAGCCCTCATCATCTACGACGATCTTTCCAAACAGGCCGTCGCCTACCGTCAAATGTCCCTTCTTCTCCGTCGTCCTCCCGGTCGTGAGGCCTACCCTGGTGATGTTTTCTACCTGCACTCTCGTCTCCTCGAGCGTGCCGCCAAGATGAACGACAAGTTCGGTGGTGGAAGCTTAACTGCTTTGCCCATCATTGAAACCCAGGGTGGTGATGTCTCGGCTTATATTCCTACCAACGTCTGTCCAGTTTTCCTTATTCTTGGTCTTTGACTTAAGGGCGACTCGATTCCAGGTCATTTCCATCACTGACGGACAAATCTTCTTGGAAGCTGAGCTCTTCTTCCGTGGTGTCCGTCCTGCCATCAACGTCGGTCTCTCTGTCTCCCGTGTCGGTTCTGCTGCCCAGACGCAAGTGTTTTGATGATTTTGTCGAATGTCGCTAATGCTGCTACAGCAAGATCATGAAAAAATTCGCCGGTTCGCTCAAGCTCTACCTTGCGCAATACCGTGAAGTCGCTGCTTTCGCTCAATTCGGCTCCGACCTCGATGCCTCGACCCGTTTCCTGCTCAACCGTGGTGCTCGTCTGACCGAACTCCTCAGTGCGTTCCCATTTTTTGGCTTTCTTCCTTCATAGCAACTAACGCCGCACATAGAACAAGGCCAATACCAACCCATGGCCATGGAACTCCAAGTTCCCATCATCTACGCCGGTGTTAACGGTCTCCTCGACTCCGTCCCCGTCGACAAGATCACCAAGTGGGAGAGCGAGTTCAGGCAACACCTGACTGCCTCGCAGAGCTCACTCCTCACCGAGATCGCTGGTGGAAACATCACGGGCGACCTCGAGGCCAAGATCAAGGCCGTTGTCGAGGACCACGTCAAGACATTCGTGTCTGCGTGAGGCGTTGGGTCGCGGGAGTTGAGCTGGTTGCGGGAGCTGGATATAAATTTGCTTTAATCGCTCACAAAAATTAGAAATGGGAAAGAATAAACAGAGGTAGTTACAAAAGTACCCAGTCGGTATACTTACCACCAGTACCTGCGCTACTATAGTTTTTTTCTTCGCGCTTTTATCTGGTGGTGGGCGAATCGTCTTGTTGACATGCTATACCCTGAGATGGGGCTACTCAACAGCGATCTTTCTGCCAAGTTGTTCCTTCCGTGGTAACACTGTGGTAACATTTGCCAGTCAAAATTGGTTGCAATATGTATGGTAGAGTTCACAGGGAGTATGTACCGTAGAATTATGGAGAAACTACGTGTTTCGGGATTCATCTTTTGCGGTTGTAGGCCTAGCACCGCGCCTCCAGTCATTTACCGTGAAAGGACCCACATGCCCTTGCGATCACGCAGCTCGAATCCGCCCGCCATCTTTTCGTTCGCGACGCGAGTAGGGGTCTTGGCCTTTCCGTCGAGAATGCGGCGCTTCTCGAAGTAGACGTAGGCCGCGTAGTATGTGCCATTTCCCTTGCCGCTTTGCGCATCCTTTTCTGCCACTGAAAACAGGAGTTAAGTAGGTCGCTCATACACGAAGAGAAAAACACGCACTGAAGCGACGATAGCTATTGCTGTTGATATTTCCGATTTCTTTGAGCCAGGGGGTAACCTAAAAACGCGGTGAGAAGAAGGCCTACAGGCCGGTAGCGACATACCTTGAAGCTGGGCTCCTTCAAGAGAAGACGAATCTTACGACGGACTTCTCCGGGGGTGTCACTAGTAAGTAGGCGTCAGCAATGAACGGGTAGTATCAGCACCTGCTCACTAGACGGGTACTTCACCCTATTACGGTGCGCGTCAATAACAAGGGACACAGACAGAGACAGCAGTCAACACACCTCATCATCTCCCTCAAGTTGTATGTCCTTCCAAGACCGGGTTGACGACGAGGACGACGCAGTAGACGCGTCAGACTTGCGGGCGGCCTTGCGATTCGGTTGCTGGAGCTCGTCCTCGTAGTCGCCGATCTCGGCGACGTCTGATTTGCGCTTGACCATGAGTAGTAGAGTAGGTAGGGGCCTAGAAGAGGACTGGTACTCGGTGGGAGGTAGGAGACAAGAAAAGTTTTGTACTGTGATGCGTTACCGTGACGCGACGCGTTTAAATCTAAATTTCCCATGGCCATCACGTGCAACGTGTCTTCGTCGGACCCAACGACGATAAAGCAAGCCGTTTGGGCCATGCAACTTGGTGCTGAGAACCACTGGAAACTTGAATGCCTGGCCGTCATGATGAGCGCTAATCTTTGAGCGACAATCTCATCCCAGAATTTCTGAAGCAAGTCAAGGCGACATCTGCACCTGGCATGACAGGCAGTAGCGCACTTAGGTGGACATCTGCCAGTGCGTGATACTAGATATCGAGCAAATTGCGACTCGTCCCTTTCCCCCGCGGCCCCGCCTCTGTTGATTAAGTATTTGGCTGATACAACTCCTAGTCGACAAACCCTCCTCGCCGTCTGTGCGCTGCACACCCAGGGTGCGTCTTCTCCTCTTTCACTTGCCAGTGCTGCAACAAATGTTCCTTCCAGCCAACATCCATCACCACCGTCTGTACGACGAGTTCCCGCAACACATTACTAGCATTCCTGAGCAAATCCGTGAAAATCATCAACTATACCACCGCTACCTGACCGTATCCGTGCCCAAACGCGTCGCCTTTGACCGCCACAGGCCTAGTTGCATCAGCCTGAGACTACCAATGCGCTGAGCTAAATCTGACGCAATGACCTAAATTCCTCGTCTGTGATGAATTTGAGGGAAATCTAGTATGACGACAACAGAAAGGTTCCAGTCCAGGTGCTTTCGAGACACTAAGCGTGTTTACTATTTGGGCGATGTACGAGTATATCAGCAGAACTGTATAACAATTCCTTTCGTTTCTAGCCGCCTCTGCATGTCACGGAAACGCATGTCCGAGTGAACTGTTAGTTTTATGTCCCATAGCTTGAGTGTGTGTAGATTAGGAAATACTCCAGAGCAAAACACGTCGACATGGCGCCACAGATGCTCCCATTCGTCTTCCGTTGGACCCTCACCACCAAGGAACGACATATGCGACCAGTTGACCCCGATGCACTTCAGATTGGGGAAGGTTTCGTTCTTTTTGGCGACAAGGGGCGCAGTGATAAAGAGGTAGTAGGTTACTTGACGCAGCAACGGACAACCACGCAGACAAGGCCCAAAAGGGTCATCCAGAAGAAATCGGACATGTTTTCCAAACTCGACAGTGGTCAGTCGCGAGCCCATCGTCTCCCAAAGAAGCCGCGAGCCAATACTATCTGTGACGAGTGGAGCATCGAAGACAAAGTTTTCCAAAGCTGGTAATTCCCAACCTTGCATAACGTGTCGAAGAAGGAGGGGGGGTCGGAAATATGGATTCTGAGTGTGCGCAGGCGGGGAAGATGTATACTCGCTGCCATATCGTGGGCAGTAAACTGGCTGAACGCCCCGCCAACGAAGAGATATTCGATATTGGGGGCACTTTGTAAAACTGAAGTGAGTGAATTGATTCCTCCAGAGCGCGAGGCTTCGATGTAGTTCCACCAATCGAGCCGTTTAAGCTGGTGAAGCGGCGGACAAGTCGCGCCAAACTCAAAACGCGGGTTTTGCAGTGGGGAAGGGGTATATGGTGGTCGGACGAGAACAACTAGGTTGGGAAGTCCGCTGAGAATCTCGGTAGAGGGCATCGGTTTGTGGGTCTCTGTTGCGGTGGTCGTATATGGCACAACTGCCCGCCTGACCTGCTCTCAATTGAGCGCGATAACAGTTTTAAATTTCGTAGAGCACTTGCCCAGTTTGCATACTGGAGAGGCAACTTGGCGGTCTTGGACAGCTTGTAGTTGCGATAGAGTCGCTCTAGAGCCCATGCTCGCCATTTTCGACACACTAGCACAAGCGTCAAGTAGTCGTGGTGGCAGACTTTGAAGTTCTCATTGGCGACACCTGGGATTGGTTGAAACGGGGCATGGGAAACGGTAAAGAAGCGGCGATTGTCTAGATAGTCGCAGACCTCCATCCAGAGCTCATTGGGAAGAGTTTCATGCGACAACATCGAGGCTCGACACAAAATCCGAAATGCTGTGACAGTGACGATCTTGAAGTCAAGTTATTAATAAATCGGTAGTGGTGGCAAGGCGCGAGTCCCCGACCCAAGTTGTCTCAGATGGCAATTGCATGGAAACGAGTTTGGCGGGGAATGTTTGTAATCAAGACAAAAAGCTTCTCTCTTTCGGAGAGAGTCGGGGAAAGATAACCTGATGCCGTACATTCGACTCGGACTTGAAATTTCAGCAGCGAGATATTTGAACTTGAAGGGGTTTGAGTTTGAGGACAATCACATTATCTCAGAACGGTAAACGCTTCTCCTCAATCAACCTATGCGTAAACCGCCTCTTTCCCTCCCCGACCCCAAACTCGCCAACGACATGCCCCGCTTTCCCCGTCCCGCTGAGGACATACTTATAACTGACCAAGCCCTCGAGGCCAACGGGCCCGCGAGCGTGTATGCGGCCCGTGCTGATACCGACTTCGGTGCCGAAGCCGTAGCGGAAGCCGTCCGCGAAGCGCGTGCTTGCGTTGACGAAGGTGCCCGCGCTGTCCACGCCGCGGACGAACGCGGCGGCGGCGGCACGTGACTCGGTCACGATGCTGTCAGTGTGGTGCGACGAGTGCGCGTTAATGTGGCGGATCGCGTGGGCGAGGGAGGGCACGGCGGCGACCGCGAGGGTGAGTGTTAGGTGTTCCGTAGTGTAGGCGTCTAGTGTAGACGGAGAGACGAGGGATGATGGCAGGGAAAGGGATTCTATTGCGGAAAGTGTGGGGGGATCGCAGAGCAAGCGGACCTTGGCGGAAATCAGTGCTTGAGCGACTGTTGGCCAGAGGGAAGACAAAAGAGATTCATGAATCAGCAGTGTTTCTGTCGAGTTGCATGCAGAAGGGTAGTCAGTCTGTAAGCTCATCAGCAGCAATCTTGGAAGGCAAAGAAGACTTGACCTTGGAGTCTACCACAATTCTGACTGCCTTCTCTGGGTCAGCAGACTCATCTAAATACACACTGCAGAGCCCGTCGGCGTGACCCATAACCGGGATTCGCGTGTTGTTTTGGATATTGCGTACAAGGCTGTTGCTACCTCGGGGGATTACAAGGTCGATGTATTGGTCAAGTGATAAAAGGGAGGAAACCTCCGCCCGCGTTTGGATAGTCTGCACGTATGTGCTTGGTAGCGACGACTTGGATAACCCCGCTGCAATGGCCTGGGCAAGAAGTTGTGTCGTTTCATTTGATTCTTTCCCTCCTTTGAGGATCGCAGCATTGCCTGCCAAGTATCAGCATTATATCGACAAACTGAAGAAACACACCTGATTTTATGGCCAATGCAGCAATGTTCACCACCACCTCTGGACGCGCCTCAAATATAACCAGCAGCACACCGATGGGGCACGAAACACGATAAAGTTCCAGTCCATCGTCCAGCTCTTTCGCGTACGACACGATCCCAGTCGGGTCAGGCAGCTCCGCAACGTCCGTTATGCCCTGCAGCATCGACTCCCACTTGTCGCCCTTGTTCAGATCCAGCCGGCTTAGCAAAGACTCCTCCATGCGCCCCGCGGCCACCTCGAACTTCGCGGCCTGGCAGCGACTGTTAAGAAAGCCACAAACATAAGAGAAAGCGCGCACATGCACGTCCACGACGTTTGCGGCAAGAATAGTTGCCTTGTTCGCTTCAAGGGCCGCCCGTATATGCCGCAGCGCCGTTACGCGTTCCTCTGCAGGCACGAGCTGGGATTCTTCGAAAGCTGTCTTGGCTGCTTTGGCGATCTCTTCAGCGGTGGACATCGTTTCACTAGGAGTTGTGGCGTCAGCAGATGTATGCCTTTTGAAGTGGGTCTTATGTGCTTCCGCGTCTATTCCGTGGTTGAAAGACGAATCGATTGTTGGTGGTCAAGAACAGAAACGCAAATCTTGTCAGTGACGTGATGACTCATTTCGGATTTATTCGGACTTGCTCTCAAACCACCACCACCGCTGAACACTTGGTTCATGTTTCTTGGAAGTATTTAATCAAGACCTCGCTGTATAATCCCGCGAACTCGATCTAAGGCCGCTGCTACTCGGGGCCTCGCCATTTCAGCGCTGCTAATAGTGTTCAGTGTCAACAGGCAACATGTCCTGGCTCTGGTCATTCCTACCTGCATTCCTGCTCCAAACCTTCCATCCACAACTTGCAACTAATCATAATACCGTCGTCCTCGCTCCCCGCGTGCTCATTGTCAACTTTTTTGCTACCGAGGCCGCCGCTTGGTACAACCTGCCTAACCTCGACCTCCTCGCACAAAATATCACCCTCCCTGGTCTCTCGCCGCTGTTTCCTCAAGTGCACTGCACCAATAATGGATTCATCTGCCAGGTCATCACCGGCCAGGCTGAGATTAACGCTGCCACGACAATAACCGCGCTCGTCGCTTCCCCGCAATTTAACCTCCGCAGCACGTATTTCGTGCTCTCAGGCATCGGTGGCGTGAGCCCAGAGTATGCGACCGTGGGGTCTGTCACCCTCGCGCGTTTCGCTGTGCAAGTCGGCCTGCAGCACGAAATCGACGCTCGGGAGAAGCCGGCGGATTTCCCGTCGGGCTACTTCCCACAAGGGGCCGCGCGGCCCGGCGTATACCCCGGCTGGATCGACGGCACGGAAGTGTTCGAGGTGAATGATGCGCTCCGCCGGGTCGCCGCCGACCTCGCCGGCCGTGGAAACCTAGAAGACACCGAGCCAGTCCGGGATCTCCGCGCGCCATATGCTGCCACGCCTGGCTTCGCGAAAGGGGCCGGCCCGCCAAGCATCGAGCTCTGCGACACGCTCACGTCCGACACATTCTGGAGCGGCAGACTGCTCGCCGCGGCATTCGAGGACTATACCCGCGTTATAACATCCGGAAAAGCCGTACCGTGCTCCACACAGCAAGAGGACAACGCCGTGCTTGCCGCCCTCCTCCGCCGCGCCCTCGACAAAACTGTAAACTTTGCGCGGATTGTCGTCATCCGTGCCGGCTCCGACTTTGACCGCCAGTATACCGGCGGGAACGCTGCTGATAATCTGTTAGAGCCGATGGTCGGGCTTCCGCTTGCGGTGCTCAACCTCCGTATCGCTACCCTAGAGGTCGTGAATGGTATTGTCGATGGCTGGGACGCGACGTTTGAGCAGGGGATCGAGCCGACAAATTATATTGGCGATATACTGGGCTCGCTGGGTAGCAAACCTGATTTTTAGAAGATCTTAGCTACACTTACAGTTATTTATCCTATTCAACCAGGAGGATCTCATCCATTGCATGTCATGATCATAATCATCTACCGGTTTAGCAACTCATTTAAGCGTTTCCAGAGCCTCATAAAAACTGAACACGAATCCACTTTGACTTTGCGAACGTTTACTGTAAGAAAACAGTCTTCCGTACTATAGCCACAGTGAGGTACACTACGGACAGGTACCAATAAGTAACGAGGAGTTCAATTTATTAATTATTCAGCGAACGTCAGCGGAGTAAACGCATATCCGCCACCCTCGAAATGCTTGCTGTTCGCCTCGACCCAATGCAAACGCAACGCATGCAAGAATGCCGATAAGCCCTCCATCACACAGAGAATGCCCACCGTCAGGTTGAACCACATGAAGCCTGCGAACGCAAAGCCGAGCCAGCCCAACAAACCCGACGGGTTAAGCGAGCCCGCGAGGATCATCGTCCAAAGCACTTCGGACAGCTGCGCGTGTGCCAGCGACAGCGCCCAAAGTCGGAGATAGGACGCCGTATGCGAAATGCAGCCGAGACAGAACTCGATGGTGTGGATGACTTGGTGAATAACAACGTCGCTGAATTCGTGCGGCTCTTGTTCCTCATCACCGCCATCCTCAATAACAGCTCCACCATTAGAGTGTCCGTTCGTGCCCTCTTCTTCACCGAGCAATCCGTTGTCCTCGCTGTGTCGGCCTTCATGCAGCCCAATATAGCCAGCGCCTTCGTGTGCCTTCATCTCGCGCCAGACATAGTACGGTTTGCCAATAAGCATGATCGGCACGCAAATCAGTGCCAAAAGTAACAACACGGTCTGAATAGCACCCTGTCCACGATAAAGTTGCGTCTCGGGGTCAACCGTGCCGGGAGTGAGGAACATGGTGATGAGCATGTTCAGCAAAGACGGTGGGGCGGTGCTCGACTTCGTCCAATCAATGCTCCATTTGTAAAGGATGCAAATAACGAGATAACCGAAGATGGACTGTAGGAAGATCATTTGAGGGATGAAGTTGGCGTAAATGTCGATGGGTCGCTTGAATCGGATGTGATTAGGAACTTGTAAACAGAGAGCGAAGGTCATCTTGATGTGAAAAGTCAGCCAGAAAGAAGCAAGCAAACTTGGCGGAAACATACATGAATGACTCCCAGCACAATTGACATCTTCATCTTGTACGAGTTGGTGAAGACAAGCATGTTCTCGGCACCATGCCAACCCGGATCGAGACCAAAAGGATAGGTATGTCCGTTTGAAACAGCAGGAATGCGTTGAGTGCCATTGCTGGCCTCAGGAAAAGTCCAGCCTGAGTGCCAAATGTGGAGGGACTTGGAGAAGATATCGTTGTACATCAGACCCGTGTACATTGAAAACACGCCCATCAGCAGGATAATGTAACGACCACTGAAGAAGTTTGGTCAATATACCATATTTGACATGGAAAAACGCACGTGAAGAATTGCCCAATGATCTCATCTAGTTCCTGCTTAGCCCACTTCTTCTCCACGGCAATCATGTAGAGCGCGGCGCAAAAGATGATGAAGCCATGTCCGATATCACCAAACATGACAGCAAACAAGAACGGGAAGGTCACGACAGCAAAAAGGCCAGGGTTGACCTCCTGATAAGCGGCGACACCATAACTATCCATGATCAGTTGGAAGCCCTCCGTGAACTTGTTGGTGCGGTTGTAAGTTGGTGGGGTTCTGTTTGTGTGTAATTCGTGTAGGATGGGAGCCATACTGGTCCCAGAATGCTCCGTGGCACGTCGAAGAGTAAGTTGGATTTCAGGAATATCCCTCGTAGGCACCCAGCCTTCGGCAATGAGCGTTTTCCTGCGGACATCATAGTTGAAGAGATTGAGGGCCTCGTAGATCAACTTTTCCTTGCGGACAACATCCTGCCAGCTCCGCAGGCTCTCGCCAATCTTCACGAGCTCGGTGCGGCGATTCATCCCGGTATTGTAAAGAACCGTTTGAAGGTCCTCAAGACGGACGGACACCTCCCGAAGGGACTCTGTTCGCTTGTCGGCGTTTGCGTCGATAGGGTAGAGCGTGGCACCCATGGACTCCGCGACTTTACGAATTTTGGCAAGTAAAGCATCTCCATGGGCAAAGATGATGAACACATTCTTGCGGGTCTCGGCCCCAGTGAGTGGATCAACGAAGGGTTCGACAATATCGGTGTGGTTCATGTAAAGATTGCCACGCAGAACGCGCCACAGAACACGCTCAAAAGTTGGGATTCGAGCGCGGTCAAGGGTCCCAGCGACGAACTCGAGGTCGAACTGGATAGCGGAGGCAGTTGAATATTGGTTTTCGCGATCGTCGTGTTGCAGCAAGGGAGCTGAGCTGTCGTCAAACGAGGTGCGAATGTCGCTTTGATGACCTTGTGCCTGGAAAAAGTTGAAAAGAGGGCAAAATAAGGGAGAACAGGCTAACCTTGTCGAAAAAAACAGCGGTCTCCCGTAAAACATGACGGGCTTCAACCAGCTCCTTGGTCCGTTCGCTCAGAGTCTGGTAGCTTTCATTCATTGTGATGAGACGCGCTTCATGTTCAGCAAGGGTCACGTCGAGTTCGTCGATGGTCTGCGGCCCCCGGGGACCGACAGTAATTAATGGAGCGGAATCATAGAGGGGGCGGATAGGTATAACGTCCTTCTCCTTCTCAATCTGGGTGGAGAAGAACCGGACACGGCGGCTCATCTCGTCTATGCGACGAATTTCGCCGACAAACGAACGTTGGAAGGGATTGATGCTGGGATTCAACTGAGGACAGGTTGGTCAAAGCCAAGAAATACACGAAGAAGAGGACGGACATCTTTGAACTGCACGTTTCCTAGTTCTCCGAGTTCGGCGACGGTGTCATGGGCAACCTCCGTGGGCACGAAAAGCTGCACCAAGCTCATCTGCTCCGAGCCTAAAACGCAACGTCAGCGACTAGCGCAGAGAAGTAAAACAGAGAGAGAAGTACGGAACAAGCTTGGGTAGTCGTTAGACATCCCGATAGTTATGAGGGAATGAACGGAGGTTGGTACAGGCCAAGAGGAAGGCGATTGCGATGAGGTGGTTGTGAGTCACGCAGGTCACGTTAGTCACAATCCCATCTGATCAAATCGTCTTATGTAAAAACAAATGCCGAATCTTCGTCGAAAAGTAAAACGAGTCTCCCATGAGTTTCTTCATCTAAAACCGGGAGTTTGGAGGCTCGCAAAAGCACGCAGGAGTCATTGTCTTGCACCTGATGGGAGTCTTATTCAGACAAGTATATATATATATATATTTTTGGCAGTACACGAGCCGCAGACAAGTATATTAATTATAATTAATACTATATCTAATCTTGAAGTTTTTTCAGTTGATTCTGCTCTACACAAGGTGCATGCGGAGAGCCTGGTGATCCTAATGAGCGCTGTCAATGTAGAGCAACGACCTGCTCCAGGCGAGAGGTTACGATGAGCTGGACGCTGTAGTGTACAATGATATGAGAGCACGTGATGAGTGTGGGAAATTTAAACGCGTCGCGTAACGCATAACACCACAACCTCTTCTTGCCTTTCGCTTACCACCAGGACTCCTCTCTCAACCCTCTACCGAGTCTACGTACATAATACTCATGGCCAAGCGCAAGTCAGACGCGACCGAGATCAGCGACTACGAAGACGAGCTCCAACAACCGAATCGCAAAGCGGCCCGCAAGTCTGACGCGTCCACCGCGTCTTCCTCATCGTCGACCCGCTCTTGGAAGGACATACAGCTCGAAGGAGATGATGAGGTGTGTTCCCTTTGCTACTTGTATAGATTGTTATTGAGGCATGCTGCAGGGTGGAGTACCTGTCTAGTGAGGAGCGCGCTGCTGACCGGTTCATCGCTGACGCGTGCTAGTGACACCCCTGGAGAAGTCCGTCGCAAGATTCGTCTTCTGTTGAAAGAGCCCAACTTCAAGGTTTGTCGCTATTGGTTTCCAGTTTTGTTTTGGTATTCAAAACTGTGTGTTACTTACCAGGTTACGCCCTGGCTCAAAGAAATTGGCAATATCAACAGCAACAGCTACCGTCGCTTCAGTGCGTGCTCCCTTCATCTTCTTGTGTACCGGCTAACTCATATCTGCAGTGGCGGAAAAGGATGCACAAAACGGCAAGGGCAATGGCACCTACTACGCGGCCTACGTCTACTTCGAGAAACGCCGCATTCTCGACGGCAAAGCTAAGACGGCTACTCGTATTTCCAATGAAAAGATACCTGGCGGATTTGAACTACGCGATTGTAGGAACATGTGGGTTCGCGCAAGGTAAATGAAGTGGAAGCAACCAAAAGAAAATTGCACCGAAAACGCGTAGTTTTTGTCTAATTCTAATGTAGATACCTTTTTTGATATGAACTCTACCATATGTATATTGTAGCAAAAAAGATTTCTTGGATACTAAATGTGTAGTCATAGACTTCCCCATAATGATCCCCAGAAAATCTTTGCTAGCAAGTGCGGATGCAGTGCATCGATGGGTGTCGCAAAGCCAGTGACCGAATCATACATGACTTTGCCTGCCTGGTAGTCCTAATGGGACTAGTTAAAACTTGAATCATGGCACACAATAAAACAAACGAACCGTCGTAGCCAGCCGCTGCAACTTGGTCGCATACCATCTTGCAAATGAGCCTCTTGACAGTGAATCCCCGACAATAGGTTCGGTGGTTGGCGCTCCATAGTCTAGCGATGTTAACATCAGTAACAGAGACAATAGGGTAAAAAAAATTAGACCAAGTGTCCGTGTGTTTTCCCAAAGCCAATGCGTTTTTTGGTGCTGCTCTGTAAGGGCAACCCCGGAGGCCTGAGATCAAGGTCCTAGCAGGGGAGGATCCAAAGCGTGAACATTGGTAAGCGAATACAAATGAAGCTGACCTAGCAGGGGAGGATCCAAAGAGAAGAAACTCTAAGGGTCCGCCTGCTAGGTAGCTGACTATATACTGCTTGTCCGTAGCTGCCGCTGTCGGGCACAGAAGGCTTGGGCGGCGTCGCAGGCGAGGTCCCAGGGCGACCGTCGGGAGGGCGTTGACGGATCGGTGATTGTGCGGGCGAGATGGAGGGCCGGACCGGAGACGGAACCGAGTCGGACCGGAATCGGAGGCGTCTCCGAGGGGCCGAAAGGGAGGTTCCCCTGACATCACCCCCCTTTGAATGCGGCGTCCCGACGCATAGACCGGAACGGAATCGAGTCGAAGGTCGCGGAGGCGATGTGTCGTGGGCTTGCCAGGGTACTTACGATAGAACTCCGCAATTTTCTCCGGGCGAAGACGCGGTCGAAGGACCCATTGGTCGTGCGATGCGTCGTAGCCTTTCCATCTGACGAAGTAGTTCAGCCGCTTATACCTCACCCCTTGCGTCCAGGATTTCCTCTACTTCCCACTCCGGGACTCCGTCCTCGAGGTCCGGAGGGGGCTGGTCGTAGCCGGGGCGTCCGTCGAAGGGGGGTCGTCCTGAGCGGGCTCGAGCTTGACGACGGGGAAGACCGGGTGGAGCTTCGAGTAGCGCGGAGGGAGGTCGAGCTTGTAGGCACCTTTGCTGATCTCCGCGACTATCTTGAACGGTCCAAGGCGGCGATGGGAGAACTTTTCCGAGGGGCGAGTCGTCCTGATGTCAGAGGCATCCAGCCAAACACGGTCGCCAACCTTAAACTCCGGAGACGGAGTCCGTCTCCGGTCGTAGTAGCGCTTGTACTCCTCTTTGGCCTTAGTGAGCGCGGCCTTGGCTTCAGCAACACCAGTGGCGATCCGGTCGCGGACCTCGTTCACTGACTCCATGGCGGAACGGACTCCGGGTTCGAAGCCCATGCGGGGAGCCGTCCCGTGTCCGTCATGAAGGGGACCTGCTGCGTGGAGGAGTGAACGTGGTTGTTGTAGGCGAACTCCGCGGCCGGAATCAGCTCATCCCAGTCGTCCTGCTGGTAGTTGGTGAAGATCCGCAAGTACTGCTCCAGCTCCTGGTTGACGCGCTCTGTCTGACCGTCTGTCTGCGGGTGGTACGCGGTGGACGTGGCGGGCTTGATGCCGATTAGACGCCAAAGTTCTCGGGTGAAGTCCGCGATGAACTGCGAGCCGCGGTCGGAGACGTACTTCTCCGGAGTCCCATGGTGCCGCCAGACATTCCGGTAGTAGAGGCGGGCTGCCCCTACTGCATCGACCGTCGTATGACACTCTGAGAAGTGGGCGCTTTCCGAGGGTATCAACGACGACCATGATCGCGTCGTACCCATGGGCTTCGGGAAGCTCTACGATGAAGTCGACGGAGACGGTATGCCAGCGTTCGGAGGCGTTTCCGTGGGGTGCAGTTCTCCGTGGGGCAGTCTCCGGAGTGCCTTGGTGCGACAGCACAAGTCACAGGTCGCAACATACCGGCCGATATGGCGAGACATCTGAGGCCACCAGTAGTTCCGGGAGACCAACTCCAGGGTCTTGAAACGACCTGCGTGTCCGGCGACTCGGGTGTCATGGCAGAGCTCGATGATGCGTCTCCGGAGGTCCTTGTCTTTTGGTACGACGATCTTTCCTCGGAAATGGAGAAGACCGCCGGAGACGGCCCACTCGTCAGAACGTGAGGAGCGGGGGCCTCGAGCTTGACCTTGAACCTTAAGAAGTTGCCGGGCCGCTAGTGCGACGGGCTCCTCCAGGTCAGGCTCACCGGAGAGGGCATCACGGATGTCACGGAGGAGTTCGGAGCCGGGACCGGAAACGGAAACGCCCTCGAGTGCGCGGACGTGGAAGAGTTCAGGCCGCAGAAGGACGACGTCGGAGTTGTCGGAATCGACTCCGTGGTCGGGTCTCCGGGAGAGGGCGTCAGGCCGACCCATATCGCGGCCAGGCTTGTGGTGCAGCGTGAAGTCGAACCGGGAGAGGTACAGAGACCACCGGGCCTGTCTCCGGTTGAGGTGTTGCGTCTTCCTGAAGTACTCCAAATTCTTATGGTCAGTCCAAATCTCGACAGGGTGCGCGGCGCCCCGAGGAAGTGTCTATACTCCTCGAGTGCGCGGATGATGTCGCGAGCATCTCCTTGTCATGGATTTCGTAGTTGCGCTGGACATCATTTAAGCTTTTGGAATAGAATGCTACAGGGTGCCACTTCCCGTCCGGGGCGGATTGTGAAAGAACCGCCCCGTCGCATAATCAGAGCTGTCCGCCTCGAGTCGGAAAGGCCGTGTGTCGTCCGGAATCGCCAGGACCGGTTCCCGAGGTGACCGTCCTTGATCGCTTGGAACGCGGAGGCCTCCGCCCACCCCGAGTCCATTGCTGGTCCTTCTTGGTGAGCACGAAAAGAGGGCGCGCAAGGGTCGAGAAGTCCCGAATGAACCTGCGGTAGAAGTTAGCGAACCCGAGGAACTGCTGAATGTCCTTCTTGTTTTCCGGAGTCGGCCAAGCGGAGACGCCTGCCAGCTCATATACCTGAATCTATGCATAAGATATGGGTGGGCTCCACAGAATGTAATGCATAAGATATGGGTCCTGCTTCTTGATATATAAAATAACTGTAATTTAGGATTATTGGAGTGTCCTGATGCCCTATCATTGATGGGTTGATGCCATTTAGATATAAGCATTGATGTGGAACGATTTTTGATTGCCATCACTGATTCTGATGGCTATATAGAGATACATCAATTTCATCCCAATTAGGATGATATTCTCTTTTCCATATCACACAGTCCCCCTAATTACATACCGGGTCATCGGCCTGAAGAAAAGGGACTTAAAGATATTTTATATGATATTACATAAGTCATATCTATCAATCCTATTGCATAATGACCATCTTGATCTAATGTCACAATCTCTGTCACAATCCTCAGCTATTAGCGCTTGGGTGGGCACCCATATCTTATGCATTACATTCTCTGGAGCCCACCAGTATCTTATGCATAGATTCAGCCTTAGAGGGTGCGCCTGCGACCTTGACGGGGTCCATTTCGACGTGGTTGTGGGAGATGATGACTCCGAGGTACTCGATTGACGATTTTTCAAAGTCGCACTTCTCCGCTCGGAGGTACAACTTGTGCTCTCGGAGTCGCCGCAAGACCTCCTGAACAATCTGCTGGTGTTTCCGGAGGTCGGAATGGGCGATCAAGATGTCGTCAAGGTAGATCATGACGTCTCCGGAGAGGATGAGGTCCTGAAAAATGTCATTCATCATCGTTTGGAACGTCGCGGGAGAGTTTGTCAGGCCGAAATACATCACCAAGGGCTCGAACAGGCCTCGGTTAGTCCGGAAAGCCGCTTTCCACTCGTCACCTTCCTTGATCCGGACGTTGTTGAAGCCCCAACGGACGTCGAGTTTGGTGAAGTAACGAGCGCCTTTGAGCCTGTTGATGAGGTCGTTGATCAGCGGAAGGGGGTACCGGTTTTTGACAGTCATCGCGTTGAGAGCACGGTAGTCCTGGACGAAGCGGAGTCCTCCGTCCTTCTTCTTGACGAAGAAGACCGGAGACGCCATCGGAGACTTGGAGGGGCGAATCCGGCCCGTCGAAAGCCCTTCCTCGATGAACGCGTCGAGCTCGCGTTGCTCGAGGGGCGAGATGGGGTACACCTTGCAGTTGGTGGGCTTAGCGTCGGGGACGAGTTCAATGGCGTGGTCCCAGGCTCTCCGCTCCGGTAGCGTGTCGAAGGACTCCTTGTTGAAGACGTCCTGGAACTCCTTAGCCCAGTCCGGGATCTCGGAGGGCGGAGGGGCGGAGTTCCTGGCGAAGGCTTCGGCCAGGCGTTGCGAGACAGTACTGCCAGCGCGTATCTCCTCCGAGGGGCGGAACGAGGTGTAGAAGATGCGGTCACCATCTTCAAGCTGACCATCGTCATCGTCGTCGTCGGAGTCCGGCGTCAGATCAGGCAGGCCGGAGTCGTCACCGGAGACAGAATCGTCTCCGTCATCAGACCCAGAAAGGTCCATGGCGCAGACCGAGGGGAACGGGCCGGAGCGGAGACGCTTCTGAAGCGACCGGAGTCGCCGCAACTCGGTCCGTTCGACCCGCTCTTCCTCACGGCAGGTCGAGCAATTGCGGGGGCACCGTGTCATCTTGACCTCCTTGGTTTCCCAATTGATCTCTGGGTTATGTTTCCGCAACCAGGAATACCCCAGGATGAGGTCTTGCTTGCCAAGATGGGTGACGGCCAGCTGAACTCGTTCGGCATGGCCCTTGTAGCGCAGGACCAAGTCCGCGATCTGTTTGATGGAGCCAGCGTCATTGGGGGTGCCATCGACATTGAAAACCGGAATCGGCTGATCGAGGGTGCGGACCGGAATGCCATTCCGAGCAACATAGTTCGTGTCAATGAAGTCGGAGGTGGCACCACAGTCGACAAGCCCAGAGAGTGAGAGCTTCAGCGCCTGGTGGTGGACTCGAGCTCTAACGGGAGGTGGAGGGAGTTCGCCCCAGGGGCAGCGGCAACGGTGTACTGCTTGGGCAGTTTCTTTTCCCAGGCAGTGAGGCGGCGGAGGACGATGACCGGAGTCGCGGGCGGGGGTCGGAGACGGAGTCGAGGCGGGGGCAGGAGAGGGTGTGTCTTTCGTTTCGGGCTCATTGTAGGGCAAGGAACTGCATTCATCATACAAAGAGGCAAAACGATTTATAGACGCGAACGAGGGCACACCAGTCACTCGTCGCGGGGGACAAAATCCTCTCCGGCCATCGACTCCGCAGCCGTTTCCGGCAACGCGGCTGTGTCCGAGTAGCGGGCGATCAACTCCGCTAACATCTCGTCACCGAGTTGTTGGATCACCTCGTCGAGGATGTCCATTGAGCGGACATCCGCGGGGAGGGGGCAGTCCCGGGCGAGATGGTTTGGGTCGCTGCACCTGAAGCAGGCGCGACGAGGGGTACCCCGAGCCCTGGTGCGATCCAACTCCATAGGGACGGGAGCTGGAGGCGCCGGAGCGGGGGCGCGGGCCGCGGGTGGCACGACCGGAGCCACCGGGCGGAAAGGGGCCGGAGCCGGGATGCGGTTGACCGGAAACGGAGTCCGAATCAAACCGCCAGGCGTCTTGGGGGCGGCTGACTTGATCAGCTTGGCCCGGACCAGGGCCTCGTATTGACGGAAGGCCCGGGTGCGCCAGCTAAGGTAATCCCGGAGGTCCGGGGGTCGTTCGAGGACGTGATTCCGTTGTTGATCAAGGGGTCAAGTCCGTGGCGGAACTTGGTCACCTTGACCAGCGCGTCTTCAATCCGGCGAGGTCCATCAGGTCCTCGAAGTCGTCGGTGTACTGGTAGACATCCTTTGTGCCCATGTGATAGGCGGAAGTCTCCAGTTTGGAGAGAGCATGATCTTGCTCATTCTCTTCGACGAACCGGAGTCGGAACTCGAAACGAACGAGCCCCAGGACGGAAACGGAAACGGGGCTTTGCTTCCGTGGCGCTCCGCCCATTGCTGAGCGGGTCCTTCTGCCATAAACGACATGGCATAGCGGACGGCCTTTTCCTCGCTCGCCTCTCCGTTGACCACGAAGGCCTCAGGGGCAAGGCGGGCGTAGGTGCGGACCGCGTAGAGGAACGCGCGGCCCGCGTTTCCGGTCGCCGTTGAAGGTGAACGGGGGGTTTGGTCGCAAGACCAATTTTGAGGCGAGGTTGATGTCGCCAAAGAGGGCCTCGGAATCGCCCTGAACCGGAGTCGGAGTCGGAATCGACGTCTCCGGCGATGGTGTTTGGGGTCCGCCAGCATTATTAGCGGCGGCAGCGGCAGCAGAAGCCTGGTTGGTGAGTAAAGCAAGGGCCTCAGTTAGGCTATCGATTTTCGCCTCGAGTGAGTCCAGCCGGGCGTCTGCGGTAGGAGTGACTCCGGACGGCATGACGGGTGCGGGGACCACAGGAGTAGAGGAGGAGGGGACAAGTGGCAGGGGCGGTGACGAGGGCGGAACGGACTCGTACTCCGAGCCTGAGTCAGCGCCGAACCTGGCAATCTTGTCCGGTTGATCCCGTAGAGAGTTTCTTCTGCTGTAAGGGCAACCCCGGAGGCCTGAGATCAAGGTCCTAGCAGGGGAGGATCCAAAGCGTGAACATTGGTAAGCGAATACAAATGAAGCTGACCTAGCAGGGGAGGATCCAAAGAGAAGAAACTCTAAGGGTCCGCCTGCTAGGTAGCTGACTATATACTGCTTGTCCGTAGCTGCTGCTGTCGGGCACAGAAGGCTTGGGCGGCGTCGCAGGCGAGGTCCCAGGGCGACCATCGGGAGGGCGTTGACGGATCGGTGATTGTGCGGGCGAGATGGAGGGCCGGACCGGAGACGGAACCGGAGTCGGACCGGAATCGGAGGCGTCTCCGAGGGGCCGAAAGGGAGGTTCCCCTGACATGCTCCTTGAAAAAATCGTGAGAGAAGCAGTCGGGAAGTGTTCGTCCAGAGGTAACTTGCACCCGATGTAGTGTTTTGTGCAGCGCCATGGCACAGCGCAGAGCTTTCGTGCTGCCTTCTCCGAACAGAGGGTTGACTGGATAAAAGAATATCAGCTACTACAGCTGAAAACACAATTTTAACCTGTCATAACACTATCTCCGAGGGCGACAAAGTTTGTGGGTAAATTGGCAGCTAGATGATAGCGAACATATGTTGTCGGCGCTGGATTCAAAATGCAGGTCTTGAGCAGTAGCAAATACCCAAATGTCAAAATACTGACGGACTTTGACCAATGAGCGGGTCGCAGATGTTTCTTCGACTTCTTGGAGTCGATCGAAAAGGTCAAAGACCCATCTAGGGAGGGCCGTGGTTGCATGTAAGTCACGAACATATTCTTTCATTTCGGAAACATTTCGTGGTTGGGGTCGTCCATTCCCGTAATGACCAACAAAGGCAACAACTAAAAAGGCATATCGTATAGTATTAGCCAAGGTAGACATTATTACACAGCGACAATCGCACTTACGCAGATTGGCATCCATCCGCATGAGACACATGAAAGCTCGTCCACGCCTCATGACATTTTCAGTGGCGTCCTCAAGAAAGCTGATAATTGACCGAAGAGGTTTGATTTCCTTGGGCAGTCCCAGATTGTCATGAAACTCTTGGTCTAGAGTAAATATGATCGAGGAATAGCGGAGTTTTTGATCAAAAGAGATCTTAATCTTATCCAGAGATGTCGACTCAGGGAGTTTGTCACTTGATGATGAAGTCGGAGCGCCATATCCATGCCTTGCCAGCCACTTCAAACCTGCACGCGTAGTTCCAGTACAATCTGCCACGAGGGTTGTATGCAGTTCCTGAACGTCGAAGTCCGTTCGGACCACAACTTTAGATAGGCGCGATGGGTCTGTTGGGTCAGGAACAATATCCGTGACCGTACCGGTCAAGTACTCGATATTGGGGTAGTCGCTTTTGTTCAGCATTAATCGTCTAGATTTGAATTGTCAATTGGCGTTGATAAGTGCAACGAATGTAGGACCTGAGCAAAGTCTCGGTGCCAGGACGTGATGAGAGCAATGTAGATGGTAAACCGCTCGGATAAGAGGCAAATGGCATCCGCCAACTCGACCCAGACAGGCTGAAATACGGATTGTGTGGGAGGATTCTGAACCAAATGTTTCAACTATTGTGGAAAAATACAATGGGAACGAGCCTGATATTTGAACGACGAGATTCTGCTTGGAGATTTGGGAATAAGACATCCAGGCCGGCTGTGAAATAGGCTTGGTTTCCTGTTGTACTCTTCAGGTTTCAATTGGGAGAGCAATGAATAGACACACCATGGAGAGAGTTGTACTGCAGCACTCGTGTCCGTTGATGCTTCATGTTAGTGCTCCATCCGTTTATTCCACGCGCATCTTCCGAGGCAGCCCAAGGGTCCGCTTCAACAATAACTACACGTTCAAAATGTGCATGACAAATTCGTGCCGCAAGTAGACCAGCAATACTGTGCAGGATTAAGCACGGCTGCATGACAAACAGATGACCATACCTCCCACCACAAATAACAGCTGTGCCTTGGATTTTATCTTCTGGTCGTCGACCTTGGTTGAGGAGAGGCAAGTCGTTGATCCCGATAACATTCGTTAATAGTCTTCGCCTGGCAACATGCCAGGCAGCAACAAGAGAGAGGTACGTGAAAACCACGCCAAATAGCAGCAGGCAAAACATCCAAGTCACGATCACATTGTACAAACAAGCCTTTTATGAGTTAGTGGAAGTTAGCAAGCCTACGGCTTCCGAGCGCCGTTCGTGTCTCATCATCGGGACCTCAGTAGGTTTCGATCGCCAACACGGCAGGATAACTGGGATGATGAGGTTTTGTTTTCAACCCACCGACCGACGTGACGGCCACGGTCACGGTCGAGTCAAGCCGAAAACTCTCTCTGACATTTCTTCAAGTCCACCATGACGTCCCATACATGTTCTATCGCATTCATACCCACAACAGTCAACTCAACCACGAGTGCTCACATCTGTCTATAAACTCGATGGCTGACTTGTGATGGTGACCCTCTGGCCGGCGGCGTTTCGCTGCCGCTCTGCGGCGCCTGCCTTCCTCATCAGCGTTTTACGACTGTCCAGCTTCAAGTCTGAGGTTTTTATGGAACTCTGATGTCATCCGACACCCAAAGCAGTCGCGTGAGCGGACGCACATCTCAGCCATATGGACGTCTTTTCTCTGTACAAGGGAATCTCGGACACGGGACTCGAGGGCACGTATTTTAACTCCGTCAAACACTTCTCGAGTAAGAATTCTCATAGTGCTTCTTTTTCAGATCTGCGCACCCGACATGCTTAAGAACAGTGCACCCTGGTCTGACCCAGCTCTGACCTTCCGTGCATGGAGTCCTTTCGTCTCGCTCTCGCTGCGATTGTGGTCGCGTTGGTGGCAGCGCAGTCTGACCCAGCCCAGTTTGTGAATGCTTTGATTGGAACTTCCGACGGCGGACATGTCTTTGCTGGCGCGACTCTTCCTTGGGGTTCGGTCAAAGCTGGTGCCGACAGTCTTTCGGGGGACAACCAGGGCGGATACGTGAGCGATGGATCGCCTATAACAGGCATCTCGCAGCTGTAATGCGGTATTTTAGTGCTCCTCAATGCATTCCGCTCATCGTTGTTAGCCACGATGATGGAACTGGAGGTGGCGCGTCGTTGGGCAACTTTCCTTTGCTTCCATACAACACATCGCAATGCGCCAACAACGATTTAACAAAATGCGTCATTAACCATGATGCTCGAGCCGTATCCCATGGCGATCCCACCACTTCTCCAGGGTATTGTGCGTGTCGTTCCATATTCCTGCTGCTGCTTCACTAAGCTAAGCCTTTCGTAGTTGGTATTCCTCTTAACAACGGGGTGCATGCCGAGGTCACGGTAACCCAGCACGCTGCTCTACATAGGTTTTCCTACCCAATCGGTACAAATCAGCAGATTCTTTTACTTGAGGCCACCAGAGGTAGATCGTTATTCTTCTCCTCTATGTGCTACAGCTCATTCCACGCCGCCAGATCTTCCCGGAAGCTACCGCAGTCCCGGAAATATCACAGTCATCTCCAACAAATTAGGCGGAACACGAGTTACGGGTACCGGCTCGTTTGCGCCGTCCTTTGGAGAAGGTTCATACCAGGTCCACTTCTGTATGGACACGAAGATACGTTTTGCCCAAGCTCAATTCTTCCGTACCGTTGGCGGTGCCGTCACCTACACTGCTCTCCAAACAAATCCTCGTGTCAATTTCGCGGCCAACATTGGCAGCAACAGTCCTGCGGGCTTGATTTTTGACTTTTCTTCCACCGAGACGCTCAGCGTGCGTATGGGAATCTCGTGGACAAGCTCCGCAAAAGCCTGTGCTTTCGCTGAACAAGAGATACCCGATTTGTCAGCCTTTGACAATGTCAAAAACGCGGCTCGGTGTGTTCCACTCATCAATCGTCTCCTCGCTAATGATTTTAGTGCTAAATGGAATGAGGTGTTGAGCACCGTGCAGGTGGACAACACCGGCGTCAGCGTCGAAACCCAAGAGCTTTTTTGGTCGTCGTTATATCGCACTTATATCTCTCCGACCAACATAACTGGCGACAACCCGCTTTGGGCTTCAAACGAGCCGTACTGGGATAGTTTCTACTGTATCTGGTATGTTTGTTTCTATTTTGTTTCCAAGCTCCTAACTTTTTCTTCAAGGGACTCGTTCCGTGTTGTCCATCCATTGTATGCTATCACCGCGCCAACTGCTCAAGCCGAAGTCGTCCGCGCGCTGATTGATATTTATCGTCATACTGGCTGGCTTCCTGACTGCAGGATGTCCCTCGACAAAGGGTACACGCAAGGAGGATCGAATGCAGACTCTCTACTGTCAGACTCTTACACCAAGGGCATCAAAGCCGGCATTGATTGGGAAACTGGCTACGAGGCGATGGTGAAAGATGCCACAGTCGAGGGGGACTTCACGTTGGAAGGCAGAGGAAGCATCGCAGCACGAGAAAAGTTGGGCTTTGTTCCTGTTGGCGACACCAATGATCCGCCGAACGAAGGCCCGAACACACGAAGCGCGTCTCGTCTGCTTGAATATGCCTACAACGACTTCGGTATTGGCCTCGTCGCCCAAGGACTCGGCAAGACTGCCGATGCACAACACTATTTTAACAAGTCTCGCGACTGGTTCAATATCTGGAATCCAAATGCGACACATGATGGTTTCAGTGGCTTCATACAACCCCGCAGTGCTGATGGGTCGTGGTATTTCGACCCGCGGTATGATCTCAACAATGTCTTCCGCCCAGACCATTGTAGTCCTGTGTTTGGTCACTTCGATTGTTTCTTGGTGCGTGTGACTACTCCAGGTAGCATTCCGGCAACGCTCATAATCCTATAGAACCCCGACGGTGGCGAATTCTATGAAGCGAGCTCTTGGTATATGCCTCGGGTCTTCGTCATCTGACTTGAGACTCACGATTGATATAATCCAGGGAGTATTCGTGGTTTGTTCCACAAGATATGGCAACCTTGGTAACGGTTATGGGTGGTCCGAAAACAGCAAGGTTCGTAATTCATCCTCGGGATCCATTTTACAAATGCTTAGTTTTGATTCTCAGCTCCCGTTTGGATACTTTCTTTGACGATGGGTTCCATGTACTTCCCACTTGCTCTCTACTGTGAAGTTTGGCTTACCTCACTTTAGGATATTGGCGACGAGCCCGGGTTCCGTGAGTGTTCCTCTCTCCAAATATATATAGAACTTTGTCAGCTGAATCAACATGCAGTCCCCACCTATCTTTACAACTATGTTGGGCAGCCAGGCAAGACGGTCGATCGTGTCGACGCTACTTTAACTAAATACTACAACACCAAGTTGATTGAGCTTTAACTCCCTACCTCACTCGATCTCATGATCATCGACAGGACATCGGGTCTGCCCGGGAATGACGACTCTGGCGCAATGGGAGCGTATGTCGTCTGGAGTCATCTCGGTCAGCCTGCTTTGCCAAAAAGATGAAAACAATTAATTAGACCCTTAGGATTCTTCCCTGTCGCTGGCCAAGCGACTTACCTCCTCAATCGCCCTTACTTCCCACACATATCGATCCGCAACGAGGCGACCGGGAAGACCGCGACGATCATTGCAGACGGTCTGAGCGCCACTAACAAGTACATCCAATCAGCGACACTCAACGGGAAGCCCTACACGAAAAATTGGATATCGCATGACGTCTTTACGACTGGAGCAACGCTGCACTTTATTATGGGCCCGAGCCCTAGCGATACTTGGGGAACAGGGAAGGACGATTTGCCTCCGAGTTTGAGCACGGGAGGATTTGCATAACGAAGAAGAAGTCTGTAAAAAATATTACGAGGCTCCTTGAAGCTGCCTAAAATGCTGAACACGTTTATGAGGAATCATCTCCATCCCACTTGCACCATCCCATAGAATTGCATAGTAGATTGACATGGGCCATCAAATCTCAACTCTTCCTTGTTTTCTTCTCTCAATTCCTTCACCCGAAACGATGGTCATTCTTCTGTGGGTTCGGCGCATCTGGTATGCTTAAGAATCCTCTATCTGAAGCCATTTTGTTTTATTCTCCCGCAAATAGTGGTAGCCCGAGCGATACTTGGGGGACTGGAAATGACGATTTGCCGCCCAAGCCTTAGCACGGGAGGATTTGTCTGAGAAGCGCGCTCAATCGAAATTATCTAGTAGTAGGTATAGCATCTAAACACCGTCAAGATGAATGGTTTCGCCACTTGTGTCCGATAGTCAAAGCTGCCCAGCATACTTTCACGATGAGGTGCGGATGCAAGGCATCAACGGGGCTTGACATCCCACACACCATATCGTGCATGACACGGCCTGCGTGGCTGTCCTGAACGCACAATAAGCAGCCGAACTTGAAATCAAGAAAAAAAAATTATTCACCGTGACCGCGAGTCGTTGGAACCACTTCACATACCACCTCGTGAATGAGCCAAGAGAGAGGCTTTCGCCTGGGATCGGGATGGTGGTGGGGAGTCCATAGTCTGCAGAGCATTGTCACCACAGTCATTGACAAAACTTAAGGTCGCACCTTGTGTTCGAGTATTTTCCCACATCCAGCCGGTTCGGATATGCAGATGCTCAAAGAAGCTGCTAGAAAAAGAGGCCGATATCTCGCGATGGTCTAGCAGCTGTTTCTGTAACACCATGACGCAGCGAAGGGCCTTCGTGCACCCTTCCCCAAAAACAGGATTGACTGGGAACGCGTTCAATGTCTCCGTGTGGTGGCGGCAAGTGGACTCACTTGTCATAACGCTATCTCCCAGCGCTACGAAGTTGACAGGCAGTTCGCGAGCAAGATGATACTGCACGTAAGTCGTTGGTGCTATAAGAACCAATGGGTCAATTATTGCCAAAGGGGCGACACATGGCTCACGAGGGTTGACCAAGGAAACAATTGCGGTGTCTTGGACTTCGCGGAGAATATCGATGATCCCAAAGATCCATTCTGGGATTGGCTCAAGCGTGCGCAACTCCTGGACATACGTTGGCAACTCATCCACAGTCTTTGGTTGGGCGCGCGCGGCTCCGTAATGTCCCGCAAAGAGAACAACTGTCAATCGAATTCAGCGGTTGATTTGAAAGAAAAAAAGGCCTTGCGTGTTTGCACATCTTGACGTATGATGACGAACATGGCTTTGCCCATTCTCCTCGTCTCCTCGTTGATATCCTCCAAGAACATATAAACCCCCAGGATGCGCTGAAGCTCGTCGGGAAACGGAAGCCGCTCCTGGAGCTTTTCGTCCATCTTGAACAACATCGTTGAATACCGCAGTTTTTGGTCGATGGTAATCTTGAGTGGGTCCATCTCGAATCCTTGTCGTCGGAGCCACTTGACACCCGCGCGTGCAGGACCAGCGCAATCTATATGAAGGATAAGTGTTAGTTGAAATCATAGAACACAGGATACCAACCAGCAACAAGCATCGCAGGCATTTCCTCCACAACGCCTGCCTCGCTTCGCACGACAACCTTGTCAATGCGCAACGGATCGGTTGGGCTTATGCTCGTGCCCACAACCGTTCCCGTCATCCAGCTGATATTGGGATAGAGTTCTTTGTCCAGTACCAAACGCCTGCGATTGCATGAGCTTTCAAGTCAAAAGTCGAACGCGACCAACCGCAACAGCTTCTCTAGTGCCGCACGCGTCGTATATAACGAGTTAGCCATAAGCGAACGTTCGGGCACCATCCAAGCACGGCCGGACAGGTGTGGTCGAGCATTATAAGGCTCAATTCTGTGGTAGAGTGTAAGATTGACGGGGAGTTGAATACATATGTTTGGGGGCACTTGCTTTAGACGAGCGCGCGCGCATTCTGCTTCTAGTTTTGCGAACAAATGGAGCATCCCAGCGAAAAAAGGTGGCTGACTGCCTGGAGTGTAAAATTCAGTTTCCTAATCACAAAACGAGATGAGCCTGAGCTCACCATGCAACGAGTTCCGCTGTAAAAGTCGTGTCCGCCGCGGCTCCTGATTCCACGGACCGAGTATCCGCGCTTCTTCAGTGGCCGCCCATGCTTCAGGCTCGACAACTAAGACTTTGCGAAAGTGTGCATGACAAACTCTGGCCGTCAGCAATCCAGCAATGCTAGGAAGAGCTTGAGAACGCGTCGTGAGGTTACTGTGCCCATTGGCCCATACCTTCCTCCACAGACCACCGCTGTACCGTCGAACTTGTCCTCGTCGCGTCGAACCTTCACCAGCAGCGGAAGGTCATGGATCCCCAGGGCTGTTGCGAGGAGACGCCTCTGAAGGGTGTGCCATGCGAGGAGAGCGATCACGTAGCCGCTCAAAAGCACGAAAATGACTGTACCGAGCATCGAGCGGTATTACATGACCAGCAAAGCTTTCCCGCTTTTGAAGGCGCGTCCAGTTGATTCCCCAACGATCTTTGCTTCTGAATTTGTGGAGTATGTGCTAGAAGCACTGTCGCAGAGTGCCGGATATGCTACTCCGCTGGGCTAGCAGATAGAGCGCCAGTAAGTATGTACGCATGTTTGAAGGGGGAAAAGACATTGCCGTCCAGCGATCGTGTTCTAACATGGTGGTCAAGAACAAGGTGATAGGATCATCCTGCCATCAACTGGACTGGAAATGGTTAACCTTTGGCAAGATGGGGCCCGTGTTGTACCTGGATCGGTGGCACGATTATGAGTTCTTGCTGCGTAATTGTGTTGCATTCTGTGTCGCTTCTCATTTGATTATGCTCTTCGGCTCTCAAATTTCCACTCTTGTCCACTTCAGTTGAGTACAGACGACTTGAAAGAAAAATCGCATTCGAAGGCTATAAATACAAATATACAACTGCTGACTTGGGTTTCATTTGTTTTATCACCATAGAGCGGTTTACGTGTCAACGCCCTCCTCCCATCCTTTAGACCGCTCCACTGCACGCTTCCAGCCTTCCCAGCCCTTCTGCCTCTCAGCGATATTCAAGTTCGGCGTGAAATCCCGACTGCCTTTCGTGTTCACCTCCGCCAGCGACTCGGGCTTGGTCAAGTCCCATCCAAACAAGCCAATTGCGGCACCCGCAAGAAGCGCACTGCCCAGCGCGGTCGATTCGCGCATTTCAGGCCGAACAACCGTGAAACCCCCGACATCGGCGAGCACCTGCATCGCGACGTCGCCATTTGTCATCCCGCCGTCGACCTTGAGATGCTTGAGGTCCGTCCCAGCATCGAGCGACATGCATTCGACGATGGCACGGGTCTGGTATGCATTGGCTTCCAATGTTGCGCGCGCAATATGGGAAGGGTTCGTGTATTGGGAGATGCCAATCAAGGTTCCTGCTGCGCCAGGGTCCCAGTAGGGAGCGAGCAAACCAGAAAAGGCTGTGACGAAGTACAATCCACCAGAGTTGGGCTCTTTCGCCGCTAGGTCGTTCACCTCAGCAGCGGACCGGATCATTGACACTCCGTCGCGCAGCCATTTAATCGCACTGCCCGCAACGGCAATAGAGCCCTCGAGCGCGTAAACTGGCTTGGCTTTTGGTCCAGCTTGGTATGCAATCTTTCAAGCGGGTCAGATTGGTTTGAGAGGTGTCAACTTAGAAAGCTTACCGTACTTAGGAGACCATGCTTGCTTTGTACAATATCTCCGCCGGTGCAGAATAGAAGGAACGCGCCAGTGCCATATGTGCATTTGGCTTCTCCTTGGGCTAGACATTTGTTGCCAACAAGAGCACCCTGTTGGTCACCCACGAGCCCGGCAACAGGGACGCCTTTCAGAGCGCCAGCATCAATCTTGCCATATACCTCGGATGTGGAGACGAGTTTAGGCAGGATGGACTCGCGGAAGCCGAAGAAAGCCAAAAGAGGCTTCTCCCACTGCAACGTTTTGGTGTTGAGAAGGAGGGTGCGGGAAGCATTGGTGAGATCGCTAAGGTGGATGTTTGTCGAAGCGCCACCAAGGAGATTGTAGAGAACCCAGGATTCGACGGTACCGAAGGCCAGTTCGTCGGCCTCATGAGCAGCAGCAACCTCGGGGTGATTGTCGATCATCCAGCGGAGTTTGATAGCTGAAAAGTAAGTGGAGAGCGGCAGTCCAGTACTGGAAACATCGGTCAGCGTGGCATCGGGATCGAGCGAAAGTAGCAGCCCACATCTCGCGAAGGGCATCAGGCCCTTTCTTCCATTCGCCAGGCGAAACTTCGATCCCGGTTTCTGCCAACTTCTTCTCAAAGTGCGCCACAACGTTCTTTGTACGCGAGTCGGTCCAGACGATAGCCTTGCAGAGAGGTTTGCCGGTTTTTCGACTCCAAGCGACCGCGGTTTCGCGTTGGTTGGTGATACCTTGGGCAGACTTGAGTTGAGAAAATGCATAGTACCATAGCCACACACCGATAACCTTGACACTGTCGGAAGCCCATCCGTCGGCAGCCAATTTCTTCATAGTCTCCTCGATACACAGGTTGGCATGTTGCTGAATCTCGTCCGCGTCATGAGAGTGCCAACTACATCGGTCAGAGACAAACAAACAAACAAGCTAATCAGGCTTACCCAGGGTGCGGATAGTATTGAGGGAACTCGAGCTGATGCTCGCTGACGATATTAGCATGTTTGTCGAAGACAATGAACCGAACGGAGCTAGAGAGCGGTGAGACAAATCGCGCCGGTTGAAGCGAGCAGCACTGACGTGGTTCCACAGTCAAGAGAGCCGACGAATTCTCCAGCCTTGGACTCGGACATCGCGAAAGGAGAGCAAGAGCAAGAAAGCGCTCACCTGGTTGCGTTTGGTTATAAGAGGGCTGTCATTACCAAATTGGCGTCGGGCCGGATTTCAATGCAGGATCACATGCGCGATTATCTCCTCTGGCTTCCGTTGCGGCATCCCATCTCTTCTCTTGCGCTCATGTGCAGTTTTTAGTGTTCGCTGACCGTGTTTTTGTATTGAACATCGTCTTCGCTCGTGGTCGCCCGCGTGAATATTACGCGTAAGGCGGGCTAGCTTGTCCTCCGACCTTTCCCACCTCAATTTCCATTCGTGTCCCGTGCCTCTGCATCTTGGCTCTCCTTTCAATTACATTTCTTGTGGGCTGGGCTTCCGGATCTTACGTTGCAGATAATCTCTTGTGTCTCATTATTATTGCCCAGTCTATCTGAATTTCTTCAATGGGTCTGACTTTTTCTTTCCACCTCGCCCTCTTCCTGCCGCTGCCCCGCCCCTACCCCTGCCTCTACCACGTCCACGACTCATCCCATCCTTTCTAAATGGCACAAATCCATTCTTCCCACCCACTTTCTCTGAACGTTCTGTCTCGTCGCCACCATTGACTGATGCGATTCGGGGTAAGAGATACTTGGGAACATGCTTCATGTGTGGCTGAACTCGAGTCGGATGCAGCGGTTTGTCGTGTTTTAAGAATTCCAGGTCCAGAGGATTGTCTTCAAAATGCGCTTTGAGCTTGTCGGACGCCAATATCTCCGCTTTGAGTTGGGCTACTCGGGCTTCCCGTACTGCCGCTCTAGTCACGCTTCGTAAAGCGTCCTCCATTCGATATCTGAATGCTTCCACCTGTTTCATGTCGAAGCGGTATTCTTGCACTTTACTTCCTCTTGCTCCTTGTTCCTTCTCGATCCTCGAAAAGACTCGTTGCTCGGCTTCGGGCTTGACCACAGGCTCTCCCTTCATTTTGTGCTTATCGTCCCCCGTCCCAGTTGATATAAACGACAATGCCATTCCTGTGCGACCAGCACGAGCCGTGCGACCAACACGATGAGTGTATGCTCGAGCTGACCGAGGAAGATCAAAGTTGAGCACGCAAGCAACATCGATGAAGTCGACCCCCCGAGTGACACCGTATTCCGCATCGCGCTTTGATTTTGATTTTCCTTTGCGCTTCTTGCTAGCCGGAGCTGCCGCTGGAGTAGGCGATGTAGCACGTTTCCGTTTTTTTGATGATTGAGATGCAGGCTTCTCAGGGTCGCGCTGGGATGAAACAACTGGAAGACTGTCAGAAAAAAAGTGAGAGAGAAAATAGATTGCCCACGTACGCTCTTCCTCTGAACCGTCCTGAGACCCTTCATCCGACTCTGAATCCACTTCAGCTTCCTCATCGTCATCCATTTCCCCTCCACCACTTTCATCCGTCGCTATGATGTACTCATAGACACCCTTATTGAACTCTTGGACAGCATGGTACCGCGAGTTTAAGGGGAGCTCCGAGTTCAGGACACAGCTCTTGATTGAAAACTGTTCCAGGAACAACTTAAGGCGATATGACCGGTCGACATCGTTGACGAAGATGATGCATTTGCCTTTGATGAGCTTCAACTTGAGTATAACGTAGGTGAGGAGAAATTTGTCGATTTCGGTGCAGCTGAATAATGTGTTTAGGTATTAGAAGACCAGCAAAAAAAAGACACACCTAACGGAGTATTGCGTCAAATTTGCGGCCTCGTCTTCGTCCTCCTCTAGTTTCAGTATGGCCGGATTGCGCAGTGTGAGCCCCTTAAGTAGTTCCACGTCCTCGGTCATCGTAGCGCTCATGAGGAATGACTGGTAGACTTTCGGGAGAAACGCGCCGCTGAAGATTTGCTTGACATCTTCGTTATGGCCGTAGGAGAGAATGAGGTCGGCTTCATCGATGACCAGTGATTCAAGGAATGATACGGAGAGAGCCTGTTGACGACGCTGCTCAGGCAAGATACAAATAAAGCGTGTAATAACAGTACCTTGGATTGCATAAGAACTAGGGCTCTCGAAGGTGTAGCTATGACAATATCGGGCTTGTCAGATAGTAGAGTTCTACTCGAAATGAGGACCATCCTGATCTTTAGTAGTAAAAACCAGGCGCACCTTTGTAAATGAGTGGTCGTTCCTGAAGTCACATTCGAGACGGTTATCTCATCCTCGCAGTACGCAAGTAGATGTTTGAAACAAGTCGCCACCTGCTCTGCCAACTCTCGCGTCGGTACCAAGATTAGCGCCCTCGTCGTGTTCTTCGCATCCGGTGCCTACGACTGCGTAAGCAAAACGTTTTAGACCCACAAGAGCAGCATACCTACACTTTTCGCGCTGAGAATTTTTTGCAGAACGGGAATACAGTATGCGGCAGTTTTGCCGCTTCCTGTCCGAGCTCGGGCAAGGATGTCGCGGCTTTCGAGAGCAAGTGGGATGGCTTTCGCTTGGACGAGGGTGGGTCTTGCAAAGCCCATGTCGGCGAGCGAGCGCAGAATCCGAGCATCGAGAATGTGCGCAAAAGTCGCAAAGGTTGCCCTTTTGTCGACCAGCAAGGGATCTGCCATGGAGAAAAAATGTCAAGTCCCGATTAGGATAGTCACAGTGTGACGCTTCCTCCAAGCCCCCAATCTGGAAGGTCGTTCAGTCAAGTCATTCTAGTCAAGCAGCCCAGCCCAACTCAAGCCAGTCTTTCACCCAAGCTGGTGTCGGATCGGCCGCCCAGACTGACAACCATTCTGAAACTCCCAAACTCCATCCGAGTTCGAACCAATTCGCACACTACTTCATCCTCTCATGCCGCATACTGTGCTCAAGCTGGCCCTAGATTGAATCTCGAGACTCTCCATTCAAGCCTGCAATATTCGGGACCATTATGAATTCGAGAATCACCTTCCCTTGACATGGCGAAGGAGGAAAAGGTTATGCATACAGACTCAAAACGAAGACATCGTCAACATGCTAAGCCTAGACATCTCATCGCCACTGAACGCGCCTTTAACCTCGTACCCAACTCAAAGTTCTTGCACGTCTTGAAGCAAGTGTCCCCTTAGCTATGTCCTCAATCCAGTCTTATGAATTTAAAGACATCGCCAGCGCAAGTCTCTCCCTTTTATTGACTCAATTCCAAGTTTAAGGCCATGTACATACAGTCAAGCTCATACCAGTTCAAGTTGGGTCTAGGAGGGCTGTTGCAGCATACTGACCGCACTCATGACAGTGCCCGCAAACTGCCTCTTGTCGATAATCAAGCAGAGCAGATGACTGGCATCATGACGGTGTGCGATTGCGGTGGTCTCTATTCCGGCTGAGATGTGTGCTTCAACGAAGACATAGGATACTCGTTGTATTACTTATATCAACGAAACTCATGATGAGTTACATATTGCAGTACGAACCAATACCTTGCGGCGTCCATCGATGGGAATGAGGCGTTCGCGCCAAATCTACCCGACTGTCAGGGTTCTCATTTCCGACCAGCCAATCAGAACGCAGCAATTTTGTCCGAAGTTTGGCACCTTCCTTATTTGATCCTCATGAGAACCCTCGCAGTCTTCCCTGAAAACATTCCGTCAGCCATCCTTTCTTAAGCAGCACCATCCATGTCCGAGTCCGACTCGTCCTGCATCGATGCCCATGGTCTCGACACACATCTTCACCTTCGGATTGCCTCTGTCTTCATCATCCTCGCCTGTGCGACGACTGGGACTCTCTTTCCTGTCCTGGCTCGGAGATCGAAATGGCTGCATGTTCCAAAATTTGTGTTCGAGTGCGCGGTATTTCCCGCTTCATAGATTTCTATGTTCTAACCAGCATTGACCAGCTTCGCCAAATACTTTGGATCTGGCGTCATTGTACGTCTGGCCGCTTTACTTCCTAATACCGCACGTTACTGAACAGTGGACACAGATTGCGACAGCCTTCATACATCTACTAGCCCCTGCCCTTGAAGCCCTATCCTCTCCTTGTTTGTCCCCGGCATGGGCGGAATATGTTCGTCAGCTAAAAAACGACTGACCAATCTACTGACGGAAAACCGTAGCCCTACGCTCTGGCATTATGCTTGCTAAGCATATTTTCCATCTTCATCGTCGAACTTGTTGCCTTCCGATGGGGAACTGCAAAACTGGATAGTATAGGCCTGCGTCATGGTAAGCAGTTTGCTCTACAACACCGGAAGCTGTGGTGACGCATGTGGTAACAGACCCCCATGGACATCATACTGGTTCACATGCTGCTCACGGCCCGGAAGGCACCCAAACGCCTCCGAGCGACGTTGAGGAGGCGCTACAAAAGCCACAGCAGCACCATCACCATCTCGGTGACTCCGCGAGCGCCCAAATCGTGGGCATCGCCATACTCGAGTTCGGTGTATTGTTGCATAGGTAAGTAATTCAGCAAAAAAAAGATCAACATAGCTTTGACCTTCAACCCAGCGTTCTGATTGGCTTGACCCTCGCTGTAGACGAGAAGTTTAGGATTCTTTTTATTGTCATCGTCTTCCATCGTGCGTGGTCAGCAAATCGTTTCTCTCCTCGTTGACACTTGCACCAGAGACTTTTGAGGGACTGGGGCTCGGCTCTCGTTTAGCTTTCATCAAATTACCGCCGAAGTACAACTGGGTCCCCATTCTCGCAGCTTGCGTCTTTGGCGTCAGCACGCCTGTTGGCATTGCTGTCGGTCTTGCTGTCCGGTCCTCATATGATCCCGGCAGCGCAACAGCCTCGATCGTCAGTGGGATTTTGGATTCACTGAGTGCCGGAATCTTAATTTACACTGGTTTGGTCGAGGTGAGTTCTATCAATCCGACTATTTCGTGTCTCATTGGTCCCAGCTGCTCGCCCATGAGTTTTTGTTCAGCAAGGAGATGATGAACAGCTCCAACGGCAACCTCGTCTACGCTATCGGGACAATGCTACTTGGATGTGGGCTCATGGCCCTGCTCGGGAAATGGGCATAACGTGTGCGACGGCGAAATTATTTCCGCTGCCCTCGCTGGCAATTGGCCCCTCCCGCTGAAATAGCGGGTCGCGGATCGGTGGGTGTATGAGTTGGGTTAGGAGGAAGTTTGAAGTATCATTATTACATTCTCTGTAGTTACATTTAGAGCTTTGAACTTGCAGCAGTCGAGAGTTTGCATTCACATTTATGAAGCTTAACCATCCGCATCTTGATAGTACTGTAATGTCAATGACGTACTTAGTGCTCGCAATACCTCTATTAGGCTGTAACACGATCATGTAAAATAGGTCATTGCAGTCGATTGATTGGTTTGGGCAAGGTCTGGGTGGTTGGAGATCCCGGTGGACTCGACATGACAACATCGTTCGCCGTCAATCAATCATCCAGATCGCGTACGACGACTTCCGTTACTTCACGCAGTTTTTTTACTCAGACAAGATTGCCGCCCAACCGCCACATCCAACCAACGTCCAACAGTATCCGAATATTCCCGACAGCGAAAATGGTTCAACTTCCTCATCCCTGACTGTGCGGGCCGTAGAGGCTCGTAATCGAGGCCCAGGGTCTCACGCCGCGTCCAAAATAACATAACATTGATAACCAGATCGGCATGTACATCCTCTTGAAAAACCAGACATGCGACGGCCAGTGATAGGGAATTTTTTTTCCTTTCCAGTCGTATGACGCTCACTCTCCTTCTGCTTGGCCCTATCACCTTGTACTTTACTGCGCTCGCTGCGTGGCACATCTTCCGACGGATCTTGCTGGCCAATGTTGTCTGCATCAATGATTTTCCTCTCCTTCGGAACGGCCGTCAAGCCCAAGACAAAGTTCGCGGAACGGCAGTTGTGTGCGGTGGAAGGTGGCCTTCTTTCCTCTTGGCGCCCCCTTTTAATTCACTGACTCCTTCGTTTCTTATGTAGCATCGCTGGCCTGTTGACAGCTCGTATCTGCCATGAACACTTTGAACGAGTTCTTGTCATCGAGGCCGAAGAATGGGCTGCCTCGGAGGATGCCCGTGCCGTCGACGGCTGGAAGGCCAATATGAAGCACCAACGGACGCGGATTATGCAGTTCAATTCTCTCCATGGTGTGCACCATCTTTCATCAGTTCCGTTGTACCAAGCCCCCTTTTTTTCAGGTAATCAGCCCTACATATACGCCGGCCTCCAAGTACTCTTCCCAAATCTTGCGGAGGAATGCGCGCGGTCTGATATCAGGTTTGTTCATCCCATTTCTTGTAACTGCCCTCATATTACCTCTCCATCAGAATCGCATCCCATAATCCTCTATTCAGTCTGTCTGGCGCAAGTTGGAAGCTACCATTCACTTCATATAAGGATGGCATTCTTCCACGAACTTTGCTTTGCGCTCGTCCGGGAACCGAAGCACTCCTTAGGTGCATTTTACCTAGATCAACGATCCACGATTACTGATTGAGTTGTTGTACTTTAGGCGATTAATCCTCGACAAGACAATTTACCCTAATATCGAGTATCTGGCGGGAACTGTCACAGATGTTGTCCCAGACCCTGCCAATGCATCTCGTCTAGGAAAAGTTGTGGTTCGCACCCGTTCAGGGATCCAAGAGGTGTCTGCCGCGCTTGTGGCTGATTGCACGGGGATTACTCGTGCAGGCCTCAAATGGCTGACGCGGCATGGCTACGGGGCGCCTTCGGAGCCGTTGCCGAAAGACAAACTGCCTTTGGATCAAATCAAGATCTCATTCGACCAAAAACTGCGTTACTCGACGATCATATTCAACCTCAGTCAAGAGTTCCATGATAGTTTGCCTCTTCCGGACGATCTCAAGCCTCTTCGGTCAATCATCAGCTTCCTCGAGGACCCAACGGAGGAGGTTCTGAAGCGCGGGAGGGCTTTTCTTTGTGTGATGAGATTCGATGCCAACATGCGTGAGTAATATTCTTTCTTTTTTGAAGGTTACAATCATACCATCATCTCCAGTTGTTGCGTTTGTCGGCCATTATGGAACTGTGCGGCCTCAACCGAGAAATGCGGCTGAGATGAAGGAGTATGTGCGCGACTTGCATGTAACGATACCGATACCAGAGTGGATCTTCGAGCTCTTCGATAAGCTCCAAGAAGTCGAGGACACAGACGCGACCCACTCGTTAGTTAGCGTTCGTGAGTGCTCCTTCCATTTCGTTTTACCTGACACAACTGAAAAAATGCAGCCCCGACAACTTACGTTCGTTACCATCTTGCGACTAATCTGCCTACCAATTTTATCGCACTGGGCGATAGTGTTATGACCGGTCTGTTACAACATCATTCCATGTTCCACCGTCTTACATAGTTCATACAGTCAATCCGCTGTTTGGAGAAGGATCGTCGAAAGTCATGCGCTGTGTAATGGCATTACACAAAACCTTATTCCGTGCCAAGGATACCTCTGGCACCAGTCTCCCAGAGTCCTTTTCCGAAGACTTCTTCAAGGAGGAGCATAGAAGGACAGACTGGTTATGGGAGAACACGCGCACTATGGGTATGACAATATGTTGTCGTCGTCGAAATAGCTAATTTTAAACAGACTATGGCGCACTCACCACGGAGCCCATCGCGGGTGACTCGTTGTCCAGAGGCGCATTTGCCAGATGGTATGCAACGCAGCTCCAACGGCTGGCAGTAACGGTGGGTACTTACTATCGATCCTTGGCATGATTTTTAAGACTGTTTCAAGGACAACCATGCCGGAAAAGTGATGTACCAGTCGGTAGTAGGATTTGCGACGCCAATTGACGCGTTGCATCCACATTTGCTCGCCAAAATTCTGTGGGCAGGTCTGCGGGCGTGAATTAAACTTAAATAATTTATCAAGGCTTGACCCTCAACGTTCAACAAGCAGTTATCGATACTTATTTTGCATATCTTTACTTAGTACACCCCAAATTTATGTAACGTTCCTTTTATTCTGCACTTTCTCTCGTTCGTCATGTGACAATTTGGCATCAATACACGACCACCATGATCCAAATTCCACCTGCAGAGCTCCAGCCCGACGTTGAAATGGATGAGAATGAAGTTGACGACGGTACTCAGGACGCCGGTATGTTGCAACCATCTCTCTCGGTGCTGTCTTTGCTTACCTTGAGATTACTCAGACGGCAATTCTGAAGTCAAGAAAAAGAAAAAGAAGAAGAAATCCAAGAAAAAGGCTACCAAACCCGTCCAAAGTGACCCTCCCCGCATCGGATTGTCGCAGTTCTTCCCTGATGGAGTTTACCCTGCTGGAGAAATCCAGGATTATAAGGACGAGTCCGTGGTGGCGATTTTTGCGATCTCAATGTGATTACTGATTTCCTCTAGCAATCTTTGGCGCAAAACATCGGAAGAGAAGCGCTATCTGGAACGGATGGCCATGGAAGACCCCGAAGCAACCTACGAAAGTATCCGCAAAGGCGCTGAAACACACCGACTCGTTCGTCAGCATGCGAGAAAGAACATACGCCCCGGGATGTCCCTCATGGACATTGCGGAAAACATCGAGGCTGGTGTGCGCGCGCTGGCCGAAGGTGACGGCCTTGACGCTGGAGTTGGGTTCCCTACTGGCCTCAATATTAACAACTGTGCTGCCCATTTCTCGCCGAATGCAGGTGATACGACTGGTAAGTTTGTCACGTTCTTACTGTTTCAATCGACTCATGTTCTGCAAGTCCTCAAGATGGGCGACATCCTCAAGGTGGACATTGGAGTCCATGTGAAGGGTCGAATTTGCGATTCTGCGTTTACCATGTCCTGGGCACCAGAATACGACCAGCTTTTGGAAGCCGTAAAAGCTGCGACAAACACAGGCATTCGCGTGGGTTCATTTACTCACACTAGCGCTCTTACCTTTATGAACTGCGCATTTCGTAGGAGGCTGGAATTGACGTTCGTCTCGGTGAACTCGGCGCTCTTATCCAGGAAACTATGGAGTCTTACGAAGTTGAAATCGGCGGAAAGGTCTACCCAGGTAAATTCTTCTTGCTTGCAGATCCAGTATAGTATCTGATTGTACTTTAGTGAAACCGATTTCCACTCTTTGTGGACATACCATCACTCCATACCAGATTCATGGGGGTGCGCGTGGAAAATCAGTGCCCTCGGTCCGGTCCAATGACCAAACTAAGATGGAAGAAGGCGAATATTTTGCTATCGAAACATTTGGATCGACGGGACGCGGTCGTGTTATTGAAAATGTGCGTGGCTTTGGCGTTCCACACATGAGAGATTTAACCTAGCTCAGGGCGACTGCTCACACTACGCCAAAATATACGATGCTCCAAATGTACCGCTGAGGTCCATTTTCTTTTCCTCAGGACACGAAGTCATACTTACACTTACAAGGCTCACAAGTGCGAAGTCACTGTTGAAAACGATCAATAAGAACTTTGGTACTCTACCATTCTGCAGACGATACCTCGATCGTCTTGGAGAGAGCAAATACCTGTTTGCTGTTCGTGTTGTCCTCCATAGCCCTATAATGCTGGCGCTGATTTCATCATAGCTAAACCACCTTGTTGCGCAAGGTGTTGTTGCCGACTACCCACCACTTTATGACCAAGTGAGTCTCGTTTGGCGACATTTCCTTCGTTCACTGGAACGCGCCATAGATCGGCAGTATGACGGCCCAATTCGAGCATACGATCATACTTCGCCCAACTTGCAAGGAGGTTGTGAGCAGGGGCGACGACTATTAAGAACCACAAGTAAGAGTGCTCATGCCATGCCTGTCCTCAGCGACTAATCCATCTCACGGACTACATCGGACTGACGATGCGCAACAAAGGGAAGAGAGCGAGTGGTGTCATGGGAGGAAATGTTCTCTGTTCAGCGGAGGATGGTTTCGTTGTAGCTGTTCTAAGACCTCGTGTATTCAAAGAATACCTTTGAATCACCGTCGTAGAATCGGTGTTTAGCATTGAGATGATGTCCCAAGTCCAAAATAGGCGCACAGTAACAATATAAGGGTCTCTTCCTCTTCATTGCTCGGCTTTTCGTGGCCGGAGTATGCGACACAGCGACAGTCGGTCAGTTAGACTCAGTTGCAGAACTGTCAAGCTTTATTACGTACAGTACACACCTCACCTTCGGTCTCCCACCGGGAATGTCTACCAACCGAGGCTTGCCCGAGTGGTCGACTGTTCTTTCTCTGAGCAGTCATCGTTGGCACAACTCAACAAAACTATGCTTGACTTCAGTGGCCAAACAGTCGTCATCACTGGTGCAGGAGGTGGATTAGGCAAAGCGTGTGTTGAACAAATCAGTCTTGCTTTCCTTGTCTCAACAAACACAAACATCGCAGATATGCACTCCTCTTTGGCTCAAGAGGCGCGAATATAGTCGTCAACGACTTCAATAAGAACGCGGCAGAAAAGGTTGTGGATGAAATAACAAAAGGCAGGAAGACTGCTTGTGTTGTTGTTATCCTCTGCCTCTGACTGGCTTTCAGCTGGAGGTAAAGCTGTCGTCAACTTTTCTTCAGCCACGGATGGAGAGGCCGTCATCAAGAGTGCTATCGACGCTTTCGGAACAGTGACTATCCTCATAAACAATGCTGGCTTTTTGAGGGACAAAGGGTGAGGTCGCTTTACAATTTCCGAGTCGATGATTCACCTGGAATAGTTTCAAGAAGATGACCGATGCAGAATGGGACCAAATAGTCGAGATCCATCTCAAAGCAGTATTTGCTTGCACGAAAGCCGCTTGGCCTATATTCCGCCAGCAAAAGTTCGGACGCATTGTAAATACAGCCAGTGCGGCCGGTCTATATGGTAGGTTATCTTCAGTCAAGTTTTATTTTCTCCCAACCGTTGTTGCAGGAAACTTTGGGCAAGCGAACTACAGTGCTGCAAAAATGGGGCTTATCGGCTTGACCAAGACTCTTGCTTTCGAAGGCGCAAAGTATAACATTCGCGCTGTAACCATCGCCCCAATTGCTGCGTCCCAGATGACGGCGACCATTATGCCTCCAGAAATGCTGGCAAATCTCCAGCCTACCTTGGTGGCCCCATTCGTGCTTGCCATCTCCCACCCTGATGGCCCTGCCGATGCATCTGGCAAGGTTTTCGAAGTCGGTGCTGGCTTCATTGCAGAGGTGCAATGGGAACGCAGTGCTGGTGCAATTTTCAAGACAGATTCCTCTTTTACCCCCTCCGCAGTAAGCAAGCAGCATCGTAGCTAAAAGTCTGCTCATACATCCTTTCCCAGGTCAAAGCCCGGTTTTCCGAGATCGCAGACTTCAGCCAACCACAATAGTCAGCAGTTTCCTGCGTATTTAGTTCTAAGCTTACGCACAATCCAGTCCAAAATCCTCTGTTGATTTTGACGCTCAAGTATCCTCTCGTCAAGCACACTTCATTTCAAGCCTCTGATTTATTGCAAGGGTTTTGTTGAAAAAGCTTCAAAAGCCCCACCAAATAAACAGGCGTCTTCAGCCGTGGATTTCAAGGGAAAGACCGTCATCATCACTGGCGCCGGCTCCGGTCTTGGTCGCACCTATGCTTTGATGTATACCCGGCTCGGTGCAAACGTCGTGGTCAATGATGTCAGCCCGAAGGCGGCCCAAGGCGTTGTCGAAGAGATCGCTGCAGCTGGTGGGAATGCAACTGCTGCTGTTTGTTCAGCGGAGGACGGCGACGCAATCGTGAAGACCGCACTTGACAAATACGGCTCCGTTCATGTTCTCGTCGCAAACGCGGGTATATTAAGAGACAAGTCGTTCCAAACCGTGACGGAACAGGAATGGGATATTGTCATGAATGTCCATCTTCGGTATATTGATATCGCTTTTTGCCCACGAAGAGAGCTAATTCGCACTCAGAGCAACATACAAGTGCGCAAAGGCGGTTTGGCCAGTCTTCCAAGAGCAGAAATATGGCCGAATCATAACTACCGCGTCGCAAGTGGGCATGTGTAAGTCACGTCTCTGCTGGGAATTTCGCGTTTGACGAGATGGCTCGCAAGATGGCAACTTTGGTCAAGCAAATGTGCAAATTTTCACTTGCCAACTCCGATCTAAGCTGACCCAGTCCAACAGTATGCGACTGCTAAATCAGGAATCATTGGGCTTATGCGCACCCTCTCCATCGAGGGCCGAAAATACAATATCCTCGCAAACGCGATTGCACCGTCAGCCGGAACCCCTATGACCAAGGCGGTTTGGTAAGTGCGCTGAGCTGTTATTCCATCTGAAAACAGCCGCTCATTTGTACATTGTCAAGGTCCCCAGAAGCTGTGGAGGCACTGAAGGTCCGTCTGCATCGTTCGTCTGCTTGCTGAAACTCAACCCATCCTAGCCAGACTACATTGCTCCTCTCGTCGGCTATTTGACCAGTCAGGGCAAGTCCCATACTGACCCTTATCCCACTGAAGAACTGACGCTGGTTCAGACAATACTGAAACCACTGGGGCGGTGTTCGAGATTCTCGGTGGCTGGGCTGCCCAAACACGATGGCAACGGTCGGGCGGCCACAGCTTCCCTGTGAAGGGGAAAGCACCATATACTCCAGAAGACGTTATCGCCAAGTGGAAGCAAATAACTGTCTTCGGTGAGTCTTGAAAGGCAACCATTCAATCTGCGCCACTAAGCGCGGCCTAGATCATCGGGCAACCCATCCAAGCACGACGGCTGAAGCGATGGAACAGGTGATGGCCAACTTCAGCAATAGTGGGGAGCCTGTCCCCGCTAAATTGTGAAACTGGCACAAATACATGTGTAGATAGACAAAACTCTTGAAAGTCCTTGGGCTTTAGACTTCAGACACATACTCGGGAGGCAGCTCAGATCGAGCAGTCTCTGGCCCTTGAGTAGGTGGCACTTTCTCTCCGAACCTGGATTTACGCCTGTTGGCCTGTCCGTCGCTAGCCGGAGCCCAACGGAACACGCTGACCCGCCTCAACTCCCGTCGCATCCTTTGCCGCAACCGGTACCGTCTGCAAATCAACCAGATGCAACCCGCAACCAAGAAGGATATTATAACTGATATCAAGACGGTGACGATTTGGTATTTTTGCGTTGAGACGTGTGCAGTAGTCATCGGTAGTTCGGGGGTTGGGCTGTCGTTCTTGGTAGGAAGAGAGGGAGTTGGCGATGGTGAAGAAAGAGCAGAAGATGTCTGTAGGGCTTCCGAGCTGGACATAGTAGCTGAACTAGCGCTCAGGCTGGAGGCCAGGGGGAGGGCAAGGGAAGCAGATGTTGTAGTGTTGACCGATACTGAAGTTGTTGGTTTCGATTTGAGGACAGCGGTTGTGTGGGGCTCCGATGGTGAGAAGTTTGTCACTTTCATGTTGAATCCGTCATCAAAGCTAGAGATAATTAGATCAGTTCTCAGCATTAACAAGGAGCGACACACGTGTAGCTCGCGAAATCGAATAAAAGTAATGACCCAGCAGCGCTATTAGTCGCGAGAATAACCGTATGCTCGCTTTGCTCGAGACCGTCGACGGAGAATACATTGGCACCGTAGATGAAATCCGTGGTGGACTTGTCTGGGACATGAAGGAATGTACCGGATGGATTTCCATCCACAAAAAAGGCGAAAGAGGATTGAGAAATGGTGTGATTGTCGATGAAATTGGCAAGGATGCAGAATATCGAGAGGGAAACGCCTAAAAACGGGGGTGAACAGTTTTCAAAATGCATTTGGCTGAGACAGACCAGTGAAAGACAGACTGATGGAGACTGGGGGTCCGTTTGGGGTCTGTGAGCTATCGTGCCACGTGCCATCGTGAACCTCGGAGGGATCGAGAACAACACGGCAAGTAGAGCAATTAGAGTTCTGAAGCGATATTGATATGGAGTAAATTGACCAAGTACCACTCACTTGGCTGAACTGGTTTGCAGGGGAGTAGAAAGGCACGACGCCAGTTGCAGAGTCCCCGTTGGTGTCGTCGATGGTGCGGCTCCGCAGTTCTGCCGATGACCCTTGGATCCAAACTGCAAAAGCCATTACCAACAAGGTATGCTGCCAGTGCATCGCGGGCTAGGGGATGGTTCAAAGAAGACCGCGCTGGGAAGACATTTTAGACCCTCTATCCCATCCCGTTCTGAAGATGGTTGCATCGTAGCGAAATCGTTGGTGATGGAACGCCTCACTGAGTGTCACATTCAAGTCACAATCTCAACACAGCCAGTGCCACAACGTGCTCAAATTGCTCTGCACCAACTCTGCACTCACCACCTCTTCAGATTGGCCGCGGCACCCCCGAAAACTTATCGGATATAGCGCCAGTAAGCCTCGACGCCCGCTTATCGATCGAGACCTTTATCCGCACAGCTCCATGTTGCTGGGGTTCGTCAACGACGAGAGATGGATTTGGGTTTGACTCCGAGTCGCCAGAACACGTGGGTCTCCCTCGCGCTTATCGTATCTCACTGAAGGTACCTTGCAAGAGTGGATGGGCTACTGCATCCCGTCACCAGTGCAGAAACCATCATCCCCTTGAGCCTTTTCCTCGCCGGGCAGTGCAGGCTTGTTTTATTTTGCTGAAATTCATGGTCCAAACAACCCCCAGACACCTCACTTCAAGTTGAAGAATTTTTTAGCGTTCTAAGCGACATACAGTAAGCAGGTATTTACTCATGTGACCGCGTCATCATCGCGCTATATGTCGCCATCGTGGTCTTTTCCTTCGCGTTTTTCCCTCTTCCAGTGACGACCAGGCTCGAAAATGGAGCGCCTACCCACAGAGCTTCATGAACTCATCCTGGATTCCGTTGCAACATCGCACTCCAAGGCCATTCGATCGTTATCGTTCGCGTCGCACTATTTCCACCATCTCGCATTGCCATACCGCTTCCACACAATCCGCCTCGACGCAGCTGAGCGGGTCGCAAGGCTTCGTCTTGAGTTGGAAGCTTTACCAGAACACAGAAGACGGATTTACCGCGTCTTTGTTGCGCTCCGTCGATCAAACTTGAGCGCCTTATCCCAGATATTGCGCATATTGCAGTTGTCAAGTAGGACTCTCCGTGACTTGGCTGTGATCGACACAGCTCATCTTGGTGCTACTGCCGCTTCTGCATTCGGTGCTGTTCTCCGCACAGCTGCACCATTCCAGGGCCTCGAAAGACTTACGCTTCGAGGACGTCATCCCGCACTTCCCTCCTCTGATAAGCACTTTCCTGCTCTCCGTTATCTGGACACTGGCGGGAATACTCATCCCATTGGACTACCGGTTCCTTGGTCCTGGCTGGGAAGTAGAGTAACAGTGCTTCGCGTGGTGGGGTTAAGCGCTGCACTGGGATTCGCAACAGAGCTCAGAAATGGGTTGGCCGCGATTCAAGCCCAAGGGGAAGGCATCGAATCATTTTCGATTGTCGTTGAACTCACTCGACAACCAGAGGTGAAGCTTGTGGGCAACTTTCGGGAGAAGACGATGCACCGCCAAGATGCGGAGATGCGCAGGATTCTGACAGAAATAGAACTCGTCGCGAAGTCCGCGAGAGAGAGGGATGCTCAAGCCGGACGTGTGCACGTGGATGTTCAGGTCGTTGTTGGTGGCGATGATTCAAATGCTGGAAGGATTGAGCAAGATTGGTTGGAGGGCGTAGATGATGTCAATAAGTAAATAATATCACTTAGACTGTAATATAGAAGTTGATAGAACATGACCAACTTGCCCACGATTGGCCTTGCGATTGGCACAAAATGCTATCGCCAAGAGTCCTTATGTTTGTGCAAGCCTGAAGGATCATGGATGGATCTAGAGGACGCCACTGACACGGGCTTCAAGTTGATTCGGTCTATCGATAATGAATCATCAACCCGTTGAAGTTGAACATTCAATATTCAATACTTGCTCGGTTCAGTCCGACAGACTACAGTCGGTCGAAAAACACCAACGTCCAATCGAAGACGTCTCTGGCCCCGGCGAGAGGGCCTGGGCACTGGTCATGACAGTTGTCAGTGACTGTGGACGCTGCAGAATCAGTGCAGATCAATTTGCAGTCATGAGTTGTTGAAGCAGAGCATGGTGAGAGGTTGGTTCTGTAATAAATGCTCGCCTGGGGCATGTACTCACTCTTTGCAGTTCCAGTTGCTTCCCTGATTTTCCATCGCAATTCGCCGTTCGGCAAACTGGAATTCAAAATGGGGACGGTAAGCGCGGAACACGGGCCGGCGGCCGTGGGTCCGCAAGCCAGATGCAGTCGATTGGCGGGAAAGGTACGCCGCCGCGTAACCCGCGTCCGGGCGGTGTCGTCCAAGCCCATTTACTTCGGAGCAGCTGTAGACAGTCTGTAGACACTGAACAGAGTGCGGAACATGAAGAAACAGGTTTTTCAACTAGAAAATTGTCGGAAGAGCATGAGGGTATCTGTAATGGACGGTTGGGTTCTTAGTCGCCAAAAGTTATCTTCCTTGGATTTATGAACTTGGTAGGCCGAAGAAACCGACTTGGCCTTGGCGTGCTCACTAATTGCACGTCCAACTGCCAATTTTAGAGATAAATAGATTACGGGGATTGGTCGCCGTGATCTCCAGAGCCACGGCAAAATGCGAGAAAATGTTCAAAGAAAGAATGGAGAAAGGAATTTTGAGAAACAGTGTGAGGCATCACGGATGGTGACAGCCACGGCTCTTCTAACCTGTCCTACACTATTCCCTGGGGGTTTACCACTACTACTTGCCTGCAAGATGGCAGAGACCGCTGAAAATCTAGCCCATTTCGCGTACAGCCGCCGCTGAGCCGCGTCTCCAATAAGCGCAAATCAGAGTGACATGGCACGAATCTCGACAACACGAGGCGTCCAGCCGACCTTGTTTCGAAACTCCTGTCAGGCACGGATCGCGAAAGGGAAAAATTGAGCGCATATATATCAAGGAGTCCCCCCTCAATGTCTTCCCCAGGTCGCCCCCGTCATGTCCTCGACACGTTCTGTATTGTCCCTTCTTTTAGTGGTTTCAGCGGTTTTCGCCCACCCTGCTGCTCATAATCACTCGCACCTCGTTAGTGCAGCCCCTCTCATCTCTTGACTCTCTCTCTCATCATGGCCGTATCCAGGAAGTCCGCGCTCCCCAAGTCTATGAGAGTTGCGTCAAGCCCAGGCAAATTGCGCTGACTTTTGTACGCCGTCATCGTGCTCCTTGCTCTTCGCGCCTGATGGCTTTTAGGACGATGGACCGTACGATCAACTCCGTAGCATATCCGACCAGTTTACTGCTGCTGGGGGAAAGGCTACCTTCTTCTGGAATGGCAGGTCTGCGACCGTATTGCGATAAAATCGACTGATTGGTTTGTCAGGAAACAACTACGATTGTCGGATTCGCGTTTAGTTATTGTCCCTGTTGTACTCATTAGCCCCCAGGTATCTACAACTCCCGCCGTATTGCCGACATCCAATACGTCTTCGCTGCTGGGCATCAGGTGCGTTCTATCTTGGGACAGTCGATCTTCTTTTGACTTTCTCTTATGTAGGTTGGAAGCCATACTTGGTCTCATATAGATCTCGCCGGTCTTTCAACCAACCAGGTCCACGATGCGATGTATCGTGTGGAGGAAGCTTTTTCTCGTATTCTCGGTACGACACTCTCTCCGATCTCTACTCTTCCTTCATGTTTCTCATTTGATGCCCAGGTATCCGGCCTGCCTTCATGCGCCCTCCCTTCGGCTCATACAACGGCAACGTCCAATCCGTCTCGATTGCTCGAGGACAATCTCTCGCTTTGTGGGACCAAGACACCGAGGATGCCAACGGCGCAAGTGTGTCGTTCTCCAAAGGCGTTTACAACAATGTTGCCAACTCCAATCTGAACAACGCCCTTATCCTGGAGCACGAAACAGTTGACACGACGCCCTCTCAGCTGGTGCCGTATGCTATTAACTTGTTCAAGAGCAAAGGATACCAAGTACGCTCTCTGCGTTGAGTTCTTGCTTATTATTGACCACAAGCCATCAGCTTGTGACTTTGGCGGAATGTCTTGGTGTTGCTCCCTACCAGATTGTTGGAGTTCCTCAACAACAAACCGTGCGTCTCGACGGTCTCGGTGTTCCTTTTTTCGCTGTTTTGATAAACGCTCAATAGTCTGCTTGGACTTGCAATGGCAGTCCTGGTCCCAACTCTGCTTGTGGAGGCTCAATCGCTTGCCAAACGGGCACACCCCCTGTCAACACTGGACCCAGCAACCCTTCCAATCCAGTTCCGAACCAATACATTCATCCTAGCGCTAACGCTGGCAAATGTCTTGCCGCCTCGTCGAATTCCGATGGCGCTACTGTCACTGTTCAAGACTGCAGCACCTCCGACGCACAATCATGGACCATCACCGGCACAGGCTCTCTTTCCGTTTTTGGCAATAAATGTCTCGACGTCCCTGGCGGCGCAACCGCTTCTGGCACCAAGCTTCAGGTCTGGACATGCTCGTCGGGTAATGGCAATCAGCAGTGGACTACCTCCGGTAACACGATCCAATGGGCCGGACACGACCAGTGCGTTGATTTGACGGAGGGGTCGGTCACCAACGGGAATCAGGTAATGCGCCTAAAACTTACATGCAACATCTTTTCTAACTGTGAGACAGATGCAAATATGGTCATGCACTGGCGGCCCGAACCAGCAGTTCACTCGTACGACTGGCGTCGGCTCTGGCAGTGGGGGCGGAGGTGGAGGCGGATCGGGAAAGACTATTCGCCCGAATGCAAGCGGCTCAACTTGTTTGTCAGCGTCGTCCAACTCCGATGGCGCGACCGTTGTGGTGCAGCCCTGTGGCAACGGCGCGGAGAACCAAGCATGGACCCAGAATGGCGCCACTCTTCTCGTATACGGAAACAAATGTTTGGATGTCAAGGACGGCAACACCGCCAACGGTGCCAAAATGCAAATTTGGACTTGCACTCGTATGCTTCTCTCTGTAACTCCCCCAGTTGATGCTGACCATCCTCCCATAGCTGGTCAAGGGAATGCAGCGCAGCATTTCACTATCACGGCTGCGAAGACGATTCAGTGGAGCGGCCAAACGAAATGCCTCGATTTGACAGAGGGAAGCCTCGCAACTGGTAACCAAATCCAGACGTGGGACTGCTCGCCGAACTCGACGCCCTACGCCAACCAAATTTGGAACTTCGTTTAAATTCCCAACGCCCACTAAATGGACTGATCAATGGACTTTTTTCTTTTCTGACGGACATATACGACTTACTTGGACGTTCCTCTTCACGATACATAGTTACGAACCTAGCATATCTTAATTACTTCCGAAGTCAGTTTGTTGACAATGGACAATTGGCACTTGCACTCCCTAAACATCTGGATTCTGAAAGCATCTCTGTCTTTGGTTGATGACATCAGATGACATCGATGACAAGTCACACCGAAAACTTTGAAAGGGAACCACGACCAGAACTTGGCCTCTCGATTTTTCCGCGCGCCGCAGTAGCGAATCTACTATCGATCGACTTTGCATTGGCATGGCGTGCATTCAGGGTACTTGGAACTCTTAAATTCTGGACGTCAAGTTTCCTGTAAGGTGCAGTCCCTCCACGCCAAGATACACCTTGTCAGGAGGATTACCGTCTTTCCTCGCCTCGCTGAGGATCCTCGGGAATTTGATCGTTCTCAGTAATTCGTCGAGGACACTGCAGCCGACCGAGCCTGGATATATTCTGATGTTTTGCAACGAAAAGAGGGGTTCCGCAGGAGCGCGGAGAGAAGCCAAAGAGTTCTAAACCCCTCTCTGGTAACTTGATTTGTTTCCTATTCATTTTCTCTCCTCTGACTTCGCATTGAAAAGGAAGGAAGTGGCGGATGCCTCCGCCGTCTACATTCATCGACGACCTTTTTCCCACTAGATGGACGCATTTCATACTTTCGGGTTCGTTCCTACCTTGGGGGGTTGCCGAATCTCCATCTGAAGCATTCCAACAGTGGCTACCTTGTGGGATCCTGGATCGCGTCTCTGCTTTATGGTAGTGCGCTTATCCAGGCTGTTCGCTATTTCTCCGGCTTTCCCGACGATACTTGGCTGCGGAAAGGCACCGTGATTCTTGCCTTAGTTTTTGGGCTTGTAGCGTTAATTGCAGATTATGGCAACGTTTACATTGTGAGTACCCGATATCGCTGCGCACGGCCGCACTCATCATGGCAACAGCCCCTCGTGTTATATTGGGGAAATACAAGTGGTCCCACGAAGATATACTGGTCGATTCCAACCTATGGCCCATTTAACGCTGCGGTGGGAGTGGTTGTGAACACTTATCTCATCACCCGTTTTTGGTCTCTGTGAGTGACGCACACCCACCACTGAACCGTTCTTCGAACATGATTATAGGTCCAAGAATATTATCATAACCATCATACTTTCAGTGCTTGTGCTACTTTCGGCATGTTCAAATTTTGCTTCTACCCCTTCCTACTCATAGAGGGACATAGCTTATTCTGACCCTTGTCGGGAGCATCATGCTGGGGACCACCGCGGGTACTTCTCCCGTGGGTCTTTGATTGATTTACGCCGTTGGTCACTGTCACTTACCATTCGCGACAGGGCACAATGCGAACCCGAGGAACTATTTGGGCCATCTCACTCGCTGCTTGTGGTGGGTGTTTGCTTCAAGATCCCCCTTTTTTGACCCAGTCAACCGACATAGATGTTGCTATTGCTGCTGCTCTCGTTTGGAAACTGAAGAAGATGAAGAGTGCCTTTAAATCCACCAACGGGTCCGTTTTTGTCCTTCCTGTGTCTTCCTCGCTGATCATATTTAGACTCATTCATCGTCTTATTATTGGCGCAGTACAAACTGGAGCAACAACAGCAGCGCTTGCGCTTTTGTTACTGGCTTTTTTCCTTCTGAACCCAACCAACAGCGGTCAGTACGCTTCTCGATATACACATAGGACGAGGGTTTCGCTTATCCCGTCTTGCTTCAGTCTCATCTATGTTCTTGTCTACCCTCGGACCATGCTATCTTCATACTCTTTTCATCAACTTCAACTCGAGGAGGGCCGCCAATGGCACTAGTGGCGCCTCAAGAACGACCTCTGACAGCAGGCCGCATATCAACACAATACTGGTGGACGGGATTCAGGTCCACCGAACGGCAATCGTCACGATGGACCCACCAGAGGTTGACAATAATGGCAGGTCACGAAGGATAGACATTGAGAGCGTCGGGGTCGATGGTGATTCTTACAGTGGCCAAAAGGTGTCGGAACTCTAGATTACAAAGTTGAAAATCTTGCATGTTTGACGAGTGTTTGACGCGGCTGACGTCATACTCTCGATTTTCTCGACCACCATGTTCCCACCATGATACCGCTCAGTTGCCTATATCTTATGCATGTTTGAAGTTGTGAGAGTCAGAGATCACACTGGGCCATTGGTACAAACCCTCTGGCAACAACGCTCAATACATCGACGATAGCGCATTCGACATTTTGTGTCGATCTTATTCGAGTTCTTTCACCATGGCCTCGAACCATAACTGATGGGTTCTGCAGGACGCGGCACGCCGTCACGGTGTGTGTCTGGTTTATTGGCGTTCAATTTGCCCTGAGCATTATTGACGCATAGCACAGATCAATATAGTTTCTCCCTTGCCCCCCACTACTAACTGACATCTGGATTGGATTTCTACGTGGAAGCAGCCAACATGTTCTTGACAGGAGGTGTCTGGAAGCAATGGGGGAGCAGGAACTGATTTAACCGTCTCCACACAAAGGGGAGTAAGTGAGGAAACGCCCTTCTGCCATCATTGTCCGTATGGAAGCATTCAAAGCCTTTGGGTGCGTAACTCTTGCGTACTCTTCCTGCCATCTCACCAGTGGTCTCCCAGTGGTCATGCCGTTGGCCCATGGATCGCATCTATCCTTTACGGCGGCGCTCTCACCCAGGCTATCCGTTATTTCCAAAGCTTTCCCGAAGACGGCTTGCTTCGCAAAGCGACGGTCAGCGCGGTGATGTTGTTCGGCCTCGTCGCACTTATTGCAGACTATGCCAACACGTACTTGGTCAGTAACCTAGGAGGATCGTCTTGTTTCTCGATAATGACTGCTCGCAGACGCTCGTAACGCATTGGGGAGATCGAAACCTTTTGAATCAAGTCTTTTGGACGATACCAACCTACATAACGTTCAACGGAGTAATCGGCGTGGTCGTCAACGCGTACCTCGTCAGTCGTATCTGGGCCTTGTAAGCATTTTATCTATGGGTATATCGTCCCGTTGATATTCGTCAACAGCACAAAAAATGCTGTTCTCTCTCTTTTCCTTTTGTTCCTTGTGCTTGCCTCGGTCCGCTCCATGTCTGTCTGTCTGTCATTAAACCTGACGAAATCTAGTTCGCGCTTCTGGTCACGGGAAGTGTAATGCTCGGGGTGAATACTGAGCAGACGAAGGCTACAGGCGTGAGTGCCAGCGGTTACTTCCGTTTTCGCATCTAATACACTTCATAAATAGAAAACGTTCTCAACGATATTGATAGTCTGGGCCAGTATCCTCACAGCCTTGGGTCATTTCCGTCTCTAGGAACCTGATAATGTGGTAACTCATTTCCCTTGCAAACAGATATTTCAATTTCCGCCGTTCTCGTCTACAAGTTGCGGGGGATGAAAACTACGTTTCAATCTAAGAACAAGTCTGCATCTTGGATTCCTTTCTTATATAAGCTCAATGCTCCTCAGTTTGATCCAACGACTTATGTTTGGTGCCGTTCAAACTGGCATGACCACTGCAATCGTCACAGTATTTCTCCTTGTGTTTTTCTTGACCCATACCAATACCAGTCGTAAGTGCTCTTGCTACCTTCATATATTGACGATAGCTTGAACCGTTTCAATAGTTCCTCTCATGTTCCACACAATACTTGGACCCTGCTCTCTTCACACCTTGTTCGTCAACCTGCTTTCGCGACGCGTCGCCGGCAGTCCGAGTGGCGCAACACGGACAATGTCCGATTCGCGGCAAAACATGAATAACACGATTGTCATGGAGGGCATTCAAGTTCACCGAACCGCCATTGTTACGATGGACACCCCGCGCGATGATGCCGCCAGGTCGAGGAGAGTGGAAATCGAGGGTGTCAAGAAGGCCGAGGTTGACAGCGACTCGTATAACGGGCAGAAGGTTCCCGTTGAAGCATTCTGAATCCGGATTGTGGGTAGTTCTTGAATGCTTCCATAATAGGTCCGCATAATAGAGGGGTACTAGTATATCCCTTGCTTCTTTATGTTGTTGTTGTTACACGGTAATATTGCTTCCCCAGAGACCTATTGTTCCATTTGCTGCTTCCATATTCCTAAACCTCCGTAAGGGTTTAAAATTCTATCAGATCAACCCGAGACATGCAAAAGAAACTTGCAAGAGCATCATTCCATCCTTATCTTATCTTATCATAGTCATTTTATTTTATCTTATTTCATTGCAGTTTCGCACGTTCGGAATCATCCAGAGACTCTGGCGTCCTTCCTTCCAAGCGTCACAACCAGGATAGATTGCATCCATACCAGCGCTTACTTGCAAATATGGCCGCCGCCCTGAACTCACCCAACTGAGTGAGAAGCAGTCAGTCTGACACGACCGACAATAAACGTCTAAATTAGCGCTCCGCAGGCTATGCTGCTCGCAAGAACCAGTACCAACTCTTGCTTACGAACAACTACGACCACGACCCGATTATGCCTTTGAAAGCCTCTGTTTCGCGCGCCTCGCTCGGTTCTCGTCGCCCACTCACGCTCGCTGATACAAAGTTCTTTGAGAAGGACGCCGACTTCCCTAAACCCGACAAGGAGTCTCGCGCTTATGATGTGCGCCAGTTTTTGACGGCCACTGAGGTCTTCATTTCGATTTTTGGTCTGTCATTTTTTGGTCTTGGAGGACAATGCTTACGCACCTTTGTCTTGTTGAAGACATCCTGGGCCTTTCCGCATTTTCCGTCATCAAGAACGATTTTCAGGAGAATATCAAGGTCGGTGTTCAAGTTGGACCCTGTTGACGAGCATGACTTCAGATGATTCCCTAGATTGCGCGCACGATTCTGGAGAAGGACATGTCTATCGCCAGCCTCCAACAGGTGGCAGGATCCGGTGCTCCAGCGAAGCTGAACAAAGCTGTCCTGAGCGAGCTCCGCAATCTGTGTTTCCTCTGCAAAGCATTGGACGACACAATGCCTACCGGAGCACAGAAGCCGCTTGAGCCTGCGGCTGCATTCTCCGCATCATACAAAAAGTACCTCCAGAAACACCACAACATGGTCGACACGAGTTTGTATTCCGTATGTGGCCATTCGGAATGACATGACAATAACCAAGAAAATATCAGGCTGCGATTGACGCATGTCCTTCCCGCGAAAGCTTCATTCAGGCAATTGGAGGAGATTCGGAGGACCTGAAGAGTCGCGTCAAGGCGCTCTCAGAGATTCTAACGGCGATGGCAGCTCCCGATGCATTTGGAGACAAACTAAAATGGCCTTAGGCTGCGACATGGGATTGCAATGACACATACCTACAGCGAACTTTGTATCGCGGACTTTGAAAGACGATTTCGGATGTTTAGTGGTTTGCCGCCTGTGGTTGTAAACTTGGAATGTGGCCAAATACGGAGTTCTTCTGACTAGGTTGGGACATCGCTTAGCCGCGCGTTCGCGGGTAAGACAGATAAGGAGCCAGTGACCTATCTGCTGGACAGCAAGCAGGTTCTTCCGACGCGGTACTTGGTACACTGAATTTAGTCGTGAGCAGAGTCCATACAATTTGGGGTCAGTGACACTGTCTTGGAGATGATCAAGTGCCTCGAAACACTATCTTGGTGTGTCTGTCGGTAGTTTGACTGCACCCAAATCTCCGGTCGGAAGGTGATTTGCGCATATTCTTGCCAAAGTTAAGCGCTCAAGCCAGTGATTAAGACGCTTCAGAGGCTTTCAACCAGCGCTTCCCCCCCCCACGCCAATGCATCTCCCTGGAGCATTACTCGCCAACAGTACTGGCCCCCGGAGCAATACAGCGACTTGCGACGATCTCAACCATTGTCGAAAACCATCGCATATTGTCTGGAGTTGCCTTTCGACCATCTTCATCTACACCTATGTCTCTATGCACCTGAACGCTCCGAGTCCTCGCAAGGGGATCCTGCGGCGCTGTGCTCGCGTCATCAAGATGATGATGTTCGCCTTCGTTGCCCCAGAACTCTTCGTGGGTTTCGCCTTCCGCCAGTTTTGTACCGCGTCTAGATTTATGGAAGGTCAGCGAATATAAACCCACGGGATATTCGAGCACTGACAACAAGACAATAAGGCTTTCGTCAAGATCCTAATGCTTCTCATCCCGAGTTCCATGAGGATCGCGAGGCGACGAGAACAGAGGGCTTCTTCTTTGCGATGGGCGGGTTTGCAAGCACCGATGGTCACCCCATTGTGATGCTATCCGATTTTCGCGAGTACAGATACCCCAAAGGAGACCTCGTTGACCCTAGGCCGTGGCTACGCCGAAAAAAAAGTGAAATTGTGGACGCAGTTCGCAGCCTGTTACCTAAACAAACTGAGGACCACGAAGAGCCTGAGGAACATCCAGCACTCCTCATGACACCCCGCGAGCGAATGGTGGCCGATATCAAAGACAAGAGCAACAAAAACCTATTGGCCAAAGCGTTTGCAGTTTTGCAAGGCTTTTGGTTCATTTTCCAATGCGGGTTTCGCTTGAACCAGCGTCTGCCATTGACGCAACTCGAGGTGATGACAGTTGCCTATGGCGGCGTCAATATCTTCATTTGGTCGCTTTGGTGGTACAAACCCATTGGTGTCGACCAACCAATCCGGCTGCTGCGTGTTGATGAAGAGGAGGAAGACGAAGACTACGTCCAGATCATCGAAAATAAAGAGCGGCCAAAGAGAGCGATGCTGCACATTCGCGCAATGAGCATGATTATGGGCTTTTATCCGCTTTACAAGCCGACCATCGACCATTCGGTGCCAGAGTTTTGGTCTTCAGATCCGACAACAGCTGATATCAACCGGGGTTTCATTGTAGAGTGCGCGGTGGGCTGTCTTTTTGGATGGATTCATGTCGCAGCTTGGAACTCGGATTTTCGCACTCCGGTTGAGTTGTGGATCTGGAGAGGCTCCGCAGTTGCGGTTACGTGTGTGCCTCTTCTCTTCGCCGTCCTCATATTGCTTCCCGGAAGCGGGCGGATATTCCAGCGCTTCTTTTTCTACACGGTCTGTGCGCCGCTGTTTATTCTCTATGCCACTGGGAGATTGCTTCTTGTTGGTATTGCGTTTGCCGCATTGAGAGCGCTACCGGAGCCGGCATTGGAGGATGTTTCTTGGAGTTCATGGTTCCCGCACATAACCTGAAGGAGTCCGTTGTGATACATGGAAATTAATGTATTTGTTGTTCAAACAAGGACGAAAGTTGTGGTCAAGTGGTTGAGGGCCTGACGTAAGCAAATTTGTGACCGCCACGTCTATGATTTTCATAACTTTCTTTCCTTCTCATCTCCTCTTCCGCTCGTTCACCCACCATGAGCGGATGTACGTATGAAGCACTACTCACTTACAAGCGTCTCTAACCTATTCAAAAGTTCGGTTCCTCAATCTCGTCCGGCCATTCCTTCCGATTCTGCCAGAAGTCGCGTCTCCAGACCGCACGGTCTGTCGTGCTCTGTACTCGTGTCACCATCTCTTCTGACCTACCGACCAGGTTCCTTTCCAGCAAAAGATACTATGGACCTCTGTGACGCTCCTCATCTTCTTGGTTTGCTCCCAAGTGCCCTTGTATGGTATCATGTCGTCCGACTCGTCCGACCCGCTCTACTGGATGCGGGTCATCCTTGCCTCTAACCGAGGAACTCTTATGGAGCTTGGTATCACCCCAATCATCACTTCTGGCATGATAATGCAGTTGTTGGCTGGCGCGAACCTCGTTGACGTGGACTTCAGTCTGAAGGAGGACCGAGCACTTTTTGGTGGTGCTCAAAAACGTGAGTGACCTGTGTGGCGTTGTATGCAGGAGAGCTAAAAATTAGTCAGTCTTTGCCCTCATCATCGCCCTCGGCCAAGGAATCGTCTACGTCATGTCGGGCCTTTATGGCCAGCCCAGCGAGCTCGGCGCTGGCGTGTGTCTCCTGCTCATCGTCCAACTTGTTGCGGCGGCCATGATTGTTATTCTTCTGGATGAGCTCCTCCAAAAGGGTTATGGTCTTGGATCTGGAATCTCGCTTTTCATTGCGACCAACATTTGCGAGTCGATTGTTTGGAAGGCCTTTTCCCCTACGACTGTCAACACCGGTCGTGGACCCGAGTTCGAAGGCGCTATTGTCGCTCTTTTCCATCTCCTCTTCACCTGGAATGACAAGGCACGCGCTCTCCGCGAAGCCTTCTGGCGGGACCGTCTCCCCAATGTCATGAACCTCGTCGCAACCGCCGTTATTTTCGGCGCCGTCATTTACCTCCAAGGCTTCCGTATCGAAATCCCGGTCAAGAGCAACCGCTTTAGAGGCCAACGTGGATCGTACCCCATCAAGCTCTTCTATACCTCCAACATGCCTATCATGCTGGAATCTGCGCTCACGTCCAACGTATTCATTCTCTCTCAAATGCTCGCAAACCGCTACCCCAGCAACCTCTTCGTCAGGCTGCTCGGCGTCTGGGAGCCGATGGAGGATTCTCAACAGCTTGTGGCCACTTCCGGAATCTCCTACTACATGTCACCTCCGCATACTCTGAAAGAGGCCCTGGTCGACCCGATCCATACGGTTATCTACATCATCTTCATGCTGTCTGCATGCGCATTATTCTCAAAGACCTGGATTGAGGTTTCCGGTTCAGGCCCACGCGACATCGCCAAGCAATTGAAGGACCAGCAAATGGTCAACCAATTCATGTCGTTTTCCACATTCTAGCTCACCCATTTTCCAGGTTATGGCCGGACATCGCGAAGGTTCAATGTACAAGGAACTGAAGCGTATCATCCCGACTGCTGCAGCTCTTGGTGGCGCCATTCTTGGACTGCTCTCCGTCGTTGCGGATCTGATGGGTGCCATTGGCAGTGGAACTGGTATTCTTATGGCTGTTACTACCATTTACAGCTGTTCGTCCTTTCTCTTCTCCTACTCTCCCTTTGTGCTGACAGCTTGCTACCAGACTGGGAAATTGGTATCCGTGAATCTGGTGGCCCTGAGATGGCTGCATTCGGGGATCTTCTTTGAGTATTGGGGTCTGGACGGAAGATGTTGGGCACAAAAGGTCGTCGCTGCAAACGTTTTTTACATCAAAAGGATTGTGATATTACATATACACCAGCTGCTCGGAATGAGAGCCTCAATAGTGTAAAGTTGTGCTTGACCTCCCTTCATAATCGAAAAAAAGTAACGTCAAGTTCGCTTGAGTAATAATGCCTTCTTCTCTTCTCCCCATGGTGCTGTGTGCAGCATCCGTTTCGTTCTTGCAACCCAACCTTCATGGATCAAATAAGGACGTTTGAACGCTACACTTGACCACGAATGCGACCACCTTTGCCATCGAATTACTCAAGCACTTCCACCTTCCCCTATTTTATTCTTCCAGACATGACCCGCATTCCGAGAATGTTGTCGAGTCTGCTTCAATTCGTGGACCACTCTTAACAAGGGACATCTTACATTGCTACTCAGCGAGGAGCCCAAAACAACCATATAGAACGAAGAGTCCTCTCAGAATGTCTTCCATGAATCCGCAAACCCATATCGCAATCAGTGCCGTGTCGAAAGGCATAGTGGAGGCCATAGAAGTGGCCACGCCGACACCGGGTCCTGGCGAGATCTTACTCAAGGTCGCCTTCGCGGCGATGAACCCGTTTGACGCGTACATGGTCGATTTGGGCTTCGCTGTTGTTGAGTATCCGGTCATTTTGGGGTTCAGTGTTGCTGGGCTGGTTGTTGGTGTCGGCTCTGGTGTTTCTTCGCTCAACGTCGGGGATAGGGTGAGTTGTCCCGGGCGAGTGCAGTTAGCTCTTGACTAATAAGGTTATAGGCTACTGCTTTCAGCCCCCATATCTTTGAGCAAGGAAGGAAAGGCGCATTGCAAGGGACGACCCAAGAATATCTAGTTCTCCCAGACCATCTCTGTGGCAAGGTCCGATCGTGCCAGTCTCTCTTCGACTTGACTAACACACTCTCAGATTCCTGACAACCTGGACCTCGCCGATGCTGCTACCATCCCTGACAACTTCGTCACCGCATTCTACACTCTTTTTGATCAACTCGGTCTGCCAATTCCACAGTCATTCCCTGCTCCTTCCCCGCCACCAGAATCGGCCGTGCCCATACTCGTTTACGGTGCCGGCTCGACTGCAGGTCAATACGCTGTCCAACTCCTCCATTCGGCGGGCTACACCAACGTGGCTGCTACTGCCTCGTCACGGCACCATGAATTTCTGCGCGCTCTCGGAGCTGCACACACCATCGACTACGCGTCGGAGTCGTTTACAGCCGAGGCGGCGGCTGTTACAGGAAGAGCAGATGGGAAGTTTATCTATGTTCTCGACTCCATTAGTGCGGATGGAACTATTGCTAAAATCGCACCGCTCATTCACCCTTCCGACGGGAAAGTTGCGATTCTCTTGCCAATCAAGACTGGGGATAAAGTTGGTGGGAGTACTGGGGGTATGCGGGCCCAAATTCCGGACAACGACAATCCGTTTGCAGAGGGGGTGAAGATTGCATACGCAAAAACGTTCACTTACCGCGAGGCGCGTCTGCTCCAGGTTACACGACGATATACTCATTGTTGCCCTTAATTTCAGAACGAATACCTCAAGAACAACTTGATGCTGAAGATTCTACCGTCGCTTCTTTCTTCTGGTATCATCACGCCAACTCGTGTGCACTTGCTGGACCAAGGGACCCTCCTTGACCGTGTCAATGCTGGACTTGACCTGATGCGCAACAACAACGTCAATGGGGAGAAGCTTGTCGTCAAAGTCGCTTCCGATTAGCGCCAAAACTGGTCGATTCTTTCTGGTTTTTGGACAAGAAACAAATATCACGAACACATTCGCTTTCATCGTTGGGCATATGTACTATAATACATGAAGCTTCTTCCCAGTAAGGCAATACACCTTCCAATTCGGGCCATTTTGTTTATCATACATACTGTGTTCATGCATCGCTGGGGGTATCTTGAAAGGATATCAGCAACTGCCAGTTCTGTTCTGCACTTGATGATACTATTGATGGTGTACCAGTACAAAGCCATAAATGAATGAGGCGGCTTGATTGGCGACAGGTACACTTGTCATGGCAGCTAATGTCAAAGTATAGATGCTCTTCCTTCTTGCCTTGTCCTCATCGTCCTTTGAAGCACGCGCCGTCTCTCAATGCACCGATATCAATGATTGTCGTCGCCTTTTCGATATTGTCTGGGGTTGCATTGTAACAATATTCGCCTGTGTGTGGGTTTCTGTCCACCCGAATGTGCCCCCTCCGGGGCCAGTTCGACCAAAGCGGAATGCAAGGCTATGGAGCTGGCTGAAATGGTACCTCTTGGACATCGGCGGCCCGTTCAAGCGGCGTCTGAAGCTGATGGTTGCAGCGCTTGTTGCGCCAGAGGTCATTGTGGGGTTTGCAGTCCGGCAGCTCTGGATGGCGCGCTTCTTTGCGCAAGGCACGTCAATCGATTGCTTTCCCACTTGCCACAAATTAAGCAGCGCTTATTTCAGTGTACGACGTTTCGCTCACACATGGCTTTTTCATCGGCATGGGTGGGTTTGTCGATGGGGAAGGGCACCCAATCGTTACTTGTGCACAGATTACCCCGGACGCAGACATCCTTGCGGCGATACAAGCTGTCCCGGAATCCACTTTGGCCGACAAGAGCAAAGGCGACATGTTCTCGAAAGGCATCGCGCTCTGCCAGGGCCTCTGGTTTGTCGCGCAATGCATTGCACGAGGCAACCAACATCTTCCACTCTCCGAGCTCGAGATTGCCACTCTGGCGTTTGCCATTATAAACGCGTTCACGTGGCTGTTGTGGTGGGGGAAGCCGCTTGATGTCCGCGATCCCGTGATCATCGACCCCCGACGAAGACACCGTCAGGCAGCTTCAGCGCGACCGCCCAAGCCCAAGATATCGCGGCTCAATCGACTCGGCATGATGCTGATCGGAGTCTACGAGGAATCGGAATTCGCGCCGACATCAGCCGGCACCACCGCCGTCCCGACATTCTGGTGCACCGCCAGAGCGGACATCCCCGAGCGGTACCAGCGGATATGCATGGCCAGCGAATTCTTCTGCGCTGCAGTCTTTGGCGCGATCCATTTCATTGCGTGGTCAAATGCGTTTCCCACGACCGGAGAAAAGTGGCTCTGGCGCGTGTCCACGCTCGTGATCACCGTGCTCCCTGTCATCCTTCTGGTGGTTAGTTTCCTCGATGCGACACTCTCCGTAGTTGAACACGTCCCGCACTGGTATGGAATAGTATTTATGGCCATCGGCGGGGTGCTATATCCTGCAGGCCGATTGGTCCTCCTTGTCTTACCTTTCACCACACTCCGAACCCTTCCACTCAAGACTTTCATGGACGTGGCCTGGAGCGTTTATTTCCCACATCTATAGGTAAGTTAACTGAAAACCTGTAATATCGATCAACAAATACATAGAGTATGAGATCCCCACTAATGGACCCTCCTACTAATCCCAACTCCTCGCTATCTAATGACCTGCGCCACCTTTTGCGGGATGTATGACCTGATATATATTGAATGCCAAACTGCACGGCCGTTAACATCTCAAATCGAAAACCACAAAAGAGAGACTAACCAAAACACGAAAACGAACGCGCCATATGCAGCGAGCATGAGCGCGCCAAGACTAAGCTTGTTGTTGCGGTTGCGGTCTGCGCGAGTAAGTTTCCAGTAGAATAAACCGGGGAGTATGAACGAGATGGTGGTGGAACCAGTTGAACCAACAAAGGACAAGACTTGGATTGTGGATCAGCTGACGAAAGATAATTTATTGCTGCGACTGACCCATTTGCAAGTCGTTCACAAAGAAGGCAATAGTGAAGCCGGAAATAATGATTGCAGAGGTAAGCAGCGTGTGCTTGAGGTCTGACATCTCTCCGCCAGCATGGTCTTCATCTTCAAGCCCGTCTCCCTCATCCTCATCAGAAATTGAGGTAGGCTTGATGGGCGCGACATGTCCAGGGTGGAATATCTTGTCGAGACAGTTGCGGCACGGATGCACTTGCAGCGGATAAGAGAACAACACAAGAACGACGATAGCCAGTTGTCCGATGGCAATGAACAGTGATGTAGAAGGGTACATCGCGATGATATTGGCGCCAACAGTCGAGCCAAAAGTGAGGTATCCAAAGACCGCAATGACTTCGTAGGTCAGAGTGGCTGAGCCGATTGCGCCACCGATGACGGTGTTCATGCGCCTTTGATTGTTGTCCTTGAGTTCATTGAAGATGGGGAAAAGCTCCAAAAGTGAGGATGATTATATAAAGGAATATCAGAGACCTACATTTTGCGCACAGGTGAAAGCAAAGACTTGGACTGGGAAAGTTGACACGAAATTGGGCGTGAACTTGATAAGGTTAACTTCTCCACGGTCAGGCATGCCCTCAAGAGGATCAAAGTAGACCGTTATGACAATCAAGACAAGGTATGCTGGTACAGTTAGCAAAAGATGCTCTTCGTTTGACCACACTTACCGACCGAGAAAAGTGCGACATAGCTTGTATGCCGGAGACTGTCGAGATGCCGAAGGAAACACAATGGGACCAGCACCAGCATGAAAAGCGTTATCCAATTCCGTCCAGACAGCGCCCATGCGGGTGGGGTGCTTGAAGAAAGGTCGTGGTACAGCGCAGTAACGACATTAGGCATTAGGCCTTTGATGATGATAAGGTAGCTAGAGAATGGAATTGACGAGCTTGAGCATAGTGAACAAAGGATATGATCCAAGCCCCGCACCTTATTGATACGCCGAAGCATTTGGCTGCAATTGCAGCATCGAAGAAGATGGCAGCCTTCGGGAAGGTCATTTGCGAGACCGCGAAGAAGGAGGATCGTCGGTGGGGAGCTCTTGCAGCACACAGTGAGAGTAAATAGAGCCCAAACGAAGCGACAGAGCCGCTGAATATGCAGGTTATTATGCCCGGTATTATACCAGCGGATGCCATAGCCTATACCCATCAGTTTTTTTATGGACGGTTGTCTGGGGAAATACGCACAAGAGGAAATGTCAGCATCCCTACACAAGAAATTAAGTTTTTAGGTTCTCGAGACAGAAGTCTGAGGACGCACCGCTGCCAATAATCGTGTTGGCGAGGTTGCTAACCGAGCTGACCATGCTGGCCTTGCCCTCCCGCTTTCCCCGCTGGCCTGTCGGGTCTCGGTCACCACCGAGAAGCGCGCTGCTTTCATCTACGTTGTCCAGTAATGCATTCGATTCTTCTGTAGGGCTCGTTGGCTCCGTTCCATATCGCGGCGGCATTTCGAAACTGTCGTGGAGTTGGTCTTCGAGTAATGGTCGGGAAGCAGATGAAGGAACGTAGGCGGAGGCTGAGATGTTGTTCTCAGGCTTGTTAGTGGGATGTGGGAGTGTGGGAGAGAACCTGGCTGCCAGGATAGTGCAACGAGGCAGATAGATAGCGTGCTTGTGGAAAGAGTGTGCGGGCGTCTGAGGTCGGATCGAGGAAATGGCAGCGTGGGAGATTCTCAACGTGTTCAGAGCAGTCAGGACTCAGCAGAACATTACTGTAAAATACCCAATTAAACTCGGTAGAATAAACCATTGCAAGGGGAAAATATTTCAGGGCCCAAACTCCCCAGGGCAACTAGTGTGGGATTGCACAGTTTACTGCACAACATGATCAATGAATCATGATGTCAACATGTCCTGTTACGATCACGTTACAATTACAGCAGTTGACTCTTTCCCCAAACTTCTGTTTCCTCGTTTTTTTCGTCGCCCAGCTTACATGTCATACTTGAACAACGGTCTTCCTCCTGAGCTCGTCTTCTTAATCTCTGACTTTCTCCCCCTCTCTTCCTTGGGTGTGTTGACCCAAACATGCCGCCATCTCTACACGCTTCTACAGCCTACTCTCAACGCGTTGCTTACCCCGGAACTTGCCCGCGACATTCTATTTGACGCTGCAGGAGAGGGACGAGTTGATGTCGTCAAGAAGCTGCTTTCTCCCCCACTCTCGACCAACCCAAACGACTATAAGGATACTGACGGCACGCCTCTACACACAGCCGCGCGTGGAGGCCACACAGAGATTATTCAGCTGCTGCTCGGCGCAAAAGCTGATATACATCGCCGCTGGTCCGCGATGGCTGATGACGAACCAATGGCAATGACCCCCTTACATATTGCTGTTCTTCAAAAAGATGTGCGAACTGTGCAGCTACTGTTGAACAACGGAGCGGACGTACATGCACCATATGGAGAATCGTGGGGCTACCCTATCTGCGATGCAGCAGAGGCAGGAGACACTCATATGGTCAGAATGCTCCACCTTTATGGGGCGAACCTCGAGCAAGACGACGGGTCTGCGACGCCTCTTGGTCACGCAATTTTGGAGGCCAATATATCAATGATCCACCTCTTGCTGAAAGTCGGAGCAGACGCTAACGCCCACACACAACTACGTTACACCAGGCTACCGTTGGTGATCTCCGTAGCGCCAGAGCGGGTAGGCCTCCCGACAGCCGCTGGCTTACTTTATTACACATTAGATTTGGCGAATGCATCCAGTACAGCATTCGGCGAAGAAAAGGTCGATATCATCAAGCTGTTGCTCAAGTACGGTGCAAGAAAGGAAGATGCGGTAAGGACAGTCTATAATCACCTGCCTGCTCTTGCAGAGGTAGAAGGAATCACAGAGAAGCAACTTTTGGCAAAGGTCGAAGGTATTTTTGCCAGCGCGGAGGCGCCGGAATAAGTGAGCAGTTCATACACAGTAGCAGATACTTGAACTGACTACCTACGTAGGTTTACTTAGACAGTTCCACACTTGCAAATATGCTATCGACCTTCTTTAATAACCCTTCCTCCGAAATACCTTCTGCATCCGCCAACCCAGTCAAATACTGCTTCACCGTCTCCATCGCTCTGTCCTTCTTCGCTCCATACATCAACAACAATTTCATGATCTTTTCTCTCCCCTCCTTTGGTGCACTCTCAGCATTCCTCTTTTTCCCGTCTCCCTTGGGGTGCTTCAATGACAACACAAAATAGAGCGCCGTTGCTTTGAATGGTGGCACAAAGCTTCCGCATTGAGCTCCAGGATAGAGCGGCATTTCCGCATCCACCTCCGCCCCGCGCCGCAACAAATACTCTATCATTCCCAAATCGCGTCTGGCCACGGCATGACCAAGAGGCGTCCCATGTGTGTCTCGTTGCTCGAGATTCGCATTATAGTCGAGCAAAGTCTCGACCATCTCAATGCTGCTTCTGTAAGCGGCATCACAGATAATATACCTGAACCACTCTCCGTAGCGCGTATTCGGATTCGCTCCACGTTCAAGGAGCAACCTCGCTACTGCCACGTGGCCTTTCAAGACCGCAAGGTGCAAAGGCTGCATGTCGTCGTCGATACGCGAGTCCCATGTCCGCGTCACGTCCGCTTTCGCAGCAAGTAGCAGCATCACGACGGCCACGTGCCCGCGCTCTGCCGCAGCATGAAGCGGCGTGCAGGAGTTCCCTGAATACGCATTGGGGTCGACGGAATATGGGGGAGCAAGGAGTTTTGCAACGACTTCGGGTTTGTTTGTCTTGGCAGCATCGAGCAGCACCTCGCTGGCGACTTCAGGCGTCAGCGCAGCGTCAAGTTCCGGCTGGATGATGTTATGCAGGTGGTTGCAGGTCTGGGCCAGCGAATTAAGAGACGAGAGCGAGATGTCGTCCGACTCTGCAAGCGCGAGGACGAGCTCGGGTGGGAATTCGGTGGTCAAGTATGATTTAGACATGGGACTAGTAGAGCCTATAGAGAGCACTTGCTCACTGTTTTTTCCAGGTCGTCGTAGGCTTATATTTATAGTCTTACGGGCGCCTAATAAGAACTTATCGTACGCGTATAGACGCTGGCACATCAGTTCGGTCGAACTCGGTTCGGGTGACTTTTTGAGCAAGTCAGAAACAGTTTCCGAGTCATCGAAAGGGTGCCGCGCTTCATCCATGTCTCGAATTCTACACTTATTCGAGCCCATCAGGACTCGGATACTATTAGTTCGTAGTAAATATTGCGCCTTGATTAATATTATCTGTTTTTCTTCAAGCGACATAATTTCACATAAGGAAAATAATTTGCAAGCCAGCCCCGGCTTGATCTCGGGAGGCAGTGTTTGGTTGAATAGTTTAAGACGCGAACCTACTTTCCCGGAGGTCCGACGAAGTCGGAGTAGATCAAATTACATAACATCGTCATGTTTCTTCTCTTCCTCGACCTTCGGTGCTTGCGCTTTGCACCTTATACTGACTAGTATCACAGCTGGTGAGCCATGCTCACTGTATATAGGCAACAAACTGATTCTTCTCTCAGGACTGCGAAGCAGAGGCTCGTGTGAACTGCAGGAATCCCCCACTTCATTCTCCGTCTGCATATAAACCGAATCGCTGTTATTTTCAGGCCGCCCAGTCGGTTGTGTAGTACACCCAGTCCCCAACTTGCATCCGTGCCCGGCTTGAGCGTATGTATCTACAGATCGACAAGCCTGGGCCTGGGTTTTTGGAAACACGAGCTTGAAGTTGTTTGCAATTGAAGAAGCGGTCCGAAGGTATCACAGAGGAGCAACTTCAGGCAAGTCCGTTTGAACGGGTAAGTGCTCCATGTGCTGCTGCATAAGTACAATCAATTTTGTTTACCCACAGGTTTCTTTACTTGGACTGCTCTACACTGGCAAATATACCGTTAACCTTCTCTAATAACGCTTCCTCCGAAATACCTTCTGCATCTGCCAACTGAGTCAAATACTCCTTCACCGTCGCCATCGCTCGTCCCTTATCCGCTCCATACATCAACAACAATCGCATAATTTCTTCCCTTCCCTCTTCTGGTGCTCTCCTCGCCCTCATGCCTCTCTTTTCCCCGTCTCCATTCGGATGCTTCAACGCCAACACAACGTACAGTGGTGTCGCATCAAACGGCGCCGCCAAGGTGCCACCACACATTGCCCCAGGATAGAGCGGCATTTCCGCATCCACCTCCGCCCCCCGCCCCAACAAATACGCAATCATCCCCAAATCACGTCTGTCCACCGCATGGCCCAGCGGGGTCCCATGTACATCGCGTTGTTCTAGATCTGCATTATATTCGAGCAGAGTCTCGACCATCGCGATGGTTCCTTTGTGAGCGGCATCACAGAAGGATCGCCTGGCCCACTCGCCATAGGACATATTTGGATCCGCTCCACGGTCGAGGAACAGTCTTGCTACGGTCACATGGCCATTGAGGACCGCAAGGTGCCAAGGCTGCATTTCGTCGTAGCATGTACGCGTCACGTCCGCCTTCGCAGCGAGCAGAAGCATCACGACGGCCACGTGCCCGCCCTCTGCCGCAGCATGGAGCGGCGTGCACCAGCCGCGGGGATATCTATTCGGGTTGGTGTAGTATGGTGGGGCGAGGAGTTTTGCGACGGCCTCGACCTTTCCGGCCCTGGAAGCACTGAGCAGCACCTCTCTGGCGACCTCAGGCGTCAGCGCAGCGTCGAGCTCCGGCTGGAGGATGTTGCGGAGGTGGTTGCATGTTTGGGCCAGCGAACTGAGAGACGAGAGCGACATGGCGTCCGACTGCGCGAGTGCGAGGATAAGTTCGGGGGGAAACTCGGTGGTTAAGTATGATTTAGACATATTATAGTGTTATAGGACACTTTTTTTTTACTGGACGTTGTCCTACAGAAGGCCGGTATATATAGCCTCTTCGGCGCCTATATAGACGCCGGGCCGTGACATGTATTCCACAGAATCCGGTCCCCGTGAGTTTGCCGTGAGTTTGGGTGAGTCAGATATTTGGTGATGGAAGCGCCAGATTTGATATTTAGTTTGGTTTATGCTTCCCTTCGAATTTTTTATTAGTATTGGACCCATTTAAAATTATTTAAGGAAATCTTGTTTCCGCTTTTTGCTGACCGAAAAAAATCCTCTCAGAAACCCAAGTTGTAACAACTTTGCTGATAAAACAGGGCCTAGATTTCTTCAGTCTTGGTGGTATTGGATGCTCCGTCCTCTAAACTACAAGTAGTGTATGTATGTATATCCTGTAAAACAGAAAAGTAGAAAAAAAAGTCGTAAATATGGCTACGAAGCCGCCATTATCGCTTGAGTTTTCACGGCCGCGTCGGCCAACGCGCGTTCAAACGCAGACAGGTGGTCTTTTACCACCTCCCGGCCATCGACCCGCTTCCCGCCCTCTTCCATCTCCCATCGCTCGATCTTGACCCGGCTCCGTTCAGCACCCTCCCATTCTGTCCTCCAGCCGCCCAGGCGGTTTCGCAATGCGCGAAGCTTCCGACCTGCATCGGCAGTTGCCGCACCGTTGACTTGTGCGTGTTCAGAGACACTTGTAAGAGAGGCCACAAGTGAGGTTGTTAGACCGCGAAGCTCAGAAAGCTGGGCTGCAGCAGAAGGAGGCGCTTGAGTTCGGGATGGAGGGGCAAACGATGTGTGGCCAGGGGTGGGTGAGGCGGGGGCATTGACTTCGTCGTCATCATCCGGCTCGTCGTTATGTTGTGCGAAAGCGGGGTCCATATCGGCATCGGGGTCTGTTTCCCACTCTTGCGACATTGCCCGTAAGTGGGTGGGTCGTGTGGGCGAGGCGCTTGTCGGTTCGTCTTCTGGTATTGCTCCCAGTTTGAAAGCAGAGGACGGTTCTGGCTCGCTGTCCTCCGTCGATGGCAGCTCTTCCAGCCGGCCAAGTACGTCCTGCCCACCAACCTCCCCCGCAATCCGTCGAAACTCGCGGTCATACTCCAGCAATTCGCGCAGTTGCCCTTCACGGTCTCTGGCGGTCTCATTGATCCGTCGAATCACATCTGAGGCGAGTTTCTCTAAGGCAGGTTGTGTCGATACAGGGGAGGCCGAGGCGTCTACATCCAGATGGCGGAGATGTGAAAGGAATTTGTCTGTCGACTCCAGATTCTGGGCGAGGATCTCTATAGCATCCTGCTCGGGCTGCTTCCTCGCCATTGGCGACCCAAACGACACGTCCAACTGTGTGTCCTCTGCCGCCCCAAACTCTGGTTGCTGCTCTTCCACAAACGAGTCATCCCCAATTGCCTCTGCCCCGCCCTCCTCTGTGGCGGCACTTTGCGGCACCCCATCCCCGTCAATACCCTCTGCCCCCTCGTCAAACTCGATTCCAAACTCCTCCGCGAGCAGCTTCGACCCGGAACTGGGCTCGGGCATCATCGCCACCGCCAATTCATGCGCCAGAGAAAACCCGCCTGACTGCGAATCTGCCGCCCGCAGCGCGGTCGCGGAGCGGCGATGCGCTGGCGCTTTTCGCGGGGAGGTGAGGAAGACGTCGTCGGTCATGGATAAGTGGCAGCGTATTGACCAGGTCTAGGTGACTGTCGCGTCGGTCGTCAGTCGCTTGCTTTATAAAGGGATTCGTAAGTCGCGAGAATCAGACAGAAGAGGAAAAGATGTACAGGGCGATCGCGTTCTATGAGTTCTAACACACGCTTCAGAGAGCGGTGGTGTCGTCTAGTGCGGTGAGGAGACGGAGAAGGACTGAAAGAGGTTACGGTCACATGCGTGACAATTTCTTTTGTTGGCAACGAGGACAACGACGACGACGACCTTTCGCTGAAAGTAAATGCAGCGGTTCATTGACAAAATTGTTTATTATTAACGAGTCAAGGCTTGCGAACTCAAAACCCTGTTTTAAGACCAACCCAACAATTACAACAACAAAAGTTCCGACAGTTATTCAATATCCATGTTTTCAAGATAAATCGTGATGAGAAAATGCAGCCGGAAGCGGAGGTACTGGGGGAGAAGGGTTCATCATCATCATCGAATCCGTGCGCTCGTATCCCGGCGGAGGCGTTGCAGGAGGAGGGCCATGGAAATCCCAAGAGCGGAAAGTCGGCGCGCGGGAGAGAGTCGACGCTGCCGTTGCATTCAGAGTCCCGTTAGTCAAGGTCGGCTCGTCATAGTACTCCAGGTCATCATCTACCAGCTGGTCCGGCAGTTGGCCCACGACCGTGCGAGTTTCGTGGCTACCAGTCAACCTCGTTTGACTGCCAGAGCCTCCAACAGTCAGGGACGACCCCGTGGCAAACGTCGCCACAGAGGCTTGGTGGTGCAGTTGTGGACGCGACCCATTAAGCCGCAGGTCCGACAGGCTCTGTCTTAACGCAGCTTTTTCTGGGTCACCAACACCCGCGCGTCCATAATGCAGCTCCGGAATAAGCGCGTCGTTCCCCGCCACAGAGAGTTGCGCGTGGTATTCCTGTCCGCCGTCCCCAACTCGGCTCAGAGCCAACGGAAGCGGCCGGGCTTGTGTCATGTCTGTCGATTCCTGCTGGCGCTTCTGTTTCCGCCGACATAACACAACGGCAAGAACCACCAACAGGATACCCACAAGACCAGCAAGAACGCCTGCAACAACTGCAGCGATGCTTGTATGTTGTTTCTTTGATGAGGATCCTGATGCGGCAATGACTGGGTTGGTCGATGAAGGAGATGATGGGGCGGTTAATATCGAGGAGGTTCCGGATCCAAGTAATTTGACGGGGGTGGAAATCGCAGTTCGGGAGTCTGTGCTACCAGCAGGACTGCCTGGTGGCGTGGCCGATGATGGGCTCGCGCCGTTACTGACACTGATATTGTTCCCACTGATATCAGTTTGTGTTTTCGTAGTCGTTTGTCCAGGGCCAGTTGCTGTCGCGGTAGATACAACGGTTGTAGTATCTGTTGTGGTTTTGCCGGTAGGCGGTGGTGGCGGAGGTGGATTGGGATTGACTCCATCGTCAAAACTGTCAGTTACAATTGAGTCTTACCAACTTGAAGTAGAAACAAGCAAGGGCACACACGTATAGCTTGCGTAGTCAAACGCCATATATGATCCTTGCGCGTTATTCGTACTCAGAACAACATTATGCTGCACATTTGCCAGGTTAGGGACGTGGAAGACCTGTTGCTGGTAGGCAAAGTCCGCGGAACCGTCGGGACTGTGGTCGAAAACGCCATGGGAGGCGCCGTCTACCATTAAAGCAAGATGAGTGGCACCAAGAGGGGTCGCAGAGCTCTGTCGGTTGACAAGAGTGCAGAAAATGCTGACCGAGGTGCCTAAAAGCCGTTTATATATCAGGATAGAAAGGATGGACCAGAACAAGTCTACTAACCTGTAAATGAGAAGCTTACAGACATGACCTGGCCGTCCACCTGCGAGGTATCATGCCATGTATTTTTGAAGGATTTCCCTGCATCGGGATGATATGTACAGTCTGGGCAATTGGAGTTCTGGCCACTGGTCAGTGAAATGGAGGTCGTATAAATGCGGCTCACCAGGCTGAAGTGATTCGGGGGAGAGTAGCTTGGGACGGCGCCAGTTTCCGAGTCGCCGTCGGTGTCGTCGATGGTGCGGGTGATGATGTTGGCAGACGAGGGAGTAATGCGGGCGAGCAGAGATAAGAATACCAATAAGTAGAGCGAAAGGAGCGTGAGGTTGGAGCCATTGCCAGTGGACCCAACGGCCATGATGTAGTCGAGCGCGTCTCCGTTTGCCTGGCGCAGAGCGGGAGACGGTGGCCAATGGTAGAAGGAGAGATCTGAGAAGGAGGTCGGGACTTAGACTGGCGTGGGGGTATCATATCGTTCCGGCGCCGGCGTTGCCACAAGTAACGAGTATCTTTAGCTCGGTTTCATCATAGAAGCTGTGAGGCTACAATTGAGCGGTCAGGCGAGCCAGGGCCCAAGGAAGATTAGCGCCAGCTGTTAGATGGAAGTTTGACGCGATCTTTCGGGAGTGTATCCTTTAATATTTGACATGGAGAACGCAGGTCGGAAAAGGTCGTAAGACCGTCTGAATACGACAATGTGGGTAGTCGTTGGGTATAAGGAGACGGCGGAGGAATCAAATGTGATGGTTCAAAGCAAGAGAGTAACAGGAAAAATATGACCGTCATTCCACTTCTTTTCCTCACCATCATTCGCGTCGGATAAACTCGCTGAATGCGCCCCACACAGCTGCTCCTTTCGGGGCGTTCTGCATGGAAGGGTGAGCAGGGTGTACTCGTTTCGCAACGCAACCTGAGCGCGGCATATTAGGACCATACTTCGTTGCATTTCCCAACCTCCGCGAGGCCCTCGAGAACCACGTCCCAATCCAGACCAAGGCCCGCGCCTGCACCATCCTGCCCACGTTCGTCGGGTGCGTGGTCCTGCTTTCCTCATGCATTTTGACCCCAAACCCCGCGCAGCATCCGCTTCCTCGTCCACAACGGACGCGACTACGTGCCCGTAATGGTGACGCAGGACATGGTGGGCCACAAACTGGGGGAGTTCTCGCCGACGAAGAAGCGGTTTAAGTTCGGGTGCGTTTATCGTCGCAAGAAACTGTGGCTGGTCGCTAACTCGATTCCTCCAGGAAAAAGTAGACTCCAGCTCGTGTATATCGCGTTTTAATGCACTTCCTTCACGCCTCAGAAGATTTACTAAAGAGTGCTCTCGCTTGCAACCTTCTGAATCATGAATCGTAACGGATACACCATGTCTCTTGCGCGACCTTCAACGTATGCCAAAGTAATCCGTTTGGACTGGATGCATTATGGCCAGCAGACTGACAAACTAATGAGGAGACGACCAGGCACACCAAACTGACGATGAAGATGGTAAAGGAGTATATCGGCAACAATATCAATGCTCGAAGTTGGGATATTAGACCAGGAGATTGACGTGAATGAGCGGATGGATTCCGACGACGGCCCGGGTGGACATGAATATGCATCAAGTTGCAGAGTGAGGTAGGTCCTTGAAAGAACTCTGACATTTTTCTGACACAGTCTTTGTAGAGCTTGGGCAATTGCTCGAATCTCTCGGATGGGGTAGAGTAAAAACCCCAATGCTTACGATGGCGAATTCCATGTGGGCGAACGGACCGAAAAGATTACTTAGGCACTGTTAACGCAACAATCTACTTGGCTACACTCAGAAGAAATCGTAGGTGCACCTGTCAGTCGTCAGGCTGCTTCCACTTCCACAAAGAAGTCAGCAACGCACTTGTACGAGGAGATGACGTCATTGAACGGACGCCCGCCGCCCTCCTCGCCGGTCGGCACGGAGCGGCGGAGGTCGCTGACGCCGGGGCTGCGGATCGGGCCGACGCGGCCGCTGAGGAAGTCGCAGTCGAAGCCGGCGTAGACGTAGCACGCCTGGTTCGGGTCGGGCCCGAAGCTCGACACCTTGTCGTTCAGGTCCGCCGCGAGGTTCACGCACTCGCCGCTCCCCGCGTTCGTGATGTACACGCAGTACCCCGCCCACTCGACGTTCCCCGCGTCACGCTTGGCAAGGTTGTGCTGGACATTATATAAGCGGAGGGACGACTTGGGAGAGCGCATTCTTCACCTCTGCAGCGACGCCGGTGCCGTTATACGCCTTGGCATCGACGGTCTTGAAGTTCGCAGGCGGGAACTGGCCCAGCTGCACCGATGCAGCGACGGCAGAAGACACGAGCGCGAGGAGGCTGGCGGAAAACTTCATACTGGTAGTAGCAGGTTTGCTGGGGAACCTGAGCCCCTCGCGCGCGTTTTTATACGCGTGTCGCCAAAGCAAGATGGCACGGGTGTCCCTGCGGTGCGGTGATCCTACCTCGCAATTTGTGCCAAGCATGCGTCGGGGGCACATATCCCGACGCTGGGCGCCGAGAAATGGTCGGCGAATTGCTCGATGAGGAAAGCAATGGACATTAAGCAGGGGCCCATGCAGACCATAGGTGTGTGTAGTGGCGCCTTGTACATCGGAATTCATCGAGTGCCCTTCTCCCTGATTATTTTGTTTACCGGCCCGGGAAGGGCCCGATTAGGGCATATCAGGTTGATTTTTGCGCAAGGACGAGTACTACATGGCCTAGGACTACATTTATCAAGCCGATCCAGAGGACACACTCAGGCTCGCCGGGAAGAAGCCCGCGTGCGCATACACGCCCGAGTCCGTGCGCTCGTAGCCCGGCGGCGGGTCCGGGCCGTCGCGCTGCCACTGGGCCCGGCCGTGGCTGTACATGTCCTCGGAGCGGAACGTCGGCGCGCGGGAGAGGACGGACGGCGCGGTCGCGCGCGCGGTGCCGCTGACCGACGTCACGGCGGACGCGGCGGCGTAGTACTCCAGGTCGTCGTCCAGCAGCCCGGACAGCCGGCCTGTCTGTGCTCCGTGCCCGGGTTGGGACAAGTCGGACCCGGACCCGGAGGTGAACGTGGCTATGGATGCGTGGTGGTGCGGTTCATACAGGTTCTGCCCCAACACGGCCTTTTCGGGGTCGCCTATCGTCCCGGCCCCGGAGAGTGGCGTCCGGTATTCTTGCCCGCCATCACCAACTTGGGCCACGGCCACGGGCACGGCCACCGGGAGCGGCCGCGCCTGCGTCATCTCCGTCGCCTCGTCCCGGCGGCGGCGCTTCCGGCGACACAGCACCACCACAAGCAGCGCCAGCAAGAGCCCGACGACGCCCGCGAGCACACCCGCAACGACCGCAGCGACGCCCGTGTGTTTCTGCGCCGCGGCGCCTGTAACCGCCGCGGCCGAGCCGGCCGAGGATGCGGGCGACGCGCCGGCGGAGGAGGTCCCCGGCCCCAGCAGCTGGGCGGGCGTGGACGCGCCGGCTGAAGCGTGCCAGTCCGGACTCGGGCCGCCCGACCCCGGGCCCGGCGCCGACGCCGACACCGGGCTTCCGCCGACACCACCCAGCGTCGTCGTCGTCGTCGCCGTCGTGGTCGGCCCGGTCGCCGGCGCGGTCGACACAACGGTCTTGGTGTCAGTCGTCGCGACCGTCTGCGCAGGGGGCGGGTTCGCAGGGGGCGGGTTGGCCGGCGGCGGGTCGGCGGCTCCGTCGTCGAAACTGTCAGCCTTGTCAACGATCGCGTCTGAAAACAAACAGGCAAAAAACACGCACGTGTAGCTCGCATAGTCGAACACCAAATACGAGCCCTGGGCGCTGTTCGTGGTGAGGACGACGCTGTGGCGCGCGCTGGGCAGGCCGGCGACGCGGAAGACCGGCTGCTGGTACGCGAAGTCGGCGGAGCCGTCGGGGGTGTGGTCGAATGTGCCCCGGGCGGCGCCGTCGACGGCGAGCGCGAGGTGCGTCGCGCCGAGGAAGGTCGCCGGGCTTTGCCGGTTCACGAGCGTGCAGAAGATGCTGACCGATGTTCCTAGGAAACATTGATTTAGCAAGGTCACGAAAAAAAAGGCTGCATACCCGTGAACGAGAAGCTGACGCTGCGCGCCTGGGCGTCTACCTGGGACGTGTCGTGCCACGTCCCGCCGAACGTCCGTCCGGGGTCCGGGTGGTACACGCACCCGCCGCAATTCGAGTTCTGTTTCCGTCACGGTCAATCGGCGGGTAAGTACATACATGGAGGCGGCTCACGAGGCTGAACTGGTCTGCGGGCGCGTAGCTCGGCACCGCGCCCGTCGCGGAGTCGCCGGCCGTGTCGTCGATCGTGCGCGTCACGAGCTTGGCCGTTGTGCGCAAAGATAAGATTAAGAGTAGTAAGGAGAGGTGGAGGGGAACGAGCGTGGGGCGGGAGCCAATGGCCATGAGGGTCGCAGCGATATGGTAGGAGGCAAGGCGGATACTACTTCCCGCGGAAGGGCGTTTGCGTGGGCATCTCACTCCCTCGCCCGACTCCCAGCGCCGATGTTGCCAGGTGCCACAACTTGAAAATATCTTTAGCCACATTACACAATATGCCATCAGTCAATTGACTCCTGTGCGGCCACAGAGGAAGCCGGGCACCAGGCGCTCGATGGGCTTGACGCGATCTCCCGGGAACGTCGGAATTGTTGACATCGAGGGCCCACAAACATGTCCTGGGAGCGACGATCTGCGGGGATGCGATCCAGGGCATTGAATCGGCGTCTTGAAGTGGACACATTGCGTTGGCCATGTCAGGTGCGGCGATCCTAACTTCTTCTGGAGAATGAGAAAAAAAAGACAGATAATTCACCGATATCGATACGGAATACACGCCGCTTCAAGTACACTCTCCGATCCAAACGAGCCCGTCTACAGCACCGCGCCCAGTGCGCTCCTGATCCACCCGACAATCCCTCCCCGCGGCACCCTTGCACAGCGTTGAACACCTTGCTAGTACACTAGTAAGTGCGGGGCTCACTGGGGCTTCGCGACGCCGTCGCTGTCGCGGAACGTGAGTGAGATCGAGTTGACACAGTGGCGCTCGTCGGCTAATCCCATTCAGCACAGGCTCAGAGTAACAGAAAGAAAGGCAACGCACTGGGTGTGTCGTACTTCTCGCCCTTGAACACGTGCCCGAGGTGCCCGCCGCACGCGGTGCACACGATCTCCGTGCGCTGCATGCCCCACGAGCTGTCCACGTGCCGCGTCACCGCCCCCGGGATCGCGTCGAAGAACGCCGGCCAGCCGCACCCGCTCTGTCCTCCCTTCAGCCTGAGCGATGATATAAAGATAAGAGAAGAACACACATTGAACTTTGTTGTGCTCTTGTAAAGCGGAGCGTCGCACGCGCCGCAGCTGTACACGCCGTCGTCGTAGAGCTTGTCGTACGCGCCGCTGCCCGCGGGCTCGGTGCCCTTCTGCCGCAGCACCCGGAACTGCTCCCGCGAGAGCACCGCCCGCCACTCGTCGTCCGTCTTCTCTACCTTGCTCGCCATCGCTCGTATTCGTATGTGTGCGGCTGGTCTGGGGGGCCGGAGGGGGCCTATATAGCGGGAGGCAAGGCGCGGAAGCATAGCGTCATCCCTTGGTCAGCGATCAGCAGTCACGTGCCGGCTTGCTCAGCCGCAGCACGCGTGGGTGTGTGTGGCGCCGCCGCGTCGCCCGTCGAGCGCGCGATGCCCATGCGATATCGCGGCTGCTGCGGGATACCAATGCCGAAATCCAGCGAGTAATCAACGAGCAGCTGTACATTATTATCTATCCAAACATCGGCTATATCCGCACCCCACACCGCTCGCAGCGCTGCTCCCTGTCGACGCTGCCCAACAATCAGCAACTACAACAACACACAGGAGACCCCCGGGCCGTGGACGCACCAGAGACAGAGCAAGCCGACCGGGAAACACACGATGCCGCACACGATCCCGAGCAGCCCTGTCGACATCCACCGGTCAGTGGCACACAATAGGACAAAACAGCGCACCGTAGTTCGTGCGCGGCTCATGCTGCCCCATCGCACACAGCGTCCGGGGCAGCGGGGACCCGGGCCCGAGGCCGGACCGGGTCCGGGAAAGACGGGCCGCGTCGTCGGCGCGCAGTGCGTGCACGACGTCCGGCGGCTGGGGGCCCTCGGCGGCGGGGCGGGGCCGCAGCTCTACGTGCATCGCGGGGGTGTGCTGGTCTTGCGAGAAAACAAGGACTACTTATGCAGGGTTGCTCTACAGCTTTTGTTCTAGAATGCCGGCGTATCAAGAACCGATAACGCTCGCCGCTCGGAACTCGGCGCCGAGGATCTATCCAGCGTCATCCCACGCAAGAAGTGTATTCCTAGGATATCGCGCCGACGGTACAACAAGTACAGTATTACAACGTTACAGGCTTGGTACAGCAGCAGATTACAGGCAGACCAAAGGAGAGTACTGGCCAGCTGGAGCAGCAAGATGGAGGGTGGTATAGGACAGGCAGGGTATTTTGACAGCACAAAAGCTCTTCTGGAAACAGCGGCGCCACGCGTCTACGCGCCCGTCGGCCCAGCACGCAGATCGGACCCGGTGGCGGCAGCACGCGGCCCGACGCACCCGCGCCGTCCCTTACGACGGTGGCGCGGATTCGCGACATCAGCGCCACCGCTAAACCACCTCCGCCTTCGAATTCTCCGCGCCCGCCCCGGGGCCCAGCCCGCTCGCCTTCCGCGTCCTCCTCGGGCTCGGGGACGCCGGCGGCGACTGCGGGCCGCCGGCGGTGCGGGGGCCGAGCCGGACGCTGACGCGGGGCGTGGCGGGGAGCGCGTCGACGGAGTCGCTCGACTGGCTGAAGGACAGGCCGTGGTTGCTGTACTTGGGCGACGTGAAGGCCTCTTTGGAGAGCGGGAGCGCGGCCTGCAGCGGGCCGAGCGGGTACAGCGCTGTTGGTGGTTAGTTGGGGTGCTAGTAATGAAGGGAGGAGACGCACTGCGCTGCCTTCGCCGCCTGCGGAGGAAAAGGAATGTGGCGAAGGTGAGCAGGAGGAGAAATACGACGCCGCCGCCGACAGAGGCGCCGACGATGATGGCGGTGGACGGGGTTTGGCGGTGGGGTTGAGGTGAAGAGACGTCAAGTGCGTTTGCGCTCGCGGGAGAGGGCGTGCCGAGAGCGGTTATGCGAGTATCTGCAATGTATTTAGGTGAGCGGAAAGCCAAACGCCGCGAAAACGCACCAGAGAACGTGAGGCTAGCGCTCTCCTCGGCGTCGATAACAGGCAGGGACAGCGAGTCGGGGCGGCCGGCGGCGGCCATGGGCGCATAGGCGTGGGCACGAGGAAAGCGAGCGAGGTGACGTTGAAGAGAGGAGGAGGAGAGCAGGAGCCGAGGTGCTCAAAGCAGCGACTGCGATTAGCCAGCTAATGGATCAGAACGTGCCCCGAGGGAAGAAGCTTGTCCGAGTACGCCGCCTTCTCACTTCTGGGTTCTAGCGCGGTGCACCGAAGGGCCTTCGTGGGGAGCTCGTTTGGTGGGTGAAGAGAGAAAGAGAGCAGCAGCCGTCGTGCGATTTCGCGTCGTCCCATAGTGCTAATACTAATACTCGCTGGGCAGCACGTCGTCTGTCGCCCGTCGCAATCGTCTTCTCTCCTTCATCGAGCAGCTGCCTGAAGTCTGATTGACACGTCATCGAGGCAGGCCAGCGCCACACAAGGCAATCGCCTGCCCTGTCCTTCCCTTCCCTTCCTTCCGCGCCACAGGCAGGCGTAAATTATGCATTTAGCCAGCCACGAAGCAGCGGCGGTGGCGTCCGCAGTGCGTTCCAAGCAGGTGCATCAACCGCGCGAAAAGGGCCGTTCTGTTGTGGCGGAACGGCGTTCAAGGTGCAGATGGACCTGTCAACGACGATGTCATCCGCAGATACCACAACACGGACCCGTCCATCTGCACCACGTCATCCATCCGTGATACGTAAGGCGAACCGAAGTCGAAGCCGGCGCAGACTCGCAGGGCTTGCGCCATCCAAACGCGCCGCGGTGCCCGTGTTGGGGAACGAAGAAGGCCCACATCACTGCCGGACCAAATCACCACATCTGCCAATTTCGCACAAATCTGCCACCAAGCATGTGCAAACACAGCTAGACAGAAATACTTGAACTGCACTATTGATATTAATTTGAGTCTGTTTGAAGTGATTATTGGTCTTTAATTTTTGTTTGCCTAAAGTCACAAATGAAATGGTTATTTGAATGTTTGTTACCATTTGTAAATAGTATTGTAGTGGTGGCCTATTATAATAATATTATGGCAAATGCATAATAATGATATCATAATATGGTCCTCCACCACATAATATATCTATAATATAATATAATAATAATAATATAATATAATAATAATAATATAAAATATTATATTATAATAATATTTAATCCAATCTAATAAAATTTCGGCATTTCAACCTTAGTTTTCAGTATATGGTTCAGTACCAATATTATACAATGCTTTATTTAGAACAGTAGCTCATTTATATCTCTCTTTTGGATCATGTTTAGAGAAGGCTTTTCAGTTGCACATCTGTAGTGAATTGCCTTTTTTTTTTGGAAATTGTGACGAAATTTATAATATTGAGAGTATGTTATGAGTGTGTGTATCAGTTCAGGTTGAACATTCTCTCACTCTAGTGGTTGATAGTCCAACATGCTTCTTCAACTGACAGTATTATCACTAACAGATAACAATTAGCCTGATCACTGTGAGAATACCCACATACTAAGAGGACAACAATGGAAGTAGTTCTAGTTGGTATACAAGCTGGTTCATGAGTTTGGGGCTGACATATAAGTTGCTAAAATAATATATTATGCTGGAGCCCCAATAATCCCGACATTGGAGGGTATATTTACATTTATAATACTAAAGTAATATATATACTGTACTAATCCGACCACAAGTTCAGGTTACGCGTTACACGCGCACCTGAACTGAACCTAATTGAAATAGGTTACGCGTTACACAGAAATTTACCATCAAATTTCGCTCAATTAGGCAATAATATATCAAAATTTTGCGGCCGGCTATCGCCGGCCTTCCATATATAGTAATTCCATCACTGATGAACTTGTTACATTTTGAGTTCAATGGGTTATGCGTTCACCCCACTGAACTTGCAGTCGGATTGGTACAGTATACAAACACCAGATAGTACTATTTTTCACTTGTTTCTCATCTCAATCCCCAACAAGACTGCTCTGTGAGCTGACATCTGCACTTGAGATACTATTGCTGCTCAGGCTATGCGCGGCGGCGTGGTACCCCGCACTTAGGTAGCGCGTCTCTGGCCCAAGCTCATGGCTGAAGTCTGATCCATGCGGGCCCGGCTCCTGCTTTTCCGGTGCTATCCACGGCTCCTCTCCGACACTTTTCTCCCTGACACCTGGTGTGCCGCCGCCGCCGATCCGGCGCCAAATGCTGCTCAACGTGCTTCCCCGCCGTCCCGCAGCGACTCCGGCCCCGGCTGCACCCGTTGCACCGCCGCTGCCGACCTGGCGCACGGCGTCGGCGATCTCGGCGTGCGTCCGCTCCCACGCGCGGCGGTCGCGCCGGCGCTTGCACTTGCGGTGGATGAGGAATGCGGCCGCGGCGAGGAGCAGCGCGGCGACACACGTGCCGACGCCGATGGCGATCGCGTGTGTTCGGGGGCTGTGTTGGTTGGAGGGGGAAGTGGGGGAGGGGGACGAGGCGGGGGACGAGGACGGCGGCGGGGTGTCCGGTGTGGAGACCGGCGCGGCCGGCGTGTCCGTGTATGTCGGCGACGCGGCCGGAGCACTGACGCCCGGGCCGGATGACGCCCCCACGGACGACTCGGACGGCGTGGTGAGCGTAGGTGTGGACCCTTGCGCGTCGGCCGGCGAGGCCGAAGAGACCGTGGCAGTGGCCGGGCTCGCCGTCGTCGGCGGGTCTGACGAGAACGGAGGCACGGCGTTGTTCTTGGTCGTAGGCGGCAGCTGCGGTCCTGGGCCGCCGTCCAGCTTGCTCACGATTAGCCCCTTGCCGGGCACCCACCGCGCGACCACGGTCTGCGGCGTGCTCTCCGGCGGGAACCTAGCGGAGAACTTGGTCAGAAAGCGGCCGCTGGCAGTGTTCGATACGACAACCGGCCACTCACGGGAACGGGGTCGGACCGCCTTCCACTTTGTCCCATTCCGTGCTGATGAGCGCCCAGTCCCTGGTGTCGGTCTGTGGGGGCAACACGCATGTTAAGGGCTGGGGGTGCTCAGAGGAAGGCCAATTTAAAGTACAGTTAAAGTCAGCGAGACTACCGATGTTCAAGTTTGCATTCGGGTGTGGCGTCATCCTCAGTTTTCAAGTTGATGCGGCCCCAATAAGTATTGGTATGTGTTTGCAGAAACGAAATGAGCGACGAGAACTAGACGACTATGGGCGGGGAGGGAGGGGAGAGTCGACGGGTGGTGAGAGCGCGCAAAGACATTTCCCTTCAAGTTGTCCGTATACATACATACCGCGGCTCTGCATCACGCTTCCCAATCAGGATCGCGATCGGCGGAAGGCTCGTAGTTGACCATCTGCCAGTGCCACGTTGTGATGGGAGATCAGCCATCATATCACACGATCATGTCACGTAGTCACATATCTGTTAGCATCACTGAGCAGCCAGCAGCAGCGCGAGGTACCACAACGTAGATACTTACAGATGAATGGCGCTATTCCCAGTGTCCGCGACTCGAAATAGAGATTTGGTTTGAGGTATTCTCATGCTTGAGGTATCCCGTCATGTGGCGCCGTTATACGATTGATGGCCGATCGGCGTCCCGCCGACACCCGATCATGCCGAAGAACTTCAAAGGGTATACTCGTTTTTACTGGTAATTTTATAATACTAACAATAATGTACACAGAACATCGAAACCTATTTTCTCTCTGTTTTTTTTTCATCCAGGCCCAACAAGACTGCTCTGCGAGCTAACTTCCGAGCTCGACACGCTGTCCCTGCTCCGACTGCGCTCATGGTGGTACCCCGCGGCGCTCAGATAGCGCGTCCCCGCCCCGAGGTCATGACTGAAATCCGACGCAGCAAGCCCATGTCCCTCCTCCGTTGCCTGCTCCAGCTTCTCTTGCACCATCCACGGCTCCTCCCCGCTCTTCTCTTTAACGCCCGGCCGCCACCCCGTGCCGCCACCACCGCCGATCCGCCGCCAAATACCGCTCAACGCGCTCACCCGCCGGCCAGCAGCACCGCCAGCTCCGGCTGCAGCCACCCCGCCCCCGACAGCCGCTCCGGCGCCGCCGACCTGGCGCACGGCGTCGGCGATCTCGGCGTGTGTGCGCTCCCACGCGCGGCGGTCGCGCCGGCGCTTGCACTTGCGGTATATCAGGAACGCGGCCGCGGCCAGGAGGAGAGCGGCGATGCACGTGCCGACGCCGATCGCGACCGCATGTGTGGGCGTGCCGGGTCTGGCGGAATGGGTGGGTGAGGAGGCGGAAGACGCCGCGGACGCGGAGGTCGGTGCGATGCTCGTCGTGGGGACAACGTCTGTCGCGCCGAGTGGTGAGGGATCGGCGCCGAACGTCGACGTTGACAGCATCACATCGGTCAGCGACGTCCGGCTGGTTTCGGACATGCGCGACCGGCTCTTCGTACTGCTTTCCATGAGAATGTCAGTGCTATTTCCTGTGTTCTGTGCCGCGTCGCCGGTTGGCGAGGATGCAGAGACACCCGTTGGCGGAACTGTCGTACTAATAGTGGGTGGGGCTGGCCCCGGCAGTGTCATGACAGCGATATAATGGATGTGGCCACCCGGGTCTTTCGTGTACTCAATCTCCACCGTCTGCGGGGTGCTCTGTGGCGCGACACTGCGTAGCAGGGGGGTGGAGGGTCAATTTTCAACAGGAAGCGGCGTTTGGATATGGACCCACGGAAAACTCTGTCCCGGAAGGCCATCTTCCTTCCACGTATTGTAGATTGCCTTCCACTCGTCGGTACTCGCTTCGGGCGGTAGAGTATACGTGGTCGTCGAGTTCTCTGGCGTCGGCGTCTGTTGATGGGCACCTAGAACCGCGGGCCCGGGGGCTCCGCGTCTCATGGGCATGCTCATACCAGTCTGCACCGAGTAGTGGACGCCGTGAAAAGTAGACAAATTGCAACGAGCGTTGGGCGGTAGGCGGGACACTGGCACTGGCAACGAGCGTGGAAGAAGAAAAAGCGACGACGACGGCCGCGGTCGCACGGCTCTTATCGCCCATAAGTATACATACCACGAAGCGCGGCTCTGCATCAACCCATCGACATCAGGATCGCGATGGGCGGGAGGCTCGCTGACGATCTGCCAAATGGCCACCGGGAGCGTGTTGGAGATCTATCTCAAGGGTTGGGACTCGAAATAGATGCGGTTTGAGGTATTCCGTCACTTGTATAATGTTGCAGGACAATTGCAGGTGTTGGTAGGCAGTGGCCCGCCGGCAGAGGCAGAGGCAGATTTCGAGGCGTCGCTGATAAGATGCATTGACTGGTCGCGTCCGCCCGTGATCGGCGTTTGGCGGGACCCAATCGCATCCACATAAGCAGGTGGAGCAACAGCAGGGACGCCAACAGTCACAGGGACGCGAGCAAGAACAACCTATGGCCAGGTGCGAACACGTCCCTCTTGTCGCCCCTCTGCCTTCCTGTCTTCTGCGTCGCGACGGCAACCGCGCCGCGGCCGGCAGATCCGCACGCGCGAACGCGAGCTGTGGCGCCTATGCATATTCTCGCCCCAGGCCTGCAAAGGCAATTCAGAGGGCACAACAGAAATACCTCACCCGATCAGATACATCCTCGCCATCTTCCGTGCCCCGGCTTCGCCATCTTCCCCATCGCGATGCCCTTCCACGGGCGCGTTCGCCTGGGAGCGCTGGGCTGGCGATTCCCGCGCAATATCTTCGGGACCAGCAAAGCTTATGGTGGAGAACGGAAAGACGGAAGAGACACGGTCACATCACATTGACTTTGATCTGTACAAAACAAAAAACAGCCCAAAAAATATTCACAAATAACGATAGTAGCCGCTCAATACGCCGGGCGCGTCGTGGTATACGGGTCGTAGCCCTCATTAGACCCCGAGTCGTCGCGGTAATGGTTCTGGTTCCTTGCGCCGGCGACGCCGATGCCGGCGAACCCGGCGCTCGCCGGGCCGGGGCTGTCCCGGTACTGGTAGTCCCCAAACGGGTCCTCCGCCGGATGCCCCGCGACGGCGACGGCGCCGGGGCGGGACACGAGCTCCACGCCGCTCCAGCCGCTCCCGCCGCTCGCGTTCGTCGCGCTGAACGTGGGGCTGCGCACGCCCGCGCGGCTCGCCTGCTGCACCCTGACCGCGTCCGCGATGTCCGCGTGCGTGCGCTCCCACGCCCGGCGGTCCCGCGCGCGCTTCCGCCGCTTGTAGAGCAGGACGAGCGCGCCGAGGAGGAGCAGGAGGACCACCGGGCCGAGCACGCCGCCGATGATCGCGGGCGTCTTGGCGCTGTGCGATGTGGCGGCGGCGACGCGGGCCGGGCCGGCGGTGTCGGGGTCCGAGGAGGAGGTGGCGGCGGGGAGTAAAGGAACGGAGGGATTGTTGTTGGTGGTGTTGCCGCTGTTCGGGTCCGTGGGAAGCTGCGTCGGCTGCGTGGACGTGACGCTCGCCTTGGCGGGCTGGGAGGAAGGGAGCGGCGGGGCAGAGGACTGCCCTTCGTTTGGGTCGACCTCTTCTTTGGTGCTGTTGAAGGGTCAGTAATCTTGCGATAAGCAGTAGAGACGACGCACGTAGAGGGCCGCGGCTTCTTCGATGTCGTAGTGGTGGTGGTGGTGGTAGTCGTGCTGCTGCTTTTGCTGACGATAACACTGCTCGACACCCCTTCGCTGTTCGACTGGCTGGGGCCGCCCTGCCCCGGCGCCCCCAGCCCGGGCTTGCTGCTCGGCCCCGGCGAGCCCCCGCCTCCCCCGTCTGGGCCTCCCCCACCGCCCTGGTCACCGTCTTGTGCACTGGCACGCACGACGCCAGCCATCACCAGCGCACCGGCGAGCAGCCTGAGCGCTATCTGCATTTGGAGAGAGTGTGGGTGGGTGGGGAAACGAAGGGACGAGCCGCGTTCGCGCGCGCTCCGAGGAACTTCCCTCCCACATCTGTCGCTGCACATATATAGTGCATCACGGCATGCCATCACCACATCGTGTGCCATCAATTGCGCAGATCATCCTGCGATGGCTGCGAGTTGGTCGCCAGCGCCAGCGCATCTCGGCGCCGAGCGCACTGACACCGTCTTACGATTCGCTTTCACGTCGGTGCGTATACTTCGCCCCCCCCCACCGGCGGCAGCCCGCCTGCCCGCGCTTGGCGCCGCCGCCGCTGTGCCCCGCACCGGGAGTCTGGGGCCCATCTGTCAACGGACCACGGCGACCGACCTGCCGTGGAAAGATGCGCGCCCGATCACACACACGCGCGCCGACGTCACTCCCAAACGGATCCCGTTGATCGCGTCGCAGTGATCGTGATCGTGAGCTGGAATCGCGGCCGGCCGGACTCCGGACACGCCGGGGAGGGCTTGAAGACAAGCAAAGCAGCATCTCTCATACAACTCCAACAAAAAGGAAACCAGTATTTTTTCTGCTACACCCGCCCGCTGCCACCCGCCGCCTGCCCGCGCCGATGCCACGTCATCGCGCCGGCCACTGTCCCAGTGTCAAATCAGCCGGAGAAAACGACAGGTAAGTACGCACGGAAGAGCAGCGCGGCCCACGCGGCGGCGTCGAGCGCGGTGAAGACCCAGCACGTGGGCAGCCCGCCGCGCATGCGGCACTCGCGCGCGTTGCGCACCGCGAGCGCGACGCTGAGCGCTGGTCACATGATTATAAGTAGGGAAAGGGAGCAAAGGAGGGAGGGGGCACGCACGGAGCCAGAGGAGGAGGAGCGACAGGAGGGTCGTGGTGCGGTGTGTCCCGAGCGGGAGGGCTGGGCTGCAAGAGGGGTTACATAAGTATAAGCGAAGGGAGCGGAAGGGGAAAAGACGCACGTGAATGTGAGCGCGACGGCGCTGAGCGAGAGCGCGCACACGGGGATCGTCGCGGCCACAAGCGGGAACGCTGCGTTTCCTCAGTCTTATTGTCATTATCTCGGAGAGAATGCTACACGCACAGCGGGTCTCGGCCGCATACGTCGTCACCTCGAGCAGTGCCAACAAGCCCGCCGCGAGCATGCCGAGCATCGCGCCTTCACAACCATCAGCCCACCACCAATAGAAAAAAAGCGAACGCGCACCGACGAGCAGCCACCGGAACACATACGCCCGCCGCCCATCGCCGTCGGCCCGGATCCGGCGCAGCTGCTCGCGCTGGCCCCAGCTCAGTGCCGGCAGCCCGTCATACACCTCTGTCGCCACCGCGTCCTTCTCCACGTCGTCGTCGTACCCGGGCGGCGGCGCCTCGGCGCAGCGCACGCACCCATGCTGCCCGAGGTGCACGTGCACGTGCGCGTCATGCCGGGGCGCCAGGGCCAGCTCGGGGCGCTTCACGTCTGCGGCGTCGTCGTATTGTGGTAGCAGCATTCGCAGAGGTAAGGAGAGGCAGGCACGCGGGCGGGCTGGCCTGGTCGCTTATAAGCACGCTGAATCAGAATCAGCGGGGCATGCGGCGACTGCGCAGCGGTGGAAGCACCCGACCAAGTGGGCATCACCGGAACCGCCGCCCACACGTGTGATGCACTACGTAAGACAGGCTTTTTATTTAACCACCCGGGCCGCCCTCCGTCTCCGCATCAGCGCCAGCGCGCCCCACACCGCCGCCGCGACCACTGTCCGACCCAGTCAACACGCCGACATACAGTTATGAGAAAACAGAACGCACGGAGGAGAACGGGGACCCACGCGGTGAGGGTGAGGAGCGCGAACACGGCGCACGTCGCGTCGTCGAAGACGGGGTCGCCGTTGCACTGGCCCGCGCTGCCGAACGCGAGGCCCGTCGCAAGCGCTGTGGGTGATCGTGTAAGCAGTGCGTGGCGGACGGCAAAGAAAAGCGCACCGAGCCAGCAGAGCGCGAGGAGGCCGAGCGTGGTCGTGCGGTGGCGGCTCATCGGGATGTTCGGCCTGCGGGGGCTCAGCGGGTCGGGCAAAAAAGGAAGGAAAGGGAAGGAGACGAACACGAAGGTGAGCCCGACGAGCCCGACGGAGAGCGGCCCGACGACGACCGTGGCGATGGCGAGGAAGAACGCTGGCGGCGGTCAGCGGTCAGCGGTCAGTCCATGGCAAGGGAAAGGGAAAGAAGCGCACATGTCTGTTCGGGCGCGAGGACCGCCGCTTCCACCAGCGCGAGCAGCGCCGCGAGCCCCAGCACCGCCATCGTGCCTGCCATTGTCAGCGCCGATGCCGATGCCAAACAGGGCCCAACAACACAACGCACTGAAGAGCAGCCACCGCAGGCCCCGCCCCATCGCTTGCGGCAGTGGCGCCGTTGGGTCGACAGCACCAGCGCCCTCCTTCGCGTCCCCCGGGCCCTCGTCGTACCCCGGCGGGCTATCTTCATCATTGGCCGCCGCCGCCGCGCACTGCACGCACACGTGCCGGTGCACGTGCCCCGCGCCAGCGTCGTGTGCGTTTTCCGCGTCGTCGTGCGGCGCAGGCGTTTTCACGTCGTCGTCGTACTGTGGGAGGAGCATCGGCGGCTTGTTACGGCGCGGACTGCTGCGCAGTGACAAGCGGCATGGGCATGGGAGCGATCAGGCGGGCGCGGTGGTGCGGCGGACACCGGTGTCACGGCTGGGAAAGGAAACTGGAAATGTACGTGACGTGATGCGTCTCTTAACAGAGACTGAACGTCCAGACGGTCGCGGTTGCAGGGGGGAAAGCCTCGCTGGCGGCAGAAACACGCAGAGCTCGGCGGCTGGGGATCACGGTTGTCTACGAGGGCAGGCAGTTAAGGCGCGTTCTTCAATATCAATGTTCTCAACGGTGTTTACTTCCGTAGCGTCGATAATAGCCAGTCTGAGTGCCAGTGCGGAGTTCATCCGGTTAGTTCACAGACCACAACCAGAGGCGCTTCCGGGTCGCGACGTGGGTGGAGTTATTTCTGACATGGACATAGCCGTTCTGGGGCGGACAATTCGAAGGTCTGGCAATGCTCAGACCCCCGAAGATCAGCGCACAGTTTAACGCCGTTCACTCCGACCAGCTTCTCGCTCGAGTACTCGGACAGCGGCGCGAATCTGCTAGCATTCGAATTCACTCTCGTGTTCAATCCATCACTGATGGCTCTGAACTTCGCCGTCTTTGCGCCGCATCTCAAGTTGCCGCTGCGCGCCTACTTCTCTGAACTGGTGCGCTCTGGGTCCACGGTGACGTGGCTGGATTCAACAAGGTTTGGCATGCGCAATGCTTAGACTCCCCCGAAGATCAGCGCACAGTTCAAGTTTGACGCAATTACCTTGCTTAATAGTAAGGTCCTGGATGTGTGAAACGAGATCAGTCAATAAGAGTAAACAATGATTCTAAATAAATGTACACAGATGACGTCATAATAATTATAAATCCCTTGGAAAAAAGTCAGTCGATATGTTTCCAATTCCAATGAGTACAACCAAATTCTTTTCTTTTTCTTTGCTCTTTTCTCTTCCGTACTGGTGGGTTCTGAAGGTGGTGAGGATTTTGTGTCTGTTGTGTCGTTGAACGTTTCGTTTAGAGTTTTATACCCAAATTCTACGTATTGAGTGGGAACATTTATCTGGCGAAGGGTGTATGAGAAGAGAGCGGCTTTTAACTGATTGGGAGGTGTACCATTCCTTTAAGGTGGTCCTGCCGTTGTTTAATATTGAATATGGTTTAGAGGCAGGTTCTCACCACGAGCACTCGGACGCCCCCTGGGGGTGACATTATGCGTTTGGGCGGGGGCTGCACAAGTGAAAATGTGGATGCGACTACGCCGTATTGGCCCTCGTAGTGTCCGTAGATAATGGACACTGCATCGCCAGGTAGGAATAATTTCGCTACTTGACTGAGGGATACGTCAGATAAGATTCTTTCCCCTGTTCGTATGAGGAGGATACTATTTCTGGCGATTGGTTGAATCTTTTCGATTTCGCCGATGTAACCTTCGTTTTGACCTTTTATGATAACTACCCTGTCTCCTATGTGAATCGGGGGTGGTCCGGTGAGGAAATGGGGCTTCAGCAGTGTGCGGTCTACAGTTGTTTCGTCCGTGTTTTCGTCGGTAGGTTGGAGGAGATCCGCAATGAGAGTTGGCGAATTTGCGTCCAAAGGCGTGGCATTAATAGCCATGCGAATGCGACATGAGCCTTCGTTATCCGCTGCGACAATGAATCCGCCTCGTCGGCGTCGTCCTGATTCTTCAGTTACGTGGTACAGAGATACCCTGTTGCCCGCCACAAGAGCTGTTGATTCCTGTGGCAAAGGAACGTCGTATTCACATTGCGTGTCGAGGACTTCCCATGAACGAAGTTCTTTGTGGGATGGACTGTAGGGTTTCTCCAACGCTACGTTTCGGTCTTGGTTTGCGAATTCCAAACAATGCAGGGTGCCATTTTGAAGGTGGACCCTGTAGTGGTTGGGGCACACAGTGTGTGTGTCGGTTGCGTGCTCCTTTGGTTCGGTTAGGAACCAGACTTCTTCATCTACACATAGCACGAGTTGGCCAGCTTCCGCGCAGCAGTACTGTTGTCTAGTTCTTGCCCATCCGTCCAGCGACGCGGTTGTTGCGGGGAGCATTCACCAGAGTAGAGAGTTCTGCTATCGTTGGGCGCGTTGTTTGTTGGGAATGTGCGGAGGGGTGCTAAGCTCGTAGATTGCCTACTCGGACCCCGCCTCCTTTTCTGGCAAGCGTGTGAGGGGCGGCGACCTTCCATTAGGCAGGCAACGAGCGTAATGCCCGCAGGTCCAGCGAATGTTAATGATGGACACCAGTGATGCGATCTGCCCGCCGCCGTCACGCGTATCTTAGTCAGAATTTTTATTCCACAATTTTACAAACGATGGCTATTTATCGTCAGGGAGATTGACGATGTGTCCCGTGGTAAGGTAAACATATAACTCGATCGCACGGTGTAGGGATGCTTTGACTGCGTAATTTGGTTAAGTTACTATCGTGTATGTTGACTGGTGGAATTCTTACCGTTCCCTTCCGCTAGGTTCTTTGCGAACTCGGTGTCGAATACAGTGAGGAAGAAGTTTGAAGCGAAAGCGTTCTTTACCCATCCTATGAGTTCGGGGGGGAAAATAGTGTGAACCGGCATGCTGTAGATCGTACAGACTACTCCGGAAGTTACAACTAAGCGCAGAACACTGTTGTTGTTGGGCAGGCGCTTGAATTGCCCTATGAATTCGTCTTTGTCGTTCGTTTGTTTGTCGTCTAATAGGCGGCGGGGTAACAAGCTCTCAAAGTCGGTGTTCTTTCGCATTCCAACCTCTTTAACCTGAAGGAAATCGTTGAGAAACTCCGCAAGAATACTCATGAATTTACCTTGAATAAGATTGGATTGGGTTCTATGGAGGTTACTTCCACGACGAGGCCGAAGCTGTAAGAGTTGTCAGCAGTTTTCCAATGAAGCGAAGAATTTACGTGCAACGATTTTGTTAGGAAATCTTCTTCGTGGTTGGCGAGGTCTGCGCAGAATAAAGCCCATTGCCCTAGAGACTTGCGCCAAGTGTCAACGAATCGGGAAAACGTCTCTATCGTCGCAGAAAACGACGGGATCCCCGATTGAGGCGAGACTCGATGCGTGGTCCCTGCACGCGTTTCTGTGCGCTGGCCAGTCCTTGGTTTGACACTCAGCGTTGCAGTACCGAGTTACACGGCAACGTGAGCAGCATTTCTTGGGCTCAGCAGCTCCGCAAGAAATGCAATCCTTAGTCCACGTTGAAAGGAGAGTGGCGATAGGCATAATGGATAGGAAGCGGCGTGGGGTTTCAAATGGAGTGTTTCTGGGAACTGTGCTTTCGCTCCAGAGCTCCTACCATTTTTATATGCAGTCATCGGGACGTGTCAGACATATCGGCCACAAGATTTCTGTATGTTGAAGACTGTTCGGAGTCAAGGAGATTTACCGCCTGTTGGTGCACGTGCTTAGTCTCGGGTCGGCTTTCATATGCTTAGTGACCGGAAAGTTGCCGGATACGGATATTGATGTGCCAACGACAATCGGGTACTACTTTATTGTAGGACATGCTTACTCGCTACGGGGAATTTCCGGCGGGTTTCCGCTGTAAGTGCTTGTAATCGATTATCTTCTTCACGCAGACTCTCGGATGGGTGAGTTGTGAACAACTTGGGGTCAAAACCACGCAGAATTCGAATAGTATTTCGACCGTGGCTTCGAGAGAGAGCTACATAGGCGTTAAATGGGGTGAGGCGTCCGTAAGGGGGGATTTTCTAAGTCAACGACGACTACCGGGATCGTTTGTCCCTGTGACTTGTAGTCTGTGAAGGCGTATGCGGGAGTGAGTGCATATTGCTTTCGGCGTATAGTTACGGCGGAATTTGGCTGCGTTTCCAAGCGGAATGAAGTAGGCAATGGAAAAATGGGGAGCACTCCCTGTTCCAGGCCTTCGAACGGTGGATGAGAGAATTGGTCGATTTTGATCAACACTACCGCGGGGGGGTAGCTTAGGATGACGCGACCTTGTTTGTCTGTGGTAACAGTGGGTGGTTCGCGGGGATCTAATTTGAGATCAATTATGGTGCCTCGCGTTCCGTTCGCTAGGTCTGCCTCGGTAGATATGTTCCATAATACCATCGCCCGCATGCCGAGGGAAATTTCTACTCTCTCTTCTAATTTTCCCGTTTTCTTCTCTCCCATACTTGCGGTTAACGCTCGTTCTTCGATTGTAAGTAAGCGACGTGGTTTGACGACGACGTCTTCGGCAGTTGAGATGTAAATGCGATTTCCGGACTGGGTGTGATGCCTGTTAAGCGCCGCGCTATTCCACATTGTACGAACAGCGTGTCGGGGAGTTACCAATACTGCGTCTTTCCAGGGAGCGTTGTTCCAGTCCAGTGGAGGGCCTTGGTGTAGAAGGAGTGAACGCAGGAGAGTCATGTCAGCTTCGGTGCAGGCGCCATGTCGAAGTCGTTTCAAGAAGTCATTCCAAGGGGGATCCCGTACGCGCTTTTGCTCAGTCAACGTAATCACCACCTCGAATTGTCGATAAAAAGCTAAGCCCAGCTGTGCTAAGAGTGAGACGTCTGTCTGCAAGTTATATAGAGCTGCTCTAGGGTTCCCAACTGGTGGGAATTGGTGTGGGTTGCCGAACAAAATGACATTTATACTTCCAAATGGTTTAGAAGGAGGCGCCTCGCCTTGAGTCGCTTTGACGAAGCTGATGATCTGAGAAAGTTGCGCTAATGTTTTCTTTGTCATCATCGAGAACTCGTCGATCGTCAGGTATTGAGTGGGTAGTATATTTCGTTTCCTGCGTTCTTGGATACCTTTCCCCGCTTCTACCATGTACATCAGTAAAGGCTGAAGTCATTGCGGCGAAGGTGACGCACTCTGGAGCCAGTTATCCTTTTCGGAGAAGCTTATAGGTATGCCTGCCCATTGATGGATCGTCGATCCCTTCACCAAACTTGCAGAGATCCCGGTTGTCCCTGTTTTCGCCAGCAGTGTCGAAGAGTTGAGAAAGTCGAATGTGTGACTTATAGCGTTGAGAAGCACGGTCTTTCCCGTTCCTCCTTCGCCCTGCACGATCATTAGCAGCTGGTCTTGGTCTTCCCCCCCGAGATGCTTTCGTAGATGCGCCTCGACAATGTCGTGCGCGCGGCGTTGTTCAACGTTAAGGATATCGATAGCCGTTTGCTGTTCTGGGGTCCGCTGCCGAGTGTCATCGTTGTCGAGCATGGAAATGTCGCCATTTGGCGTGTGGGTCTCGTTGTTATGTGGCTTTGGCGGCCTCGTTGACACATCGTCGTCGTCGTCGTCGTCGGGTGGTAGGGGGAGTGGGTTGGTAGAGTTGTTGACAAAGAAGGGGTTGCGAGTAATCGCTGCAACTTTTTGTTCCCAGTCTTTGAATATGGCCATTTCCTCCAATGTAGCTACCCTTTCAATGCTTTTCGTGACGGTAGACTCGAAGGACGAGTTAAATATGCCATTTGCGGAGGCGATGGCCATTGCCCTAACACCGTAAGCTTTTTCGGCCGCTGAGAATTTCGTATCCCTGGCTCGTTGCACGTCCGCTTCAGTGAGTAGCATTGGGGCTTTGAAAGTATCGGTATGATCGCCTTCGAGTTGTGTGACAGTGTCTGAGGTGTCCAAATCGCCAGTGTTGTCGCCCTCGGCGTCTTCGGGGGTGTTATTTTTCCTTCGTTTAGCGGACTGGCTGCATTGGTGAAAATACTCGATGTTTTCTGTAATGCGGTGAATTTCTTCACTGGAGCTTGCCATAAAACTATCAAGTGCATGTTGCAGGGAAGGGAACGAGCCAACCAAGTCTTTTAGTTCACGCCATGGTTTTAGAAGAACTAAGATTTGAGCCGCGTAGTTTTCCTGGTTGGCAGAATCTCTACTTGGTAGCCAACGCCCTATAATGTGCAAAGCGGTTTCTTGTTTAGGGCCTCTAATGACTCGCGCACCCTTTCGTTCGCTTTCTGGTCTGTAAGGGTATCGATCTTTTTTGGGCCGGCCTCCTGCTTTTGGTCTCTCTTGTGGTGAGTCGTCTTCATCGTCCTCACTGCGTTGTTTGGCGCGTGCGTCGTGATAAGTATATAGAAAGTAGTCGTAAAGGTTCATACTTTCCAATTCCTCTCCCCGGTCGGCATACTGGCTGAGTTGGTCCTCGACTGTGAAGCGCCCGTCGACTAGGATGATTTGGGTCTAATGCATGGTAAGAGTATGTCGTTGTGGATTTGGTGGTCCCATTGACTCACTGCAGTGTCAGCGGGTACACGATCCTCGTTGTCTGCATCTATTGTTGCAGCGCTATAGTTGTGGGTAGTTAGTGTTGTGGTCCCAATTCATATAACTTACTTTTGAGTTATATGCGGGAACGCTGCTCGTAGGGTGCTTACAACACGGTCCCAGTATATTTTGACGAATGTGTGCGAAATGTACCGATCCCCCCATCCCATTAAGTAACTCACCACCTCCGGCCCGCTCAGCTCGTATTGTCGACTGAGGGTATTTGCACATTGTTGCAGCAGTTTTTGATTTAGTTTGTGAATAGGAAGGTTGATGTTGGGAGTTGAACCGGGAGTTTGTTGGAACGCGTGACTCTTAGCGAGAATTGCAGACGCATTCGCGGCTTGCACTTGTTTCTTCGCTATGTACAATGTTATATAAAATGCGATATCTTTTGTTTCCCATGCGTTAGTAAGGAGTTTAATGTCCATATTCGACCTAGTCGTGTGGAATATTGGCGGGTTCCAAGGGTTGAGTGAACAATTGGAGCGTTTCGGGCCCCAACTTCCCCCGCGATCAACCCAATCATCGTCATAAGTTGGCCATGGGTGTCCACGTTTGCATATGAGACGGCCCGATTTGTTTTTGAGACAGTAGTATATAGTGCATTCGTGACTTTGCAATACTGAGGCATTGATTTTTTCGGTCTTCGCCGCTTCGTCTTTGTAGTTAGTCGTTCTGGGGTCCACTGGTCGGGAGAATGCAACACTTCGAGCTAAGCGTTTGCGAGCGTCGGGTGGTAAAGGACCTCCTGGAACGTCCGCTCGTATGTTGTGTTTGATAAACGATTTTACTCGGGCAAGAAATTCGTCCGATTGCAGCGCTTCTTGCATTTGCTGAGCTGTGGGCGCACCGCGAAGCCATAACAATAAGTGCAGGTGCAGCGACCCGCGACCTTGTGCTTCGACCGTGCCAATATACCCGTTGATGACCCCGAGGACACCAGTCTCACGTTCGATCGCTCCTTTGACGCCGACTTTTATTCCCAACATGTCCTTGAAGAGCAAACGAATAACCAAGTGGAAATATTCGGCCGCTGCAAATGGATCTGCACCGATAATAGCATCTCGAGTCGTCGCGCTGGGTCCCGATTTGGCAATAAAATCATCTAGGTTTATTTCTTGCCCAGCTAAAACTTGAGCTATGGGATCCCCCGTGTCGGATAGATTGATTGTCATCCATATGGAAGGAGGATTGAATTTGAGGGTCATGCCCCAAATTTGCGCGCGAATTGCTACTCGGTTTTCGTCCGTGCCTTGTACCCTGGCACGAACTGCCGTTAGGTGCTTTCGGAGAAGCCGAATGAGTGGGTTGGATATTTGTACTCTGTGCTCTTCCTCTTCTGCAGCTTGCAGCAAGTCTTTCGGTTTGAGTTGAGCGAGAGAACTTTGGTAAGCAAGAAATTTGCTGTGTTCGATTTGAATCGAGGCAGACCGACAAACCTGACGCTTCCAGAGGACCCCGAACGCCAGAAAGATAAAATGTGTGTGTCGTCGGAATCGCCCTGAATCATGTTCTAGGGCCCATCTCACATGTTCTTCGTACGAAAACTTTCTCTTCGCGGTCCACTTCAAGGCCTCCAAGGCCGTAAGGAAACAACGTGGGGAAAGCACCGAGGAGATGATTTGGATTAGAAGGACCTCCGTCGTAACGGTCACCATTTTCGTCGCGTCGCCCATATTCGTTGATAAAGGCACTACCCTTGCGCACCGCATAGTCTTGCGCGAATGGTTTCGATAGTAAATTGTCCACAGCGTGTGCAAATACAGTACTTTCGGGAATATTATCCCCCCCTACGTCCATTATTCCGTGCGCGTGCAAGGGAAAGACTGCGGGACTTGGATCTATATTGAGATAAACAAGGATATCTAATGCTTGGTGCGCGTTGGGCCTCACCGTCTTCTTCCATAGTCTGTTCCATTGTTCCAAAGGTTGACCGTGTCGTTTGACCGGGTAGTGTGCTTGGTTGCGCTGTTTTTAAAAACTCATCAAGTGTTTTTTGTAAGAGAGTGGTAGCGTGCACTGACCATCGACTGACACGTCCAAACAATTCTCATCCAACGCCCCTTCGATTTCCACTTGTGTGGGGTCGGCCCTGGAGTTCAGCTCGGTTTGTTCCAAGCTTTCGTCAGGCTGCTGCGTTTCTTCCTCTTCGAACTCCACTGGCGCGTATCCTGCATGTTCGCGGCCGACTGCATCGACATCTGTGGAGTACCGGACGTTCTCTGATATTTCGGAGGGGATGTCGTCTTCTGGTAACTTTTGTATAGCGCCAGAGTCGATGGTTATGTCTCGATATACCGTGTTATTTTGCTTTAGCCATAGCAACGCCTCGAAGACCCTCTGGCGACGCACGCGGAACAAGGTTTTGAGAGTCGGGAGGGCTTTGCGGTCCACACCCACAAAAGTGACACCGATAAGAGAAGCTAAGATGAGAGATGGTCGGGGTACGATTTGCCCTGCTGCCATATCGATGATTTGCGCTGTTGGTAGCCGAAACGTGGAAACATTTCCTCGGAGCTTTTCATTGATTGCGATAGCTTCAATCCCACCCGCATTTGCCGCACTAGCGCGCGGTATCGGATCTTCGCTGGGTATACCTTTACTATATACGCCGCGGGGAAGTAGAGAGCCACGAGCAATTGTTCAGGTAGCGTCAAAATTTCTAGCTGGAAAGGGACGTCACCAATCCACATGTTATTTGCCAAGGCGAGTCTCGGTCTGGAGCAGCGTTTAAGGGCAATCAAGCAACTCGTACACACGTCATTGGGTCCTCTACTGTCGACTTTTTCGTGGAACAGAAGTCCGTGCACTGTCTTTTGGTGTGGGTGTGGATGTGTAGGTTGCAAGAGATGTCGATTGGGGATATCGTTAAAATGCACCGTTTCGAGTTTCGTTGTGAAAAGTTTTCGCGCGCAGACCATGCAAGGTTTCTTCTCCAACGAAGCATTACCCGTGTGGTCTATAAACCTGTCCATCGGCCTCGCGGCTGAGCATTAGAATTCTTCTTTTATTCTATAGGACAAAACTTGCCTGGCAATACATTTCTCCACAACCTGTTCATCTGGCACACACAGGAAGTTGGAGGTCGGGAATGTTTTAATGCCAGCGGAGTGGTGTGTTGCAAGTACTTCGAGTTCACTAAGAGCAGGCGCAGGTTTACCTCGGATAGGGTCGGTGCGTCTGCGCTTGTTAGGGAGAAAGCCGGCCTTCGCAGTTTGTGCTCTCTTTCGTTTAGAGCCTGGAGTAGCTGCTGCTGCCTCACGGATCGTGCGTTGTAGCGCTTCATCTAGCGTTGAAAGCCAGGAAAAAAGCTTCATCCACGACACCTTCGCTTTGCCCGGCACTTTACAGAAGCGATCTAGTAGACGGAACGCCTCTGGGAGTGTATATGATAGGAAGGCCTCTTCCATTGGTTGTTGCAGTGTAATGAAAGCACTTCTCGCGTAAGCTTGTTCTGGTGAGCGAGATAGATCACGCTCAACTGGCCCCGTCTCCGCTTATAAATGCGCGCGCAACTTTTGGTATTGCAGCCAAATGGCCCTCGTTGACCCTGTCGCTTTGTTGGTGGACGCGATGACCTCAGTAGAGCGTTCCGTTCAGAATCCGGGCTCTCGGCGTTTTACTCCAGATACTGCGGTAACACCGGCTCATGTTAGTTGGGCGCTGCATATGCAAGGGGCAAATTTCTTGGGCAACGCTCGGTACCGGCTGGACTTTATCCCCCCTAGGGAGTTCGACGATCGCTCCGGCAATTTCCTCACTGTCGGTACGGCGGATGGCGCATCGGAACCTTTCCACCCCCTTCTCTTGGGGCGGATTTCGCACCTCCCTGCTGTAGTCTCCCGGTCTCAACCCTTTTGCATAACGTTGAGTGAACCGGATTGGCTCACAGTGGGTTGGGACAGGCAATCCTTCAGCGATCTTTGGAGTTCGCAGACCTTCACCCTTCGCGACGTTGTTATTCAAGATAGGACTTGCATTTCATCTGGTAATTGGGTTAGTTCGTCCGATTTGTTCGTATGTGGTAGATCTCACGGGCAACTTATATAGTCCCCGCAGACATTCACCTTCGTGTCTTGGATGGTGGGCGAGAATATAAATCTTTGGACGGCAGCGGGCGGGGGATTGCCCGCCATTAGTTTGCCACTTAACGATTGGACATACACTACTTTCAGTGACGCCTCTGACCAAGTACAGTTCCCCTTGGCAGTTGGCGACACCGTGGTCGTGGAGTGCGTTCTCCCGGCGACAAGAGAGGTTCAGTTCGGAACCTCCGATTGATACTTGCGAGTTAGTAAGTCTGCGCTGGTTTTCGAGGTTTCTTGCCACTGACAGGCCATTGAGGTGTACACAATCGAAGCTTTGCATATCAAGCTCCTGGTTCCTCGGTCTCGCGGACGTGCTGCTCAGGTGCTGTACGCTTCGAGTTCGCATTTCGAACGCTGACATGTTTGGTTTCCAGCTCAGGTTGCTGACCACGGAGTTACGCTGAGGAGTAACCGGCAAGTAGGAGAGATGCAGTAAACGTTGTCTATGTTAGCAAACACGGCGGCGTAGCTTAGAAATGTCAATCGTCTTGAATTCCTGCCTAGGCCGTGCATGTGCACAGAGTCCAGTGGAAAACAACCGGCTTTCAAAACGGAACGGAAGAAGCAGAGTCACATTCGTGTCACGTCACATGTCACTCTGACTCGCCTCGATGACCTATTCGTTGCCTTGTAAGTGATACTCTGTCGATTTTGGGTTTACTTAGCGTTTATAAAGGTATACAGTCCTACGGTTGACCATCGCACCTTTCCCTCCAATGGCGACTGGTACCGGAAGCACCCATGTTATTCCTCTTTTTACTTCGGAGGTCATTCAAAGAGTTAATGCTGAGATCGATCTCGTTGGCGCGGTAGGGCACCTTCATCATGCACGGTTTATTGTTGAAACATCTCAGCCCGAGGAAGGTACCCGCACGTACCTTGGATTGCTTTTCGCTACTGGTATGCACAAGCCTGTGGTGGTTCGTGTGCCCGTTAAAGTGCACCTCGCTGTTGCTGTGTCTCCTCGCGATCTGGACGTGCAGCGCTGGATTCCTCGCCCCAGTGAGCGCAATGCTGCTGTGATGGACCTTTCTGCCTCCATGGCTATTGTGCGGCATTGGCCTTTAGATGACCCCGACCCGCTCGACTACGCATACACGGTTTTTACGCTTCCTCAAATGGGTGAACCGCTCATCAGCAACAAAACCGAACAGCCCGCTAATGGGTATGTGCGGGTATTGTTACCCTCTTGTCCCTTTCCTTGGATTGGTAATATTCTGGTCGTCCGTTCCCTCCGCAACCGATCGTTGGATGGCTTGGGGGATGGCGTGGGCCATATGACACGTGCAGACGTTTATACTGCTAAGGCTATCGTTAAATTGTAAGTTCTGTGTTCTCCTAGATTGCCGCTTCATGCTAACGGTACTCGAAGACTTGTGCGGGAGCGTTTAGTGGGCCGCGATCTTATGGTCAGCTAATCGGTATATAAAGGGCCGCGTCTATGCAGTTTGGTTACTTCAATGTCTTCCCTACCTTCTTCTGAAATGCTGTTCCAAACTCCATCTCTCGCACGAGCTTGCCTCGAACACAGCCCTTGGGCTACATTCCACGCGCTGAGGCAGATAAACAAACGCATGACTGCCATCGCTCGTTCAGTCGTAAAGGACAGGATTTTCTTTCGTCTGGCACCTTTCCTTACCGGTCACCTGGCGAATACAAGTTCTGATAACCGGGCCGTTGTCTCTCGCTTTATTCAAAAGGTCCAGTCAACTAAGTCGGCGGTAGTAGGAGCTGTACCACTCGCTCTTTTTACTTTTTCGGCTCTGGAGGACCGTGAAGCAAACATCAACTGTTTGGACATCGTCTGCACTAAGGCAGCTGTCGCTGAGTGGCGCGAATACTTCTGTCTAGAGCTAGGTTTCCGAATGTAAGGTCTTCGCCGCGCTACAAATTGGGCAAAACAGATAACTAATGTGACTAAACAGGTATACCAATCCTCCTCCCAGCTCTGAGTACGACTGCAAAGTGAGCGAATGCCTAGCCTTCTCCCATCCAGCCCATGTGCGTGTAACTCTATTTTTGCAGGCATTCTATGCATGTTCTCTGCACTGACGGAGCTTATATAGTACTTTATGGTGCGCTTGCTGGTGTCCAGCTCACGAACCGTAGTGCCGGCAATCTTTGCAGCGAGATTTACCTCCCAGATGAACTTCTTTACTGGCCGCAACTTGGTTTCGCCATACCCTCGACTTACGAGTCGGCGCGTTGCACTCCCGGCCTGGGCCCACCCCAATTCTTGGGCGTGGTACTTAAATTACGTCTCTTACAACGTAGGCCCACTTTTCCCGTGGGTTAAGCTCCTATCTGGGTCGTATCGATTTTCAGCTCCTTGTGGAGTCGAGTGTAGCCGCGTGATACGCAATTGGACGGGCCTCAAAGGGTTCTGCGTTATCAGAACTTCCGAGGAAGAGGCGGACCTCGTGTTGGGACTCGAGGTGGACGTCGAATGGCAACTGACTGGTGTGTGTCAGAATCGCAACTGTCCTTACAAGGGAGGAAAGCACCGAGTGTAGCACGTACTTGTACGTCGTATTAGTAAGCCACCTGTTGATGGCATTCGCGCAGCCGGCCGGGCGCCTATCTTGACCGACCCTTTCCAGATCCTTCTTCTTCTCCTAACATCGAACGTTCATCTAACACCACTTGATTGGTTTATGTTGAGAACAATGAGCGCGTTTTTTCTTCGCTTGTTTGGAGGCACCCCGCGCAATAGATTGGTGAAAAAGAGACCGGCGTCGAAGACTCCAATGGGTACTCAACAGCAACCCGGCGGCGAGAAGGCAGGTTCCGACGAAGAGAATGTGAAGAATCACACACCCGTTAACCCACACTTGCCCGAGATGGACGTGGGACCATCGTTTGGTCAGTTGTTTGGCGCGAACGATCGGGAGAGCGGGGACCCAACTAATGAACTCGGTGGACGCGCAGTTGTGGCCAAGGCTCGCGGCGTCGTAAAAAGGTGCGCAACTTCTTTATAACCTCGTCCTACCTCTTTATCGTCATTCGCGACTCTCTTCACCTCGTTTTCTTTACTCGCGACCGAGCTATGCTTCACCTTGAACTCTCTGAGGCGAGAAATATGAACGACTCCCTCCCTACCCATTCTTCATTACACCCTACTGTCGCATCGCCCATCAATGGCTCGCGCAGTGTCTCCCCCTCCAATAGCGCTCATGCTGATGCACACGGCCCGTCAGAAGTACGCGCAAATGAAGAAACGCCTCTTACCGTCAACGAATCGCTTTCCCCCCAAGGTAGGCGACGCTTGGTTTTTTGTTCTGTAGCGTTGGTTAATGACTTGTTTGTTTCGTTCGTCAGACGCACTCGCTTCCTCTACTAGACTAGATTACTTGCCTGATACTGCTGTACCTTCGCATCCACCAATAGCTTTTCATCAACCCCCCTTTTCGAGCCCCGTCCAGTACTTCGAAGACGGGCACGAGATACAGAGCGGGGGGCCTGCAGATGTGTTTTTTGTACCTGGCTTGGACGACCACTTATACACTTATGTAAATGTGCACGGTCGTAGACGAGCCGTGCCTGTTATCGACACACGACTCACTCCATCGCCACCTGTAACTGAACGTCAGTATGCTTTTTGTTTGGCCGATTGCGTTACAGAAGACATTTGCTTACCGATCCTCAGACTCCGCGCAACTCCTCGCTCCTCAGGAGGAATTGTCGCTATCTAGTTCAGACTCTCGTCCGAACACTCCTCCCCAAGAAGCGCACGTCCCTCCCCAAGAACCACCCGCCCCACAAACTCCGTTGCCAGGAATGCTCGGTCGACCTCCTCTTGCTGGCGACGGTATCCCGATTGAAATTGTTGACCTTATCTTCGCCAATCTCTCCTTTTTGG